CCGTCAGCTGAGAGACCAACGAAAATTCCTAACTATGCAGCTGGGAAAACCAAATCTGTGTCATGGGCTGTTTCAAATTGTGGGAGAGCTCGAGATAAGTACGTAAAAAAACTTTTGAAATACATTAAAGTTGATATATATGGCGGCTGTTCGGGAAGATTTGGCCAAAACAATAATTGCCCGCGATCAAGAAATTGCGATGATATTTTCAGCACATATAAGTTTTATCTGGCATTTGAAAACAGCGTGTGTCCTGATTACATTACTGAGAAATTTTGGCGCACATTTGGTTGGAATTCAGTGCCTATAACACTGACAAGAGATTTCTATACACCAGATATAGTCCCTCCAGGCTCGTTTATAAGTGTGCAAGACTTTCCATCTATTAAGGCTTTAGCGGAATACCTGTTGTACCTCGACAAAAATGACACTGCTTATAATGAATACTTCACATGGAAAAATGAATTCGTCGCTAGACTGATGACTGGATTTCCACATACAGCCTGTGACGTATGTGATGCTCTTCACGATGAATGTGTTAAACCCAAATTTTATAAAGATATATTCGAAACTTATTGGAACGATGGTGCTCGTTGCAATGAAAACCACAGGAAACTTTTACAACTTATAGATAGTGAGGAAGAGTGATCAATGTAAGTCAAAAATCCATGCAGCCTAGTCTGGGGTAATTGTGGCAAAAAATTATCTAACAAGCTACTAAAACTACAAAACCGAGCTGCACGTGTAAAAAATTCATCAAACTATGACGTAGATGTCGAATCCTCGGTTACCCAATAACTCACGTGTAAATTTATAAGGTAAAATGAATCAAACTATTCTCTGAGGGACTCGGTAAACAAACTTGTTGTCCCCTTTCCAAGGACTAACTACTTGAAAAATAGTTTTAGTTATAGCGGCGCAACCCCATGGAATAGCTTACCCTGTAAAATTAGAGAGTCTGGTTCATTTTACCAATTTAAATACCTTCTCTATCGTAATTTTTAAAAACGGCATTCACGGAAATCAGGTTTTTAAGTGGCACATTGTTGTAAGTTAATATAATTTTAAGATTAGGATTTTTAGGTTCTTAGGATAATAGCCATTGTATTGGAAGTTTTTGCACCCGATAAGTTTTTACCGTGTATAAATAATGATTAAATAACTAGATAAATGAATAAATTTGATGTTCAAATGTAACTTCCAGTCCCCCAGTGCAGATAGAAAAAGTGGATCACTGGCGTGAGTAACCAACAGAAGCTGACTTTAGGAAGGGGTCCACTCCTGGGCTCTCTGAACCGGGTCAAGGCTCGAGAAGTTTGAAGTGCGATAATGAAGGAGTTGAAAACAACCAATACTCCATTAACTACAACAGCAAAAAATGTTCAGTAAAACTAGGTTTAATTGAATGAAAATCCGAAACAGGGAACTGAAGAACTGAATTTTCCGTAAGTTTCAAGTAGCCATTACCTTTTATTTTCAATATGCTTGATTTGAAGTTGACCAACATCGGTTTAAGCAGCTTTTATGAAGAAAATAATTTTCAATCGTTTTTAAAAATGCCGCTTTGAGCTTCCGTGTGAATTGGGTCTAATGTTAAAAACACGCTTTTTATTAAAACGTCCCTTAAGTGTATTCAAATTGAACTAAAAAATTTCCCTTCCGTTTCCTCATTTCAAATGCTCATTTGTAACTAAAACTTCCTTTTTAGACAATTACAACTTCTAAATGACTGTGGATATAAAAAATTCATATCTATGAACTGCAAATTAATAAAGGAATATGAGGAGGTCTTGACTGAATTGAACTCTACTCAAAAGGCAACAGAAAAGTAATTTCAAGCAGGGGCGAGTTGTCTGAAGGCAACCTCATTGACTGAATGCTCTTGATCAATCAGAGTTTTCAAAGTAATACTAATGTATATGATTATTATTAGAATCTGGATCATTAGATAGTGCAATTCAAGAGTTTTTTATCGGCATATACAAATATGGTAAGTGTACGTGTCAACTCAAAATTAAAACGGAGCTAAATGATTTACATAAAATTTAGATTTTGAGGCGTTTTTAATAAAACAATTTTTCCACTTCGCTTGTTAGATATGAGATGATTATCTATCATTTCATATCCAAAGCGCACTCATAGAATAATTGTTTATTGTACATTAGACTTACAATGAAAACTCTGATTTATCGATACTGATCAAAGTTTTCCTAGTTTCCATTCTCCTCGCCGTTTAATGTCCTTAGACTTTTGCAAAAATAAATTATGAAAACATTAGGAACACAAAGTGTCTCACCTGGACCTACCCAATTAAAAAAATAACTCTTCCATGCTATGCATGCCTATGTTTTAAGATATGGCAACTATTCTGGGAGGTTAATTTTCTTTCATATGAGAATAAAGCTCCGCACCGTCCGCACTTATAACCGTTTCTATCAGTAGAGCTAAGTGAAAAGGCATTTTTGATAGGATGCCAGTTTCCCTCGTCCGCAAACGGTCGACGACCAGTAATACAACATGGCCCGGGTGAAGAGAAGCATTCATACCCGAATACAGCAATCTAATTAGTGCGAGATACATACCCTAATGCGGCAATCTGATTGGTGCGAGATACATACCCTAATGCGGCAATCTGATTGGTGCGAGATACATACCCTAATGCGGCAATCTGATTGGTGCGAGATACATACCCTAATGCGGCGGTCTGATTGGTGCGTGCAACATACCACTCTCCACGCTAACATACTTATCTTTTTTTTTATAAAAAGAATAATTAAAAAAGCGGTCATCGTATCCTAGGAACGATCAAATTTTGTTTGAACAGCTTGCCTTCCTTGTTACCTTAGTATCGAGTTTACTTGATTGCGGGTACAACTAAAATTTATCTTTTCAAAAAGCACTAATACACCTCAAAGAAGCCGTGATTACCTTGAAATTGTCATGTAAATAGCGTCACATATTTGTCGTTAAACTGTCAGTGTACTCAGCCATCACCAGATCTTCTAGCTGCAGCGTAACTACTTAAACCGAATCATAAAATCTCTCGTGCAGGACAAAGTTTCCCCCTGATAGTGGAAATTACGAGTAAAATATCAAGTTTCATCTGAGGAAACAGAACATATAAGTGCTGCTTTTAATGAAGGAATTACCGTTAGCCAAATGATAGAACTTTCATAAGGGACAAAGTTGCCTCTTGATTGTGGACATTACGAGTAAAATATCAAGTGTCATCCTTATATACCTGAGGTAACAATTCTGTTTGAACACTATAAAGTTTAACTCATGAAGCTTTACTTACCAGGTACTTAACCTAATGATTCCCTCGCATCATGTGAAGACAGTATCAATTTGGTGAGGTAGAACACCTGAGAAGAGGCGAAATCGGGCTGCCTAGGATTTCACCCACTTCTCAGCAATTTTTGGTATCTTAGATCTGAGGGTTTTTCCTTTCCAAGAATGTATTACATTTCCGCTGAAGTTACACGTTTTTCTCAGAAATTCAGCGGATGAAGTCCCTTTAAGGCAAGGACAGGTATAGCCTGGCCCTATTATAAGACTATGTCAGTGGTTGGCAGAAATTCTGACGCACTTCTCGTTGCTAGACGCTCCTACTGTAATGTTTTGAAATTTGATAAAGGCCGAAAAGAAAGGTTTATGTATGTTTCCTCAATGTCATGTTTCTTTAAGTTGCCACGGACCTCTGTTCTTTAATTGAAAAATGTTCCCGCATGTAACATAAGAAAGATTCATATTTATTTCTATTTACATCAGTGGTAAAAATGTCGTGGACTCACGAGGTTGCGCCTGGTGAGTCCGCAGTAAATTTGACCACTGTGATGACGAATATCGTAGTCGATTAGAGTACAGACCACGCTACACCACTTTCGCCCATTTATTATTCTCTATTTTATTTTGATTAAACGCTTCCTGATTCTAACATAAGAAAGAATCATATTTATTTAAATTCACATCACAGTGGTCAAAATGCCGTGGACTCACGAGGCGCAGCCGAGTGAATCCGCAGTAAATTTGACTACTGTGATGACGAATACCGTCGTCGATACCAGACCACGCTACACTAATTTCACCTATGTATTATTCTCTATTTTATTTTGATAAAAACGCTTCCTTCAGTAATAATTTCTGCTTTATATTTTGTGGTTGTACGCTTTATTTAGCTGGATTATTCGTATTTTAAAGCACAGTTAGTTGACATTAACGAGTTTTGAGCCGAATTCATTAGAATTAGAAGCGTTTTTTATTTGACGAAATTTTAGATTCTAACACCTTTAAAATCCAAGGTGTTCGTTACAGTAACCAAACGAGTGCTGCACACTTCCTTCCCTTGTATCGTAATTAGCGTCATTATTATTACAGCAGGTACCTCGGTAATTTATCTAAGAAAACTAGGCGAGACTTCAGGTCAATTCCATCTACAACAGAACTATTGTTCTACGCAAGAATACTTAACGTCACTAGCTGTGTTCTTCGTGAAATCTTGTGGATAAGTATTGACTAGATTCTGAAAAATTGAGCTTTGAAATTTTTACACCGCACTTTTTTGGTTCGGCCAGCTCCTCACCAGTCTAAGAATGATAAGGCGACTTCAACTACAACTTTTAAGAATGAGTCATTGCGAAAGGGCAATATTTTCCGTCGAGGAAAAAGGTGTTGATTACGCAGAAATTGAGCAGGTGTACTCCAATTAGAAGGTCTAATTCGATGCTCCAAACAGCTTAGCCGCGATCATTCTCCTCTTACGACAGCTTTGGTTTTGGAGTAAATTTATCGTTAAACAAGCCGCTACAATAATCATTAAGAGGTTTAAACTTCACATATCTGTAAGCTCACAGCTTTTAAATGTTGACGTATTCCATAGGCTCTAATAAATGATTCAGTAACTGGATAACGCCATCAGCCAAACTAAATAGAGGATTAACCTTTGCCCACGTTTCTTTCCTCAGAACACGCTGCAATATTGCAACAAAAAAAACCAAGTCATGGACGGTAGGAGGACGCGGAACACGTTACCCAAAGAAGGCAAAACCTGTGATGCGCCAGAGCCCATCTCGAACACAATATTTTTAACTCTTACTGTATCTGCTGCACTATCAGCCATAGTGGGGAACATACTCATCTGTATGGCTATGTATAAAACCAAAACCCTAAGAACACCCGCCAACTATCTTCTTGTCAGCCTCTCTGTAGCAAGCCTTTTGTTTGTTCCCGTGTTGGGGGGTTACTCCTTTTCTTTCACCATCAAAGAATGCGATCCGAGGGCTAAAACCTTGTGCACGTGGTCTTCGAAAATGGATTGGATTTTATTCTGTGTTGTTATGCTTCACTTGCTGTTCATATCGTTGGATCGATTGTTAGCCATAAAACAACCCATGAGGTCTGTGGTGCAAGAAGAAATTCAAATATTGTTGTTTGGATTGCTAGTTTGACTTAGCACGCCAGAGAGTACTTTTATTCCCACCGGGTAACTCGAGTCTGCGACTCAAAAACAGCCTTCCAGCTTAGGCACTGACAGAAGGGGGCACACTTTACATTCTGTTCTATGATAATTACGTGAATGCATTCTTGTCTCCACTGTGTAAAATCTCTTTTCGTATTTACTTCAAATTTTCCGGGATAGGAGTAGTTAAAATAGAATTTTGCGCACATTCTCACCCTTTGATCATAATTTAACCACCAAATTAAGCCCCCACGGTTGTTTCGTATCCATTCGTTTCGCACCCAAATACAGTAGATTCGTACCCAAATTCGAGCCGGTTCGTACCCAAATCGCTGATCGATTCATACATTTATTCGAAATACTCCACGCACAAGCGCGTGAACAGACGCCCATCTTTGCCTACGACAATTAAGTAGAGTCAAGCGAGTAAGATACAAAACAAAAAAAATTTTTGTGTATAGCCTTGACTTAACAAAAACAACTTAATTATTTCCTGGCGCAAGGTGAGTGTGATATTTTTAACAGGAAAGTCTATTTTTCATATTTGACTTTTTCTTAACACGAACAACTCGTGTCAAACTAATATTTTTTTCCGTTTGTGAACGTCGAAAATATACTTTACTAGTTTGGGTGCGAAACGACCGGTAACCGAGTAGATACGCCGGCGTGGCATTGACGATGGTGGATCCATTTCTTCCATTTCTAGAACAGCTTATTTTAGTGATAGAATGCACCAGTGGAAAATATCCTTGTTAGTTAACTTAATTTTCCAAGATTAACTTCACAACCCTTCCTGGCCAAAATGCGACAAGAAGCAGGCAAGTGAAATCTGGTTTGGAGGCTACGATTGAACGACAATTCAACAAAGCCACTCCAAACCAAAATGATTGCTAATTGGAGGAACAAACTGGAACTGCAAACTATGTCTTTCATGGTTATTTCTCCTTTTCTCAACAGATACCCTGTCTTGGTGACTAAAAAACGTTCGCTCGCTACAATTACTGCCCTGTGGGTCGTGGGCATCTTAGAAGGCGTAACACCGAACCTGATCAAAGAAATTATAGGAAAGGAAGGCCACGCACTTTTGGAGCTAGCGTATGGTTGCCCCCGAAGCAGCCTTATTCCACGGGAAGCTCGCATACAACCCATAATGCCTCATTACCTTACTCTCTTGGCAATAGTTATCTTGGTGCCCAGCGGTATCATGCTAGTTTCACATGCGTGGATTTTCATGATCTCCTTTAGACAGTACAGACGAATAAGAACACTAGAGGACGCTTTCTCGCGAAGGCATGTCACTGAATTGCGCGCCGCCAAGACCGTAGCTGTCATCGTGTTTTCAGCGTTGGCTTGTTTCGTACCTGTCCTCGCTGTGACTCTCATCACAACATTTGAGCCGCCCAGCGGTAACTCACTGAACGCTGGTGAAAGGATTGTTAAGTTCAGACTCTTTCCAAGTCTAAAAATTCTGTACTTATTAGCAATAAGTTTGAACCCGTTAATTTACGCTTTAAAAAGTGAGCCTTTCAGGCAAGCAATCAAGAGGACAATTCGACCATGTTGTGCAATCTGTCGCCCAAACCCTCCAGGGAACAAGTTCAATAAAGAGCTTGCTGTTCGAAATTAGCTTCCAGTCTTCCAAAACAATAGGCGAATGAGGTCTAGTCAGTTAGAAACCAAATATCTCACAAAGTCAGTAAGTAACTTTTTTTTAAGGGGGGGGGGGGGGTGGTAAAATTTAAATTGACCTAAAGAACATACAGTGGGAAAACTATTTAAAATAAAATGACGAGGAACGATTTTAGATAAGAGGCATTTTTAGAGATGAGTCTGAGAGCTTCGTATCTCCAGTTATCGGTGGGTGCAAAAGCATTCCTTAGGGTAGAAAACTTATGTTTATACCAGGTTATGGGAATCATAAAACAAGATATTTATGTATGCAATGCGTATCTAGAGTTAGTTATGACTCAACTTGTACAGAGAAGTCACCATGTTACTGAGTGTAAATCAAACAATGTCATTTCATGTAGTTTAGTCGTAGTTTCATCGATTTGTTATAATTTAATAAAGCCGCATAAACCAATCATAAATGTGTACATGAAAATTAGCTCAATGGCCAGTAAACAAACTTACTATTTCTTTCATTGTATGGAGGTGAGGTGAAGAAAACAGGAAGTGGACATAAGGGAGAACATGTCTAAAACAACAAGCTAGAAATTTCAGATTCATCGATGTTTGTCACCAAGTCTTTAAACCTTGTTACGATCAGGTATCTGAGATGAGAGTACATTTCTTAAAGAAAGAAAATTCATATTGCATATGTGCCAAGTGGCCCATATACTAAGGGGGCTTATTTTCAGTTTCCATAGAAACAAAACATACTAAGATGGCATGCCAGTGCCCCACCCTAACCATACTCGTCCCCTTGCGTGTCAAATCCCAAATTAGTGAAACGAGGTTTGGTAAAACCTGGCCTTGAGTAGAAAGAAGCAAGGTGAGAAAAGTGTCTTGCTTCAAGTACTACACAATGATCCTTGCCACACTTAATTGTCAAAATAGGGCCTTTTGAATCCAGCTGTGCACGAACCATTGTATTACTTGGATACTGTACAAAAAGCAAAATAATCAAGAACAAAACCAAAACCACAAAAAAGGGAGAAGTGGCCATTATTTTGCTTTCCCATACTAAAAGTCCCCTGGAATGACTGGGCATCAAACACAAGCTTGTGAATCAAACCACTATGCAAATCTTTCATGTCACTTTGAGAATAAGCCTCAGGAAAGAATATTTCCCTCCATACCCTGCTTCCTTCACACTCCAAAGTAAACCGATACTTTTTGAAGGTAAAAAGCTTTTCCAATTTTTATTTTCTTTTGCTTTGCTTGCCATGTCTACCACCAAATGGATATGGCTTGACTCTTTTACTGTCCATGGCAATGCTCAATATGCCCATATGCCAGTTTGAAAAGAGAACATAGGTAAGACTTTGATCGGAATGATTTAATGTCTTTCCTAGGCTGTAAAATAGTAAAATACGATACAATACAATACAATTCAACAACATTTCTTGACCTCTGATCAATATTATGAAACATCACGTGTCTGAAATAATCCACTAATGAAAAAAAGGCTCTTATATCTCCAGTCCTGCTTACTTTGATCAAGGTTGTTTGGCCTTCATGTTTGACACAGGTCTTGGAAGGATTTCAGTTAAAATGTTGAAGTTCTGTTTATAAAAAAGCAAAAGTGTAGGTAAACCTTTTATCAATAGATACCAAGTTTGAAAGACCTGAGTGGGGTAGTTTTAAGGTCGATTAGTACGTGCACACCTTAATCATAAAAGTGATCTATGAATTGAAATACATGTAATAATGTTCATGATGATGCTGCGACAGCCTAAATGGAGGGTATCAGTGCCCAGTGACAAGCTTCTGACAATCACAGTTGCCAAAACCTTCTCTCCTATCGTTCCTTAAATAATCATTCTGCATGACAAGCTGAAACGCGCTGATCAGACTATGCAGTTACAGACCATGTAGCTTTAAGTTACAAACATTTTTCATAGTTAATTACATACCACAAGAGCAAGATAGAACATTCCCAGATATGATGCAATGCCAAGTGCTAGAAACAAATCAAAGACGGCTGGCTTCACCCTGGAAAAAAAAAAAACAAAAACAAAAAAACATACAAATTCCACAAGCTGCATTTATAAAAACACATGTGACATGTAAATCCAATTGACTTAGTCAAAATGCAGCAATTCCTTAAACAAAATTAAATGAGAAAACACCATTTTTAAATAATAAAATTCAGAAAGTTCTACTCTAGTGGAACAAAACTTCTGAAGTAATTGTTTCAACCTTATTTGGAGTGCAATGTAGTTGTCATGTTTTAAACCCACAAGAAAACCACCAATCAACTTTTTCAATAAATATTTCCTCAAGAAGTTTTTTTCCCATAAAAGATCTTTCATAGATATGCATTGGGTAAATCAACACTGCACAAGGACTATCTTTCAATTCCCATTTCTTACCTGTACGCAAACATCGTTGCATCAGGCCGGTCATAAAAGACAAACTCGGGGTCCCTAAAAACATGCACATAAATCAATATAAATAAAACTGGTTTAGAAAGTCTTAAATGTTTGAGAGATTTCTAAAATGTTACATGTACAGCAAACAAAGAAGTGCAGAAAAGAGAACTGTGACCTCAATCACACATGCATACTGTTGACATGGTAAAAATGGTGAAGTTCTGCACAAAAAAGTTTGGTGTTTCAATCTCAGTATGCAATGTGCAAAAATTTCACATCAAATTTTCATTGACTTTTATAAAGCTTCTCACCTTTTATCAGCTTTTGCTGAGAATCTCTTAACATCTTTGACAAATTTTGAGAAAGTCTGTGAATGTAAGTAAACACATTTCCATTACATGTATACAAATTATATTCAAGGGTTTTATTACAAAATTACACTAATTTACCTACTCTAATCTAATACTACATTTTATAAAAAAGAAACTACATCTGGGACCCAAATTGACCATTTTCCATCTCCTCACCAAAGAGCTTATAGATGACTTTATTTCCCAAGTTGTTTTTGCAAAACAGACAATCAATAGCAAGAGTCAAGATCATTTTTACCTGCTCTAATCCAGTAAGAAATGGATGGTCTTTATGAAAAAGCTGAGCTGCCCGTGCTTGGGATCCAAGATAATCCATCCATGTTTTCACAAAATGTGAATCTACAGCCTGGTGAAATTATGACATGAAATTCATATATTTTGGTTTGAAAAAAAAAAACAAACATACATCAATAATTTTAAAAATCCTATCAGCTTCAGAGCCTAAGGTTGGTGCAAGTACATGTACAACCTAGCTCCAAATCAGGAGAATAACATTACTGATCAAGGAACCATTTATCAAAATAATAAGCTGGTCAAAAAGGTTCTGCAGCAAGTAATAAAAGTGGTGAGCTTGCAACTACATGTAAAGTGTATTTTGTTTTGTACCAAAACAATGAGGATATTTTACCAGGTTTTTGAAACTGAAGCTTAACTGACTTTAAACTTATTGCCAACTCACCATTGAAGCACTGAACACTCTCATATTCTCTGGATAACCCTGCCAAAAAGAATACAAAATGCAACTGTTGAAACTAACCACTCACAGTATATAGCATTATCCTTCCTAAGGCTATGCATGAACATTCAACTTCATTGCCTCAAGAATACAAGTACTCTTGCAAAATGCAGGTAAAAGGTTGGGTCCCCATAATTACTGACCAAAATCCTCTTAAAAAAGATAAATACAAAAAGCATATTTAAACTGGGAAGAAGCAGCAGCTAAGAAACACAAAAAGGATCACTTAAAACAAATAATAGTCACCACTTGCCAAGTTATTGAAAATAAGAGAGCAATGAAACAAAACATTAACTGTTCTTATGCTGTAGTTTTGGTACCAGATCTCTGAACCGCAAGGACTCTGAAATGGCCTTTTGCCACCTAAGAATAAATATGTAAAAGGAAAGAGGCTAAAAAAGCCTGAAAAAATGCTTAGGGGCAGTCTTTAATTAACTCCTAGCCAACCCAAGAAAAATGAATACAATATAACTCCCAGTCCCTCCATGCAACAGAAATTAATATTAACCATGGCAGCTAAATGTACATGTAAAAGTACATGTATGCAAGTGAACCTGGTTCTGTACACAATCCCAACCTTTTTATGATCACAATTTGCCCATTTAGAGCTCACCTTTGTTGTTAAATTAAAAACATGTCTGGCCAGAACTTCAGCAATATACTCTACATTGCGCTCTAATTTCCCATCATTCTCAGAAGATCTGAAAATAAAAAAGGGGAAAGAAGGTCACATGTATGTCAACATTCAAATCGCCAATAAAAGCCAAAGATGACCACAAAATCAAAAGTTTTAAAACGAAAAGTGCTGTCATTATCATACATTATAACGTGTGGTTCTTTTTTGAAAAAAAATATGCATACTGCAAATCAGCATCATCTTACATGTTAAAACTAAATAAATATAAGTATTTATATTTTTGTAATGTACTATTAAAAGTAAAATGTACATGTAATAAGTGAGTATTGTCCTCTATCAGAAGCTCAAAACCTTGAAGCGATCATGTACGTCCAAGAACTGGGGTTTATTAGAGCATGAGACCAGTCAAACAGAATTTACCTCCTAAAAAATAGTTGCTTATCTTCAGTGATTAATGAACATCTAATAAGAGAAACTTTACTGCAGCACTATTTAGGAATACAATATGAAATTGCAGTTTTCAGACTGCAAACTCTACCATAGTTTAGAGAACTGACCCAACTTATAATTACAAAAGGATGTTAACCACAAAGTTATTATTTGAAACACTTTGCACACTTTGTGAGTTCAATTTACGTCTAACTTTATTTTTGTTCTTCAACACTTGAAAACATTATATATTATATATTAAAGTTCACACTGCAACCAGGTGGACAATCAGACATAGTTTGAAGCTACACTGGTTTGCAGATTTAATGAATGTAACCGAAAAAGTTACAATTCATAGACCCAACGTTTCGACACTCCTGTCTAGTGCCTTCATCAGGGGTGATCTAAACGCTGCAACAAGAGGTCCTTTTATATGATCACTAATTAGCGTCAGAAAAAAAGTATTTTACTCTGCTGGCGGGTCAGAGCAGAGCTTAACCCCTAACTTGCAGCCATATTAACATTTCCTCCTAAGTGGAGATGCAATCAGCATTCAACAGGCAAACCATTCATTTCATACAAGGACATAAACAACTCACTTCTTTTGTATGTAAATTAAGAGTTTCCTCCCAAAAAGTTATAATTCTACCTAGTTTTTCAGAAGCTGGAGACAACATGTGATGTTGACAGCTTAAGTAATATAAGCAACTAGTGTCAAATATAAAATACATGTACATGTACGTGTTTTGGTTTATGTGGGCTAATTTTTGTCAGCTAAAACAAAACAAAAAAGGCCAATAAAAAAATACAAACAGAAGACAAGAAAATGATGAAGTAATCTCACCTAACATCAAAGATTGATGACCTTCCTAAAACTTGTGGGTCCTCCAAATGAGATAATGTACCAGCTGGAAGACGCTGTGTGTGCAGAGAAAATCTTTCATGTTCCCATGACAATGTCTCCTCTGCCAAGTTAATTTTCTTGTGGACCATAGTAAAGTTGAGGTCCTTGAATATTTCTTTTGCGACCTAAAAGAGTGATGGAACATAATTCAAATTAATTGATAACTTGATTTAACAATAAATGAGAAAATAAGAGAATTAAGAATTGCTAACATCAGTTAGCATCTACACCTACAGGACAGTACAATTGCTGAGAGGTAGTAATGCAACCGCCCCATCACTATTTTGGTTGCTATGGAATGTGAAAAAAAAAAATCAAGTGACAAATTTTGAAGCAAATGCTACCAACTGGCACCTCTGCATTAAGTGGTTATGTAGCAACATGATGAAGTGTTGTTTTTTGTCTACAGCTTGACTGAGATAAACATTTGCACAAAATATCATAGTTATTGTGGTTACAATTATTTTTACCTTTTTATTGCAATCTTTTTACAACGTTAGCTGTTAAATACATTGGAGCCCTGAGTAGTAATATTCATCAGAATAAGTAGGAAATTGACTTACCATTTTAAATTCCTGTTGGATTGAAGAATAAGATATTTAAGTTAATGAAAAGTGTCTTAACTCACAAAAAGTAAGGCCTACATGTAGATATACAATTATAGAGCTGATGATGACTTTCTGCAGTGGAGTTCATTCAATCTGAAACTTTGGACGTATTCTGGGTGTTGTCTTAGTCCAATTCATCATGGTTGTTGACTCTGAGTAACTTTTACCTCACAAGTCAAATCATTTGAACTGGTTTTCAGATGGTTTGATAAGATAGAAATTTGCTATAGTCTGCATGGCTATTATAGTCATCCTTGTTTTCCTGACAGCTTCTTCAAACACTTTCAGTTTGTATTTGACTCACCCTGAAGGCTCATCAAAATGCGGTATGACTCAAAAGTGCTCAGCAATACTACACACCAACAAGTGTAATAAGATATATTGAACTCACCTCTACTAAAGAAAATGCAGGAGTTCCTTCTTTAGGAGGTTTGGAAACATGTAAAAACATATGATCTGTCTTCCCAATGCTATCCAGACATAACACATAGTCCACATCACTGAGTACACTTGTTTCTGTTGGGACATGCAAATCAACAACTCATGAAACAATGGTCCAAAAGAAGTTCAGTAGTGCCAGAAATTGATGATTTGATCCTTGGAACCTAAAAGTGATAAGTGTTTAATATCTCCTCACAATATCACCCTTGATTCACACATTTAAGTCACCAGAATAAAGGAAATGACCACTAACTAAAGAAACTCTTGATTGTTAAAAAAATTTTCCTAATCAGCTCCTTAGGATATATGGTGAACAAGATGGAGAATACCAATACTAATGGTAGGGTGAGAAGGGTAAATTCTTGATACGTTAAGTGCATACAGTTCAATTCTGATTTTTTGAACACTCAATTTTCTTTTCACCACGCTTGACCCTTGTGTACACATATCTACAAGTACCTACCTGGGTTATCCAGATTGTCTTCAAGCCATCTTTTTGTCCCTTGATAATTGAATTTTCCTCCACCAGACAGAAAGAACACCAAATTATATCTTTATAATGTTAAGAAAATTTACATTATCAGGTAAACCAGTAGGTTAGAAGACTTGTTTCTACATCCAACTATCAAACAGTAAGTGTGCTACTTCAAAAGAGTATTCAGTAATTAAAAGGACACCTTGCTTGCATTCTAGGATCTGCATACAATCTGAAAAAATCACAGAGAATGCATCAAAGTTTACCCAACAAATGGAAATTTTATTGATTGCTGTTGTTTGAAATGTTCTAGCATCCTGTTGTCTGAATTTAAAATTTTTGCTGCAGGCTTTACTTTCTCTTCTACTTGAGGCATGTAAAAATCAGCCCAAAAAAGTTTTTGTTTTACATACATGTACAACTGTAGCCATTATGAGGTTTTATTACATATTTGAGGCACAGACTGTACATGTCTGAAGATGTACAATAAGTTAAATTTCATCAGCATTTGGTAGCAAGTGTGAAAGTCAATTCCTCAAATTCAGTCTTCAAAGCTGTATCATGATGCTGTGTGTTTTGCAATGAAAGGATGTGCCATGTTGCATCCTGTTATTTTGATATTTTTTAAATGAAGTAAAGTATGAATCAAATTTCTTACTAACCTTGAAAACAATCTTGCCAATTCCAAAAGAGCCACAACTCCACTACCATTATCATCTGATCCAAAAGAAATACTCTAAAAAGAAAAGAGATTATATAAACACGAGATAAAATATTACATACATTTTAAAATATTGCATACAATTGTTCATGCACTAACTATCATTGCACTTCAGATTTCATCAATTATTGGTTTAAAAACACCTATTATTATAATATTAATCGTTTCCTTTCTACCAGCATACAAAGTATCACCTTGATACAAAAACTCAGGACTCACAAATCCTTACTAGGGTCATTCCTCTGAACAGCTACATGTAAACTATAAAGTTTAAGAGCAAGTCTTAACATTCACTGCGAGTTAACAATTGCCTTACCGGTGCTATGCCAAAGGCATCATAGTGAGCTACAACAGCAATAGTGGGTAGTTGTTCATCAATTCCCATTCCTGACAACTTCCCCTAAAATCAACACCAGAAAAAAAACTCACAAAACTACGCATGAATCTCCTGCTGCTAGAGGCTAGAGCAGCAGACTAAAATGAGCAAGTTAATGGTTTAAAAGTCAGTTTAAAAGTTCATGTAAATCTTGTCTACTCAAATCAAAATAAAATCACCTTTAAATAGAAATCAAATCATAGTGTGTTCTAACAAAATAAATGCACTCCATTTATAAAAAATGTTCAAAATGTTGCAAAGTTCTCTTCCACTCAAGGCAATTCATCTGCACAAGAGTGGCTTTTAACAAAGCTTTTGTTCTCCTTTCCCCTCTCGGCTCAGATAAGGCATGGTATATAACCAAACTGAGTGCGATTCATGGAGAAAGGATTTTCAAATCAAAAAAATATTGATAATTTTTTCAATCCAGAGTCCACTCAAAATTTGTTTTTCAAAAACATTTTCTCCAAATTTGAGTTGTAAAAATCTGTTTGTAGCTGTGAGTATAGCTTATACACTGGTATATACAGTAATTATGTATTAAACAGTAAATCAAACATTATTCTGAATGATACCTGTAAACTTGTAATAGCTGCATCTTTAATCTGTTTGGCTTCTCCAACATTCACGACCATTTGGTATCCACTAGCTGATGCAACTCCAAGTAAAGCTAAAATCACATAGTCAAGAAATATCAACTAACATGTAAATTGTTGGTAAAAACTCAAGGACTACCAAAATCATTGCTCTCTAAACTTGATCATACAGTAGCTACATGTATAAAAATGTAATACAGCTCAGTTATGGGTACATTAGGAATTCACCTTAATGTTTCACCAGTAATAAAAGGGTCTACAAGTATTAGTTAAGACTGATAAGGCCTGGGTGTCCCCAGAACCAATGAGCTGGACTTTGGGCTCAAGCCCTTGTTGTGTCCTCGAACAAGACACTTTAACTTTCACAGTACCTCTCTCTATCCAGGAGTACAAAATGCTAGCAGCAAAAAGTCTGAGAAACTGAGAAAGATGTTGTTTGTCTTGCCAAAGAGTCTCTATGGAGAATTAAACCCCTTGAATATTGACAGAATGCTACATACTTCTTATTCCAGGCTCCTGAAAACTATTGTAGCTTGGAAGGACTAACCTTCTGACTCATTGGCTACAAGTGGTTTTGTCTTTTTACCAACAACTCTTATTCTGCATCTTTTGCCTTTCCTTACCTGATCTAAAAATACAGAATTTGTTACATACCTTCAAATGCTGAACCAGCCTGGTCACTGGTCACAGCTGTTTTGATATCATCATAAATTTTTGATAACTCTTTGTCTTCATAAGCAAAATATACAGCCACTGGAACTTCAACAGTCAGAAGATCTCTCTCCAGTTGCTGCCACTCCTAAGAAAAAAGGGGAATGTTCAAAATACATGCAGGTTACTCTGTTCAACATTTTGAGGGCATCAGCAACTCTACATGTCCGACATACATGTACATGCACTCTTAAAAAAATTTGACCTGCATAAAATTTCCAGGGGTATACATATACATACAGTGTACATAAATTGTTTAAATAGCTCTTAGTTCTCTATATACTATGAAGGTAACTTAGACAACTTTCTTAGATAACTTCATTAAGAAACTGAAATGATTTTAAACACTTCACTGCTCAAAAAGGAATTCAGAGTCAACTCCTTTTCCTTGAACAAGTATATTTGCATGTCTGAAATAACCACAAAAATGAAATTTTGCAGTCTCCTTTCACCTAAACTTGTAAAGTAATAAACTGCCAATTACTGGCTATTGTTTATCTATCTCCTCTTGCCTCATATTCTTGGAGAAAAAAAAACCTTGAAACATTGCATAGAATTGATTTAAATTTCAAACAAAGAACAAATCATCAGGCACATGTTGAATACTTCTTTAACAAAATGGACAGAAACAATAACCTCAGTGAAAAGCCATCCAATTAAGAGTATTACTAAGCATCAATACTATGCTCAGCATAGTACTGCGAGAATGAAAATGGAATTCAGAAGGAGTCAAGTTAGTTTGCCAAGATGTTCTTCCTGACTCCATCTTAGAGGGTAGTTAAGAAGCAGATTTTAACAGCAAAGCAGGCCATCAATTAAACTCTTTTATAAGAATTTCTACCTCCAACTGTTCAAGGGAAGCCACAGATGTATTTTTTGGGAGCAGAATCAGTACTGCCCCTGCCCCAAGGGTTTGTACAGCATCCTTAAATTTATCAATGGTGAGATCTGATAGCCTTGTTACCACACAGCGTCTTGTCAACATATCAGAGGTCAGGGGTCGTGCTTCCATGTTTACCAGTGAGCTGCGAGATCCTATGATGTAAAAAAGTTCATAAGTTTTGTCTACCCTTTACTCATTTGATATAATTTTTCTCCTTTTTCATGAATAGAGAGTACACTGTGTGACCTGTAATTAATTACCTACAAGTAGAAATAGTCTCATAAGTAATGTTTCTTTTGTTCCAGCCTTCTATGAAGATTAATATTTCAGGAACAAATGAACACTGATATGGTGCTTCACAAAGGCACATCCTCTTTCCACAGAGATAATCCCAACCCTACCATCTGAATACACAAAAGATTGCTCACAAGCACAATCCTTCTACCCCTTATGGTGCTAGAACTCCATTTATTTTTCTGATGAAAATCTCTCCAACCCATCACAAAAAAAAAATCCTCATTTAGTATCAACACAACGACAGACATGTAAGTGAAGTTGGTGGTCTTTTCTACTAAAATCTATGTTAAAAGATTGACAATTATTTTAATTAGAAACTGAAGTGAATCATATGACCTTGTTAATGATTTGCTCGGGTCGTATGGACCATAAAATTGTCGTCCAAATACTGAAAATGGGGAGAACTCTATGTACTCACCGTAAAAAAATATATAATACTGTCACATAAGAAATTTTTGTACTAAATTTATTTGAGATTTTCATCGAGAAAGCGTGAAACAGGGAGTGTGCATCATGTACATGCATACGGTAAATGGGACCGTTGAAGAATACTCTGTGAATAAATCCACGAATGTTCTTCTATTGTATTGCTTTAGGATGAAAGATTCAGCATTATTTTTGTATTAATGATTTATTCATCGGTGAAGACTTACCGCTTTGAGTTTGGTGAAGGTCAAATTGTTGCATTCTGAATACTGGAAACTCGTGCGCGGCCATAACAGGTGAAGCGGGGCCACTCAGTAGAACTATTGGTACCACAAACAGAACTGATATGGAAACAGGAAAGTTCCTGAATAGCTCCAGAAAATCAGGTACGTTCTCCCACATTTTTATCACGAGATATTCGCGAAAACAAACTACTGAAGTATATTGCTGCCCGAAGTATTCGACAAAACCCGCTCACGAAATCTCAGACGCTTCTTAAACGAACACGTGGTGTTACATGTAAGCGGTTATCTCACCAGACCCAGACTCCTGAAGTTAACGGTTACTTGTTAAATTGTCAAGAGATTGGGAGCTAAACAAATAACAACCCTCTTGTGTGCTCTGTCCTAGTGTTAAATACTTAGGAAATAGCATGAGCACGAAGAAGCGTAGGGTAAAACTCCAGATGTAGCAAATCTTTCAAAACTTAATGCCATGGTAACATCACAGTGGCTAGTTATGGCCTCCATGTAATCATGAGAGGCAGCTTGTGGTGATCCTAGGGGAGGGCCCAGGGGCTCCACCACTCCCCCCATCAGGGTTTTTTTTTTCACTATTTGACTGACACCAAAATTCTGGCAGCATCAGGATCTCTTGTAACTACACAAAATGAACTACTTAGAGTGTATTATTTTGAGAGTATTTCTTAGCTTGTCTAGCTGTAGTTAACAAATAAAACATTTGTGTTTTCTGCATCAAACTTCAGGTCCCTCCTTATTGAAATGAATTCCTAGATCTACATGTACCCCTGAGAAAGACGACAGGCCCTGCGATCAAGGTGAAGTCCACCTTCACTGTGAGTTTGTCAGAACCACAGGGTTTAAATATCATTGAAAAGCTACAGAAAAAGTAAGAAATTCATTTCCCCAAAACTGACACAATTAAGCTGGCCAAACTTTTTTCAGTATCTTAAAGCAAGCTGTTTCAACTAATCAGACCATATTCCATCTTGCAACATTGTAAAGGAAGTTTTCTGAAATACTGGACATTTTCCAGGGTTTAATATAATTACACGAAAATTTACAAAATGGGGGAATGTTCCATGAAAATGCACCCTAGGTTCCTGATAATCATTCCTAATAACTGCCAACATTCTCTACTAATATAAGATGGTTGACCATAGAAATTATATATTGCAAGTTGGAACCACAAGTCCAACTGTGAAAATCAACTCGGAGCACAGTACTAAATAATGGAAAAATGGAAAGGTCAACTGAACACACTATGCCTTATCTATCCACAGTGACTATATAACAGCCTGAGGACAATTTCCACCGACATGTATGCACCAGGCAAAATATAACATAGATATTAAACCTTATGTGTGGATGTTTGAACAATTTCAAAATCACTAACAAACAAAGAGGAACAAAGCTTAATAAGCAAGATTTATATTCATTCACTACAGAAGGAGAATCCTATGAGCAAGAGTAGACAAATAAAAATAAATAGACAAAGGAAAATGTACAACAAACTGAATCATGACAAATAAGTTATTTTGCATTTTGTTTTACAAAGCACAACATATGCAAACAAGTTTCAAACAGCCAGGCTGTAGTATCAACTATCACTAACTTTTTATCATTGCATCATTTCTCACTGTTATGAGCACAAACTATTCCAGATGGTAAATGATTATCATAACTAATTCTAAATGCACCACATGATTCTTATTATGGTTTTGTTCTCTTCAGTCTGCTGTTTAATTCTGCAACCTGTGCTTCCACTCTGTCAGGTAACTCAGGGTCTGAAAAGTATTCTAAGAAAAGGAAAAAATAGTACAGTGTAATTATTTGACACCATCTGAAAATGTTGATAAAGTGTTGTTTTAAGTATGGCATCACCAGGAAAAAGAGCAAAAAATTTTGAAACGTATAATTTCTTGTTCTTCTCTCTAGTGAAGCCATTTAAGTACAGCAATTCCTTGCTTGCTTGGGTAATTATGGGGCAATCCACTCAGGATGTATAAATCTCATAAATTGAAAGTACAGACAAAATAAAACCATTCCATAAGGCTTCTATTTTTTTGCACATACATACAGTAACCAACCAAATAGTGCCCTCTCTCTGCAAGACATTCTCACAGTAAATACTGTGCATCAACTCAATGGAAACAAAGGCCTGCTAATGGATCTATTCCAAAATCATTTTCAACATGCGAGTAGCATTCATGGATACAACACCAGATAATTATGCTTCCAAACAAACTTTGTATAAACCTAAAGTATGTATTAATTCTGGAAAATAAACAACTGCCAATACAACAACTAATCTCTAGGACAAAATCCCAGTAGTACAAGTACATGTACAAGCTATGTGTTCAGGAACTTACTTGAAGCAAATTCTCTGACATTCTCAGGTCTTTTTTGCAAGATACTCCTACAAATCAAAATCAGTAAAAATCAGTGGAGCAAAATGACTTATCAGAAATTAGTATAGGTAATAGCATGATTTCAAGTGCAATTTGGTGTTAATAAGCATGAATAAATTTTTCAAAGGCAACAAAATGGCATGAGCCGGTTGGGCAAGTGTAATTTGTATTATTTGAAAAATTTACAAGTGCTTTCTACACCAAATTGCAAGAGAAATCATGTTAGTACTTGTTTAAAATTTACATCAAAAAACATTGCAGAAAGTCAAGACAGACAAAATTTTGAAAGCGTTCACGTACATTTTGTAATTTTGCTCTAGCATTACAACTTTACATTTGTGTTACAACTTTGCTCTTGTATTACATGAGAATGCACTTGTTTTCAGCCAATCAGAAGTGCATAATTTTTTCATCTACATTATTATATACTAAACAATTATTAGTCAGATCAATTAATGAGAAAGCACTGAGCTAAACTTTTTAACAGACATAAACCCTTACTTCCCAGATCTCATACTTCCTGCAACACAATTCTTTTGGTGCTACTTCAGAGAATTTGGTATTGGATCAACTACTAATCCCCTAATTGATAGTTTTCTTTATTCTCATCTCATGTCTGCTTGATATTGTATTGATATTGTGAGGAGAAACTCTGTCTTGGTCATATAACATGTGATACAAAGTTGCATTTCAGTGAATGTTCATTTAAAACAAGATAGCTGAATGTTGGGAAAAAATCAGACAGTCTACATTTCAGGCTACAGAAAAAACAAAATTTATAATTTTGAGCAGTTTGAAAGATTTAAAACCAAAAACACTAAAGGTTTTAGTGAACACATAAGCTCATGTTGTGTATGCGTAAGTGTCAAGCAGTAGTTCTTCCAAGTGGAATGAGGACGCTTCTTTTTTATGAATATCTCCAATTAATTTAATGGATACTCACCCTAAAAATCCAGTAAGAAGACAAGATACCTCTGGATGTTCTCGCAAATATCTTTCATTTTCAAATCTTGTTTTTATCTGGTCATGAACAAAAAATAATGATATGATTTTAAAATTATAGTTACACCTGACCATCTCCGTTTATTTTCTTCTCATCTCAAACGAAAAGTTACCTTAAACTCGTTAAGTTTTTGTTGTTGTTCTGGCGTCAATGCTCCAACGTCATTTTGTTCCATTCCATTTATTCCAAACATCTTTTTCTCCTCCATTTTTCGAATGTTGCCTTTTCAATCTTGTGTTTGCTTTTCACTTCGCACCAGTTCTCCCGTTATCAAACGACGTTTTTACATCGATCCTTGACATTTATCACAAGTGTTCCTGTTTACTCATAAAAATGTCGCTGGAAGGGAAACTAATCCATATCTGAAGATTTGTGTCAGTTGTTTGGATAATTCCTTCACGTACAAATACATGCACTCTGAATTAGTTGCTTAGGAACCGCGTCAAACATGATTATTCCTTTCTTGGGGGTGGGGTTAGGATCTTGTTTGCTTTATTGTTCAGGAAAAAACACCTCCGTGTTTCTTCATGCTTTTCTCTACAAATTGTTTCCTGCCATAGGAAATAAGCAAGGGTTGCAACGAGCATTATTTTCCCCTAATAATGAATCTGGAGTTTCGATAGGAATTCCTGCAGGGTCTCACACGGGATACGGGCTAAGTCCCCGCGCGATCTCGAGATGGCCCCGAGCGGGATCTATTCTTAGCGCGACTAGGACGGAAAAATGTCCCTACGATATTTACGTACAAGCTTTTCAAAGCGATAAAGTGTTAAAATTTTCATATCAAAGCATTACATCGCAAGATAAGTTTTTGCGAATGAGTATCTTTTGTTGGCAATAAAAAAAAATCTACAAAATAAAGTTTTTTAAATTTTGGGGGTGCGTCGGTTTTGCTTCTCTTTGTGATAGCTCTCCGGAACTGTACCAGAAAAACTTTTATGGTAAACAAATGGTTAAATTTAGTCCATTTTTACGCCTAATGGCTGATTTTTTGCCCTTTCACGGCTAAAATTTAACTCCACTGAGATCCTCAACTGACCAATATAAACTTCCCATAACTTAATTCGCTCACTAAACAGAATATCAAAATATCTGCGTTACGACGATTTAGCAGATATTTGTTTACTGCACGTTCTGAATGGCATTTTATGTTAATCAGTGAGTGTTTCGGTATGTTTCTTACTAGTTAAAATATTTGAATAGCGCTATAACAGGTAAAAGTTTTCACCGATAGTCAGAGTGCTGCCAAAATAGTGTCCATAGGTAGATCTAAAGCTCACCCTCAGTCGGTTGCATTATCTGCATTTCAGTTTTGTTTTGCACGGGATATATCCCTCAAGTCGCAGTGGATCCCCAGATCGCTGAATGAGAAAGCTGGTCAGCTCAGTAGGTTTGTCGATAAAGATGATTGGTCTCTGAATCCATCTGTTTTTCAGTTAGTGGATGCCAAGCCATGAGTGGGGTCTATTACAATGCTCAGCTCCCGAGATTTAACTCGAAGTTCGCTTCCCCTCGTTCCAGTGGGGTAAACCCCTTGGTGCAAGACAGGAGCGGTGAGGGCAACTGGATTTTTCCCCCAGTCAGCCTCGATTCCTTCCGTCATCTGATGTCACGTGCTAATCGCGGAACCTTGATCATTCCAGAATGGCCCTCGTCGTATTTTTGGCCTTTTCTACACCAGGGATGTCAGTTTAAGCCGTTCGTGGTAGAAGTTTTTGCCCTCCCGGCGATAAGCAACCTTCTACTAGAAGGGCCAGGATAGAAGCAAATTTATAAATCACGTGCTTCAGTCTTTCGCTGCTGCCCAAAATTCATGTTAGCTTTACGCTTAGATTTTCGGTGAGTTTTCTTTTCTGTATCCGCGTAGCATGTGAGCGAGCTTTAATTGGCTTGCATAGTTTATTATTTGAATTTTTTGATGCGTGTGTTTGTGCTTACTTGGTCCGTGTTTTTGGCCTGAGTTGGCCCATATTTTTGGTCTGATTTGGCTTATGTTTTTGGCCTAATCTGGTCCATGTTTAGGCCTGATTTGGCCATATGCGTGGCTTGATTTGGCAGGTGATTTTGGCCTTAATTGGCTCATATGTTTGGCCTGATTTGGCCCGTGTTTTTGGCATGATCTGGCCTATGTGTTTGGCCTGATTTGGCCCGTAGTTGTTACCTGGTTTGGCCCATGATTTTGGCCTGATTTGGCCTGTGTTTTTGGCCTGATCTGGCCCATGTGTTTGGCCATATTTGGCCCGTAGTTGTGGCCTGATTTGGCACATGTGTCGTGGTCTGATTTCGCCCGTGTTTTTGGCCTGATTTGGCCTAAGATCAATCTGGCGTGATGTCAGCGACTTTGCTAGCTTACCTGGCATGTTTTGTGAGCGCTGTTAGGGGATTTTTTTCCCTTGCGTTGCGTTTTATTGTGACAGGATTTTCTTTTAATTAAGCGCGTTTTTTTTCTAAATGTTTGATCTGCTACATGTATTAGTTATTATAATTCGGTTTTAATACCAATAACCTGTTCAAATTAAATGGTTTTGACATGACTCCTTGTTTTTGTTTCAGACGTTCTTCTTTCCAGGATCTGGCATGAAGCATCCGAATTGCCGGACCAATCACTACTTCGTTTGGTTCCAGGCCTTCTACATATGCAGCCAAGATCGAGGGCTCTTTCCACTGTGACTATGTATAAGTCAGGCTAGTTAAGATGGCGGAAGTGGGCTTCTTCCTGAAGATTGGTATACCTTTAATTCCGGCCAAGCCCTTGCACATCGCCTTGTTCATCACTGAGCTTACGAAAATTTGTGTGGAAAACAATATGGGTGTGTCACCCATTGAAGCTGCGTTCTATCTTATTAGAAAGTGTCATACTATGGACGGGATGGAATCGTTTCCCTGACTGGTTATCAACTCGTGAAGTCACCTGTCGAAGGAGCGAAAAGGAAGCTGGCTCGTCCAGTGCAGCCTAAAAAGCTTTTGTCCGCTCATACAGTGCAAGCAATTGCCGAAGTTTCGGTTTCGAGTAATCCTCTCTCTTACGTCCGCTTTTTATTTATTTTGCTGGACAGTTTAAGCCTTAAAGACGTTGCTATCAAGGGTGATCACATGACAATTTATGTTGCTAAGCGCAAAAATGACTAATACCGAGAAGGTCATACTTCCGATCTTGCTAAATCAGCGAAGTCTCCTTGTCCGGTTGCCATAACCCAAAAATTAATTAAGCTCTTGCCGCAGTCAAGCGATTCAGAATATCGGCTTGTTCCTCGTATGGTTAAGGGTAAGTCTCGCGAGTATTTCCACTCTAGCAAAAGGGTTTCCGTAAATACGCTGAGATATGATTTTAAAAAGTACATAGAACCTTTCGTGGACGACGTTTCCAAGTTCGGTATGCATAGTATTAAGTCTGGTGCCGCGTTCAACTCCGCTTATAGGTGTATTCCAGGTGACCTATTGGATATACACACGGGATGGAAGCGCCCTTCTTTAAAGAGTAGATATATTAAGCACACAGTTGATGAGCGTTTAAGTGCGTCAAAAGCACTTTTGCTGAAATTTAGTTGTTCACGTATTTTATTGTTCTTAGCGCTACTTAGTCGTAGTGTGTTAATACAGTGTATATTTAACGTAGTAGTCATATCGGGGGACGTGAGTTGTGTCTGGCCCGTCTCAGATTTCCTTCCTTTTTTCCCTTAGAGGTTTTTTAGGACAGGATTTTTCAAGCCACCCTAGCACGCTTGCAAAATGATTTTATCAATTCTTTATTTGAATTTGCATTATATATTGCTGATTAAAGTGCGGATATATGGCGTTTATTATATCGGGAAGATTCATTTTTTAGCTAAAAACAAAGAGTAACAATTGACCGAGCAATGATGCATTTGATTCATGCATTCCCGAAATCATTTGGTACTAAATAAATCTCGAATAAATTAAGAAAATACATATTTTTAAGGAAAACACTCTAAGAAGCAGATGTTTCACCAGGTTTTGATTTTTGCGTTATATTAATTTTTCAGTTGCCCTCTCCTTCATTTGACCAAAACAATTAAACTTTAATGCTTTTTGACTTGAAGTCGTTCAATTCTTTTGAAACTTGATGTTGCTCCTCGTTAAAGAAGCTTGGCCGAGGGCCATGATGCTCCTGTACGATCCAAAGGTAGTCTTGCATTACAGGCCGGACGTTTTCGTGTGTGTTCTCCCAGCTCCAGTACAAATGGGTCTTGTTGATTGCCTGTAGGTGACCATAGCTGAAGAGAGAAGACAACGACGACATTATATTAGTACAGCTGGTTTAATCTGCTCAGTAGACCATGAGATAATAGGATTTTTGAGCAAGCGCAGAGCTACCATAATTAAAAAAAATATATATATACATCATCGATAAATTTAAGTGGCCCTGAATGTAATTCACAAAGGGTTAGGAACTTTGCAAGGAGAAGAATCTTCATATGCTGATTAACATGCTACAGGAAAAAAGTCCCCCCTTCCCCATTTATTCGCACATCAAGCTGTTCCTGAAATTCTGGAGCATTGTGCTTGCCCGTCATAACAACTAAAATTTAAGTTTTATGATACTTAGTCAAAAAGCACCCGAGTAAATTAATCATCCCAGTTCTGTCACAGGATCATTGTAAGACGAGGGTCTCAATTTTGGCCAGTTTACGGCTAAAGGTTAATACTTTCCACTGCGGTCAACAGAAAGATTTTTTACGTTTAACTACTTTTTCACGACTAACAGTTAAAACTTGACAAATTTTTACGTCTAACAGTTAAATCTTGCGGCCGTTTTACAGTTAACAGTTAACCCCATTGAGACGAACTTGGTACTGAAACATGAGAATTTCACACTTTCCCCTCCCTGCCGCCTTCAATAGTCCCCTTCCTCTGGACGAGAATACTACTAACCCATAATCTTCGATGTATTTTGCCAGATCTTTTGGGGGAGCTGTACCACCGGACAGCTTTTCCCTTGAACCCGCAGATCCGGCCACAATGATCGTTATGTAATCAGGGTTAGTATATACATGTTCTTCTGTTTGATTATCCACTTTACCGCCGTAAGCTGGAATCAACAATTAAATTCTGTTAGAAAAAGAAAATATTCCTGACCATGGTAAATTCGCAAGGAAAGGTCTCTGCTTTGGCGTTTGAATGATCTGGCAAAATACATCCATCTGACCTCTGGCAGGAACCACAAAGGAGGCGTGAAGGGGGAGGGGGGGGGAAATGAAGGTTAAGCTCTCTCACACACAAATTATATTCGAAAAAAAACAGTTTTTCTATCGCTCTACTAGAACATTGCTAATTTATTAGACGCGCAGGTGGTACTAATCGTTCAAAAATGACAGGGTGGTGCGAAAGAGGCAAAACTTTTAGAAACAAAAAGTTTCCGACCGAAACCCGAAAATTCTATCCTCCGCATAGCAACGACTTAAATTGCTGTCATTCGATAGAAGATTTTGTGAATGAATTAAACGACCGAAATGGATCATGATAGTATAATTCACATCACAAAAAAAAAACCGTAAATCGTAAATTTTAAATTGGAGAGAGTACAACCCTTTTTTGAGTTACATCTCAAATATTCCACCTTTCCGGTCCAGCGACAAACTTCCAATCACTGATATACATATCATTGTGTCATGTATCCACAAGGATTCGTGATCGATGTTCTAGTTATACAAGTTCCACTCCCCAGCCTATCCATGACGATCCTAAAAATATGCCTCCCTACCGACCTACCCATAGTCGTAGATGTATTTTGCCGACATTCTGTCAGGCGCACGAGTCCAGTTGGAGAGTTTTTCGTGAGATCCAGCAGATCCCGCGACAATGACTGTCTTGAACTTAGGATTTACATAAACATGATTGTCTGTTGGATACTCCACACTGTCGTTGTAAGCTGTTTCAGAACAACAATATTGTTAATGGAGAAATCGTCTGAAATCGCTTCACGGAAAACTGAAAATTACGCATCTATGGACTGGAGTAGAACCTTCTCAGACGTAAGTTATACCTGCCAACCCTCACACACGTGATTTTCATGCGAATGTCACGTGAGTCTCACGCGTGCTAATCGAAAACATCGATCTCAAACATATACAGAACTACCATTTGAGCCTAACTCACGAGTTTCGACTCCTTTTTCACATCAAATGTTTACAAGTCATCTCCAAGTTTAAAAACTTCAGATGTTATTGATATTTTGGTGGCCAGTTTTCCTCATTTACCTCTTTCACAATTTTATTCCAAACAAAATGTCACCACAACTCTTAGGAAAATGTTCGGAAGTCGTGTGAAAATTTCAAAATCCCATGTAATATGACTGAAAAACTTCCTGTATTATGTAAACCAACCATAGCATATTGCAATTCCTGAGTTTTGACTGGTTTACAAGGCATGGGCTTCGAGAGAGTTGACAGGTATTCTAGTAAGAAAAGTGTTTTATTAGTCTTAATTTTCCTAGAAGTGTCCCTTGTCACATTTTCATCAATTCAGTTCGATTCCTTTCCGATATGCAAATTGTAGTAACTTAGATTTTTTGTGTCATATGTCAAAGGAAATAACACCTCTTAATGCTGTTTTCTTGTTTGTTTTGTTGTTTGGTTTTTTCAATCGAGACACTCACGAACCATGAAAAGAATCTTACACGGTCACTTACTTGGGTAGAGCCGCTGATAGTTGTGTGCGTGGCCGCATAGATGTAAGTCCACACCATACTTATGTAAAAGTGGACCAAAAACAGAAAAATCCGTCTTCTCCATGAACCATGACTGGGGAATAATATGGAACAAAATGGGTCAAACAAAGAAGGCGCAAGTTAGGGCAGAAGCATGCATGTTCCAGATCCCTTATGATTTGTCATTTCCGTATCAAAAAGCAATTATGAAAAGTTATTGCAGTGATAAATGGCAAAGCTGAGAAAACGATCGGCGAAGTGCTGGAGCACGTAGGAAGGAAAAAAGGAAGAAACCTGTCAATTTTCCGTTGCTTTCGCATTCTCGCTCTGGTTACTTTTCTTTTCATCGAGCGCCACAAAGAAAAAAGAAAAAAAACGTCTTCTCCGTAGCTGAATTAAAATCACTGTTGTGAACTTACTCTGTGACGCAAACAAATTTAACAGTTCACAACTCAACCAGTACCTTGTGGGCAAGGGAAACTATCCATGGTGTCCTTTCTCTGTTTTGGTTTGCCTTGAAAAAGAAAATTGCCAGTGTCTAATCAGTATGATTGCTCAAGTGGTTGAATAGTAATTTGCGAGCTAAGTGATCGATGATTGCCTCATAGCGCGCGAGGTGGCCATTTTACTGAACCGCAAATTTCTGGCTACTGAAAGTTAATTTTGTGGAGGAACAAACAAGATTTGTTCTGCTAATCACAACAGTAGTTTTATTGAAATACTTACTCTCCTCAAGTTCAGGCTCAAAGGTGCTATCAAATAATTTCTGAATATTAAGCCTTTCACTCCCAAGATATAGACATAAATTCTCCTCACTTTCTGCCCTACAGCTCTCATACTTTCAGCTTTGAGAGTTTGATGTGAAATAAGATGATGTCCCCTATTTGATATTTGGATCAATATCAGCATCTGGGCAACTGCCCACCTACCCCTCCCCTAACCCAACATTAACCCTGACTTGTTGTCAATAGACTGTTGTTGGGTTACAGTAGGGGAGGGGTAGATGGGCAGTTGCCCAGATACTGGTATTGATCCTGATATTTTTCTTTCTTCTCAACAACGTTGTACTCGCTAACGTGTTGATATTGTGGGGAGAATTTTCCTTTTGGTCACACATGGGAATGAAAGGGTTAAAATGGAGGACGTTATTCGCGTTTGAAGTGTAACGCGTCTATTCGAAGAAAGTGACGACAGAGCGAAACAAAATTTCAATAAAGTTGTTTCAAACTTGATAAAAACTTGATCAAGTTTTAAACAAAAAAACAAACAAATGCATTAGGAGAAGGTGAAGATTTTTCGATTCACGAGGAAGTTTCGATTTTGGGGAGTGGACATTACCTTGATTAAGTCAGCCTCGAGCCAATTAAGTTGTCTCTGAATTTGACCCTGCAAATAATGAAATAGAGTCAATGACGTTCTGACACTCCCAAATTGACAAGCAGTGATATGACATCATAAAAGAAAAGAAGAAACACTTGATGACAAACGGCAATCATCGTGGAACACAAGGGCGTTAGGTAGTTGGTCGATCAGTCTCAAATCTGTTGAAATATATACTTCAGGACGTTCTCTCTATCAAGTGATGGTAGTCATGTTTGGAAAAGAAGTTAATCGTTCAGCTGTGCTTTGTGAAATTCTTCAGTTTAAATAATTGTGGACCAAAGAAAATAGATGGTACCTTATTGGAAAAATAGTAGTAGACCTCCGAGTCGAATGCCACGAAATGAATAAGTCCTATGTCCATACTCCACCTTAGAGGAATAGAAATCAGTGAGGCCGGTGAAGCTAAACTAAAGGATAAAAATCACCGAAGCTGGTGAGAACGGAAACCATGTTATGTACTGCATGGGCTAAAATTTGCTATCTCGAATGTTTTTTTGAGGAAAGAACTAAATGTACGTTTGTTTAAAAGCTGGAAACTAACAAACCGAAAAAAAAAAAAAAACGAAAAAGAGCTCCCCGATTCAGCCACAATAGCTCTCGATTCATCACCATGTGAAGCTGGTGAATATGTAATTGAACATTTTGTAATAGGCTAGAAAATTCATTTACCAAAGACTGGTTCCACTTCCGCTCGTCTCTCCAACGCCTAGCTCCATATTAGAGAAGCGGTGAACGAAGTGAGTGAAGTTATACATTTGCTGTAAGAATGAAAGTGCGAACATTAAAAAATGAAAATGAAAAACCGCCTGGTTGTGACATCTTCTTTTTTTAAATGTACCTCGTGATTTCCTGGTAGAGCCATGTAGGGGACTTTAGTGGCTATGGGTTGTATAGAGTTCATAAACCTAGAGGAATGGAAAAAGAAACCGGTATTGGGCTATGAGCAGAGTGCTTGTTGGAGAAACTCCAGGGTTACATTGGTTTCCCAAACAAGTCTCTGTCCTTATTGTAAAGGGGTCACACTACACTCTTGACCAATGAAAAGCAAGATCAAATAAACAGCGCGACTCCATTACTCGCGTTTTCCCGCGCTTCAGGACTGTACCCTGAGTTTTCGCTGCATTGGGTCAGCGGTAGGCATCTGACGATGCAACACCCCTCTAAAAGGAAACACCTTCCATACTTACTCATCTCCAGTGGTTCCGTATTTTTCATACATATCATAAGCAAGGTCTAGGTTAAACCATTTTACGTATTTTTCGCAGATACAAAATTTTCGGGGATCATCGCCTTTAAAATGTATCAAAACACCTGATGTCTAGAAGTAATAAATTACCAATTAGCCAATGAAAATCGTCGTTAGAGCAAGTGAAACCCCGAATGCATCAGGGTATAAAAGGTGAAATTATATCAACTCTAAAATTACACAAAAACTCATCCGCCTCTGTCGGAGAAAGTTTGTCACATGCTACGTGAAATCTGAACTAAATCATGATTTCAACTTGTACAGGCAAACTTATATTGAAGGTCAGAAACTACAGTAACAAAATAGGGTGCTTAAGTGATGCAGAATAGTTGCCCGTACCTCCAGCGTGAATTACAGCGTCAAAATCTCCATCGCTTGCTTCCTTGATAAGTCGATTCAGGCTTACAGCATTTGTGTAGCCCATATCTCCATATATCTATCAAACAATAATGACAATAGCATTAATATGGAGTTGTTCGTTCACTGTTTTACGGGAGAGGACTAGCCACAACGGTTTTTCACTCAGACGAGGCGAGTTTGATGGTTGGAGACATACTTTTCTAATTTCAGTGGAGAAAGTCTTGACACGATCCCGCGTCCGATAAGGTCAGGAAAGGGTCTAATTACGGCATAATATTACTTTTAAGAGAAAAAAACTTTTGCAAGGCTCAAAAGATGCGTCGTTTAGAAGATTTATCCTGGAAAATCCTTTTGGGAGTATTACGTAATCATCACTTATTTCTGTAGGTCCTGTTACAACGATGTAATTTTTTCATTTCATCTGAAGATGGGCAAAACGATGCATATTTTGAACATGATGGAAAAGTATATGTTCAGTTTAAAGTTTTTAAGGGAGAGTCCGTGAAAAAAAAATACACCTCGTATCATTGAAGTTACGGCGGAAAGGTAAAGACTCATATATTTTTTTAACTAATAATGCACCTATTTATTCATAAACAGATTTTTTTGCTAACCCCTTGACACCTTGAATTTGTTTCGGGATAAGGTAACTGAATTATGAATCGCTCTCGTGACATTTACACGAGAGACATTACATCAGTTGAACTCACCGCGAAAACTGGGTTGCCTTCTTTAGTAAAGAAAGACATGACTTCACTGGTTCCATTGTCTGGTACACCAACTTGGTAGTAGTAACGCGTGTTAGGCTCAAGACCTGTTAACTTTATAACATGACGTAACATTTAATTAAATAGAAAATTGCGTGACGTTCCATTAAAAATGATGACATAGCTGAAAAATTGTAACATGTGAGCTTTGGTTCCATTGACGGATTTTTCAAGAAGGGAATGGATACAATTAGTTCATTCTTAAAGTATAGATGGTAGACCATCGTAGGTTTCAGTAAAATTAACAGTTTGCTTTACGACTGTTTGTGTGGCTTTGTGGAATCGAAATCACTTCCGACCGGAAATCCTAAAAATCGAGTACCTTCTGTTTCAAGTCGTGTTTATAAATATTTGAGTAGACTCCTTCTCTCTGTGTATTCATCTAGTAGCAAACTTGCAAAACAATTTCTCTACTCTATAATTTAGACGATTTTACTAAAACTGCGGGGTTGATCCAAGGTCTCTTAGAGATGCACTCCTAATAATATTTAACATAGTTCTTCTTACCTTCACGTTATGAATTCTAAAATAATGTCCGTGGGTGCCGAACTTAAACGATGTTCCAGTTTCCTTTCTGGTTAACTTATCTGGGCTAGTTCCATAAGCCACGACTGTCCCTGGTTGTAATTCCGGCGACGGCGTCACGTAATTCACAATTCTCTCGCTGGAAATACCGGTGTAAGCGATGTGAATTTGTTCCGGTTTGTTGTCGTCTGCTGCACTGTACGTGAAACAGATTAGGAGATGAACCAGAACTGTAAACGTAGACATGTTCACGGAAAACTTGACTTCCATTCGCCCGGCTACACTGAGGTCTCAGAGCTTTCCAACTAGCTAAATATTTAAAGACCTTTGGAGCCAGAGGTGCACGTGACAGTCATGAGGGGGAATCATGACGAGATTGAAAGATGACACCCTAAGGCGTTATAGCGCAAAGCATGAGAAGGCATGTATCTCGTTGCAAACTGAAATTGTCTATACCATTCTTTAAGCACCGATTCTTTCGTTTCACAAATACTTGTTTTTTTATTTTTTTAATTAAGTATTTGCAGATGCTGTTATTTTAATATTCGTATGTCAGCTGAGTTGGTACATCGAGTGTTTGAGGTATACTTTTGAAATTAATAATTTTCATCGTCAGTACATATGTATGGACTAAAACTCAACCCACACTGTCCATACTCATTGCCTTAAAAAAAAAAACACGTGCTTTAGCCCAAATCATGATCTTAAATATAGTTACCCAAAAACACTGAGGTGCCTGTGGAGGACAAAATTTCTATCGAGACTATCTACTTTAATAGCTTGTCATAAAAAAAAACTTTCATTTGACCTACAAAATAAATATCAAGCAAAGAAATGATCCCACAGGCAATCTGTAATTTTAGCAATTACTACCACCACGTGAGCTTCGAAGCCACACGTCGGGAGTATTGGGAACTACCTTCTACTTTACAGACTAAAGGAGGCGCATCAATCATAAATATTTACCCTTTAAATCCCAGATCAAATTTGTCATTCTCCTTACTGTCAGCCATACAATTTGTATAATGCTAATGCAGAGAATTTGTTATTGGATGAACTAATTATCCCCAATTTGATATTTTTCTTAATTCTCGTCACTCATCTGGTTGGTTTTGTATTGATATTGTAAGGAGAAATTCTGTCCTGGTCACTCATGGAAGTTAAAGGGTTAACTGATATAAGAAGTTCGGATTGAAATTTCTTTATTTTAGAGACTACGTGGGAATTTTCGAAGGCCAAAAAAAAGTGAAAAAGAAAGGTTTCTAGGGGGAACGGAGCTTGAGGGGGATCAGAGAAAATTGACTGCCAATGAGGGGGATCATTAGGATGCCACAGAGGGATTAGGTAAATTTTATTGTGACACGACCAAAATCCTCCGACCACCACCCCCCACCCCCCTCTCTCTCACACCCTGGCGAAAAATGATGACAGGTCCCTCAAGTCACTTACAGGGTCAGAGGGTGAACGTTTGATGCATATTTTATGTGTTCAGGTCACAATACGTATAAGTTTTGTTGCGTAACAAAACTACATTTTTTGTGAATCAGCCAAAACACTAAAAACACGTGTGCAGCGATGTTATGTAATACCAAAATGGCTTAAATGGAAAATAAAAAACACTAAATATTCTATAAGTCAACTTAGACAACCTGCAACCATAGGCAAATTAACCAAAGCCAGAAACTGATTAAAATATTTGGAATAATACCTACTGTTATCTGTTCATGGGTTGAGCATTAAGTACGAGGCAATATTTCATAAGGAGTTTTAAAAAACCCATTCACACCACCAAACCATGTTCAGTCAGGTCAAGTTGAACTGAAGGAAAATTAACAAAAGAGAACAGACATCCTGAATTTTCCATAGGATTCAAATTTCCTCTAAGGGCCTGTGTACATGGTGCTGGGGGACCCCGGGGGGGGGTAGGTGAGGTAACCCGCTTGTCCATTTATGATCGCTTATTTTACCTTGTTCACATTTATACGTGAACAAGGCGGCTTGCTAGGTCTGATGGGTAGATGGTAAACATGTCAGCCGGGGTGAAAATTTGCGAAACACGAGTGTGATAAAACCTCGATAGCGATTTAGTCACGTTTTTATTTTGAACTCAACACTGAGCGGAAGCGGAAGTGAAGACGTTGTACCGTCATAAATGGTTAACGGTTATTGGCGAAAATCTTAGAGGAAAATAAATTACGTTTTTTCGGCAACGTTTTACAACACGTCGCCGTGGTGACATCTTAAACTCCCTAATTGTAAGTGCGACAACAACCGCGAGAAACTTCACTCCGGAATCCTAGGGTTGTTAGATTGTATGTAAAGGCGGGCTATTTTTTGACCACAGCTAAGCGGGTTACCTCACTTTCCTGGGGTTCCCCACCTCTATCTAAACAGGCCCTAACTTGTTATTTCAATTTGCTAAATTAGTCGGCGACAAACATTACTTTAAAAAGCTTCTAAAACAAAAACAAACTCAAACTGTTTGACAAAATAGCTTTTAAAGAAAACATGTTTAACCTTTAGTGTGAATGGGGTGTTAGTTTATTAAAAAAAAAAATTAGTTTATCAAAATTCCTTTATTACAAGTATGTGGTTATTACAACAAAAAGTGATTTGTAAGAAAAAAAACTTGCGACGTCTAGAACGGAGAAAATTACGCACCGAATGAAAAAATTACAATAGGACCCTAGTTGAAATTAAATATTCTTGAAACAAATAAAGATAAACTAGTAACAAAACAAAAACACTGTCCTTGCTAGACTATAAGTGGCAGTATCGTTACGCCCGAGCAGAAGATACGGATGATATATCCCTCTCTTCTGAAGAAAATATTGTATCATCCAGTTGTGATTGGCATTTTCAATTTAGATAACATAAATTGACTTAACGTACAGCATGCTATTCATTTTCAGAAAAAAAGAAAAAAAAGGAGCTTACTGCGATATACAAAGTGAGGATAAACTGAATGAACTGCACCATCAAAACAAAGCAGTTCCACATATAATGCGATGTTTCTTGTTTTTCACTGTCTTTGCTCGGGGTATATCCGGAAATGTTTTTCAAAACACTTTGATATAGATCATACTTGATCTTTGTAATGAGCAAATTATCATCGATTTGTGGCTGGTATATTACAAACAACTTGCCAGTAGCCTTGGTGAATAAGTCCTCTCAGTGGCAAACATAATAATTGAAAGAAATGATGAATAGACGAGCATAATAGAAATAGCCCCGAAATTGTCATCACCTGAAAGAAGTTTATTTAAATTTTAGGGCGAGCAAAGTTATTAACGCCAGTGAACTTCCTTCGGCGACTAATTTTGATCCCCAAATCACCACGTTAAACGTTTCTTAAAAGGGAAAAAAAAAGCTTTTAGCTCTTGTTTCTTGGCCAAAAGCCCGAGGAAACTCAGTATAAATAAGAAAGCGTGCAATATCGTGGACTTCACGCAAAGTTGACAAATAATAAATTATTAAGAGGGAAATATAATTCAATTAAGGCATAAATTTATAAGGAAATAATCCCTGCTTCTGACCCCTACGCAATGACTTTTTTTCTTTTTTTTTCTTTTTTTTTTTGAAGCCTGAATATTTGAGATGAAACCGAAACATAATTGAATAAATAAGGTTTTTCTCAATCTAGCCTCCAACGTACACAAACAAAAGTCCGTAAATTTCTTGGAACGAAATTGTTTTGGCGAATTATAAAGTATTAAGAGGGAAGAGGGAAAAATAATTCAATTAGGGGTATAAATTTCTAAGGTAACTGATCCTCTTGCAGAACCCCAAAGTCTATAACTGTTGTTTTCCGAGCTTTAAGATTTAAGAATGAATGAAAGGAAGTTGTTATCCTAAATTTATGTTTACCAACCAATATTGTGCACAATGTCCAAAACGAATATCACCAACATGCAACCGGTCTTCTGTGGATTTACGAGATGACTACACAAAAGTAGTATCGTTTTTCTGGGAAAGACGCGATTTACAACTCGAATTTGTGGTTTGTGATTTGCAACTGGCCGGCGTTGATAAACTTCCTCTCAAACGTCCTCGGCGGAGATCTCTTCGGTAATTTAAGACATGTCGGATGGCTTTACGAAAGTCCGGCTTAAGAAAGGAGTATACCAGTGGGTTTATAAGCGAGCCAAGAGCGATCGTAAATAACGAAACGATTTCGAGATCGTTCGGGATGAGCTCAGGACGTCCTATTTCGTGCACGACTGTCATATATTGGATAGGAAGCCAACTTACAACAAACATAACGGCTACTATTATAAAGACCTGAGCGAGCTTTCCCTCTGAAGAAATCTTGCTCTTCCGTTGTAAATTTTTCCTCACCGAGGCAGTGATAGCTCTCTCGCGTTCGACACTTCTTTTCACCTGCGTGAAGATTCGTACGTATCCTACAAAAATGAACACGTAGGGTAGTAACACGCACAGTCCAATTTCGCTGACAACGTAGATCTTATGCGCAAGCACGGTCGTGTTCGTTCCCCAAATTAGAGGGATTAAAGAGATAATGAAGGAAAATAACCAGCTTGCGACGAGTATTCCTTTAAAAGCGCTCCTCATGATATTCTCGTACTGCAATGCTTTTAAAACAGAGACGTAGCGATCGAAGGTCACAGAAACAAGATTAAAAACACCTGACAGAAGCGTGATAGAAATCAAATAACCCATCTCGACTGAATGAGGAGAGACCAGCGCGGCAGGAATTAACACACTTCCAATCAAAAGATCGCTGAACGCAAGCGATACCACGAACCCGTTGGTGTAAGTCCGCATGCTCTTTCGTAGATAAACAATAACACAAACTGTCAAGTTAGCAGCGACGATTAGAGCTGACAAAAACACGAACGTTATGACGAGGGCCAGATTGTCCGTCATGACTGGTGCGTACGGTGTTTGCGGTGTTTGCTTCGCCAGGGCTGTTTTGCATCAAACGCCTGTTCTTCCAGGCGTCGAGGACAGATCAAAAGGGGATTTGTTTTGGTTGAGTAAATGTCCGCTGTCTGCACGAAACAGTGATCTCAGCCTGCGCAAACGTCGCCAGCGAGTAAGGCGCGTAGAATTTCAACTTCCACATACACTGACAGCTAATAGTGTTCAGATCATGCATGGGACATGCAACTCATGAAAAGCTTCTCGATCGTCTCCCACCAAGATGAATGATATTGACCCGGTGGTTGGTATCTGAGGTGTTAAGTCACAGGAGTCTGGTTATTTAAAGTTTGATTATCCTTTCAGGGTGCTTCACACCACCAACTGGCTTTGACGCATACGAAATCAAACTTTCCTGGCCGCAAGTGTTAAGTTTCTACCTCATTTTCACGGAAGAAATTCTGTCAAATGAACTTGAAACCGCTGGTGTTATCGATCGTCTAAAGGAAAGAATTGGTGGTTTGAAGAATTTCCAACTGCTGATAATGAGAAGTAACCGTAAGTATTGAAAAGTGTTTTCAAACGATTCCAAATAACGGAAAACTCCCCTTCCTCTTCAGCCAGAGCTACCGAATCGACTCGATCCTCAACTCACGACGATGGTTAGCTTAATTATAAGTTTTTTCCTTTTCGAGAATGTCTCTGAAAGAAAATGTACCTTGAAAGTTTTCCGTGACGGCGTAACAGATCCCAAAGTTTCGACTATTTATCCTGCGGCGAAGTAATTTATTCCAAACAGAAAGGCTTTCACACCAACCGAGACAGGGAAATATATTTATTCACAGCCGACAGGTGAAGATGATTAATAATGAGAATGGATTTCCTTTCGATGGGCTTGTCCAATTTGGCAGCCATTCAAGAAAAGAATGGTGGCGATTTTAATAACCGGCGACAAAGTTCCTCACTGACACAACACGAACAAATGGCATTTCTTGCCGCGAACAACGACGCACCACGAAACAAAACACATTTAAAATTATTAGTTGAATTTTAAACCTTGACAGTATAACAGAGTAAACGGTCTTGCGTTGAAACAAACAATTTATCCAAATTGTTTTGATCCTCAATAATCTCAAGTATAAATTTAAAGCAAATCCACGAATCCTGACTAGAATTTCCAAGATGAATCAAGAGAGAAATATGAAAATATGAAACTCAGTTTGACGTCTTTTTGAAAACGTTTTTACGTAGCAAATGTGCCTTACAAATTAAAAATTTAACGAGAAAATAAAACATCTGCAGTGAAGATCTTTTGTCCAATGATAAAATTCTGGTTGTAACCATTTTTCATATCCGCTGCTCGAAAAGCAAACATTAAAACAAACATAAAGGTAAGCGCTAACACGGACAAAAAAACAGAATTTTCAAATATTCCATAGGTCCAAACTAATTCCCTTGTTTATAATATGAATTTAGTCCTACTAGAGTTTTCTTCAATTCAATTCAGTTCAATCTATTTACTCTTAGTGAGTCCCGAAGTTCAAATTTCACAGTGTGAAATCTAGAAGTTTGAAGGTCTGTCCAAATAATACTGAGGCAGGAATAGTTAAATCAAACTTAGCAATTTAAGCGTTAGATAAGATAAATTGTTTGAATCGATGTTCTTAGTCGAAATTCGATTTGGTAAATTTAGCCTTTTTTTTGCAAACTTGGAAGAAATGCATAAAAAGTAACAAATGAATGCTCAATGTAATTTTGTTCCATTTAAATAGTCGGTATCTGATAAAGAGCGAGTTTGGACTATCTTTGAAGATTTAAATTGATTTATTTCTCTATCCATTTTGTTTTAATTACTTCGCTTACTACGTTATCGGTTTTAAATCACATATGCTTCGGCTTTTGTCTAGAAACGATTAGGAAATGAAATATCTCAACGCAATTTGTAAATGGGTCGCTTGAGTTGTTTTAAGCTTTATCATTTTAAGCTGAAAAACAGAAAACATATTGTTATAAAAATAATCAAAGTGGTTGGCGATCGTCTTACGCTTATTGCTCAAAACACGTTTCGTTCATGCACAATAAATAAACAATCGCTATTAGACGATACACCGTCTTTCATGATCACGGCACGCACTTATTGGACAGGATAAGAAATAAAGGAAAAACTTGTCTCATGTCTTACTACTAAACGTTCTGTTTTGAACCGATAAAATTCCTCAAATTTTACTTGCACAAAATTTCTGAACCGATTAAATTCGTGAAAATTCCAGTCAATTACCAGGGCAAATTTTATTCGGTACAACACTGCAAATAAAATAAGATTCTTGTTCTATTGGTCTAGACAGTGCTAACTTATGCATACAGACCCTTCTTGTGTTCTGTAATCAACTATTCAAATGCAGTAATTGCTCGCCGAATTCAAATTTTTTAGACCAGACAGAGCAGATCAACCAAATGGGACATGAATAAAATGATCTTATTTTTCAACAAATTAAATTTTTTTTTAAAAACTCGTCTCTGCAATTTTACCAGTTCTTAACTAACGTCAAATCTTCTGGATCCAAGGTTCTATGTGGAATTCATGAACAAAGATGTAACAATTAATTGTTGAAGAGCATTTTTCGCGAAGCGCTTAAAGCAAGAAAGAGTTTTAGGAAAGCGAGCCTCAAACATATTGTTCAAATGCGCTTACACGGAATGGTGTCCTTACCTCTTACCAGAGGGCATGATGGCCTGCCGAAGTCTTTTTATGATGGAGAACTGTTATATTCATCCCTTTAAAGGCGTCTTGGCCTCCACATAGATAGCTTTTGCAACGTTTTAATAAAGCACTCGTCTAAGTTTCCTTCGCGAAGGCATTTTTTTAGCTCTTTTATTTTGCTCCAATGGCTGCAAATTAACATTCAAATTCGGATGTGAATGTTAAGTTTCATTGTCTTGCAAAATAACGCAGCGAACATGAAAGTTACACAGAGAAGAGAAAGCTAAATTGTTCCGTTGTTTGTAATCAGCAGCATTGTTCTTTTTTGATAACCACTTCCCAATTTAAAATTTAAAAGGCGAGAAAATGTGTTTTGTACCATCTTTTCAGACACGAACGAGAAAGCGCAATAACAAAGGCAGAGGAATAATTCCGACGAGTTTCTAAGTATTTGATATGATACTGCGTTGGGTGTCCCAAATACATAATTAAAACCTTGCCAACGACTAAAGTTAACGACAGTCAATATTTCACGAAAATACACAGTCAACAAAGTTTACTGTGAAACCGAAAATTTTAGCGTGTTTGGATTGGTACCATTTATGAACACACCTCGACAGAGTTCACTGTGAAACCGAAAATGTTAGCGCGTTTGGATTGGTACCATTTATGAACTCTCTCTTTTCATCTTTATTACAAAAACAAACCAAAGAGGCTGCAAACCAAGGCCAAAAATTTTATTCAGCTTCACCAAATACACTTTTTCTGACGCTCATGTTTTTCTATCAAATCATTAAAAAAACTTGTGATACTTTAAGGAAAACTTTAACATTGTAGATGATAAAATATAATTTCTGATTTAAGTAATCGGTATAATTTAGTTAAAGTTATACCGATTTCTGGTTACCTTTTTTAAGAATAATTTGTTAACGTGAATAGGAGAATACTTCTAGTACAAATCATCGTCAAATAAATCTTAATAAGTCCACAACCGGTCTACAAGCACTTCAAGTCCACATCATTTGAGTTCAAGGTTGTTCTACAGAAATACAGATAAAAGATACCATACTTTAAGTACTAGTCCTGGGGTGAATATTTAGTTCTTCAGGTGAAAACACTAAACATCCTGGAACTGTATCGTGATTGGCTATGGAACGTCTGATCAAGTTTGACTTATGAACCAGCCGGGGTACAATTGTTAATTTGGGTGGGTCCAAATTTCAATCGAATATGGCCCATGAAGAGCTCTTTGATTGAAATAGGGTTGAAGTAAGACGACTTAACTTAGACAGCTACTAAATTAATCTTCGTTCCTAACATTAGTAAGGGTGTTTTAGGTGTGTTTCAAGGTACCATGTTAACAATGTACATGAAAAAAAAAATTACGTGCTTCTGATTGGCTGAAAACGAGTGCATTCTCATGTAACAGGAGTGCAAAATTGTAACACAAGACCAAATTACAAATAGCGCGCACACGCTTTCGAAATTTCGACAATTTCGTCTGTCTTGACTTTCTGTGATGTTTTTTAATGTACATTATTAACAAGTTATAACATGATTTCTCCTGTAATTTGGTGCAATAAGCACTTGTACATTTTTTAAAGACTACAAATTGCACTTGCCCTACGGGCTCGTGCAATTTTGTTGTCTTTGAAAAATTTACTCGTGCTTATTAACACCAAATTGCCAGAGAAATTTCTCTAGTATCTACACAAATTGAACAGCCTAAAAGAACAGCTGATACTTTGATGTTAAAACAATTTACGATGTTTGTTAAAATTTGGTGTGGCAATTCAATTGTAATTCTCGCTGATGGATACAACAAAGAATATTAACACATGGTCATCTGACCACTACCACTCACCGACAGGATTCAACCCACACATGCCCTTTGTGATCTTATACATCACTGTAGCGGAAAGATCTGTAAGAGAAAAGAGAATCAGGACTGAAAGTGACCAGCTGAACTGAATTAAATGACTGTATACAAGAAAAAGTGAACATGAAAGCGATCTTCGCGGTAATGAACACTACTTAAGCAGTAGTGAAAATGAGGCCTGAAAAAGTATTCAGGCCTGAACGGGATTTAAACCCATGACCTCTACAATATCGGTGTAGCGCTCTACCAACTGAGCTAACATGACAAGTGGGAGCTGGTCATTATGCTGGTTCCAAATAAACCCTTACTAAATACGACTGTCGTTTCGATAGGCTGGTTGGAAGTTCTCATCAGAGTCTAGTGACGAGTTGCTCATCTCTAGAACTTTAAAAGTGTGGTTCTTGAAAACGAATTGGTCAGTGCGCTATGATACTTTAACCAATCACTGTGGGTTGGTCAGTTTCGATTTCTTGGTAAGGTGACGTCGTTCTGGCACCTCTGGTTATGTAAGAGTAGTGAGAAAGTTTTTTTTGAGGTGCTGGTAGTTGCAGAAAAATCTTTCGTGAAACGTCCGTTCTGAATTAATTAAGTAGCTTTCTAAAAGCAATCGTTGAAAGGAGTTCGTGCAGTAGACCTTTCTTCAAATGGATGACCACACTTCAAGATGAACTCTTACTCCTGGGCTCTACAATCTACTGTACATAATACTCTATCGTATATAAGTAAATCTAGTGAAATTTCAATTCTAGAAGACACAGACGTCCCTCTAGTCCATACTAAACTATCATGTTTTGTTTGAGAAATACTATAAGGCCTACCACTGACTTCAGAAGCTAAACTTTTAGAGTCTGAACTGAACAACACTTTTTAAACCAAATCAATTTTAGAGTTGTGACCCTGCCCCTTGTGTGTTTCAAGCATGGATAACTAAAGCCGATCACTCACCGGTCTCGTAGTAGTCATACACTGTGACGGAAGCTGGTTTGGTATTCTTCACCACAGACGATTGGAAGATTTTGAACGAGAAATTAACTTTGTCAATCTAAACCAAACGAAACAACGTTAGTAACGCTTAAATCCTATTGAGCTTGACTGATGAATTCTCTCTAAAAAAAATTCCGACCGGTTTAGGTTTACAAGCATAAGTTATTTACTTCGTTGTTTTTCGAAGCCGTTGTGGTCTTCTTTCCATACCTAACCCTTTAAAACCCTAAGGGTGACTAGTATCTAATTTCTCTGGATATTATCACCAATAAATAAAAACATTAAAGTTATCAGAATACAGGAAATGACCACCAACTTAAAGAAGTCTTTACTGTTTAACAAATTCTCCTTGTCAGTACCATAGGAAATGTAAAAAGAACCGTAGGGAGAATGTGCATACTGATGTTAGGATGTGAGGAGTTAAAAGAGGAGCGTTTTCAAAGGACAATCCTTTAGAAACCATTTTCGAAAAGCGCCGTTTTGATCAACTTTTTCGGGTGCTTAAGTCGATGTATAGTAGACACAAACACCTCATAAATCCTGCGTGTAACTAAAACCCATTCGAGAGGAGAGGGCCTACAGAAGAACTATATCGTCCGCAAATATTGTCCGCTGAAGTCAGGAAAAGCAATCTTTATTTCTTTGTTTTCATTACAAATGGTTCATTAATTCGTTGGCGTTGTCTTTCAAAAGCGTTGACGCCAGCTTCTCGACGGCCATTAGCAACAAAACCATTCAAAATGTCTATCCACAGATACTAAACTGAGGTCATAAGAGATTCAAAGCTACGCAGACTGGCTAAAAGAGTTTTATTTCTTAAGATCACTTTGCTGATACGTATCAATTTCACATACCTCGTCAAAGTACATGATCACGTGTTGACCTTCCATCTCGTATCGCTTCAGGCCAAGCTTGGGTTGGTTCGTGAGCTAAAATTATATGGGAAACAAACATTACAAAAGCCAGCAATTTTCATGTTAAATCTCGCAAGTACCTACTTATAGCCTAGGAACACAGCACAATTAGGCTGTAATGCAATTAGGATAAAGTTGATCCTCTAGCCTCGTCATGCGATTAGCATGATTATTCGCGACGAGAATAGACCAACCTACCAGCCAAAAAATGCTGCCTCGATATAACATCAAATTCATTTAACTTTACTATAAAAAAAAACACAAAAAAAGCAAAAGCTGGCAGCTAAAAGAGGGAACTAAAAGTCAGATCGTCACAACTAAAGGCTTAAACTACTCGGTGTGAATTTCTTTCCATAAAATTTAACTTCTCAATCACGTTCTCAAGATTTTCACAAGGTATTGCTCTTTTTAAAGCCAATATTTCCATAGTCTGTTCCCAGACCTACTGTTGTCTCTTGAATCATCTTTTGGATCACGAGCAAGTAAGGAAGCTCACGCTTTATGCGCTCGTTCTTACGCGCTCGCTTCAGGCGCTTGCTTTCTTTACCTAGAAACAAGAAATCACGCCACTGGAGAGACTAAAATTCCACATTAGTTAGAAAGTGTAAACTTACTCTGTCTAAGCTTTCTTCATCAACCTGATAACCGGATACTAGTTTGACATCAATGACCGCCATGTTGGATGTATCTTCTCTCAGCCACCTTAACGAAACAATAAACAATGCCTTGAACACCATCACAAACTTGCTTTAACTCAAAAATTACTGACTTATCTGTCCTAACTGAGGATGCTTTCTAACTTGTTGATCCTTATAGTAGGTGAGACGGGTGGCAGATATGAACCAGGGATAGTAGAACCATAATTCAAAGGGTCCCCTTAGAACTATAATAAGAGTCCCCTGGCGTCCATTTGATCTGCAATCTCGGATTAGTTTCGAAACTCAACCGAAAACTGCTTAGCCTTCAAGCAGACTATAACTGGCACTGCGAGAAACGCCCGTACGGCAACGCCGATGAAAGCTTGCCAAAAGGCTAAAGATTTGGTCTCATCTCTTACTTGGCACTGATCGAAAAATCCAAAGGCAAACACAGAGGATCACCGGTTTCTGTTGACAGTGGAGCGAATATATCATCCGATGGTAACAAGGTGACTTTAAGATCAAATGCTGGTTTCTCCTTCACATCTGGGATGTTGTACGATACGTCCGCCTAAACAGATATCAACAACATCAGTTGTAATGTCTCCCTATAGATTTTGATATATTTCTGCAAAAATTCTTACTTGATGGATTTAATGCCTATCAGTTACCAGCTTGAAAACTAGGCCAAGACATAGGAGAGTTTGATGGATTTATTTTTTTTTTGAGAATTTGATTCATAAGAATAACGATAAAAATAAAGATAATAATGATCAGAGTGATGGTAATGATAAAGATAATAATAGTAATAATAATAATAATAATAATAATAATAATAATAATAACAGTAATGACAACGATAGCAACCACGATAACTGTGCCGATAAAATACTTATCACAATGATAACAACAATTTAACGACTTGTAAGGTGAAAATTATTTATACATATTTAGAGGTGGAATTGGAACATTGGTTTTTACGAACAAAAGAAATAGCGGCGGACTCGGAGAAATCCTCGAAACAAGGACGTGAACCCGAAACAAATCACCCCACAGGTGACGGAATTCGAGAATCGAACCCAGGCCACAGTGGTTGGCACCAAGAGCTCGCTCCACTGCATCATACCTGCTCCCTCTCAGCTTTACTTATATATGGACTCAGTCATATAAAAGAACTTCATTCACACTGGATTAAAAGGTCTGATGAAACAGCTTATCAGACCAACCTGCATTAAAGCACAGCCCTGTCCGTCAGCCTTCACGAGCATGCTCTTCAGGGGAAGAATACTTGATGGAACCTAAGGGATAACAACATTATTTTTCTTCGCGCAAAAAATAAAAACAATTCTAAATCGAACAGTGAAAAGACCATTCCGCTGAATAGCTCAAAATTTTCACAAGATTTCATACAAAGTTAACATCGTGAGACTGAAGAGGTTCAGCCCACCAAAATGTTGAAGAACCGAAGGGCGAAGAATTACTTACCGCAGCCTTTTGTGTCACCAGCCTGTTGTTGTCTGTGATGCGGAATGTGTGGCTAAACTGCTCGTTCTCTCCTCCAAACTGAACAGTAAGGTCTGAGGAGTTTGTAAACGTCTCCCTTGCATACTCGCTAAGGGCTTGTAGGGCTACACATGTATCCTGACAAACATGAAAACAACGTTACTACCGAGTTCATTCTTTTCAAACATCGCCTTTTTCGTGGGAATAGGGACTTAGAGAAGACCACGACGGCGACAACAACGAGAACGAAACTATCGGAAATATCGGATGAGCAGAAGAATAGCGCAGCATGTGCGTTTAAGAACTTTGTACATACGTAGTTCGGTTCTTACAGAACAACAGCATGAAATCACAAACTTTTGCGTCCTCTTAAAACGGAAATCTCGACAACATTTCAGTCACGTTGTTAATTTAAACCCAGCACTACATTCAAATGATATGCCGAAGATGTTACACACTCAGGAATAGTAAATATAAAAAACTGGCGAAATTCTTAGGATGAAAGAAAGCGGTTTTTTGGGGGGCAACGTTTCCCCAGGTTTCGCTGTATTCACATCTTAAACTTCTCCCTTTTTAATCCAAAAAGACTTTCAAGGTAATTGTCATAGAAGACAAACCACCGACACCTTTCTTTGACCTATAGCGTTTACTTCCCCTGTTTATCCTCGCTTCCATGAAGAGGCTTGGTTATAATTCATAGAATTGCCTATAACCTGTGTGGATGAAAATCCTCCCAGAGCATTCCTTTGTTTAGAGAGCCATCTAACAATCGACATGGCGTCGCCAATTAGAGATAAGTCATCTTCAGCTCGAAGGATGTAAGTCATCAGGGCATATGCGGTCATCTCGATGTCCGCAGCAGGAGCACGGTAATACGGACTCCACCAAAAATCGTCTGTAGGAGGGGTTTTCTTCAACTTCTCCTTTTCCCAGTGAGTCATTCCATCTGTTTTGAAAAATATATTAGTAAACTACAGCGGATGCTGATTTAACTACAGCGTACCAGTGTGAGCGTCGTAAGACGTGGAAGGAAGCAAATACATCGCAACTAGATTCCACGTTGTCGTGCGTTTGTACAGTAAACATCACAGATGACATCAAAATGTTGTAAGAGCACCAGGCGCAGCCGAGTATGTGATTAATGTTCTAAACATATTTTGACATCTGTTGTGATCTGTTGCTGAACAAGTTCCGCTTCAACACGGAATCTATTTGCTTTATATGTTAAAAAAGCAAAAATTTGTTAGTTTTGACGTCATACATGCGTCTGTTCTCCAATATATCATGAGTAAGAGCCATTCAAAATGCGTTTACTATTCAGCTTGTCATAAGAGCATCGACCGACATCATAAGAAGCCTAAACGAATTCGAAGTAAGTACATGTAAACGACCTTAACCGCGTGAAAACACGGATATCCAAGACGCGATTGGTTTACTGATATGTTAACAGGGTGGCGTGAGTTATGATTTATCGTAAAACGTTAATAAGTAAAAAACAGAAATGGCCCCAGATTCCTGGTAAAGGAGGAAAACTGTTTAGCGAAGAAAGGGAGTAAACGGTTTACAAAATGGGAAAAGTCTCCATAAAAATCTATTCATCAAAAAATTTCCTCCATAGCGAGTGACAAAATAAATGCAAGTACGATCTAAGACAAGTTATCAATATATCATTAATTAAATGTCCAAAAACCAAAGTAATCATATCGACCAATCAGAACGAAGGTATACATCATCACCATTAGCCAATGAGAACTCAAAGTGAAAATAAGCAAACTACATGAAGCGAATGAATGCTAATGAACAAGCAGCGATTGTTTTAACTTTTGCGCCTGATTGATTGATAGGATGAGAGGGGAGTTTTCCGGACCAATCACAGGGCAAAGTTAGTAAAATCAAAGCAATACCGGAGTACGTGAAACTCAATCGAAAATTGCTCAAACACGTACAAGACCTGAACTACCTGGAACTGACCTTCTACGATGGCTTTGCTTCGCAGTGCTCCAAATAAATCTGCACCATATTTATCCTTCGCCAAGTTGAAGGTGTAACTGAACAAAGCCAAGCTGTATGAATCAGTCACGTTTGAAATGAAACCTCTTAAACAATTCAGCGCCTTTTGAATGACAACGTCCTGTAAAAAAAAAGTTGAGTGATAAATGTAAATAAATATACCACAATCCTGGTTTGTTATTCATTCTACTTTGTACACCTTGCTTTTGGACGCATTTCGGACCTAAGCGCTTTGTATGTCCAAAAGGTACTTCTCTTCAGTTAAGAGGAAAAACATCAGGCAGCAAGCAAATGTCAAGTTAAAAAAGAACCTTCTCTGTCAGGCTGAAAACATGTTTCCATACTCAAGAAACCAATGTTAGCTTGAAATCTACCATGGAGCATATGCTACATAATTAAGAACAAAACGTATCTGATGCATTAGTAAGCTTGACTTGTTGACAAAGAATATAGTAACACTAAAACGCTTAACCTTTTACACCCTTATATCAGTTTGCAAGTTCTCCACACCGTTTTCTATACGTTTCCTATGATTTTTACAAGAAGAATTTGCTTAAGAATCAAGATTTTCGTAACCTCCTGATCATTTCCTTCATTCTAATGAACTTCATGTTTGATTCAGGTGTGACACTGTTGGGAGAAATTAGCTGCTGGTCACTCCTACGAGTTTAAAGGGTTAAAAAAAAGGATCAGAACCAACCTGAGGTGATATCCCAGATTCCATGAGAGAAACTGTCACAAATGCGGTGAGAGTAGCTTCTGTTGATACACCTCCCTAATAAATAAATAAACAAACAAATAAAAATTTTACATCGGGGCATCAACATTTCTCCCCTTGGAAGGGAATCGCCATTAAAGTTATGGAATAAGAACGATATCACGATTGCATTTCTGTTTATTACCCGGCTGACCAGTTACGTTTTTGAACTTTCGAACTTTTTTCTGGATTAGCAAGATGACCCTTCAGCTTATCGAGTTGTTGTTGTGGTTTAGTCGTTGTTTACCTTAAGGCGCTTGTTAAAGAGTCTCCCATACTTGGGAAAGCATCCATTTGCAAGTTGCTTGCTGGTTATCCAGTTCGCGGTCTGTTTAAGCTCCTCTGAGTCGACAAAGATAAACTTTTGCGCCTGGGCAAAGGAGCGCAGTACAAACGCTGTTAACCTACAGGAACACAAACAAACATGAATGGCGACAGATGAGTAACCCAAATATTAATATCAAATGGTAAAAATATACCAATCATCTTAACGTCAGTATGTACATTCTCCATACTGTTCTCTATACATTTCCTGAGGCGCTGACAAGCAGAATTTGTTTAACAATCAAGAGTTTCTTAGTTGAAGATCGTTCCCTTTATTCTCATGACCTTAATGTTTTATACAGGGATGATATTTAAGGGAGAAATTAGAATCTAGCCCCACTTAGGGTTCAAAAGGTTATGTACTTTAACTGCATCAAAAAAAAAAGGATCAATATCAGTATCTGGGCTACTGCCCACCTACCCCTCCCCTAACTCAACACCAGTCAATTGATAACAAGCTAGGTTAATGTTGGGTTAGGGGAAGGATAAGTGGGCAGTTGCCCAGATACTGATATTGATCCAAAAAAAAGCCATCCATAGTCTGAAAGTTACCGACTTAAATAATTTAAAGAGGTAGGAAAGTTTCCCTATGAAGTCTGATGATGACATGTGCTCAGGTTTTCGGGACGGAAATCACCCTGTGCAACGAAAAACACTTCTTTTTTAGGGCCACCCGCATCCAGACGATCAGACAACACGATCAAAGACTGTTTAAAAAAGCTAGCGCGTAATTCTCCTTTTAAAGAGAACAACCTCTGCAAAAATCTAAAGGTATCTTGATAAATATAACGAACACCTCTCTTGCAATTTTAGTTGGGAAAACAAGGAGACCCTGCCAAAAAAAAAACATAAAAAAAAAAGTACAGAACTGGTTCAAAGCACCGATACGTACCACATGTTGCCTTCATTATCTCGGTTTCCAAAAGCGCTGTAGGATCCATCAGTTCGTTTATAGGTCAACTCCCTCTGGTAACCTAACACAGACGGCAAGAACATGCTAAACTTCTACTTAACACCAGCGCAAACGTAATGGCTCACTAGCCTTTTACACCCTAATATCAATGTGTATATTCTCCGTACTGTACTCTACACATTTCCTAAACTGCTGGCAAGGAGAATTTGGTAAGCGACGAAGAGCTTCTTTATTTGTGATACAGTGGGATATTGTAAGGAGAAATTAGATGTTAGTCACTCTTAGTTTTCACTCAACTTTATGCTTTGCTTTTATTGTAGAGTGCTTCAGAGCCTTTGCATACAGCGCTGTGTAAATGACTATTTTATCGTCATTTTCTTATCTTAGAGGTCAAACGGTTCAAAATACCATACAGGAAATCTTTGAATCTTTGAGTCACTTTGGGTTACCCTTCGTTACATGGAAAATACAGAGATTGTTATGTTTCAACAAATATAACTAAAAAGAATTCCGTTTTAACTCGTGGATATGTGAACCAGGAACGAGTAATATGGGAGTTCGATGGGCAAATTTCGTGGTGTTAACGCGGCTTTAGGAGTCTGGAGAGAACACCTATCTTATTAAAGTTGCCGGATCAATTGTTGGGGAGGATTTTTGAAGGAATGACGGCTCAATTCTGTTACTCGAAGTCACAGGATCCTTGGCTTTTACTACACTTATTGTATATTCTAATTATATCCTGCATAGTTTATCCACAAGTTCACCATAGTGTCACTTTGACTACCTGTTGTCATGATGTTCTTGGCTTTGTTTTCCACAGAGGTTGTCATCTGCCCGACAGCTGCCAGGTATTGCATGATGTAAATGCTAGGAGCAAAGTTAACCATGTTTTGTTCACCACATCCATAAGGAAGCCTCAACAGGCCTGCTACATTCAAGGTTGGTCCCATAAGATCACCTTAACCATAGACAAATCATGAGATGATCAAACATTAGACTTGCATCAAGACAGATGGTGAAAAAAACAAATTCCTGTTCTAACTTAGTAGAATAAATCTTACAGAGGGAAATAAAGAAAATTCACACCAGCAACCATTAGCACCTCAAACTAATTAGATACAGGACGTTAGCCCACTACTTACCAACTGTTGACACAACTGCATAAACAGAACCTGGAACATAATTCTTGGGCAGAGAGATTTCCATGGAATCGTTAAACTGTGAATCATTGACTGAAATTTACAAGAATAAACCATGATACGTTATTCCTGAATATACACACTTTGTTAAAACTCTCCTACAGACACAACAAAGATGAAGTTAAGGCCTTTTCTCATTCATTTTTTCGTCTTCTAGCAGTGCTCCTTTGACACACAGCCACGCCTTATTCACGGCCACGATAACCTGTGGGTAGTTATGTAACTAGTTGGGTCTTTTGATATGCAAGAAAAATAAAGAAAAGAAATTTGAAACTAATTGCACGAAGAGCATTTTCAATTGAGTGTCGAAAGTAATCTGCGATTGCTTTTGTTTTGCTAGACTTCGCTATGTTATTGGTCAAAAAACTCGCACCATTCTCTAAACCAATCAGACGCAAAACCAAAACCAACCACGACTTAGTCGCCCGTGCGGGTTTTCCCGCGCTTTAGGCAGTTTGGTTGTTTTTACTTTGAATTCTCATTGGCTCTGAAAGGTATTTTCCTTTCTTCTGATTAGCTGCTGTGATTACTTCGCTTTTGATTTTACGACATTCAATCGAAAAGCAGTCTAAAGTTCATCAGCTTGATAAATTGAAATCTCGATAGGAACTGAAGGTAAACAGAGAAAGCCCTTCATACCTTTGAGGCATACAAAGCTGTTGTACGTGTACTCCTGTCGGATTCCTTCAGGCTAAATGATCAAGAAAAGTACAAATGTAGGAGTGAGAAACTACAATAAAGACGACCTTTCACAAAACCTAAAGTTCTCCACAGCACCGAATAAAACGGTGGTAATCACTGGTCTTAAAATGTGAATACTAAAGAAAATTCCATAATATAGCCAGAAATTAGAGACCACGACAGTGTGCCGATCACCTTAAGAGCAGGCAAGGTGATATTGTTACTTAAACCAGCACCTCGAGTTAGAAAAGATTCACCTGAACACCACCTCGATTTTCATTTGATAACCGCAACTTCAGTGTAGTTCATGAACACAGTGTAATAATAGGGTAAAAAAAATCACTAATTGCACCTCAACAAGTAATTTCCTTGTGACAGCATCAGTGACACCAAGAGCAAACTGTTCTACTCCTTCATCGCACATTGATGAATTGATATCTTTAGCCACAACAGTCAGAGGGATTTCACCCAATTTCTTTGGAACTATGTTGAAGCGAACAGAGATGGCTTCATTGCTGCATACACAGACAGAGCGAGACTTATTGGACACTATCCTGTAGTAAAGAGACTCTTCGAGAGTCAGGCGAATCTACAACAGAAGAAAACAGAGAGAGAGACATGTTTAGCGAGGTTGTTAAAAAAATCTCGTTCCGACAAAAGGGCTAAAATGTGTTTCTTTATTTGTTAAAAATATCTATTACGTTTTCCTTAGAGTGCAAATTGCTGTTATAATTGACACTATTCCATGAGAGTAAAGAGTAAAGTTTGTCAACCCTTCAGTATCTATCTTTTCCATGCTCTTCTCTATTTCCTCTGACACGGTCAAGGAGAATTCGTTTTAACAATCAAAGCTTCTTAGATTGATGATCATTTCCTTTATTCTCATGATCTCTAATAATGCATGATTCCGAAGTATTACTGTAAATATTCAGACTGAGTAGTAAATATTACTGTGAGGAGAAATTAGAAGCTGGTCACTTTCAGGATTCAAACAGTTAACGTGCTAAATAAAGAATTTATCCCACCGTACCCAAAGAAGTTCCAAGTGAATGTTATGACTCAAAATGGGGCAACCAAGCGTCTTGTTCACTCTCAAACGGGAATGTGAATTATGTATAAAAAGGTCAAAAAACTATGGATGATGTGAGAATGTGTCTTCAATTCTGAGTAATTTATTGAAACAAAACCTCAGGTGAGTATTAAGAAATTTTTTGCATCCTCAGTTGTCCATAATTTGCTGCACAAATGCATGTGGATCGGCAAATACATAACTACATAATCTGTATACACTTCTAAGTTAGGGATTTCGTAATTCAAGCAGGGATACGTCCCATTTTGATTCAACACATTCTATCAGAAATCAAAGAAATTAAGAACCATAGTTATTCCTGCAGTTGGTAGCACTTACCGTAAGACACTTGCTCTCATAGTTGAAGACTGTTGCTATAATGAACACTTCCTCGCCACGGATAACAGAGTAAGGCAGGGTTATGGAAACAAAGAAAGGCTGGAAAACCTTGAGCGAGGTGGGCTGTGAAATACCAAGTCCAGCTGAATCAGACATGGCGAAAGCACTTGCTACCCAGGTAGTGATTGTGTCAGGTACCTTGGCCATGATAACTTTCTTTCCAGTATCAGGGCTGTTCAATTAAAAAAAAAACAGTAATTGTCATGACTTTACACTTTACTGTTTCTTCAATTTAAGTCCTCCTCACGTTACAGAGATGCTGGTGTTTTGTTTGTTTTAGCGAGATGGTTGTTTCAAATTTTTTTATGGTTACCCCTCTCGTTCTACGAAAGAAATAAATAAAATACAATATGTAATATATGTATACAGATAAATACAATAACATCAACTTTCTGGGTAACTGCTCCAGAAAATTTATAGGTCCCCTGTAATACACCACAGGGCAACTCTTCACTGTCCAATTCCAATTCAGGAAATTGCTGTCTTTAATTGTTTCTAAAATTATGTTAGCAAGCAATGACACAAATTACATTCATTCAAAGACACGCAATTTTCAACAGTAACCAATTAGTCACTCAGTAAGCAAGTGAGATTTAATATCAAGTCTTACGCCTTACGCCTAAAATGATCATAGCCTGCAAAACAGGCCTTCAGTTTTAGCCTAATCAGGCAAGCCGAGGTGAGTGCTCGGCAGATGCAAATCAGGAGTTATGGCTTGACCTTTTCCCTCATCTTGATCTCCCTAAATATGTCAAAAAAGTGCCTGTTTTCAGGCTTATGCCATTATGGTGAAATTGACCTATCAGTCTCCACCGACCAGAATTGTTAAATTCAACTGACTAGCAACTCTTCCCTTGACTATAATGTTGACTTCCACTCGGGTTGTCGAGATGCTACTGACAGCCAACAACGACAGTTCCTTTCAAAATTACTCACACTCAACCAGTCACATCACATGATCAAAAACGAACATTTTACTTCTTAAAGCAGGACGGGCCACATCATTAAGTTCGCAGCTATGGAACACTGAACTGATCCATAACTCATACATTACCAGAAGCATATAACTTCGTACAAAAATAAAATTATATCGTTACAACAATAGCACAATTTCACGCTTCTTTTACTACTACAACTTAAAATATGTTCTTTGCAAACTTAGTTATCACAAATAAACTCCAAACTATCCACACAAGAAAAACGAAATCTAAGTGTTTTGAGCTTAATTTTGAAAAATTGTCAATCAACACATTGGTTTAGTGATTGACGGCATTTAACACACATTAAAAATAATTTTACCAGTACTCATGTTTTTCATTGTTTCCTTCCACATTACTTCAAACAAAGAGCAATAGGAACATTAAGAAATTTGTAAAGATTTTCTAGAGTTTGTTACTATCACGGAGTAACCCTTGGCCTTTTTTTGACTAACAAACGTGCACCGTGCAACTACCTGGTTGTCAAAAAACCTGAAAGACGATGATTTTGACACACAAAAAAAATCTACCTGGACGACCTTACATGCATGCAGTGCTTTAAATGCTGTGACTTTTGTAAATGAAACTTGTTTCCAGGCTTCGTTCCCTTTTTCCGAAACAAATTTCAGGACTTTTCCAGGGTTTTTCCAGGACTCAGATTGATTTTTCCAGGTCTCCAAATTTCACCTTAAACCCTTTCACTACCAACATATCAAAATAAATTCTCCTTACCATCTGCACACATTTTTATAACGTAAATTCTGAAAACTTTATTGCTTAAGTTAGGCAGAATTCCGGACTTTCCAAGACTCGTAGTCTTTTTCCAGCGCAGTCCTGGAAAATGTCAAAATGAATCTCCACCAAAGATTTCTAAGCTACGTTATTCCTATCTTACTTGATTACTTCCTCCGTCCAGAGCCATGTCTCAGGAAAGTTCTTACGAACAAGCTTTCCTGTTCTTTCTTCTTTTCTTTCCTTTTTCTCAATATTTGGTTGTTTCTTTGGTTTGTTTCTGTGGTATGTTGTCGGCCTGACTGACTGATGAAAGTCCATCCGTAGACCAAATGGCCCCCTTCTTCGAGCCATTTTTCGAAGATGGCGCCCTAAAATATGAACATGTTATCTTATACTTCATACACCATACCAACTAAGTGATGCACTCAGGTAGCATCCCTTAAGGTTTACCAAATAGTTCATTGCTATCCATTTACACTCCAGGGTGGACAAAGCTATTCCGAGAGTAAGGTTACTTTCTCAGCATAATCATATGATCTTTAACACACTTTGAACCAGTCCTTTCAGTTGGAGTTCCGCTAGTTTGTCACCAAACCACCCCACCTTTCCCAAATAGCATCATTATTCTGCAAAGCCACAAAAATAGCAATTCGACAGAGCAAATGGTTTGTTACCATAGTGAGTTAAAATGCACAGCTTACATCGTAAAATTATGTTATTTCTAACAAAAGCTTCTTTTCAGTTTCTTGATTTTGCCAGTTAGAGTTGACAAAAATTTTGCATTAAATTTATGCTATAAACCACCCTCGATATAAATTTTTCTAATGCATTACACGAAGAGTGAATTCATGAAATAATGACAGTGACAATAAGATAACAGAGAATGGGTTAAGAACATCGTTGTGGTAGAATGCATGATTAAGTAATAGACTTAAATGAAAGTCTCTCCTTTTCCTTTACTTAACCAAGTGAAATTTCCTTGATTATCACACGGTGGACAGGACAGTACGCTTCATCAAAACTTGAGATCACTACTTTCCAGCTCATGGGACAGAAGAGTTCAACAAATGTTAAAAAAATAATCCTGTAGACATATACTCTGAACTTGCATAAATTCCACTCAATTAAGTTGGAGTCTTGGATGAGAGAAATGATTCTTTTCACGGGGCAAATTGAGTGCGCACAATGTTATAATAATAATAATAATAATAATAATAATAATAATAATAATAATAATAATAATAATAATACATATCCAAGATCAAATCATAAACTTGTGAAAAAGTGTCTTCTATCTTTAATGTACTCCTTCTTTGATAACCTGTGTCGATTGTGCCATTCCCCTCTTAAACACAAATTCGTCCTTATCAACAGAGGGAGCCATGGTCTGCCAAAAGCAAAAAATCTTGTGGTTGATTGGTAATGTCTTACATTAGCCTCTCTTGACAAAGCAACCAAGTAATAAGCAAATTCATGACGGAAGTTCACTCTCCTTTAGCAGCGCCATTTGAGTCAATTGTTCGAAACCAGTGTTGTGTGCTCTTTCCGATGTATTTGCACAATCTACATCCAAAGTGACTTCATTGTGAGACAAATGATTATACTTGGAACAGAAAGTGTGTTGACCACGATGACAAACTGTAACAATTTATACGATATAACCTTTCCACCCATTGCTTATTAAGGGCAAACTCTCACCCAGTCATTGTTGAGAAAATTCTCCTGGTTAGGATATGATACCAATATGAAGAAAATGCCTACTGACGTTAAGGGGTGAGGGTTAGATGTATAAATTCAGAATTGTGTTTAATTGCTATGCAGATCAGGATATATGGCAAATTCTGAGCAAAGCAGAATGAAGAAAAACGAGAGAAAAATTGAGATTAATGAAGGATACCTATCACATGTGAACCTCGTAATGGCCAGTCTCTCTCTCTCTCTCTCTTTCCTTCTCTCCCCCCCCCCCCCTTTCTCCCTCTCCCCCTAAAGGAGCGTTTTCTCTTCTCTTATCCAACCATGTGTAGCCTCTTGATTACCAGTCTGTGCAAAGTACAGCACTCCTCATAAAAAGTATATATATAATTGTTCATGGCTCATAGGACTGAATAGTATGTCAAACGTGAAAACATCTTAAAGACATTTGCTCTAAAAACCATCCGTGATTGGTCAATGAGAGTCTATTTCCCCTTGAAGAGCAGGTTGAGTATGCACATAGTTTTAAAAAAAGATTCCATGAATGTACAATGAACTCATGGGGTGGTGTCCTCTATCTTTGATGATGTGCCCCCTCCTTGATGGAAAAAATATACTTCTTCCACGATGAAAAAATATCTTCCTCTTCAAAGGAGCTATGGTGTGGCAAATGCTAAACTCTTGTAGACACACGGTTATTCCTTCCGTTGTTCTCTCTTGAAAAGCCAAATGATCTTCGGAAACTTCACAAAAGCACTTTACTGTCCTGTTAAAGAACTAGTTTGGTACTTATGTATAGCCGGCACTGGGTACAAAACTTCATTTATTTGCACCTCCTTTCGTCCAGCCAGTAACTGAGAATAAATCTTACAAAAATATTTTTCTCCGCACAGGCTCGATCCAAAACGAACAAGTTACAAAGTAACCCTGTACTTCCATCCCTTCCTTTCTAGCACTTTCACACTTTTACCAGACCAAGAAGTTCCCTCCCAGTAATTAACAACTAATTCAGACTTATAGGAATCAAATTATTAGATGCAAACTGGGTAGCACGAACAGGTAATTGAATTAAAATTTTGGTGAGCGAATTGTAAATAGTGCTAAAAGGAACTGACGTTGCTGATTTCAAAGAATATCATTTGAAAAACGAGTTTGCCAGTAATCAGCAGAAACTAACAATGCTGAGGCCTTGGTCAATTTCTGTCCATTTTAGGTAAAAATGAGAGCCTAATAAACAGACCTGTTCCTAACCAAAATGCAAACAACACTCCAATTAGCTCTGTGTTCAGCCTGTTATGACATTTCATTGACATGTTTAAACAAAAATGTACACGAAAACCCTGATGAGTTCTTGAAGAAAATACAGATTAGAACACTAACGGTTCTTAGACATAAGTAACACAAGGACAGATGGTGAAGTCTTACTTGACTACTTCCTCAGTCCAGAGCCAAGTCTCTGGAAATTCTTTACGGACTTTGACGGACTTTGTTCCACTTCCTTTCTGCACTTTGGGAGTGTCAGTGTCACTTTCAATCACTGCGACCTCCTCCGCCTCCATAACGGGGTCAGGCCCCGCGTTTCTCATCAATGGCGCAATTGGGCCAAACCCTGAATAAGGATCTGAAAGAGTTATTGATGTTTACATGCCAAAAACTGAATAGGTTGAACTGTGTTTAGGGTAAGTTCAAAGTTTTTTTTCCTTTCTAGGAAATTAGCTTGATCTTATCCAAGTTTCAACCTTGTCAAGCAACAACAGAGATAGGGGTACCACTAATCCTCCTAAATGGGATGCTACCTGGCATACCTTTTCATTCATTGCTACCCATTTATACTGTAGGGTGGAGAGAGGAATTGTGAAGGTTGGGGGCTTGGCTCCGGAACACATCACAATGACCCTAGCCAAAGTCTAAACGAACCCTTTTGATCAGAGTGCAGGGTTTCTTATCATCAACTCACCCGAAATGTAATATTATTTGGCAAAGCTGCCAAAAGGAGTGTGACAAAGCGTGTGTTTGGCTCTCGCATTCAGTTAAATGCGTAAAGGCATATTAGTTCTAAATTACTATGCACATTAGGAAATATGGCAGACTTTGAGCTCAGTGATGGAATTAGGAAAAGTGAGAGAAAAAATTGAGTATTGCAGGATACATATCACAGATGAACCTGTACAGGTCTAACTCTCCAGAAAGCTCTCTCAAGCTTATGTAAGAAAGAAGAGTGAAAACTACAGTTGAACGTGTAGTAAGCAGTACTGTAGAAAGAGGCCACCCTGTACTTAGCAGTCAGTCGTCAAACTCCTGTAGTTATTTACCCCGAAACACTGTAATTTTCACCACTATTACGAAGTCACCTCTATTAAGCCGTTGAGTTCACCCTTCGCCTAGTCCCAACGGCATGTTTCTGTTGTCTTCCACCTGCATTGGACAGTCACGTGAGGTGGAACCAATCAAATAAAACTAACAAACTTTCCAGTATCCTAAATCCACGTTTAAATCCTGAAACCAATGCCACTCGTATCAGCTGTTTTTGAGCGAGTTTTTATACATTGAGTGATTAACTATGGCATATAATGGCGCTTTTCACCATTTTTTTACAATACCCCTATTCTGTAGAACCTGATTTAAGCAGTTAACCTGTGTTAACCCTGTAACCCCTAAGAGTGATTAGCACCTAACTTCTCCTTACAATATCATCCCCGAATCATAGATTAGCATGGAGAGTTTGCATACTGATGTTGAGGTGTAAAGGGTCAAACGGTCACCCTGCCATTCTCCATGGGTGAACCCTTAATACAGATTTGACTGTACTGTATGAGGACTGAGTGATAACGAAAATAAAAAGATGAATACAATCATCAAAAGAGGACTAACAAAGAGTTTGGTACATCGTTCAGGCTGAATGATTGATTGGGTTGTACAACAAATAAAACAGCATTATTTAACCATGTGTCAAAGCACAGCCTTCCTCATACTAAAGTTGATTTCAATGCTATCTAGATCTTAGAACTGAATAGCATATCAGAAACATGTGCTGTAAATTCAATTGCGTAAAATCCACTCTACAAAGTCACTTCTCTATCCATCTTTGATGGGAGTCTATTTTCCTTTTGAGGAGTACGTTGAGTGTGCAAAGAATTAAAACAAAAAACAAAAAACAAAAACAAAGGACTGAACAATGAAGTTATGGACTAGTGTCCTCTATCTTTGACGATCTGCTTCTTCCTTGATGGGGTAAAAATGTACTTCTTCTTGGGTAAAAAAAAATATTCCTCTTCAGTACAAGGAGCTGTGGCCTAGCAAATGCCAAACCCCTGTACACACATGGTTATTTCTTGCATTGCTATCTCTCTTGAAAAAGCCACGTGGATCTTGATTGAATTCATAAAAGCACTTCACTGTCCTTTGAGGGAGCCAGTTTGGTACTTGTGTTCACCTCTTGATATATTTGTAACCCTTTTCCTTTGTTCATATATCGAGGATAACTCTTAAAAAAAACGCTCTGTGCAGGCTCGATTCAAAACGAATACGTTTTGAAGTAACCCTGTAAACATCCCTTACAATCAAAATTGAACTGAACGTGCATCATTTTTTAAACTTACACATTTTTCCAACACCAGGTAGCTCTGAAAGTAATTGAAAACTGATTTGTCTAAAAAGGAATCAAACATTGGATGCAAAGTGCGTAGCATGAACAGTTAATTGCTCTTGCCTTGAGCCGACCAAAACTGAGATTAAATCTTAGCTAGAGAGTTGCAAGTAGTCCCGAAAAAAACTGATGCTGTCAGTATTTGAACAATGTCACTTGCAAAAGTGTTTGCTAGTAATTAGAAGAAACCAGCAAGTGCTACATATGCAGGCCTTAGTCAGTTCCTGTCCGTTTTAGGTAAAAAAAAGAGAGAGGCTTGGATACTAAGCTGTTCTTGTGAAAAATGCACAAAACATATCAATTTGCTCTCATTTGATATGTTGTGTTCAGCCTGTTATGACAATTTAGTGACATATTTAAACAAATTTTTACATCAAAAGGCTGATGTGTGCTTGAATAAAACACAGATTAGCACACTTCTAACGGTCCTTCAGATCCATGATATAAGCAACACAAGGACAGGTAGTGAAGTCTTACTTGATAAGTTCCTCAGTCCAGAGCCAAGTCTCTGGAAATTCTTTACGGACTTTGTTTTTTTTTGTTTTTTTTTGTTTTCCTTTCTTCAGTATGGGAGTGTCAGTGGCAGCAATAGCCATGGGTGACAACCCAGCTATCTCCTGGCCAACCCCTGAAAAGAGATCTGAAAGAGGCATGGATATTTACATACCAAAATGCTAGAAGTCCTTTGGGCTGCGTTTTGGGTAAGTTCAAAGTTCTTTTTTCCTCTGCAGGAAATTAGTCTTAACTTGATGGCCAATCCCGACTTCCTCAGTAACATGCAACTGGGATTTAGTATTGCCACTTTCTCCCAACAGGAATCATGCGAGTTCCCCCAGTATTTCATCAGGTTTCCCTGACAATTTGCTGGTATCCACTATACACCAAAGGTAGAGAGACACACTGTGCATACCATGTCTCTCCATACAGTCTCGGAAAATAATGTTCACCTCATCTAGGAAAAGGAATTTCTTCTTTAGAGCTTCACTCGATGGATTCTTTAAACGTAGTGCCCAAACATGAGTCACTCCTTTTTTTTCATAATTACAGTGAAAACAAACTGTTATGTGGTCAACTCAATTATAGTGCGCCATAAGAGAGATATCAAAATCAGTATATCAATTTAGTGTCAATGGTTGTCAACATGTCTCAGAAATGGTTGTCACGAGTGTAACTATCACAAAACAGGAACATGGGTAGACACAGATCTGATGCACCTCTACGGGAAGGATGGAGTCTTTTCCATGTATCTCACAAACTTAATTATTAAATGTACCTTGATTGTTGAAATGTTAATATCGCATGTGTACATGCATGTATTAAATACTGTTATCATTAAATATGCTCGTACAAAAATGAAGGTTCGCGTCGGATGCACTTCCCTAGGAAGGATCGAGTCTCTTCCATGTATCTTACAAACTCAATTCGTCTTGGTCACTTGTAGGAGTTATAAGGTTGAGTGCCCTTTATGACAACAACAAAATCTGATTCACTTCAAAGTTTGTCACTTAAAAAGGCAAGCTTAGAGGATATACTCCTATTTAAGTCTGATCGTGTAGTGCTACCACCTAGTTGCTCCACTATCCATCCACTTTTTTGCCCTGATGTACAGTGTAATAATGTCTCATATTTAGTATGATCTCCAACCCTAATATGTTCTTACAACGTAATAGTGGAAGTGCAACCTGACCAAATGAGCTCTGTGATAAAGATGTGTCCTATCTAGATACTGTATAACATGTCTGTCAAACTATGTAATCATATAGCAGCTTACCGATACATGTAAAAACTAAAGCTTGTGGGCAAACGTTGACATTTGCAGGGATGATTAGCATTTATCAAAATATCAACTCACATTTTTACAGTGTGTTGAATAACCGCTAAATGGTACTTTTTTTCTAACATGATCATCACTAGTGTCAGAATTATTTGGATATCTTCAATTTCACGTATGGCATAGAATTTTGTGCAACAATACTTAGGTAATGTATGTATAACTGTTATGTGTAATTTAATTAAGGGATTACAAGGAAATCTTGGTAAAAAAAATATAAGGAAAAGTATTAAACAGTGAAAGAGGAGAGAGATTAAAGCAAATATTGAGCTAAAACTTCTTTAAAAGCACACGTCAGAATCACAATTATTATCACTGGCAGCCTAAGCACACAAAATTAAAATGAAGTTAACGACAAAGTCAGTAAGTGAGGTTTAACTGCACTGTTAGCAAGTTAGGAAAACACCTGTTTCCCCCATTTATAACAAACAAGTGCAATATGCCGATTATTTCCAATTCTGAATTTCTGCATTCCCCTTTAGCTTCCTTTTCCTGTCCTGTGTCCCTTAACCCTTAAACCCCTCCATTCTCCTTGGCCCTTGTATTCCCCTCTCACCCTCCTCCTGTCCCATTTAATTAATGATCCCAGATAATGAAACAGAAGCAATGAACTTGCAAATTCTTCTAGGATGACAGTTAAATGGTAGGAACAATGAATAAGTGGTAATAACAAGATGGTCATTAGGCAGGATTCCACTGAACTCAAAGATTCCATCGTCCAGATGTCATAGCATCTGCTACACTGACAAGTACTAGACCTTAAAATCCTCAATGACAACAACGAGAAAAGAAAAGAAAACTTACACTGATGAAAAGGCGTCTCGCATTTGGCAGTTTTAATTGTCAGATCAGAGAAGTATAAGATTCCACTATTCTGCAAGATAAGAAGGAATAATTGTTGAACTTCAATTCATTATGTAAAAAAAATCAGTGGAACAACCATCCTTCTCTTCACCAACAAACTCCATTTAAATAAACGTTTAGTGTAAATTTTGTAGAGATTTGTTCCAAGATGTGATAACTAACCTCAAAAGCACTTGAAGCATCCAAATCTTTTGAGTATCCAGGGAAAAATGATCGTCTGCGTCGCTGCCATGGGCCTCTCCACCAATATGGATTATAGCAACCAAAATGATCATTACCTCCAGAGGGCCCAACATCCTGAGAACTGAGTACTTGGATTGCCTGATAAGGTAATGTTTTAAGATGCCTTTAATTACACCACAAAATGGTTCAATCATTACTATCTTTCTTGTTAGTATAGAGTCCATGCATATTCTCGCAAATGGTTTTGCAAGCCTTTTCAAAATTGATATTTTAATTTACCAAATTTGAGGTTATGGTTGCAATTGCATGATCTTAGTATGAGCTAAAAAAACCAAAAGCCATGAGAAACTCAAAGTAACCACAAAGCATCGTATGATAACAATAAATGATACTGATCTATTGACCAAAGTGACTTTTATAGATTTTTGCTGTAGGGTTGCTCCTTACGAACATTACATATAGTAATTAAGCACTTGCTGCCGCCTGAAAAAAATCTTGAGCCAGCTAAAGTGTTTTAAGTTTCATTTCTGACTACAAACTTTTCCTAGGTCTCGAAAACTGGTAAGCAGAATTTATGTACATTTTTAAGGAATTAACACCTTAATGGATGTACCCTGGTAAACAGAGTTTGAGGAAACACTAGCAAAAAAATAGTAGTAATAGTAATAATCTTACATCATCCTGAGAGAGCTCATTTCCTCCTTTCAAGAGATGAACACTTTTGTCGACAGCAGTCACAGCTACTTGAGATCCCGGCTCAGCTGTTATGATCAAACTGGTAGCTTCCCCTGGTTTTCTGATGCTATCACTAAAACGAATCTTTACCTGCATGTCAGACAAACACTCTTAATGTAAACCATGTTGTTGCTTTCTTATCAAAACAGTTATCACCTGTCTCTTCTCAAACATGTTTTCTCCATAATGTCTTAAATTAAAGGAGGCATTATATATTGGCCACTCGCAACCGGAATTGAATGCTCAGATGTAAAACATCATTCTGTAATTATTTATTTGCATAGATTAATTCTCCAAATGTTACACTTGTGTGTGACACGATTAGTTAAATTTGTTATGATACAGTAACTGTGATTTCAGATATTGTCACATGACTTAAATCAATATATAATTTCATTTAAGGTTACTTCCAACAAAGAAACCATAGAAAACGTCATATCACAGTAAAACTTATAACGTATAGATGACGAAACTACAAAATATTTTCAGTTTTTGCTTTTCACGCGTGAGCTGACGGTGTTTGCTTTACTGAATTACCAGCCTCTGCCTTACCGCAGACCTCCAAACAAACTGGACAGTGTCACTCAGCAGATAATAGGCTAACAAAGAGTGTGAGGCATTTACGATACTCCTATATTGTCAGTGGGCAATTGGGATTTCAAGCTAAGATAAAAGAAACTCTAACTTCGATTTCGTCCTCTCTTTGGCCATTTGATGAAGACTCTTACTTCTTAGCGTTTTGCGAAATGTGCCAGACATTCCCTTTTGTTTATGCAGTGCAAGATGCGATGTAAACACAATATGCAAATCGAGATCCAGACAAATAGCCCGCGGAAAACGTCAACACTCTGTTGGAGGCCTTTCCTATTATGACAAATTTTTCTCTTTAGAACAGGTTCCCCTTAAAACATTTTTTCAGCCGTATCTCCCGTTTTTTTTTTTTGATTTTACAATTACTTTTACCGCAAATTAGACTTAACTTCTTTCACTAAATGAAGAGAAAAACGATAAAATTTTGAAATTTTTAGACCGACAGTAAATTTAACAAGTAAAAGCAAAGCAAACGGATACACCACAATAAATTAATGATGACAAGAGTCATACCAAGACATGTTTTTAGAAAGCATTATCGTGAGTTTAAAATTTGTTTTGATCTTCTGGAAAATGTGTTCTTTTTATTTAATAGCGGTATAATGAAGTTATTGAGAATCACTTCTCAAATGCCGGATTACCTCATTTTCCAATTTGTCTTCCACATCAATCTGCAAATTATCTGCAACAGTTTCCAAGTCATCGCGCACATAGAACAATAACAGACGGGATGACGGTACCATCCTCTGAGTAACAGCAAACTGAACAAATCCACTGGTGGTAAACATCCCTTTCCCTTTAGAATTATTTATTTCATGGAGATTCCTTCCTTGAGCTACGAGAACTCCACGGCTGAATATCTGAAGATTAGAAAGCAAAACATTTTTAATCCAAGGATCCTTAAAAGGTCTTAAAGTAGGCAGTTTGAGTCAACCACTACTTCATTTGGAAAGTTTTTAGTGAAGTTTCTTGTTTGCCACCATTAGCTGTACTAGATCTCTTTACAAACAAAAGATTTTTTCAGTAACAAGGCATTTCTGAGATGTCTAATTTCTTTGCTTTAAAAATAACGGTAAATGCACAGGCTTAGATAGAAATCTATCTACATTCTTATCGCGCAAATAAAACTTGTTCTCACGTCAAAAGTTTGCACTTGGCCTGGTTTTGAAAGTGAGGGCTTATGAAACTTGGAAATGGTCTATCAGTGTTTGATAGTTACAACAGCATGCAACTGTATTGGTTTAAATTCATCCCAAAATGGTTTTTAGCAGCAAAACAACATACACATTGACTGTTATTTCTTCCAATTTTTCATAAAGTATACTGCTCATTGTGGAAAAGACATTGGAAGTATTTTGGTTGGAATGCTAAACTCACAGTCAAGAAGGCCAATTGGAGCCTTGGAAGGATCATTGTGTTGTGCCCCGAGACAACCCAATATGGTGTACTTAGCTCTCAAGGTACCCCTTGCTAATCTAGAGTTCATCACTCTAATGGTGGTCTAGCTAATTTGAAAAACACTCACTTGGTAATAGAAAGTAATGTTCTTTGCATCAGCTATAGTGGTGAAGTCAAACTTAACTTTTGCAGTTGATCCAACCTGTTTTAAAAAGTAATGACTTTTATTACAGTGTGATATAAACGTGATAATTATTACTAATGTGTAAAGGCAGGAGAGTTATTGTAGTGTCACGACTCATCAAATGTGTCCCTAGCATGCACACATAATATAACTATGACCTGTACTACTTTATTTAAATTGGTTTGTATTGTGAGTTTGACTTGTAATGGCCTTAAATAAATTGTGTTTAACCCTTTAACTCCCAAGATTTCATTACTTCTCCTTACTGACTACCAAATGATTCTCATTGAGTTGGTTTGGAGAATTCGGTATCAGATTAAATAGTAGTCCCATAAATGATATTTTTCTTTATTATCATCACTTGTCTGCGTGATATTGCATATATATAGTAGGGAGAAATTCTGTCTTAGTCACTCATGGGAGTTACAGGGTTAAACTCAACACGGTTCATCATGATAATCATACACCTAACAAACTGAACAAATACTTGAGCCTTAAAATTAAGAGAAAAAAAAGACCTTTCAATACTGAGAAACAATTCTTTATAAATCTGACTTACAATATTTGACAGTCAAACAACCCCTCTCCACTCTGGCAACTTCTGCTCATGTTGTGAAATGGTCTGTTGTTATTAATAACACCAGTCCTTATTTCACTAACCCAGACAATCCCAATAAGAGATAGTCTGATGCTCACGAGTTTGCTTTCTTTAATTTACAACTTAAAAAAAGAACATGCAAAACCAACCTTCAGTGGAGATGGAATTCTTTTCATTGATATGTAGCTGTTACTTGGGGAATACCAACGCTTAGCGTTATAATATGCTAATGTCTGCCACTGGTGCTTGGCCTTAGGAGTATTTAAGAAAAACAGCAAACTATTTAAGACAAATCAACATTTAAACTTTTCTCATAACATAACTTAAATGTTAATCTAAATATCAGGAGTCTTGCTTACTTAAAAAACTTACAATCTGTTTCATCTGCTGATATCTTAAGTTTAATAATTAAATTTCAAAGCTGTTGATATATGTCAATCTCAAATGTCAACTCAAACATCAAAAATCAACTTTTGGAGAACAGCAATAAACAGGGCATGCAAGGAACAAGCCCTGGTACACTACACACTGATCCACCTGATTTCCAGCACATAAACAAACTTGGACTTAGTTATGTTTTAAAAACATCCTGTCACAGGATGAGAACATGAATAAAAGGTTTAAGTCTCTCACGACTTACTAACCTGAAGGTTAAGTGATTTGGCATTAGAGGGAATTGTTGAACCATTAATCGAAAACTCAACAAGTCCACTTTCTGGTACAATGAAATATTTATCAAGCAATCTCCGCCATCTTCCACGTATAACAATCTTAATTTGTGCCCCTTTCATTGGACTTCCATCAGGCTTGGTGGCTTTTACCTGTATAAGAAAAGGTAACAATAAAAGAGAAATGAGATTCAAAAGATACAAGTATCCAATTCAGTTGACTCATAGTACTTTGAACTGTCATGAGAAATCATGATTTCTTTGATAAGAGTTGAAGTTATCAAAGGATGAAAAGAACTGAACAACATGATGTGAAATGAGGGGGAACACATCATATTCCCTGTACATGTTTCCTTTCTGTTTAAAAAATGTGTTTACCAGTAAACAGATTAATTTAATTAATTATACACTTTAGGTAAAGAAAATGAATTAATGAGACTTAAAACAAAGCAGAGGGTCTGACTGCAATACTAAACTACGGTGTTATACAAGTATTTCCAGCCCTGAGAAAAGCCATAACAATGCATGTGAAAAAACACAATATCTTTTCACGTGTGTTTGATATCACTAATCAGCTGCTGACACTTAACTCGCCTTTCACGCCACTCAGTTAGGTTGATGAATGAACAGCAAAGCCTTTATCATTCTTAATCTGTGGTTGTTTGTAACAATTTTCTCAATCCTTTCATTTTTATTCATTAATAACGTTGACTTTTCTTGTCAGTGAAGGGCTATTGTGTTTATATAATAAACACTGGAAGAGGAATTCCATATCTACGCGCGCCATGTATTATTCTATATATATTGTTCACGTAATCAAAAGAAATGACTACTGTTAGGTTAAAATTAAGGTGGGAATAAGTTTTAGTTTGAGTAAGTGCAAGTTTTAAGTCATCAAGGGTTGAAGTAAGAAGGAATCAACTGCTCTATTTAATACAAACTTAATAGGACTTAAGTATTAGAAATAATTGTAAGAAAAAACAACAGACTCTTACTTTTTACTCGTAATTGCTCGCCAAATTAATGGAAGCTTTTCTTATGATAATGCTCAGCTGGCTGAGGTTTGAGAAGCTTGTTTCAGTTTTTATCCTAAGCATTAAAGGTCACTGCCTGTAACTTCAAACACTTGGTAGAAGATCTTTGAAAACCTTTACTGCATTAAGGATACATACCACTGAACATTTCAACTGGTAATTCACTTCACAGTAACATTCTTCTGTGTGACAACTGAGATCAAAATTTACTGTTTTCTTCTTGTTTGTTGTATTAGTAGAAGTAATACAAACCTGCCCACTATAAGCCATGCCTGGCTTAAATTCTTTTGGTGTACTTGGAAGAAACTTCAGTTTTGCTGTTCCTCTGACGATCTGACTTTCTGTTCCCGTAGCATTTTGAGAGATTCCTGTTGCTGTTTCCTTTACAGTGGCATTGATGGCAATCTTTGAATGTTCACAACGATAGCAATAGTGACTGTTGTACTGCTTAAATTTATTCAACACATCCTCTGTCTTGATAGTCACATCCGTGCAGCCGTTAATCTGAAAAAGACAACAATGCCAATTTTACATGTAACTAATAGTTAGTGAGAAAAAAATAAATTTAGATCCCTGACACCTAAATGTTTAATTAAACAAGTTTGTGAAACAACAGCAATAGATGGGTACAACATTTTCAATTAAAAAAGCTCTTTGAAACATGATGAAGCAAGTCAACAAAAAGGTTCCAGAACATGTTTTTCCTCTAAAGCAAAAGCTATGTGCAAAATCTTCACAACTTTGCAGCTACTTTGAATTGACTAAAACATCAATGGAATGATTTCACTCCAAGCCTTTCTATAAATTGTTACCTCTTTTTCTGTTGTTATTTGTGTTTCCAAAGACTTCCCTCCCCGGTACCAGACAGGCAATGTCATTTGAAAGAGCACTGAAACAGTTCCTTTCACTGGCTTTCCATAGGTGTATCTATGGAATCATTAATAACATGAGTCTTGAATCTGTAAACTGACTTATTACAATATCTAAGAACCTGCCTGTGCAGCAATAGGGTGAGTGATGTCTGGTTTCCATTTTACCTGCAACACACCCTGTCTTACCCTTCTTTTATTCCAGTCTCTTTCATCCAAAGCTTTTGCTCATTATTCAGAGAAAAACAGAAGGCTAGAAGTCTGCTGAAATTTTTTAACCACAGATCCTTTCACTTACTGAAACACTTCTCAAACACTTCTTTCAACCAATGACAGCATGCATTATATCCAAACTTTATTATAAACAGAAATATGCATTGTTTATAACAAAAATGTCGAGAATGCTCTCAAGACAAGACAAGATGTCTGACTTACTGAGCACAAACCGTGGCTTTAATATCTTTGCTTTTCACTGCTACAAATGATGGAGGCTTAATGGTCACTTCAAACTTTGGCAGCACTGTAAGTTAAAAAAAGTTACAGCACGTTACAAGTTGAACAACATAGTTGTTTGCATCCCACACTGAGTAAGAAGGAGGTTGTCTGTATAATAGCAACCTTTCAGTTCACAAAACAGATACAACAGACAGCAGTGCAAACATTTATGTTTGGCATATCAATCTGCAACCTAACAAGTACGGTAAGGATTCCATTTAGCACCCTCCTTCCAATAAGCTAGGGTACATGTACATTGAGATCAACCGTGTTTCATCAGTTTCTTTACACAAATGATCTTGTTTTGTGGTGATTACTTGGCTGATTGTTCTAGCAAGGAAGGATCCATGGAAAACAAGTCTGTTTTCAGGTCATTTTGATCCTTTAGAAAGAAACAAACAAAAAAAGAAATATGCACCCTGCCCCCAATTAACACTCTGGTTCAAATAGGCTCCCTTCCTTGAGGTACCAAAAGTAAATATCAAGGACCCCAGGTGCCAAATAGAATCATTAAGGTATCGAAATTTATAATTTTGATATCATCGTCTTTCATACAGACATTAATGTTTTGTGTAAAACAAACCATGGGTGAAATGCTTACAAAACTACATTTTTTTATTTATGTTCTGTGCGTGAACTGAAAGATGGCATACATGTAGGTTAGCCAATCAGAACTTAGCATTCACAATACAAAATTAGATAGTACAATCTCATTAAGATATTTGTTCATGAGAAGACATACCATACTTATCCACTGAAAAGACAAGTTTTCCTTTTTCACCCTTAAATGGAAGGAAGAAATTGTTAGAAAGTTTGAATTACTATTAGATTCAAATAGACAGACTCTAGGTAGAAAAAGCTGTATAACTGGTCAGCCAGGACAAATCACTTTAAATTTACTACAGCTGTGGTTCGCAGACCAAGAGGCACAAGCAAAGAAAAATAAGCCATGTACTGTGCAGTGCATGTACTTAGAAAAAACCTTACTGGTCCCTTTCCTTAAACTTAATTGAAAACATGTAGTTCTTAGCACCCCATCAAAAATTATCTTGAGTAGACCCTTTATAGGTCCAATCTTTGGCCACTAAACAATTGGGATATAACCCAGTGTTTTTGTTCTCATTTTTTACCGTTTTGTTTTGTTTTGCTTTACTAAGCATTGAGGGGGAAAGTCATGCATGGACAAGTAACAGTTGATCATTTTTGTTTTTTAATATTTTCGGAGACATAACTATTATTTTCATGACCTACAATAGAATTTTTCCAAGACCTATAATAGGTAAACTGATAATTAAATCACCGTATTTATTTCTTTACTGGTCTCACAAAAATTCAATACAAATTACATGACTTTCCATGTCTGGAAAACAAGATCATGAAAATTCAATAACTTTACAAATTTTTGCAGACCCATGTGGGTTCTGAAAATACCTCAACTTCTGCTTCAATCTTCCAGTCGCCCAGAAGAGGCTGGCTTGATAAAGGAAACTTTAAACTAACAATTCCTAAAGTATGAATAAAAATCAAAACAGAGTATTGCATCATTATTTTTCTTTTTTTGGGTTAGAGTTAAAGGAAACTGAGGTCCTATCTGAAGCACTTGATGTGTGAACAAAAAGCCTACATGAGTGACAAGGATATGCCATGTATCTATGTTCTGCAAGTATGTTTGGATGATACATAGAACTTTGGGATTATTCTGTATAAAAGACAAAAAGAGCACTTCATTAATGACTCACCACCAATGAAATCCACATTGTCCCATTGCATTGTACGTACTTTACTAGGACTCTACAAGAAATAATCAATACCCAGCAGTTGAGTGCCATAGAGACCTGCATATAACCACCTACTTAGACTTATATTTGATCTTACTCTGGTATTGTTAAACCAGTATTTTTTCATTCCTGACAGATTTTCAGAGAGGTTTTACACAAAAAACAAATAGGAATTATTACTTTGAGCAAAAGGTGATTTGTAGTGTAGCAGACAGGTAGTTGATCAGTAGAAAAGGTACTGGGCACAGGTAGCTTTTGAAGAATTAATTTGCATCACAGTGCATGACAATGTTCCTTGTTCAGTAATGTTTAGCTACTCAAAGAAGTCAAGGCAACCTTTAACTGGTTAAAAGGTCTCTTGAAGATGAGGGTTTTTGCCACTCAACTGCAGGACAGCTATTTTTATTTATAAGTTTACACTTATAAATTGAATCATCTTTGTTAAGGAGCCACCAAACTTGCAAGAACAACGATCAATTTCTATCCATGCAAATATCTTTACGAAGTTCATGTTACTTTACTCTACAGACTTGTAAATTTTAATGATCAGTGTTAATTTATGCAAAGTTACGGCACATTTTTCAGATGCTCTTGCAGATAAACTACACCCCTGAACTGCTGCAAAAAATTTTGGGAAAAAGACACCACTAATACACCTGTGTTTACAGCACCTCTTTTTCATTAGTTTGAAAAAAGATGCCACATCCAAAGACCTTTAGGTGATGGAATCTTTCCCTCTAAAGAAAATAGCTATTGAAAACAAAAAAGTTCTACTTACAGTAATGGAAACTCTTTTGACCTGTGAAGAAACATCACAAGAGGTGTAATTATTAATGATTCTAAAATGCAAGAGACGTATATTTTAATATACTGCTGTGTGATAAGTCAACTACTCAAAAGAAGCGTTCTGCTACAATAGCATTTTGCTGCATGATTTGCCTAAAAAGTCAACAAAAATTTGTATTTGTCAGAGTTTACCTGTCCTGTTAAGGGCTTGAGGTTTTCATCCACACCAACAATACGCATGTTCACTAAAAGAAAGAAAAATTAACCCTTTACACCTGAACATCAGTTTACATATTCTCTACAGTGTTCTTTACATATTTCCTAAGTGCTGAAAAGAAGGTTTTGTTTGAAGGGAGAAATTAGATGCTATGCACTCTTAGGGTTTAAAGAGTTAAATAAAACTTCATTGATGAAACTGCACACATAAGCTTGTCTATTCTCCTTACCTGTTTGCAGGATAACATATTTGAGTCATGAAGGGAAGTCACTTCTTAATCACTTCTGTAGGTTTAAGGGGTTAATGCCCTTTTGGTGAAGATTATGCCTCTGTCTCAAAGTTTCACTATGCACAGGTCAATCTCTTAATAGAAATTTAGTGAAATTACCTGTCTGGCCTGGTTTGTAGATTGGCTTGTCTGTTTGAATGAAGACAGAGATCTTTGGAATTTTAATGGTTATGATTTCACTGTTCTGAATGATGGGCTCTCCATTAACTGGTCCTCCAAAGACATTCAGCTTTGCTTGAATGCTGTCCCTCTTGTTGGCTCTCAAATTTCGTGGTATCTTGAATAAAACAAATGATATGTAATGTAAGGTACACACACCTATGCCAATAATGTTTGAATCAACAACTTTGCATTTTTTCTGTTGCAGGAAGGCATTTAAGAGTCATCACCTTGAGTGATATACAAATTCCCACAACATAGCATTTGTGTGAAGGAGTACACATAGATGTGAGCAATGAATGACAAAAGAGGAATTAATATATATGCATTTGCAAGTACACCACTGCACATATGGAAATTTTTTATTGCATGTTTGTTACTAAACCCTTTGTAACTAACACCAATTACATGCCCTTGATGTGTGTGTGGGATGCTGCATTACACATAAGCAGTAATACATTACTCTCCTAAATATATATTAAAATTTTCCACAATCCCATACAAATTGCTTAACCTGGTTAAAAATAAATTTGGATAATTTGTTCTACCAAAGTTCAAAGAGTAATGTAAAGATATCCTCTGCCTTCAAAAAGGTTATAAAAGGAAAAGATTAGTAGAGTTATTCTGATTTGAGAAAAAAAATTGCACTTTTTCCAAGAATATCTTGAACCTTTGATACACTTACATTGAGTTTAAGGGTTTCTTCTGAGTCACTAGTGAACTGTGCTCCATCACTAGCTATTTCTTCACCAGGTTCTGACCTGTAGGTCAGTAAAGCATCGATGAACCATGTTTCATTGACATCAATGAGACTGACAGATAATTCTTGGGTGCTGCCAGCACGGAACAGTCTTGGGCATGTTATAAGGTAGCCACTGCAAATAAAGAGAAGAATGAAAACAAAACTGTAAAAACCAACAACTGTTAATAAGGGAAGATTGGGGAGCTCAATATGTTCTGCATCTGCATTGTAGGATGTTAGAGACTTATAAAGTGGTAAGGTCCATGGAAATTTGTCCTCACTATTTTTATTTGTATGTTGTTTGAATGTTTTCTCTTTTAATTTTTTAAGGGGATGGATTGCAAGGATCAAGTCCACCATTATGCACTATTATCCAGAGGTTTCAATGAAAGCCGGTTACCAGTGGTCTACCTCCATCTGCAAGACATCTTAGTGCTATCTGTTAACCCTCTAACTTCCACATCAAATTTGCCTTCCTCTATACTGTCAACCATACAATTTTTGTAATGTTAGTTCAGAGAATTTAGTATTGGATCAACTAATTATCCCAAAATTTACATTTTTCTTTATTCTCATCACTTATCTGGTGGGTATTGTATTGATATTGTAAGGAGAAATTATGTCCTAGTCACACATGGGAGTTAAAGAGTTAAGTCTGTGAGCAGGATCTCATGTTTGGTTGTCACCTCATAACACTGTTGCAGCATCGGTAGCCACTTATGGAAAAAGTTGTTAATACTCTGACCACCACTAACATAGTATACAAATATTTTCCTTTCAGAAGAAAAACTTCACCTATCAAGTTTCTTGTGTTAGCTGAGAGCCAATATAGAACACAGCTATACATAAGAAAACAATTTTCCAAAAGATCTAATTAGGGTTTTAATTTTACCACCTCTGGAATGAGGTAAAAATATTTTACATATTACATGTACTGGAGTCTTCACAGTCTCCCATTCAATCTATTTAAAACAATCAGCTGAACTTTAAACTTCCTTTGGGAAAATCTCTTGTCAACATTTGGAGAAATAAGTTGATAACCAAATCATACTTATAATCAAAAGGTTTTAAGAAAATTAACTTAATACAGGAAGCTTGGAAATTAGAAGTTATCAATTTGAGCACTAAAGTTCCATGGAAGCGTAATTTTGCATGACTTCAAGGTCTTGCTAAAAATATTATACCACAGCCTTTCACACAAAGACCACAATCATAACTCGATCACAAAAAAGACAAAATTTCAGAGACAAAATTTTGCTCACGTGCAAATCAATAGTTAGAACAAACTCATAAACATCCGAACTTTAAAAAATTGCCTGCACACCGATGTCTAGTATTTCTTTTGCTTCTCTTTCTACGTGAAGCAAAGAAAATGAGATACATTTTAATACTGGCTTTACGAAGGAATAAAACGTGACGAAGGAAGTAAACTTAAATTGCTACATTCGACAAATAGGTCACTCGGCTCTTTCAACATTCTTCATTTTTTTCTCATTTAAGTTCGTTGTTGTACATCAATATTAGTTTAATTCGTTCAAAACATAAGAGTACCCTTTTTGAGCACTAAACCGACCTATTTGAATCTTGGGAGAAAACTTATACCAGATGAAGCTAGAGTAGATTTCAGACATAGCGAAGACATTGAGTGAGGACTTTCGACTTAGCCTGAAAACGAGGTTAAACTTCGACTAAACTGCGTAAATGTGCAGGTATTAGCTGATTTAAGAGGTTATGAAGTGATGAGAAAATACGTTTCCGACAGAACACCCTAATCATCTTGAAAATGCACAGCAAGATGAAACGCCAGCTGTGACTTGAATCAACGCCTGCTGTGATTTGGTTTCAACAGAACAATAGTAGATACAAATATCGCTGATCAAATTCGTGACCCCTCGAATAGGTCAAATATTCTGCTCGCGCGCGATTTCTTACATCCATTATAACGAAGGTATTCGTTTGAAAATTGATTGGAGATTGAAAAGCGTTTTGGTGTTCTTACAGAAGAAGAGGTATACGGTGAAACCTGTATTGATGGCAATTCAGCCAGCGCTCTATGTTCCAAAACTCTGTTCAGTGGACTTTTAACTGAACCCTTGTGTGACCCAATGGACACTTCAAAAGGTTTTACAATATACCTTAGATTTTTCATATTTATAAAAAAAATAATAAACAGTGTTCGTAAAATCGTGCTTAAATTGAGAAGAGGCACGGGGTTTCAAACAGGTAAAAAAGTAACCAATGACATCAGCTCACCAACAAGATTACAGGAGAAATTAAATTCTATATCATAGCACAATTTGTGTAGCAGACGGAGATCATGTATCGAGCTTGCTCTGGCAAGGGTGCCGTGTTTGTTTATAACGTCATATTAAAGTGAACATCCCGGAACCAGGGTAGATAACGTTTCGACAGCGAGTTAAGAGTGCGTATTTACTTCCCGGCACAAAAATATATTTTGCCGAGTCACGGTTTTTTTCGCACTTCGCTCTCGGAAAACTGTTTTGCTTTTCGGAATATATAATGTCCGGGGACATGTATCCGTACATATTTTTGCGTAAACTGTATTCTATTGTTTGTCTGATTTAAAGGATAATTTGCGTGATATTTGATTTTATACGATTTGGAACGTGCGAGTAATTTCTCAAGATCTTGTGATTCCTAAAACAGACTTCCTGAAAAGCTGAAAAGCTTCACCTTTCTTCAAGGTTGATCGTTCGGGCTACAATTTTTTCATTGAGGCATATGTCACTCTTTACTATGCAGTTTCATTTCAAGCGACCGGTCTGTCTAGGAAACAATTTAAGACTGTAATAAATCAAATGTTACACAGGTATACCATTTATCCACCTTCTGTCTTTAACAGACTTTCACCCTCTATCTTTAATGGACTGTCATCGAGGTCCTAGTACATACACTCCGCGGCTAAAATTATCACGGCTTTATACTGAATCTTAAGTTACGTTGACATAGAAAAATATTAAAGCGCTCGGACGATTTTGAAGGAGGCATAGCGCGTAAGATCTCCAAGCACGTCGTCTGATAGCGCATTTGCGAGAGAAATCTTTTTTCACGAGCGATGGTATCTGGAAAATTGCCCGAAGTAAGAAGACAGTACATGGTTAGACTTACCTCTCAACAAGACTCCCGGATTGAGCTAAAACTGCAGCAAAGACCAACACAACTGTTGCCTTCATCTTTATCTTGCTCGTCTAAAGAGCAACGATATCTTTACGTGTGAGTGACCCAGAGAAGTTGTTTCTTATATATTGGGGGAGGCTTAAACGGTTGCGCAAATTTGAAATTAAGAACTTTCGCACCCACGGCTTCCGTTCAAAGAGAAAGGGAACATATCAGGAGATTCTGACATCATTACGAAATCTAATACTTCAATTTGATAGCTCTTCTCCACAGGCGATGAAATTTGTAATTCAACCCAAAAATAATAGTGCAAATACGTTCTGGAATTTCAAATCTTTAACTAAAATACATGCAATAAATAATAAGATACTCGGACGCGTGAGAGTCTGAAGGGATTTGTATTAAAAACGAGTTTTGGCTGAAAGAGAAATTTCCCTGAGCGCGTTCATATTAATGGGGGATTGGGTTTGGGCTTCGGGACTAAAAATTTTAGCGAGGAAGGCTTTCCCAAACATTCTGATAAGTAATTCTGTGCTTTAGCTGCTGCCATTGCTATGAAAATATGAAACAAGAAAAAATCCATGAGCTGAAAAGTTTGACAATCCTCATTTCCTTCTTCCCGACTTCCATCTCATAAGGTTGTTTAAGGAAAAGATTCTCCTTAATAGATTCTCAACGATCACTTTAGGTATCCAAAATTCTATTCTCAAGCAGGCTCCACTTCAAGACTTCAGTACTGACGATTTACACTTCTGCAACCTCACCCCACAAAACTGATTAATTCATCTGGTATCGTTGAGGTATGACTTGTCTTAATCGTTAGTCATGACGACTAAATTCTTCCGTTGAAACAGCCTCACGTACAAAGTTTGTTCCATAGAGCTTTCTATAAATCTTACATCTTGAAAGAAGAATTTAGTTCTTCACGTCCTCTCAGTTATTCGTCATTGTAAATAGGACACAACAACAGAATCATGCACGTACTCTAGTGGATACAAAATTTAGGGCGTGATAATTGAAAATTTTTTTCGATAACCTTGTCACTACGACTATTTTACATCTAAGCATTCGATCCGGAAGTGACGTTCGTCAAACCCATACCGGACTGCCTGCGGTTAAATTAAGTAACTTTGTTCCCCCATGAAAGTTTTACGTGATTTATCTTTTGGGGGGAACTATCTCTTTGTCACGTTGAGGGGTAATTGTAATTTCTAGAGAAAAGAACATTTGCATGTACATTAAGCGGCAGGAAATCACCAAGAAGAAAAACATATATTTCTTCTAGAATGTGTGACCAATCGAGTCATACGAAGGGAAGCTATTTAGTCGATAGATGATTCGTGGATGGATGTTTCGAGTGAGCTCGAACACCAAGAATACAAGATGCACAGCCTTTGCATATCTTTGATGTGTGGTTTCACGAGATTTTTTCCGCGCGAACTTATAACTATTTTTTTTCTATTGAGTTCCTGATATACAGTGTAGTCTGACCCGTTTCTTCCGTGGCAAGAAGAAATGGCCCCAGGCAACAAACAACAGTTATCTCCTTCGGGAAGTCTATTATTCATTATTTCTTACGTTTTGAGTCTCCAAAGGATAGTCAACGACCAGGCCAAAAGAAATAAGTCGTTAGGGAGTTTCAGAAACGAAAACGGGACGCCGTGGACAACGTTGGTTAAAAAATAAACTTATATTCTACCTACGAATCTCCCAATACTCTAAAGTAATTTATTTTGTTTATTACTGTCAAAACTATCTCGAAACTGAACATGGAACACAGCGTTAAATCGGAAATAGAAATTTAAAAAATTAGCCGTCGTTGTTCTCGTTCTCCAGACAACGCAAAGTTTGGTCATTTCGCGTTGTTGTTTTGCAGAAGAAGCGAAGAAATTTACAAAGATTTACAATACACGTGCACAGCCATTGTTCTGCTCATGAAACCTTTTGTTTAATGACGTTCCTGTTTCCGTTGTGGTTTTCTTAACCCTTTACACCCTAACATCAGTATGCATATTCTCCATACCGTTCTCAATATATTTCCAAAGGTGCTGCAAAGGAGAATTTAACAATCTAGAGCCTCTATCATTGGTGATCATTTCCTTTTTTCTTATGACCTCTACGTATGATTTTGGGGGAGATATTGTAAGGAGAAATTAGATAATAGTCACTCTCAGGGGTTAAAGGGTTAAACTCCTTAACATTAGCGCCTCAGCACGAGGGTTTCTTCACCCGTAGGAAAGTAGGAGGGTTTTTGCAAGGTGTCTGGTGCCATATCCCCGCCAAGCCTCTCCCGACTCGTCTCAAGTCTTCCCGCGGGTGAAGAAAAGTGCATCCTGCAGCGCTAATAATAGGGACCTTTAATAGTCAGGGGGGCAACACCAAGGAAGATATCGATTGAAAAATGAGTGTCTATTTTCAGTTAGAATTTCGAAGATGGCTGTATGTGTTTACCGTCTCTTACGGCGCCACATCTCAACTTCAGTATAACGTCTTTGAGCAGCGTTGAGTTTCAGATAGAAATTAAAATAATTTGCCATCGTGGTTTCCATTCGTAGACGACGAAAATTTTGGTGATTTCATGTTGTTTTTTGTAGAAGACGGCTGAAAAATGAACAAAGTTGGAAACACACGAGCTGAACCATTGTTCTGCCCATTAGATCTTTTGTTTTGCCATGTCCTCGTTGCCGTCACCGTCGTGATTTGCTAAAGATCCCTAATTAAGGCCTAGCCATAGGGTAACCTTCATGTCTGCGATCAAAATTAGCCTTAAAATGCACACAACTCGCCGTTTTGAAAATTCAGATAACTAATCCTGGACGGATCAGGGGCAAGAATGATGTTTTGGACCTCATCAGTGTTAAACAAACAGCAAGGATATGGGAAAAAATGGGATTGAGGCTATGTTACGTCGCATGCAAGCAGCTAGATCACTAAGAAAGGTTTAAAATGGGGGCGTCCCTAGTCAAGATTTGGTTTACTCTTTAAAACCTTCGGAGATATGAATCCGTAGTTTCTGAGGCATACTTTTCGATGCAAAGAGACGAAGGAAACGCTGGCGAAGTAAATTGGGCCGTGTTGGCGTGAATTCCATCAGTGTGCCGCCGAGCATACAACTTAGAAAACCACGGCAGGATTATGACTCACCGCTAAAATAGCTCCATTTGGGGTTTTTTTTTAAAGTAAGGAGTTTCATAAGTCACCACCTCGAGAAAGAGTGACATGTTATCTGAGTATACCTTTAACAAATACAACTGGAATAACTAAGGCTCATTTCTCAATTCCAATTTATTTACTGCCATTTAGAACTTTTTAAGTAACTTTTCTTCTTCTGAAAAGAAGTTTTAAAACAGAAAAACACTTCATGCTGAACACAACGTTTTGAAAATTTCAGTTATAGTCGAACCAAGTCAATTGTAAGCGTACAGATTCCATACATATATCGGTTATAACTTAAATGGTCTATAAGTTTTAGACTGAATCTTATCAAACTCAGCACTCCTTGATGCGTAGTGGACCATTCATTTTCAGACTGCAATTGCTTGCGATTGAAAAATCTTTCAGACTTAAGAATGGATAAACTACGAACGGAATCAACCGTAAGTGCTGCGTTGTAAAGACCGAATTAAATTTGATTAGGGCGACAACTAAGGAACACCATATGCAAATATTACGCTTGAAATGATTCGATCGTAACGATGTTAAAAGTTGGCAGGATAAAAATAAATATTAAAATGGAAAACTAAACGTCAGTGACTTGTATGAACGCATACGATTCAATTACCAGTGTTTAGGGAGCTAAGTACCCATAATATTTGGGGAAATATTTTTTTGCATGGAGCAGAATTTCCGAACACCTACTGACTTGAAAATATTGGTTCTGCAAGGGAGACAACGAACAAGAGGGAGTAACTGGAATGAGGATTGGATGGAGATAAATTAATTGTAAATGACAAAAAAAACAACACAAAACAAAAAAAAAACTCGGCGTGCATCCACTTGAAATGGAGGTTTGCGTCGATCGCTACGAGTTTGTAACAAGACTGGTACAGAGAAAGAACTCTCGTTAACCCCAGCCACGTTTCTATCAGTACAGTCACTTAATATCATGATCGATAAAATGTGACTTAAAACTATTTCGTTGCATTACGCTTAAAAAGTAAAATGCTATAAAAAAATATGAGGCCATACTACATCCTGAGGGGAACTCAAAATATATATCACAATCTTCTCTGTTACTTGTATACACGCGTGCGCACTTACCACTCAGTAAAAAGTATATTTACAAGCAATGCGTGACTAAGTTTTGATTACAAGTGGATAGGCATAACATTCATGGAGATGTGAGGTTAGGAAAGCCGAGCCCTTCTGTGTGCTTTCGCTTAATTTTTAAGTTTTTTCTATTATCGAACTCATTGTACACAGCGTTCATAAAGCATTCAAATCATTCTAGACCAAGCAACCAAATAATATTATTGTAGAAAGCAACAAAGGGTGAATCCACACGAAAAGATTGCGTACAGTCGAGGAACTCTCCATTGAAACTGGAGCACCGTTTTTCAAATTTGATTTTCCCGGCTTTCCTCGCCCGACACCTTTCAAAACTATTCTATAGTCTTCTAGATCGTGGATACCATTCTCCACTCTATCATACGAGCAAAGCGATCGCTAGTCGTTAGAAGCAAACTGTACAAATACTGAAGACTAAATAGAAACCACGTAGCACGCTACTCAGTCTCAAGCCAAATTGAAGGAGTTTGACCAAATTAAACACAGCCAATGAAAATACACCGACAATCCTGAGACATATTGTCTCAGGGTGCGGAAAGAGCGGGAAGAGCTGGTTGGCTAAAAACACAATACCTAAAACTCATCGGTGAGGGCAAAATGAGCGGCATTCAATAACCCATCAGAAGTTTGCATTCGTAAACATGCTCCAAATGCGAGCATCTCGTATGAGACAGTCTTTACAAATTGTACAAAGACAGGTAGTCGAAAAATACATCTTATTTGATGTCCATAAAGACGAGGGAGATGACACTTAAATAACACAATAAACACATTTTCTTGTACATATGTACATTTAGAGGGATATCTCCAAATAAAATAATTTTAAAAAATATATCAATGCATCGAGCGGGACAACATGCCGACGAAGAATTCTACAAAAGCGTCTCATGAACTGACACAGGAGACTATTCAATTTAAAACGCAAAGATTTGTTTAAATATAGGCAATTCATAAACCCAAAGTAGAAAAATATAAAATATCGAATTTTGAAAAAAGCTTTCTGTTGATGTTTCGAGTAAATCCAATAGCTCCATGCTTTACTTTCAAATAACACATCTCGAAAACAAAATCTGCGCACAACATAAAAAATATAAAAAGAATTTCAATGGTGTTCGAGCAGCCATGATTCGCAAACATTTCAGGCGCACGATTGATTTTTCGCTCGTAAGCTTATAAGTAAGCACACTGTAAAAGATTATGAACAGATTTCGTTAAGACTGATCATAGATATTAAATTAGGGAAGTGTCAGTTGACAGAGGAATATCAAAACATGAGATATTTTTTTAAAAGTAGGGCAAAGTCTCTTTGGCGAATCTCCAGTGATTATGATCTTAAGCAACGATCTCGTCGCAGATCCTAATGTTCAGGAAAAGGTCAAAACTGCGGCGCCTCGCTGTCTGAATTGTCGTTGATACCATAGTTCTTTGGTGAGAATTCGACATCAGGAAAAGGTGTCGCAGCATTGAAAACCTTGCTTCAATTCTGTACCCTTAAACTGACACTTGCATTTAAGTATAAACCGAATGAAAGAAAGCTTTAACTTCCCTTTGTAAACATGCAGTACCCTAGGTTTCGAATAGTTCTGTTTCTACAAAAATGAGTCTGGAGATCCTTGCCAATAAAACTTATTGCCCCAGACAGGTAACTGAGGAGCTAAAAATTCGACGCGTTAAAAGAAAGTTAAAAACAAATTTCTTCCCGACGGGCCTCTGCTCGAACCCATGCTGAAGCGTAACCTTATTTCCAGGCTCTGTTTCCACGCTCTGTTTCCAGGCTCTCTCGGGCTAGCTAAAGGACCGTCGACTTACTGCTGGGCATCATATGAGACGGGCTGGGGTAGTAATACGAAGGAGGGTCTCCTCTCTTTGAAGGACCGGACACCTTGAAAGGAAAATATGGAACAACGTTGAACTAGAGATACACGCTAACACTACCAGGTACTGAGGCCTACTCTGTAGGTTGGTGTGGTGCGCAATTGTTCCGTATAGCTTCTCTATATTTCTTTGTAAGTATGTAGAGTGAATTTGGTGTTTCATTGAGACAATACCCCACAACTAATAAGTCTGTCTATTCTCGTCACCTGTTTCCCAAATATTTCACTAATATCGGGCATTTAACCCTTTAACTTCCGTGAGTGACCAAGACATAATATCTCCTCAAAATACCAGTAAAATGTTAGGCGGACAAGTGATGAGAATAAAGAAAATGACAATTAGGGGATAATTGGTTGATGTTACACCACATTCTCCGAACTAGCATCATAGGAACTGTTTGGTAGACAGTAAGGAGAATTATGAATAAAATCTTGCTAGTAAAAGCGGTTAATGGTTAAGATCCTTACAGAGCTTCACTAAAACGATTAACAAACATTTCAGTAACACAGTGCCAACTTACAATTACTTTCCTTTTTCAAGGCAAGTTTTGTATCAAATCCATTTCAAATCATTTTCACCAAACGATAAAATTTCCATATCGTTTGAATTCACTGTCAGGTAAACAGGTGAGCAAATGAAGGAAAATTATCATCCAAGAAAAAGCCTTGATTTAAACAGCCTGTAAAGAACTATATTACAATAAATGGTTTGAACACGGGGGTAACGTAATGGAGAAGTCTGATCGTCTGAGTGTTGTTCTAAGAAGGACCGCTGTGGGTGGAAGAACCCGACTATTCCCTTGACTCTGATGATGACTTTCGGTCAGGTTTTCGTAAAGTTAGTCACTACTCCCGGCAGCAGTCCTTCTCAGGACTACACCCATCCGGACGATCAGACTACTCTATCACAGTGGACTGTAAGGCCATCAGTTGAGTGAATTTTCTTTCAGATTTTGCAGTTGATATGATTATAGCACTCACCACCTCGATGTAATCCGTAGCTGAGTACTTTACCGGTGAATTGTGATGATTTCGACTTGTTCCATTCAGCTGCAACGCCGCCTGATACATGACATGGCTGAAACAGGCAAATACACATATAAAAATTACGAACTTACAAAAGAGAGGCTCTTCAGGATGTACACGACGCCGAAAAAAAAGCAGTTTTAAATTTGATCAACTCTAGGAGGAGTTTCTTTCCATTTTTGAAAAATTCAAAGTACGACGTAAAGGAGACAAAAAGAATGTAAAGGAAAAAAAACTTGTCTGTCTGAAGCGCGAAAGGCGGGAGACTGGGTTTGGTTCTAATTTTGCATCTGGTTGGCTGAGAGTGTTGCGCGAGATCTTTAGACCAATTGTGAAACTCAAATAATGTAACATTTTTCGATGGGGTGTCGGAAACCAAAACCAAAGTAATCCCAGCGGCCAATAAGGAGAAAGGAAAATACCTTCAAGAGCCAATGAGAACTAAAAGAAAAATTACCAAACTGCCTAAAGCGCGGGAAAACGCAGGTGACCAAGTCGTGATTAGTGTAAGTTTTGCATCTGATTGGTTGAGAAAGTGGCGCAAGTTTTCTAGACCAATCACAGATCAAAGTAAAGCAAAATCCCGGATTACTTTCGGCACTCAATAGTCCATTTCACAGTTGCGTGCTTGGTTGCCAAGCCTTTGAACAGGAGTGAGGCTAAGGGTGACCTTGTTGTGATACAAACCTTGCTAGTTTTCAAATGTAAATTACTTTGTTGTCATGCTAACTAGATATTGGTCTCTATCACAATAAGGTCACCTTCAGCCTCACTCCAAATAAAAGGCTTGGCAACTAGGTACACAACTGTAAAATGGCCTATTGAACGTTGCTCCAGTTGCTCTCTTCACTCTAAACAATAAAAATCTTACTTAGGGATACGTCCTTGATTCCTCGTGTCGTGTATGATCACTCCGTTTGGGTACTCCACTTTCACGTACTGACCATCAGGGTTTCCATCCCTGGGTAAGGGAGCCTTTCGACTTGAAAACATTCCCTGCTGTTCTTGGCCAAACGAGGGTCGCCTCGGTGAGGAGTGGTGGCTGTTTGCACCTGTAGCAGACCCTGGTCCAGTTTGAGGGCCGCCTGAAAAAACGAAACATTGAATACCTTGACATCTTTTCTTAATTATTAGATAAGTTTAAGTTTACACACGTTTTGATTGGTTCTTACCTACGATCTATTGGAAGACAAACGCATGGATGACGTCACCTTAAACAACATTCTGTTTTTTTTTTTAATAATATAAAACAAATAGATTTCATGTTGCTGTGGGTCTGTAAAGAGGATGTCAAATTGTAGTTATAACACCAATGACACACTCAACTGCGCTTCGTGAGCCACCTATTTGCTTCTATCACATTTTGTCGTCATCTGCCATCTACTACTGAACGTATTAGATGATGACGTTATATACGCGCTTATTACTTAATTGATCATAGGTGAGCGCAAATTCAACAACATTAAATCATAAGCTGAATTATAAACACATTTTGACTGGTTCTTTGTTATGATCTACTGGAGGAAAGCCGTACCGATGACGTTACCATAAAACGTTTTTTTTCTTTTTCATTATATAAACTGAAACTGATTTCATGTTGCCGTGGGTCTATTCATTCATAGATCAGAAAAGACGTCAAAATGTGGTAAAAACGTCAGTACCACATTTGCCAATGAAGCGCATCTTTCATCTACTACTGAACAGGACGCACGGCAACATAGAGTCCTTTTATAACATGTTGCCGACATTTGGCTGGAGAACTTTAACTGACTAAACCCCTGTTGTGGTCAATTAGCCAACAACAAGCTTATCTCGTAGGAAAGGTTGTGGTTATTCATCGTGGTGAATAACAATAAAAGCTAAGTCTTTCGTTTGTCTCACGATGTAGTCACGTGTGATGTAGATCGCGACGTTTCGACTGCATACTACTAGTCTTCTTCAGGCCTGAAGAAGACTAGCAGTATGCAGTCGAAACGTGGCGATCTACATCACACGTGACTACATCGTGACACAAACGAAAAACTTAGCTTTTATTAACAAGCTTATCTTAGGCGTAATCGCAAACTAGTATTCTATCCTTTGACGTGGCAAGACTATCATACAGATTATCCGAAAAGAGACGACTACACAGAATAAGAGATGTACACCTCTCCTTACACTCGATACATTTTCAATCTGTAACTCTGGAAAAATTTGTTGGAGATGCTTTAAACGTGAAATCGTGTCCTAAAACCTACAAAATTGTTACCTGCAACCTCATTCCCCCATTAAGTCTTGGATAATAGTAAAATGCAAACTCTTCTACGTTTAACCTCCTCCTCGAAACGGGATGAAAAGTAGCAAAATGCACTGAGGGTCCTTACGACTGTTCAAAATGAAGCATCTTACTTACCTGGGCCATGTTTTGGAGGTGACGCTGAATCCGGACCTAATTCTAACAACACCTGTGAGCCCTTAGGAGCTGGAGGAGCTGACATGGCTGAATACCCTGATTCACTGGACTGATATCCTTGGTGACTATGCCGGTGTTGCCGATGATGGCGATGTTTTCCACCACTTCCTTCCTTGACTCGGGCTACCGCCACTCGCGAGCGGATCACGTCCAGCGCTGGAACCATCTCCCTGCAAGTAGACAAACAAAATCGCATTAAGCTCGTATGAGTGATTAAATTAACGACCCGTTACCACGAAATCTGTTCACAAGTAAATGACATTTTTGAGAGAAAACTGAAATTAAAGGTGTCCAACGGTCTCCAAAGTGGATTCTTAGAAAATGCCGACTAACCGATTTCGTGTGAACTTACTAAAACGGAAGTCTCTGAATATTATTACGCGGCAATAGGTGTGAAAATCGACTTCTTCAAAGAAACTTTGACAGCACAGGCGGAATTGCATGTTGCAGCCGAGTGAAAGGGCATGAGTTCCATCAACTTCGTACGCACATTTTAACCTACTCTTTAATCTACACATAGATTTCCGACACTGGATTCGCTACATTCCACCAGGACAAGACACCCCTGTCTCCATCCAGTTGTAGAAATCGGTTCCAGTAAAACTGCCGGAAAAATCTGACGAAAAGGCAGTGGGAAGGGGGAGGGAACTGCGATGAACCATGTAAGATCCGTCTGGAAGAGCAGCCAAGCGGGCAGTCACTTCCTTCTACAGAACCGAAACAAGTGTCACCATGCAGCAACGCGAGTCAGTCTCGAACACAGATTTACTTTCTTTTTCGTTTACCTTTAGGCAATTGGTGTTGTGTACTTACGAGTCAGCATCGTCGCTTGTAACTTTACTATGGCGATGTCTGGACGCCGACCCGTCACTTCGGGCGTCTCCCTCTGATGTCCGATGTCTATGCCGGTGATGATGATGTGATCTGAAACGAAAAATCCTCCCTCTTAGGATAAGGATTTAATGGTTTTGCACCACTTTGCTTTGTGATTAACCTTGAATCCATCAGTCTCCCTAGCAGCCATTCTTTGGAGAGTCACGCGATGCCCTCCCGAGAGAACTATCATAAAATACTCTGTCTGATTGGACGAGTCTCGCTGGACGAAATTGGCGCGAGAGCTTTCCAAGAACTGGAAAGCTCTCTGTGAGTGCTCTATTCGTAAAAAGGAATGTTGTTCGGTTGGAGGCAGCCCCTCTTTCTTGGTTGGAGCGTTGTGTGATATTCCAAAGAACGGCTGCAAAGGAGACTATGAACCTATCAAAGCCAAAAAAATACTTTTGACAGCTGCTGTGCCAAGAACAGAAGTCACTCGCCAATTTTTCTTAAAATAATAGTAATCCTGATTTCGATTGAGAAAGAACTATTGGTGATCAAGCTGACCTTTCCGCCTCAGAGCCGCTTCCTCGGTCTCTTCTACCGCTGTCACCCATATGATATGGAGCTGAATCCGACATCTTGCTAAAATCAATATTTTCTTGAGACAACCTAACAAAGGAGCAAAAACCTGGTGAGAATTTGGGACGGAGTCATTGGATCCACCTTAACTTTCAATCAAAGTACAACAACCATGAAAAAAACCTTAATCTCAATAATTTCGAGGTAAATCAATCCGTGTCTTGCCTACTTTTCAATACATCAGAGTGTTAACGCTACTTAAATATTTGGCTCAGTCCATGGACCAATCACTACGCTACGACAATCACTGCAAATAATAACTGACAAAGACAGGTTTATAGGATTTTGCACTTCGTCTGACAAGCTTCCTACTTTGAGGAGACTTGCAAGTATCACAACACTGGCTGAAAACAAACTAGCAATAGGAAATGACCCAGCACAAATAATCACAGAACGTTAAGTTTAAAAATAAACAATATTGTTTATATTTTTTACATCAATGTTTGTCTTCCAACGAAGCCCTCACATATCTTACCCCCAATTTTTTTGGTCAAATTTTCAATTTGGCGTCGAAAATGAATCTGGAGACTGGTTTAGCTAAGCCACGCTACGTTCTACGATTGGTCCAGAAAACTCGTGCCACCCTCTCAACCAATCACAGCAAAACTGAAGTAACTTGGTACTTGCTCACTTGCGTTTTCCCGCGCTTCGCGCAATAAGCCTCGTGGTATTTTCCTTTGTTCTGATTGGCTTTTGTGATAACTTTGTAAGTGGTTTAAGGATACTCAGTGAATATGCGCCATACATGTAAACCACTGACCTGTGCCGTCTCCTTTCCTCTCGACTGTAGGACGAATCACGATCGCTTCCTGACTCAGCTGAATGATGGCCTCTATGATGGTGATGGCGACATCTGAGAGAAGAGGAATTCAAATCAAAATTGACCTACCAAAAATCTGGCTGTTATATATGATACACAATGCGTTGTCAAGCAGACAACTTTGAGGAAGGGGTCAGTGAGGATGGGCTCACCTTTCTCTAAAACCACCCCCCTCCCCCTCCGCTGCCTTCAGTATTAGATTGATTGCTAAGAGCAAGAAAAAAAAATTGCAGAAAGTTCCCTCATTGAAATCTGCTGTAATCGTCCAGGTCTTTATTTGTACAAAATTTCTAAAATGTTTCTTACGTGTTTTTCTTTCATGGATAACAATTAAAATAGTCTTAGACGCCCTTTAAAAAAAGTATTTTAATATTCACTACAATCATATTCTCTCTACGAGTATCATGATACAAAATTCAAAGCAAAAATTCAATTCCGACACCTTCTTCTTCTCCGTCTGCCTGTGTCGTCATCAGAAGAATACGCTCGCCGACTCCTGAAAACAGAACGTCAAATGAGAACAAAGCAAACAGTAAGAGTAACGAGGCTGGCTAAAAAGGAAATTGAAAAAATAAGTAGAAATAAAATAAATACAGAAAATCATCACGAAGTACCTTCTCCTGGGTGTGTCTGTTTCACTGCCGCTACTTTGTCCTGCTGATCGACGGTGAGGCCTGACGGCATTAAACACCAAGAAGAACAATGGTTAACGAACAAATCGTCATTGGTAAACTTGCAGAGAGTTATTTAGTACAAGATGTAAAATACTACGTGACGAGAGAGTGTATCGGGTAAGTTGTACAACAACTCAAGCACTTAAAAATGGTTACCTTGGAAATTTGGGTGACCTCTTCACTCGGCCAGATCCTGAGCTCTTCAGAGACCGAGGGGAGTCGGGGGCTGGCGTGTACAAGCCGCTGTTGATGAACAATAAGAGTTAAAACTGTTTTCCCGAGCTCAATAATTGTCACAATGCCGACAAACTACACTGTGTGGTTTTCGTCAGAATTTTAACTCAGAATTTCCCTTTTAACAACACCGTATGACTGTTAGGTTCAACAACTTTTATATCAAAGGCAAACAAGGAAAACAATTACAGTTTAAGCTACCTGAACTTGTCATCATACCTAACAAAAAACTGCTACAAGAAGTATTACTCAGCAGCGTGCCTTCACTTTCGTCTTAAAGCCTCTAACGATTGAACTTAAGAGCGTTTTTCGATTGGGTGTCAAAAAAACCAAAACCAAAGAAATCACAAAGGCCAATCAGAACAAAAGACAGTACTACACGGAGTCGATTAGAACTCTAAACATAAGCAAAACAAAAATGTTTGAGGCGCGGGAAAACGATTGTCACAGTTGAGATGAATCTGGCATGTGATTGGTTATGATGTCGGCGTCAGTTTTCTGGACCAATCACAATCTCTCTCAAGACACCACTCTTTCGAAGTTGCTGATCCTGGCAATATGTAGGACGCTTCTTGCAAATAAACTTAGTTCAAGTGCGAACTTGGTCGTGCCAAAGACTTCTAAGATGGCGATGATCCGTCTGCAAGTAGAATCCTCCGAGAACCCGATATTTCTTCATCAAACGCCAGTGACATATGTTTCAGATCTCTTTTTTTTAATGTGAATTTTTGAAAAGAAGAATTTCAAATGTACACTCAATATTACAACCGACCCAGCTTATTCAACCAAACGGAAAGTCAAAAGTTGAGATAAGAAGAGAGAGAAAAAGTTCCCTTACCCCTGCATTTGAGCGGATTGTTCCCACGGAAGGGCCGGACCTTGATGTCCATCCACAGCTGTTGTATTACCATTTAATGAGCTTGGATCACCTTCAGTTTTAACCCTAAAAATAAAGAGATAAATAAATGTTTTGCGTACTACATAGAAGTGTTTTTATATTGAGGGGATTTAGTATTATAAACCGAACTATTGACGTAAATTGGCCACCGTAAAGAGCTTCAAGCGAATTCGAGCGAATGGAGGAACTGTAGGTTGTGTGTGTGTTTATATGCAGAAAATGGAGCTACGTTACTGGTGAGAATGTGGTGACTAGAAAACAAGAATAAGTTAGTTGAATGAAAGCGCTCGTTGGTACCGTGGGGATTAAGAGTGCCGATTTTAAAAGGTAAATTTTTGTTCTTGAGTTTTAATTTTTGCAGCCTTCCAAACTACCGAGATGTAGTTACCAACTAAGTTTATAATACTAAATCACCTTGTTACACTTTTTCACCAAAGCACCACAGTTTCTTTAGAATCGTACCCTTTTACTTTTACATTGAGAGCAGTTTAATAGAAGCAGTTCTTACCCAGTGCCATTAGAACCCGTAACTGGGACAGTTATAACTTCAGCTTGGTTGTCTGTTTGACTGAAACGTCGAATCTGAACCTGGGATGCACTAGTTGGTGTAGCTACTGAGACATTAGTTTGAACTGAAACAAATCAAAACAAACCCGCTTTAGGTTTTATCCACACACTTAACCCTAAAACCATTTTCGAGTGACTAGCACCTAACATCTCCTTACAATATCACCCCAGAATCACACATTGGGGTCATGAGAGTAAAGGAAATTATTACTACCTAAAGAATCTCTTGATTGACACACGGATTCTCCTTGTCGGTATTTTAGGAGATGTAAGGAGAACAGTATGGAGAATGTGCATACTGATGTTAGGGTGCAAAGGTTTGAACGGAAAGTTAATCTTCTTTTCATATGAATGACAACCATGCCTTTGTATCGCTTCTGCAATCACTTGCCGTCTTCAAACAAAGTTCTTGAACAACATTTGCACTGAGCAAATGTCAAGACAGAGAATTGAAATTCACATATGGCTGCGAACAGAAATTCAGTGAAATAGTCATTTGCTCTACTTCTTGTTTCCTTACAGAATCATTTCTTGGATCAAATTAAGACAACATACTTTTTTCTCCCGATTGACTGATCCGTCTTTCGTATCGTTTGCTGGGTTTTCTGAAACGCAAAAAGAAGTTATTTCAATTAAAAGTTGATTTTTTTTAATATCGACAAATGAACCTCTTCAAATGAGGAGAATTGAACAAAATTTTTGAGCCAATCCTATGGGAACTTAACTCCTTCACTCCGAAGATCTAAACTTACATTCACCTTACTGTGTGCCCTAAATTTCTTATAGTTGTGGCTAAAAGAATTTGTCGTCAAATCAAGGAGTATTTCCTAGCTGATATTTTTCTTTCACCAACCTGAACTGTGATATACCTATTTAAAAGTCAGTAAAGGGAAAGCAAGCTTGCTGTGGAACTTAATGAATGGGTTGGTGAAATGAAAGACTATCTGTATTCCTTTTAATCAAATCTTCAAGTTCATGATATTTTGACTAACATTAAGTGACCTTCTTCAAGCACTTAGAAGTAGTGAAATGCACCAAAGCATCACCTTAGTGGTAACTCATACCGTTTCACTTGCAGATCAGGCCTTTGAATCTTCTTACCATCTTCCAATGCTTCTTTCTGTGTCCTACCACTAAAAAAATAAGCATCACAAACAGTTGTTAACCACCAAAACATAATTAAAGGTAAGAGGGTACAGTCTGCACTCAAGTCAAATAGCCAATTCAGCCATAGTTTATCCCAGTTGCTATAGCATGAAGTTACTAGAAGTATTACGACTCCCCCCTAGATGGGATGCTTGTCCAACACAGGTTAACCCCAGGCATTTCCTCAGCTTTCCTTGAAATTTCACTCATACTCATTTATACTCCTGGGTGGAGAGACACTGTGAGGGTAAAGTGTCTTGCCCAAGAAAAACAAAATGACCTGGATACATCTTGACTTGGAGTCCAGGTATCTCTGTATATCTGTATATGCAACTTCTGTTGCATTTTCTGAGTGAAAACAGCCTTTCTAGTCTATCTGGCATGGTGCAGATTGGGCCTTAAATGAAAATTCATAAAACTTCCAAAGTCATCAGTTATGAATGTAATATTGTAGAGACATAGACAATTGTACCTGTATCTGTATGAAGAACTTATCCTAAACAAACCACTATTGCGACGATGGGAGGTATTAGCTTTGTCTAACCTAGGGAAAAAAATCACATCTCACAAAGTAAACCACTTTGAAATGAGTTAACATGTCAGAAATAGGAAATTTTAGTTACAGTTTGATTACAGGTAATTATTGTTTGACTCAAGGTGTGGTCACTTTGGATGTGGATTGTGGTGATTTCGGTGCATACTGTAGGGGAGTTCCTTAGTGAATAAGGTTGACTAGCTGCTATTAACAACATAAATCATTATTCTCTGGTGCAACTAAATGGCTCTCAACAGCTGTGATTGATCTGTTCCCCTCTACAAATAGTCATTTTTTCCTAAAAAAAATTATGCATTCCTTGCTCTTTCACTGCTTTTATTACTTTTAATAAAATACTTATTTGTTCAAGATTAGTAAATTTACTGATAAAGAGAAAACTTACCGAAAAAATGCATGATGCTCCACACAGCATTTCCAAAGATGTTTGCATGCTGTCTTGGTTGGAAGATAAAACTTAAAGGTATACTCCCTTTCCTATAATAGAACAACCCTTACATTAGTAAGTTGTCACCTTACATTATTAACTAAGTTGTTGTTAGCTATTCTTTCCATTAGAGATTACACTGCAAAGGGTGCCAACTGTAGCAAATTATCATGCAATCTGTGAAATTTTGATCTCATAATTCTTTCATGTTTAACATTATGCTGAGTAAAAAGGGTCACTTTTGCACAACTCTTGGTGTCTCAGGATCTAAAGGAGATGGTCTTGTAATTCCAAGCAATGACCTAAGTTTACACTTGCTGGTAAACTTTCACAGACAATAGTTCCTTTGTGAGCTTTGTGTTCCCACAGCTGACCTCTGAGTTGTGCATAAAGAGACTTGAACAACTGCCAAGGAAATTGTGTGGAATTTAAAGGAAAACTACTCCTGCCAGTAAGATTTTTTGGAAGGAGAAACCTTGACATGTCATCTAATTTCTTTGCTAATGTACACAGCATAATCAAATTTAACCATTTAACAACCCTTTTGACCTTTCAATAAACAAAATAGTTAATTTGTGTAATGGCTTCATGAAACTCCACTATGATTACACCATGCCGGTATGGAGGTGTAAACATATTTATCTTAACTTTTTGAAAGAATGAACATCATTCAAGCTATTCAAGAATTCAAAGTCTTATCTTTTTACTGGGTAACCAACAAGTTTATTTCTCATATAGTCTTTGGGTTAAACATCTACCAAGAAATCTAACTAAATTGATAGAATCACTTCATAAAATATTTGTAACTTTGAAGAAGTTTATCACCTCTTTCCCCTTAACTGTCAAGTAGAACTTCTTTCCTTTAAAATCAACTTTTTCTATTTTTGACCTACAATAGAAAAGACAAAAATATCAGTGACAGAGTATGCAAACCACCCCACTCCCCCCCCCTCCACTACCACCCAACCCTCTAAAATTCCAGTTTTGCTTTGCACTTCCAGTTTCTTAAATGAAGGTACTTAAATCACCCCTTTTCTTAAAAGCTTTCTGAATTAGTAACCTTCACTAGAAGGGGAAGGTTGAATATTTCTACAAATGCATCATCAAACTAAAAGTCAGAGAGAAAAAAAAACATACTGCCCAGAGATTTCTGTTGAATACCCAAAATCCTGCAAACCAGAATTAAACTGCAATAAATCTGCAGATTAAAGTAGACACATTCCACTTACCAAAGGTAGGACCCAACTCGAGTCTTGTTCTTGTAAACAGCAACTCCAGAAGGTTTGAGGGCAATAAAATATTCTACAAAGTCCTCCCCCTTGGAGAGAAGAAGTTAATCACATTTTCAAAAGTTGAAAACTACATGTACAAGTTAAAAGAAAATGTTTCTTTTGTTGTGACACAAACGTGGAAAGATTTGTCTCCATGAGGAATCAATCCTCAGACTGTTGGATTCCGTACACTGAAACTCTACCAATGAGACTCAGAGACTCTACAATGAGCTGAACCATTACAAAGTTCTTCTGTAATTCTGCATACTTTTAGAATCAACATGTGTTTAAATATATCACTTACCTTCACTGGATGCAAGTCAACTCCATACATTTCCAACCACTTGATTTTATCAAGATACATAAACTCTGCTACAGATGGAACCATATTTCTGGAGTGAAAGAAAATAATTGTATTTGATAAGGAATTCTCTCTTCTAACTGTTTTTTATTTATCAAAAAATAAGCCACAAGAATGAAGAGTTACATCAACCGAAGACAAACCTTCATGCTAATTATTTTAAATGCATATTCTCATCACCAGGTAGCTGGATAATGAATTGATATTGTATGGAGAAGTTACATCTTGATCTCTTTTAGAAGTTAGAGAGGTAACCATTTATCAAATCATTCACCAGTATAAATTCCAAGAATAAAATTCATGAACCAAATATTTTGCATCATTCAATCAAAACAATTTTAATCTTACCCAAGCTTCTTATGTCTGTGGTAAATCTTGCTCTCCAGCTCCTCAGTCTAAAAAGAAACCAAAAAGAAGGCATAACTTGTGAGAATTCACTCTTGGTGTTGTATATCCTAATATGCAAAGAGGTCAACACAAGAAACAGCAGTCTTTTGTTAAGTATCAGTACTTGCCTGATTAGGAAGAAATCTAAACTCCGATACATAGCCTATGGTGTGTTCTATGGGGTCATACTCTCCAAGTTCAGCTACAGGAAAGAAGAAATAGCTTACATTTATACCCTACCAAAAATAAAAGAAAAAATTATACTTAATCTACTACATGTACTGTTGATTTAAGGTACTCACACTGAAGACTGTATGCTGACACTTCAGCAAGAATGTTTGTTGAACATGGCAACCTAAAGAGACAACAAAACCAACAATGCAAGAGAATTGAACATCATATCAGGATCTTGCAGAGAAGTTCACTGTGATCTCTAATTTTACATCATCTCAAACTCTAGGCCTGACTTGAATAACATGTCTATCTGTGCAGAACCAATGGGTACACAAGGGAGAAAGAGGACGCAAAACAAGGAGACACCTGACATATCATGTTTCAAAAATGGAAGAGTCCTAGGAAAACAATTTAAAACCGATTATGAAAATTCTTTTGCCCTTCACTTCATTCTCAGAGTGCACTGCTATAAAAGTATAGTCCAGATATCCAAACCTACGGGATCTTTCAAGCTAATCAATTATTGGGTCCCATGAATGTTCAAGATAAGGAACTCTGCTACACATTATTATCATCAGAACATACATCAAACTGAGAAAAACATTTGAAAGAAGTGGCCTACATGTTGTGTTGTAATTTTCATACCTTCCCTGGTAGATGTCTTTCTTGACTTGCAGGAAGAACAAGTACCTGAAAATTGTAAGGAAAATGAGAAAAATATTATCAGGCTTGTAAGTAACTATGTTGTAAGAAACTTGTGACTAGTACATCTAGCTCCTTCAACTTTTTGCAGTAAATTTTGAAATCAGTCTAGTGGGGTGATACACCTATGCTGTAACTCTGTGATGAACCTCCCTTACCCTGATCAGCTTTAGATGAGAGTGGAGGAGATTTCTAAGAGACTGGAAGAGCCAAGAAGTGCATCCAGTAGCAAAGTATATAATTTATGAATCATAAAAACCCCATGAATGATATCTGCCCAGGCATCGCCATACTGCTAGTCAGTGAAATACCTATGTTTTTTCTTACCAACGTGAAAGCTTGAATCTAGACCTGTTATCAAAACTGTAACAAGGAATAAACTGGTAAAACCAGAACTAACCGGGTCAGTTCTTCATGAAGTCTACAAGGATCAGCTGCATAGAACTTGACACAAAAATACAGCAAATAAGGAGGACCAGCTGAACAAAAAAACACACACAAAATTAGAGTATGATACGTATTACACCATGAACAGCATGATGCCAACAGGATTGATTTTTTTTCCTGTGGGGTAGCAAACAAAAATAATACCAAAAATGATAATACTAGATTTAGAAAATTATAATAACTATGTATCATTACTTTAACAGGGTTTGAGCTAGTATTTGATCACTGGGGGACAATTTGTCCCCTTAGCAAAAATTTTGGAGGAAATTTTCATCTTTAGGGGGACAGACAAATTAATTTTTATTCGACATTTTCTTTTTTTACATTCATACAGGCAAGCCGACAAAAACATTTTTTTTACCTGATCCTTGTAAGACTTGTAATACAAGAAAAGTGATACAAAAAAGAAAAGTTATGTTATTGATGTCAAATTTCTTTTTCTTGTCATATTTAAACAGAGGATCAATGACTATGCTTTATACTTCAAAACATTACACAGCAGAATCTCGTTCCGGCATCGCCTTGTAAACTTCAATTCCTTTCTTAATCACTGGTAAACGTAAATGTACAATTCTTCAGTTGGTTCTGGCCCAAACATCAAGGGCTGTAGAAAAGAGTTGCTGCAGAGTTGAGGTTCTAAAATTTGTACACCCTTCTGCCTTTGCATAGCGCAACCATGTGTGATCTCGCAACCAAGTTTTCAGGAAAGTTTGTGATTTTTTTGGTTTCCTTCGATCCTCATTTGTTTCTTCCTGATTAATACACTGTTCTTCTTCTGTATCATTTTTCTCTGATTCACTCTGGCTTTGATTCCGAGCGAAAAAGCTTTCTAATGTTCGAACACGTTTTCGATGTGACATGTTACTGCGCTTTTCACAAACATGCGAATTTTGAAGTTCAAAAGCCAACTGACGATTGGGTTTTGTCGCTGCCGTCAATCATCTTAACGGAACTCTTAGGAAACAAAATTTTACTTTCACAGGTTCAAAAGGTCATGGTTTGTGATTTGTCATTGGTGGATTTCAATCCGTTTCGTGTGTTTCTGTGTTTCAAGGTTCATTGCTTGTGATTGTAATTATGATTGAGGGCAGCGAAAAACGTAATTGTGAAGGCAGCTTTTGAACTTTTGAGTTCGCATGTTTGTGAAAAGCGTAGTAAAGATTGCCACGTGCGTTCACCACGCTTGGTTGAGCATGAGACGTACGTGTTCAGTAAAGTGTGACTGAAACGTGACTTTAGAATGTACTTTAAACGTGCAAGAAAATATACTTTCCACGTTCTGTTTTAGCTTGCAATTTCTGAACCGAGATAAAACTCTTCGTGTGTGCTTCCTTTCGAGTTTTTTCCCTAAATTTTGAAGGGGACAAATTGTCGCCTTGACCGTTTTTTTAAGGGACAATTTCAATTGCAGTGCGGGATTGGCGCAATGGCGCGGCCTGGCTCAAACCCTGACTTTAAGATTGTTATCAATACCATTATAGTTATTACAATAATCATTATTTTCATTATTATCATTATTATTATTATTATTATTATTATTATTATTATTATTATTACAACAATGATGAGACCACTGCATCAAAAGAAGAAGCATGAACTGAATAACAGGCAGGGTATACAGTGAGAATTAATTTTTTGATCTCTGATGTATAACAAACACCCCAAACAGGCACATTATTAGTACACATACATGATGCTTTACACTTACCTGTTAACTGTTTTACCACTGGTTTCAAAGGATCTAACCATCTCTGAAATAAGTTTGAAATAAAAACAAAACAACTTTTATCAATTTTTCACCATGTTTTTGAACATCTCATAGAAATTGTTTTTTAATGGTCAATTTTAGTAGTACTCTACTCTAGCAAGAGGAGGAAGGACAACAGCCCTTCACATAATAGCTTTAAAAATGAGGGGAGCAGCCAAAAGTTGAGAGTTCTTTTCTGTGGCTCTTATTATAGATCCATGGCTGAAAAAGTTCATTCCAACAAAGAAAGAACATACCGACTGGCTGTCCCGGTCAATATAGCGCAGTCCAAAATAGTCTTTTTCCAGTACATTGAGATGTATAAAGACCTTTTCTAAGACTTCCTCTCCTTTAGTCTTTTTCTGAAAAAAAAAAACAAAAAAAAAAAAGTTTAGTTAATACATTTTAATAAAAAACTTTTTCTTTCAGAACTGAAATATAATCAATTACAACAAGGGCTCAATTGCATCCTTTAATTTTATAGTAACCAAAAGATAATATCATCCTCAGTGGCTTCCTCTATCCAAACTGGAATTCCCAAGTTGCAGAACAAGGCAAGACATATGTAGGATACTACTCCTGAGACTTATCACCCAAAGATATTACTTCAAGTTGACGTGACCAAACTCCCTGAGCAGACAGAGAAAGGTGAGAAAGGGTCAAGACCCTCTTAACCCTTTAACTCCCAAGATCTCATCAGTAATTCTCCTTACTGTCTTCCATACAATTCTTTAGATGTTAGTTTGGAGAATTTGGTATTGGATCAACTCATTCATATTCATATTTTTCTTTCTTCTCATCACTTGTCTGCTTGATATTGTATTGATATTGTAGGGAGAAATTCTGTCTTGGTTACTCATGGGAGTTAAAAGTTAACCCTTTACCCCTACGAATGACTAGCATCTAATTTCTCCTTACAATATCACCCCTGAACCACACATTAAGGCCACAAGAATAAAAGAAATGATCACCAACTAAAGAAGCTTTTGATTGTTAAACAAATTCTCCTTGTCAATACCATAGGCAATGTGTAGAAAAAAGGGACGGAAAATATGCCAACTGATGTTAAGGTATAAAGGGTTATGCCTTGGGACCCACATGCAGGTAACTTTGCATTTTTTCAGGTTTTCTTAACAGTTCACTAATGCCCATTTACATTCCTGTGTGAGGAAAATTCAGCAAAAGTAATGTGTCTTGTGCAAACCTCTTAAGCTAGAGGCAAGATTGCTAACCACTGCACCAGACCACTTCTCCCTGGCAGGAAGGCCCAAATACTAAATTATTAAATTTAATTAAAAATATTGAATATGAAACTCATTGATAGTGGCAGGATGCAGTAAAACCTTACCACACTCATACCAAACTCCATAACCCTCCCTCCACCACAGGACATGGATTCCAAATTGTCTGGTCCAGATTAGGACCATTTATACAGTCAGCTTATGCATAACTCAAACTGGAACACTTATATGGGCACCACTTAGTAAGCTGCCGAGGGCTTGTATAAATGGTTCACATATCATGTCTCATGGAGTTGTGCAAGCAGCCATAAAGGTGGCAAAAACATACAAGCACAATACAGGTGTGGGAAAAAAATTATGTTTGCTCAGTGTAAGTTTGCATCTTACATAGGCCACAAACAAGCTGGGACGCCATTTTACACAATGTTTTGCATCTTATTTGAGCTGCCATTAATATAGGAAATGCTCAGTAACCTTGTCTTACATAAGCTGTGGCTTGTAAAAGTGAAAAAAACAAGGTTTGTATGGTGAATTTGTGTCCTATGTTAGCCGCAGATTATTTTCCTTGTATGTATGTGACATTACAGTCATGGCTATTTACATTAAGAAATTACAGCAAAGAATAAAAATTTCCCAGAAGAGAAAATGATCTTGTGAAGATCTAAACATATCTTAATATGTGTATTTATAACTACATAACCATATATTTAATCAAGAGAGAACAAAATAAGCATGTTGCTAAAACTTTTTTCTCGGTGCTGCAGCAGGTACATTGAGTTTTTACAAACTCTTGAAAACCGAAATGTCTAATTTACTTCGTAAATTTTCTGGCCGGGAACAAAAAGAACAGCTGCAATTAACCACGCAAAAAAAATACTAAACAGTCGATTTTCAAATACAAAGCGAACAATCGTAAATTATTCAAACCATTTAGGGATCACTCGGTGATAATTAGCGTGATGCTGAATTTTTTATTTTCAGTCCACTTGATCTCACCGCTTGTTTGATTTATTCATGAATTTTAAATAATCCACGCAGGAAAAAAAATTATCAACAGGTCAACGAATTATAGTTGATCGCAGTTAGAAAGAAGTTTACGAGCCAAAGAACCGGTCGATCTCGATGTCTGAGATATTATATCTGAGAATAAAATTGATGCAGCAATATCAAAGTGTTGTTTAAAAGCGAATGGAAGGCCTAATATCTTTAAGTATCTTTTTGAAACGACAAGAAGTAGGCTTATTTATTGGTAAACGAGGAGAGTTTAATTAATTATTCTCGAGAATGTTGCTCCACCAAAGCTGAACTTATAGCTTCGGGTAAAATGGTGACGATAATAACAGATGCGAAGCTAAAGCATTCACTGAAACAAATAAAGCAACCAATTTTGCTGTAATTAGGATGTTCCCTAAGGAACACAAATCTTTTTATCACATCTGATCTTATCAAACGAGCAGCGAAATGAAATCTTTTAGTTCTAAACTTACAATAACGCACGAGATGAGATAAAGCGAACAGAATTCGAACAGTGTGAAAGGATTAACAGGACTCAGTAGAAACCCTTGATGATGTCAAAGTTAAGTATTTTGTATATCGCAAGCTCTTACAATAAATTCATTCGAGTAAACATTTGTGAAAATCATTCCCACATGCTGACAAGAATACATGCCTAAGTAACTCTCTGATCATCTATTCCCCGAATACAGCTTGATTCAGACTTTTCACCCCCGTAATTGAGGCAGAGTGTTCTCCAAGAGACCTTTTGCGTGTAGGCTAATCCAACTCCTGAACCAGGTAATTGCACGCAAAACCAATGGTATATTCGATTGAAGCTTCGATAAACCGCAAACCCGTTGCACTTTCTCCAGAGAATTGCGCTTTTAAAGATAACGCGTGTACAATAAAGTAAACAGCATCTAGTCAAAACAATTTAGAATCTCCTCCAGTGTTCTACCACAACAAGTTTTTATACTCACTTGAATTTCGACCGGGTGCTCACTCTCATCCAAAAGAAGAACATGGCAAAACCATTCGGCATTGCCTCCAAGGCAAGACATATTCCAATGCACTTAACCTTCACCTCATCACCTACAAATGGGTCCCTTAACTGCTGCAGTGTTTATGATGTCATGTCCGTTCACACACATTAACAGCGCATTTCAAGTACCAAGTAAAGAACTTCTCTGTTACTAATCATGCAGCTTTCGAGTGAAGCTCTCAAAAACGCTATCCTTCATAATATAACCCTGACACCTCCTTATATGGAAAATGGATTAACGCAACTTCCGTTACGAACACAAAGGCTGGAGAAGAGCAATCAAAAGATAAAAACGATACCCTTTGATAGAGTCGATTTGCTGCATTCTAAAACATAGATATTTCTCCCATTATTCATCATTTATTTCAAATTCCGAGGGACACTTAGAATGATAATCTCTTGAGATTTGCATTTTTACTATCATCCTGAAACGATCAGTGTACAAAACAGGAAGTGGGTTTCGCAGCAGCCACAAACTCCGCATTCCAAGCCGGTAGACGATTCACAGCGAGTGAATATTACACGTTTTAAAGCACTTTTTCGGGAAAAGGCTGTATACCGGACGAAGAGCTAAAACTGAAAACCACACAATTAATATTAAGGTGTTTTTTGTCTTTGCAAAGCTTCCAAGAGTTATTAGAGAAGCAAGATGTGTGGGCGCACGTGAAAACGAGACATTTTACATCTTTTGTTCTCGTTTTACATGACGGATATTAGCCGTTTCCTAAAGTAGTAGGCGTAGATCCCACACACACAGACAGATGCACAGATAATTAACTGCATGCCATAGACTTACTAAGACAAGCAGCAGAGTTTAGCTTACCCACAAAGATACTCGATAGCTTGCAGGTGTTAACCAGATTTCATCTGAGTAAAATGAAGGAAAGAACAATTTCTAGGAGCCATTTTCTACAAAGTAGGTTTTCAGAATTTTTTTCCCCATAGCATCTTTTTCAAAGTTCAATGCGTATGGTATAGAGTGATTCAATAATTCATTATTTCAAGTGAAATTTTAAAACTGAACAATGGTTGCAAGCAAATGATAATTATACAATTGAGGAGGACGATATCGATGAAGAACTTGTCAATAAAATGAGGAGAAGATTAGTAATCTAAAATGGAACTAGGAGGGAGAAATGAAAGATTTAGGGACCGATTACTATTTATCGCCTGCGGCAGGTTGTGGAGTTTCGCTGTGACAATAAAATTTACCCAATCCTCCCTACTGCTCTGTAGTCTTCGTTGATTAATGAACCCCCTCATTGGCAGTCAATTTCTATAGTCCCCCCCCCCCCCCCCCGTATACTATGCTACCGACTACTGACCCTTCCTCCCTTTTCCCCCGAAAACCATGTAATCCCCCCACAGGCGATGAAAAGTGACTGGTCGTTATTCATCTAGAGAGGGGAAGAAAAATTAATTCAACTCAACATGATTTTATGCATAGTAGAACCCCGCAAACATGAAATCCCAAGGAAAACAAAAAAATAATTCGAGTTACCGGGGGGATTCGAGTTAACTGTTGTCGAGTAAGCGGGGTTCTACTGTGTTATAAAAGCCTTGTTTGTTGGAGGTAATCCATTGTTCTTGAAATAAGTTACCGCGGTACTGAGGAGGCGCCTGACGCCCGTCAACTCAGTTCACACAACTAAAGATATCACAATTGTAAAATACTATTTCGGGAAGCAGTCAGATTTTGACACTATTTCACAAAACTGTGTTGTTTCGATCTTGCCCCTCAATTCACAAGACGGAGAATAGTGATAACTGCGAAAGACACCTTCAAATACCAGAGTCACTCCAATTTGGCTCTTTCTCATCAAGAAGTCATGTTTGAGAAAACTTCAATGTATTTCTGATTTTGTTTGTGTCATTTTTTTTCAGATCAAAAGGCTGAAGAGATCGCAGAAGAAACCTTTCTTTCTTTCAAAAAGCTGACGCAAAATTATTGAGCTAGCCTAACATGCAAAGTGACTCATGAGAGATTTTTCAGCCGAGTTCTGTCGCCTAAAATCCGGATGGCAATCTCCCTTAATTACGTGCCACATTGCGTAGAAAGTTTGACAAGACCATGTGGCCAGCATGACGAACATGTTTCGTTCAAGGGTCACACAAATTGCGCCAAGAAATTTGAGCAACATGCTGATAAGCGTCACCCCTGAAAATACGGCATTATGCTCATTAGTTACGCTCGAAATTTTTCATTTGGCTCAATTTAATCAATTTGAGATGACAGCTTTTATGAGCCCCTCAAGCTTTCTCTCCCCTGAAACTTATTAAGAATGAAGGCTCACCGAAGTTCAGAATACAACATTTTACTGGATAAAATTCGTAAAAAGCAAGCAAGGAAAGCATGCCCTCTGTTTACAGAATTGTCTCTTGTTGAACTGTAACATCATGGGAATTTTTAAAATTCAGTCATTATGCCGGTACTATGCCCTGACTATAGCATCATGCTGGCATATCTGACCCTATTCCGTTTCCGACCAAGTTTCGAATGGCATCTCACGCAAGTGAATTTACTTTCCTCTTGATTTTAGACAGCGCTATCACTGTCGTGCAGGGACGAAACATACTTCCGTCGGACTAGCCACAAAATTCAATACATACTGGACAATCTTCATATCTTCTGAAGATAACGTTGGTCCGGTAGCCGAAGTAAACAACATCTAGATAAAGCATTGTAGTATTTCTTCTAGTGCCCTACTCAACAAGTTTTTTGTACTCACTCGAATTTCGAATGGGAGTTCGCTTTCATCCAGAAAAAGAACATGGCAAAACCACACAGCATAGCCAAAGTTAGCGCCAAATTGTGAAAACTTTGATCCAATTGAGAAGTTGCTTGTGAAGTCTTTAACCTCCATTAAGACTCGCGATAGGCTTTCGAGTGGTATATTAATAGACTGCCGAAAGCTTAGTACCAATACAAAGAAATGTCACAGTAGAGTCGCTTTCTTTCTTCCCTATGTTAGACTCTAAATTCCAGAAATATAATATTGGTATTAGGAAAAAATTGGGATAGAAAAGGACGGGTTTTTTAGCGCGTGTCTACTGAAATTCCCTTAGTATAAATTGTGGCGAAATAAAGGATCTTCTTCAGTTAATTGAATACACTTTCTTGCACCATCAAACCGCAATGTTGAGTGCATAATGAGATTAAGAGGAACGTGCAACATCAAAATTAATTCAATTTATTGCTAATTGATAGGAATTTGTTTTATTCTAATACCTCAAATAACCTAGATACAATAAATGTTTATGTCTGTGACAAAAACAAATAGAGCTTTGAAAAAACTATCCAATATCTTCTTGACGCCGGCTTGAGTCAGCAAACTGAATTCACAGCAAAATTTCTTATCTACAATAGTCTCTAAAAAGTACTATTTAAAGGTTGCAGAATTTACAATGTTCAAAGCAATAAAATGTATTAATTAAGATTTAAATATGGTTGGACTATATCTGAAACAATTTCGCTTATAGCTTTGTTTATTATTTCATAACGAACTATTTCAGAAAGTACTTTTCAACATGATATTGTTAATTTGTCTGAAATACTGAAAAACATAGCCTTTATTTTAAATATCGTCTCAAAAGATCCAAACTAAAATGGTTTAACGCTGTGCGCTTTCCAACCCTTTAACTCCCAGAGGTGATTGACATGTAAATTCTCCCTTTCCTATTACTGCAATCTCTAGGAAACAGGTGATTAGAATACTCAAACTTATCCGGTAGAAGTTGTTATCTTGATCTAACACCAAATTCTTATCACTGATTTACATAGAAATGTGTAGCAGCTAGAGGGGAGAATTGACAATCCATGAGATCTTGGGAGTTAAAGGGTTAAATGGATATTGCAAGAAACGTCGATGCTGCTGAATGACGGTGCGTCAATGTTGATGCCAATTTTTCAACTTTGTGAATTGAAATCCTTTTGAATCTTCTCCATCGTTCAACATTTACATAAGTTTTCGGCTCATTCTCGCCCCTTAGTAGTTCGTCTACAGCAGTAAAATATCTTTTCAAGGTTCATTTTAATTGAGGATCTAATCTCTAGAACGCAAAAGAAACTCAGTGTATCATAATCCCTTTAAGAGATCATTTTCCCAAAGTACGCTTAATTTTGCTAATTAAATAATATTTCTTCATCACAACCGAGCTCAGACTTAAGTTATCTTTCTTAACGATTATTTTCTATTAACTCACGTGGAGCTTTCGACACTGTTGATCAGCAAAGTATCTTAAAGTGTGTATCAGAACGCGTATCACATATGAACTTAGCAATGGCTCAATAGTGGAGCATCGCGGTCCGGAATCTGAACGTCTGACGTTTGATTCCTCGCGGGAACTCAATTTTTTTTCTTGATTCCACGCTCATGACATGACGAAAAAAAAACATATTTCTTTAAATATATCAAGTAGACAAATATATTCGTTATACAAATATACTCCGTTATGAACTTATATCAGAGCACGAAGCGGTTGAAATGGTACTGGCATAGCATGGCATGGCATGGCCGGTGACATGTTCTGAACATTACGTCATACACAAAAAAAAAGTTCTTAACTTAGTAATGAATGTTCTTTCGTTCAGATCCTAATTCTACACAGATCGCCAATAGAGCTGAAACAAGATGAGTAACACTCTGTTAAGAAAACAATTTTGGAAACATTAGGTTACTCTCGTGAATCTCAAATGCGGTTCAAGTCCTAATTTCATGTCTACTTTTTAATTTCGAAGGCAAAAATTATATATATTATTTCAGGAGCCTACTTCTCCTTGAACTCGTGGGAGACCAGAGTGATGTCTTCGATCTTTCGATTTGTCACCAACGTGTTACCAGCTTAGCATAGAGAGGTTTTTCTTCCATTGTGTAACTAATCGACTTTAGCTGTCTTTCTCCGTTGACTGTATATATACAAGTCAGTTTAAAGACTAACGGTCCCTGGAAAAAAAGGTAAAAATAAGTATAAATTAAGTCAAGGCTGAAATTCCAAAACCATTGTCCAGCAACTCTTGTCGTCCAGTTACTCGCCCTATCGTAACTGGTGCTTCATACTGTCTAAGGCCGTGTTCTGTGTTCGTGTTAGGAAAGACAGACCAGTAAAATTTAGGACCCAAATTCGCTAAAGAATCAGTGAATGCACTCCTGTACCCTACTGCGATAATACTACAAGATATAAAAGTGAAGAATTTGTGTAGATGCCGGGGAAAGGACCTCTCTGGTGCTACGTTATTCTAACCACCCCCCCCCCCCCCCCCCCCCAAGCTAGTAGGCTCATTTACTCCACAGCTTCTTCATCTTGAGGGGAGGAGCTGTGACACGTAAAGATCAGTTAAATACTACCTGCTGCATATTTATCACGGAAATTTACGCCAGTATAAAGGAAAAGACGACTAGACATTAACCCTTAAACCCCCAAGACTGATTGGCGAATAATTTCTTGTCACAGTATAACCCTTGAATTAAATGTAAAGGTCGTGAGATTAAAGGGAATGATCACCAATTTAAGGGGCTCCTGATTTTAAAACAAATTCTCTTTGCCAGTACCATAGGAAATGTTGGTAGAACAGTGAGGAGAATATGAACACCAAAGTCAGGGTGTAAAGGGTTCACCTTCCCAATTGAACTGAATAGTTGCTCTTATAAAAATGTCCGTTTCTTTTCTAAGAGTTCTTTACCGTAAGCCGTTGAAGGTCTTTGACTTTTAACGTCGCTTCTGATGGCCGGCATTTTTTTCCCAACATGTCACCTCGCGCGACACAGCATCCACTCACAACCTGAAGATGACAAAAAATTTTACATAAGATATTGAGTACAGCGGTTTCACTAACCAGACAATATTCCAAATCGAATAAGTGAGCTTCAAACTTTTCAAACTTGTTGCTAAGTTACTATGACATACGTGGTGGTAACGTCATGCCCACGTGACAATCTGAGCTAATTATGATCGAAAGAAGGATGAGGTAATGCGTCGTTCGGAAAGTTTAAGGTTCAAATCTTCACGTAGTATTTCCAAATCTTTCTTCTTCATACGCCCATAGCAGTTTTTCTTGAGAGAAATTTTCCATTAAATGTTGAAATGAGAAATTACTTAGCATTCTTCTCTCCAATACTCCTTGATTGGTGAAGAATAATTCCGTCAACCTCTGATCCCCTCACATTCAAAACGAGAACTAATCACGTTAAGCACGTTTTCCCGCGCTCTCAGTAGTTAGCTTTAAAGTTTTCGTTCGAGTTCTCGTTGACTTTTTGTAACAATTTCCTTAGTTTTGGTTAATTATCTTTATCACTACGGGTTTGGCTGTATGACATTCGATCTAAAAGCGTTATGATAACTTATAAGCCATCTCACTTACATTCGACATCTCAAACGTGACATTTGAGTCCAAGCTGTCCTCTCCCAGCGCTCGTGCATTCACTATCAAGACATTTGACACTTCTGCGTTAAAAATCAACTCAACCCTCACTTTATCATCTTGATAGACGGTAACTGGATCATTTGGAATTTCTAACAAAAGAGCAAAACAATAAATAAATAATAGTGCCTCACATGAGAATCTCTTAACTGTGTTTAGCTAGGCGTTGTTAATAGGGAGTTTAAATCCATGTTTGTTTCAGAACATGTGTGACCGCAGACGCCTGGAAGTCACGTGACCAGACTCCAGCGGTCACGTTCGCCGTTTACCGTCCACTTTTGAACTTCGGGGAAGGCAATGTTTTAGCCACATTTTGTGTTTGAAATGAAGGCCCTCAGACGTGGATCTAAAACTCTCTAATAGCTACTGGTCTAACTCCGTGCAGGCAGGGATTTGTTACGCCTTAAATATAATTTATAACATTTGTTTCCCTGTTTGTTTGTAAAGCCCAGCATGGAATGATCAGCTAAACTTTTTTCTTTCTTTTTTTCTTGGTATTGGTTTAGTTTGCATGATACTCTATTAGGAAGAGCGCCTGGGTTTCAAAAAGAATTAAAAAGAGATTCCACCAGTCCAGAGGTAAAGTTATTTCTAGATGCGTGTCAAGGACAATTTGGAAAAGCAGTTTGTTCCAAATTTCTTCGGTCGGTGATTTGTCCATAATAATTGGCATGATCCACTCAGCTTCGCCTCCATCTGTGATTGGTCCAGAAAACTCACGCCACTTTCTCAACAATCAGATGCAAAACTAAAACCAGTCACGACTTAGTCGCCCGCGCGGGTTTTCCCGCGCTTTAGGCAGTTTGGTTATTTTTACTTTGAATTCTCATTGGCTCTTAAAGGCATCTTCCTTTCTTCTGATTGGCTGTTGTGATAAATTTGGCTTTGGTTTTACCACACTCAATCGGAAAGCGCTCTCATGGGAGGCGAACGACGACTCAAGTACTTCAGACCATGATTTCTCACTTACCATGAGCTGATTTCCACTTTGCAGTTGCTTCTTCAGCGGACGGATTCAATGAGATGTTGTCCACAGGGGTCCAGAGACTCATAGGTTTGACTGAAGTGGTTATCCTGTTCACAATCTGTTTTTGATTTGTAAGATAGTCCACGAGGTTCTCTTCGTGTATACCTGACAAAATAGATAAGTGGAGAAAGGTTCCCTATAAATACAGAATTAACAAAGCGATTCGATAATTCGATGAAGGTCCTTAAAACTGTATACTAAAATGTCAGTTTGAGTTGCGAAGACAAGTTTTGAATCTGATCTGTTGAGAGAGAGGCACGAGTTTTCTGAACCAATTAAAGAGCGAAACGACGCAAACCAAGGCAATCGTTTCGTAAATCGCTCCTTTGCAGAAAATGGAAAAAATTCCGGCCTCGGTAGCTATTGAACCGCTTGCCTGCCAACGTGTGACTTCGTAGCAAAGGTTATAAAAGCGCCCAGCTGGTAATTACATAGCACAATTTCAAGCTACTTCAAAGCTTTAATATCTCAAACTTATTTTTGTAGAGCTCTTTGCATTATTTTCCTTTTTTGTGACAGCTGTCGTTGTGATTACGTAGGTTTTGAAATTATAGCACTATCTTAATGCGCTCGACATATCAGGTTTCAATTAAGTATCGACAGCAATTCTGTACTACTCTGACCTAGCTTTACTTCTCTTTGTGATTGGTCTAGAAAACCCGCGCCACCATCTCAACCAATCAAATGCAAAACTAAACCCAATCTCAACTTGGTCACTCGCGTTTTCCGCGCTTTAAACAGGTTGCCTGCTGTTACTGTGAGCTCTCATTGGTGAATGAATGATGATGTTAACCTTTGTTCTTATAGATAGTTATGTTTACTTCGGTTTTGGTTTTTCGACAGTCAATTGGAAATGGCCCTATTCTTGGAGTTAAGTAGTTCAATACAACTCTTACCACGACTAACATGTAACAAAACTTCTTCGACGGATTTATTCCTGTGTTCATCTGAAATAGCTTTCAGGAGGTGCTTCGCGAAAAAGCCATTCTTCTCCTGCTCACATTCAAACACACTTGAACGCGGGCAACTGAAAAAAGATCGACTAACTTAACACAAACTCGGCATTTGATGACCTCCTAGGTAAGTTATACAATAACTGTGGGATATCAGTTAGGACTTCCATGTACAAATGAACCAATAATTTCTTGCACAATTTAAAAGAAACTCCTTGACTAAGGTTATGAATATTTAACTGCTCCGACTAGCAAAGTAAATGGTCATGCAGCGCGCGTAAAAAAATGATGACGCCTTTGTTGTGAGAAAAAGAACCTGAGTCTACTACCAGTAATGCTTACAACAACAAAAACTTACTTTAGATGGTAGAAAAGAAGAGCATGTTACGTTTTTTTAAGGTGTGAAAATAACTAAATATCAGCAAATACTAAAACTAAACAAATGAATAAAATAAGCAGAATATCCCCAACGATTGTTAGTAAACAAAACCTCTTGAGATTGCTAAAGAACAAGAGACGGAGACAAGTCACAGGAAGAAAGAAGGTCAGGGAAGCAGAGTCACGAATTGTGCCTATAATCGCGACAATTACGCATGTGCCATTTAGAGTTAATACCTGAATTTGCTTAAATCTCATAAGACTTTTGCTGGACTTTTGGCGCAGATCTGATTTATGATGATACGCATTAACTTAAAAGACGCATTAGACAACCATCTGGAACAAAGAAAAAAGCGTGCTTACCAGCCAAATGCTACTACCACATTTGGTTCTTTTATATCTTGTAAATCCCCACTAAGTAATGGACTGTTCTGCGCTACGTAATCCGGTCTAGAAAATCAAAGTTAATGAAAACAAACAGAAGTTTGAACACTGAATCCTCTTTACAAAAAACCGTTTACTGAGCTTGATGAAACCTCCAACACGAACACGAATTGCTAGTAAATCGCAAGTACTGGGAGGTAACGCTCTCCGCAAAACTCTAAAATTGTGGAGTCTTAGCGTCTCTTCTACGAACTTCAACCAATGCTGCCCTTTCTCAACTTTCTCTGCTTCTTACTCTCTTTCTCAACTTACTCTGTTCTGCAGCAGTCCAGCAACACAAGCTTTAACTTTGCCTTAGTTTCTTGCATGGCCTTAAGTACTTCAGCTGAAGCCATGTTCTCTTGCCAATGATATAAAGGCGTGGCATCGACTGGCATTAGATAGCTTAATCCACCGCGTTCAAAACCATGGCCAGCAAAGTAGAACACAGCATAGGTATCTTCGACAAGAAGCTTGCAGAACTCCGCAAGAGCTACTCTCATCTCCTCCAGTGTTAGGTTTACTAATGAAACCACCTGTAAATAGTGAAATGATATTTGGCTAAGGCAGCAGTCTTTTACAAAGAAGTCAATAACTCTTTTATAGAACTCACAGGGTTCAAAGTATACCATTAGCTCAGAAACAGCAAGCATAAAGGAGGGAAATCTCTAGCTAGGCAATAGACAACACATTTACTAGTGTAATAACCCACTTGGAATGTTGGGAGAACACTCAAAAAGTTTGTAAACCATACACTTCTAGCTCATGATTTCCCAAGTGGGTCACTACACTGTTAAATTGATATAAAGTGTGGCCTATTGCTTCCATAGCAATATATATATATATATAACTATGGGTTTACTTGTGCAATAAATGATAGGTTTTGACAAATCAGGACACTCATACATGTAGTATCTAGGTTATTTCATGAATAAGAAAATTCAGGAATGCCCCACCCTTAAAAGCAAAAGATTTCTCAGTCACAATTTCAAGAACAGAGTGGTTTTATTACTTACTTTGAAACCCATATTGATAAGTCTGCCTGTAAAGTCAAAAACATCATTGATTGGATGAAAAAGCTTTCCGAGTTGTTGATTGCCGTAATCTTTATTTCCAATTAACAGGGCAACTTTATTTGCGACTAGAAAGAAAAGAAAAGAACATAAAATGAAAAATATAACAACAATAACAACACTGACAGAACTAATTAAAAAATAAATGCCATCAACAAAAAGATATCCACTCTAATAAAAGCCTAAAGATTACCTGACCAACCAGCCTTTGCATGAAACAAAATATTTCTTTAACCAGACAGCTATTTATTAGACACTATCCCTGGGAAAAGACTACATCTATTGGGAGAGATTTCCATCCAGTGAACACTTCCCTTAAATAGTCATTTCCCAAGGACAGAAACTTCCCAAGACACTTAACTGTTTCACTCCCAAGATCTCATTTCAGTGATTTTCCTAATTGTCTGCTTCACAAATCTTATCATGTTATTTTGGATAATATGGTATTGGATAAACTAATTCCTCTAATTGATATTTTTTCGTTACTTTCATCACTTATCTGTTTGCTATTGTATTGAAATTGTAAGGATAAATTCTGTCTTGGTCACTCATGGAAGAAACACTTTGTTTGTTGTTATTTTGGAATGCTTGGAACTCTCTTGACTTTTAAATCATTTAACAATTAAGAACAAATCATGTTATCACCTCGATCACGCGGACCACGTGTATAGGAATCTCTGGCTGTAAGAAAAACCATTGAAAGTTACATCATAAATAAACAAAAGGTTGACAAACAGTTCTACTATGACAGGGTGAGAGAATCGGCAATATACAACTTAATACCCTGTCACAGAGTTGCACTAAAGTGCAGATTGCTGGCAAACTTTATAGGTTTCCACTGCTGAGTTTTGCAGGGTGCCTCTGCCAAAAACTCAAGACATGGCCACAAAAATGAAGTAGATCTCCTGAAAAACTCCATACCAAGTACTACCTATTTGGAAAAATCCTTCCCCTTTGAAAATTAAATAAACCCATGAATTCAATCATTTAAATTTAACCAATTATCTCTATTTTACCTGTGGTAAGATTGTCAATATTAACTTGCAAACTTTCAATAGTCACTTTAAAATTGTGTGAATGCATTTCCCCAGCAGTGTTGTACACTTTACAATGATAAAATCCATGATCTTCTGCAGAAACATTGTTTTTTATCAACCATCTGTGTGTTGCTTCCGGGATGGGAGAATCATCATGAAACCACTGATAGCTTGGAGCTGGTCTGCCAACACCATCACAGTATAAGCTTAGCCGTGAACCCAGAAGTATGTGAACATCAGGGTCTGATTGAGAAGTAATGATTGGCAAATCTGAAACAAAGAGGTTCTCCTTAGTTCCAGTAAGTTCTGTTAATTTTCGGCTCTTTACACCCTAACATCATTATGCATATTCTCCATACTGTTCTCTATACGTAACCTAGGTTTTAACAAGGAGAATTTGTAAAACCGTCAAGAGCTATGTTAGTTGCTGATCATTTCCTTTATTCTTGGGACTTACACATTTGATTCAGGGGTGATATTGTAAGGCAAAATTAGAACCTTGTCACTCTTTCCAAGTAAATTATGAATAAAAAGAGTTGTAAACACTGTCTCCTAATGGACAGTGCACTGAACTCCAAGGGGCCATCAACTAAATTTAATATTGAAATTGGCAATTACAGCTAAGAAAAAAAGTGAAATATTTTCCCTTGCCACGATGACTTGAAGATTTGATTTTGCTGTTTTTGTACAACACCACTGCCACAAATACAGCTTAAAGAGTATGAGGTTTGTCATTCTGAATGATCACCATTTAATTTACAACTGATACCATTAGCACAGGGTGTTTTGACACAACTTAAAAATTTAAGTGCCCATAGAGAAAGCCACAAATACTGAGGGAACTGCAGGGTAGTCACAGAACTCATTGACATGGTCGGCAAAGTTAGGTTATGAGACAGACAGCCCATACTGTCCTTGCTTATCCTAGCCTTAGTAGCAGGAAGCAACTGAATGTCTTGCTTCTTCCTCCCTGGATAGGATAATGTTACATCCTAAGGTTACTAATCACCATTTTTTCAGGTTTTAATTATACTCCTGAGGGGAGAGAGACACAATTAGAGGACAGTATTGTTACCTCAGACCAGAAATTGAACACCGGCTTTTCAACACAAAATTCAGTGCGCTAATCACAAAGTAAGTACACTGTAGGTGGATCAATGTCAGTGCCGAAGCAACTATGCACCTACCCCCCTTAACCAAAATTAAACCCTAATTTGTTATCAGTTGATTGTTGTTGGATCAGGGGAGGGGTAATTGCACAGCTACTCAGATGCTGACAATGATCACTATACATCTCTGTGACTTCTTGATCAATAGAGAACTTTCATCAACAACCCATAGTATGACTCACTTACCAAAGGGTGAAGAGCTGTGAGCACCACTGTCTTCATCAATTATCAATTTGGCCCAGCTGGTGAAAATACAACCATGACAATTTGCAATGCGGCATGTATAATATCCTCCATCACTTTCACTGACACTCTTGAGCTCTAGCTTATTTCCTGTTTCCCCTTGAAGAAGTTCTCTTTTTTTAAACCATTGAAATTGAAGTGGTTTGTGTCCTAATGCTTCACAGTGTATGTAAACATTCTGTCCTGGAATTCCTCGTATTTCTTTTTTAACATCTTGAGTTATAGTTGGAGAAAATGCTAAATGATTGATGTAAAATCAAAAGAAAATTATCCACTAGAGAACCCAAGTTATTTGTTTGCAGTTATAATTATTGTTGGTGATTTTTGTTGTTGTTGCACTCTCTACTTGTGCATGCACATCCATGCTTACCCAACTGCACCTTGGTTAACTCAAATAAGAGACTGCCACAATGTCACCTAGGAGATGGGGGATATGAGCTCCACAATAAGTTGCTTTGTTAGCTCAACTGGGAGACTGCCACAATGTGATGTGAGAGGTGTAGGGTATGAGTCTCACTGGATTACCATTATAATAAGTCTTTCAGCTTAAGGGGAATGAAAGTAAATAAGTATTCTCCTCTATTCAGATGTCTCTAGCAACTTTGTTAAAGCTGTTACAAATAGTTATCATACAACAGACACAACAATGCAATTTAAGAGACAAAAATATCCATAATTGTGAAAGCCAGTCTAGATATCACGATTACTTTGGCCACAAGCAGATATCAGGTAACGAAGAGATTAAAAGAGCATTTTTTAGGTATTAAAGGTAACATTAACAATATTTCATTCTGCTTGAAATTAGCATGTTACTTTATGAAAAACTTGCAAACTTACTTAGTAAACTAATTACTTTCTGTAAGCCTGGTGACCCTTCACTCATGGAACTGATCCAGCTTTTGAAGACTTTCACAGTTATTTGTGACTGTCCCAAGTCTTGCAATAGTTTAAGAGTTGGGCTTCCTCCTGGTGACAAAGTTGCCATTCCAATTGCATAAACTTGACATGGATCCTTATATGATGGTATCTTGTGTCTTATAACCTCATGGACAAGTGATTTCCAGTTGGGCTGTTCAGATGCGTCCAGTATTGCTGCTATCTGCTTTTTTATATCATCAGGCAAGTCTGTGATACACCTTGAATCCATTGCAAGGCAGTGTTGTTGGTTAATCTATCTATGCTTTGTAGGCTTGATGATCTGTCAGATTGAAAGGACAAATGTAAATTTTTATGCTCTTACTCGTTGGCCATGGCAGGGTGGAGGAGGGGTCCCACCAAGGAAAAGGAAAGAATAACCTCCCCCCTTCTGCACCAACCCAAAAGTATGCTGTGATTTCGGAATATCAAAGGCATAGCTTTACCCTTTCTCTACATCAATCTCATTAGTATGCATCAATCAATATGAAGCTTCAACATCCCCCTACTAGATAACCCTCGGGCATTTAAACTTTCAAAGATTGGTTTGTTCAAATTCCCACACCCTTCCACAAGAGAAAATTGTGTTCAAAGCTCCACTGAAGTACCACATTTGACTGTCAAATTCTTTTTTGTGAATGGCACGATAAGCAACTGTGACTTTCTTGTAAACCTTCCTTTCAAAGCCATTTGCTTGCCAAGCACCTCCATATTGAAGGATCAAATTTCCTCCCCCCCCCACTTCCACCTCCACTGCAGGCATGGACAACAGTCCAATGCCAGTGGGTTGCAGGTGGGAGGGGAGAGGGGGGATGTTGATAAGCTTTACACAAATTGATTGGTGCATAATACTCTCACTATTTGCCACACAATACCTATGATACCTATGATGCAAGTTTGGAGAATTTAGTATGGATCAATTTTTATTACCTTCAGCTGTCTGCTTGATATTGTATTGATATTCTGAGACAAAATTCTGTCTTGGGTACTCATGGGAGTTTAAGGATTAAGAGAGCTCTTAAGGTACATTTCAGCTCTCTTGAGTGATTACATAATTCTTCAAAAACTGTTTGGGCAGTCCAATACAAAGTGGGAGAGAACATTAAGAATGTCAATTTCTGCCACAGTTTCCATCACAATTTCTAAATATCAATTCTCCTCACTGCCTGCCATACATCTGCTGGTGTTTCAGCTCTGAGAATTTTGTTTTAATTCATACAATGTTAATTTCTCATTATATTGCTGGTAGTTCCTATGTGATACTAATGACTTTGCTCACAGTCTTATTTAAACAATTCTGTCACAGTTTGCTAGATATGGCTACCTTGGATCAACATACTACAATTTCTCAACTCTTTTTTGCCCAAAAGTGATCAACTTATAACTTCTCCTTGCAGTTCCAATATATTATCTCACAAACAGGTTATGAGAAGACACAACCTTATCAACTAGCAGATGTAATGCTGTTTTAAAATTAAATTCCCCTGTCTAATTTACAAAGAAGTGTATGGCAGTATGTAAGGAAAAATGCTAATTGGATCATGGGACTTAAAGGGTTAAACAGGGTCAGGGTCGGTAATGCCTTGGAAGTGAACCGCATTTATAACTTCCCTTTGAAACCCTTTCCCAGGCATCTCATCGATAGGGTAAATTTTCAAATTCTCCTTCCCTCCTCCCCTAGGTGACTTTGTAATCACAACAATAAGGGACCTTCTGAGTGAGCTTATTCTAAAACGCTGTCTTACACTTGGTAATTATCTCTAACAATTGTTCCCAAAATATCCGCAAAAATCATTCATTCATAAAATACCGAGTCACGATCCTCTAGAGTGATCATCTTATTGTCTGAAACGCGGCCCCAAAATACCCTAAGCTACTTTTATACGTCTACTATGTCAATACACAATACGGTTTATTACACAACACATAGTCTGACAATCACATCTGAGGCTGTAAACAACTTAACTTTCCACTTGAAATTTTTCTCACCTTCTAGCAGGAAAATTGCTTCATAAGGTATTTAGAAATCATAAACGTGACCTAACCAACAATCTCGCGTCCAACTCTTGTTTCATAGATGATAGCATTTGCATGAATCAATCGATTTAGGGAAAATTTTAACGACAAAACGGATCATACGCTGACAAAAACTCACCAGATCTTGAAGCTGAAATTTCTGAAGAACCTCACTGAGTCCACTATTTAAAGACGCACTTTCTTCCGGATTCGTTGTATTACTATCACAAGTTTAAGCTTACTTGGAACCAAAACGAAATATTCGTTATGTGCTGGCTGTACGCCGTCGTTTAACGGTCGATTCACTATGTGCTTCAATATCTTACAAATAACCTCAGAGGGAAAAAAAACCTGGCAATATTTCAAGCAATACCTTGAAGGTTGTTTCGATAAAGATGAAGATAATTTTAGAACCATTACACTTGACTAAATCAGATTTCCCGGACAAAAGTAATCATTTCCTGTTCTCGATTGTTCTTCCCAATCTCTCCCGGTCTACATGAGCCCGCTGTACTTTTCCCTATATTTTTTCCTCCGCGAGGGGAGGGTAGGGGAAGACATTGCTTCTTCCCGCCTTTTTTGATTAAAGGAAATAAAGCCAAATTTCTCAAAATTTCACTTTTCTTTAATAAAAAACTTAGGTATCTGATATGTCCTTTAGGTTAATATAGGTGGACAAAATGAGGCACAACCTTTTTTTTTGATGTCGTTGCTGTTTTAGGCCAAGACTTCAGATTCCCAAATACCCCCAGTGGACTTTTTCGACTTCCGGCTTTTCCGGGAAGACTCGAAAGAGAAACAAAATCAAAGGGGTCTTTACCATTACTTCATACTCCTCCTCGCGGAATAATAACGTCGTTTTACCGTTTAAAAAGACAATCAAGTCTTTAGGCTTCCATTTAGAGAGATCTAACTCGCCTTCCATATGAACGTGGGTGATTGATTCCAAGTGACGTTTTATTCTGCAAACTGAGGAAGAAGGCAGTTACGTCTTCCTGTGTACAAATTTCCCGCTTTACTCGCCGTCATTACGACCCATCAACTTTCAAAACAACGTTATAGCTTGGAGTTTCTTTAAGGTGAGCTGCAAGTCGATAGAGAATCGAAATCTGTCACGAAATGAGGATGCATATGTATTGTTTTAAAAGTCTTCTTTCCTACAGCTTAGTGCTCGGCTTCGTCCGAAACACGCAACTCATAGTTCGTCTGTTAAGTGTTACATCGCCATCGTAATGCAGTTCACTTCTTTGGAGTGTTTTTGAGTTAATACTGGATAGAGAGTGTAATGCATGGGTCAAGCCTTAAAATCAAATCTTAGAACACTTCTCAAACACGATAAGACATCTTTCATGAAGAACATGCTATCGTAAATATAGAGCGCGATCTTGGGGTGACTGCGTTCCTTTGGTTGAATTGAATTTTAAACTGATTTTCTAAAGAGTTCATGTTCCACCTAAGAAAAAACCTGGAAAACTTATGACTATAGATTCTGTTTAAAATGACAAAGAATACGGTATGCGTGGACAAAAACATTGAAAAGTGTATTACATGCAAATTCCTAAGAGACAAACTCAGTGTGTCATGACCTTTTATTAGAAATTTGACTCACACATGAAATTCCTGTTTTGTTAGCTAAAGAAAAGGAAAGATCTGTTGTTATTACTTGATGATATCTACGTGTAAATTTAATTTGATGATGTCATTTTAACAGTGTGAAGAAAGCATCAATTAGGCTCTCTATATCTCTTGTAATCCACTTGCAGTGAATGTGTTAGAATCTCCACGACAATTTACCAAGAGCTATCAGTTTACCTCAGTATGCACATGATTGTATCTTTTTCTCTTTGATATACAGCGAACACTTGAGATAGTGAGGTTTAGGGTTATGTTTAATTACTGAATTATTTTAATTAATTATTATTATATTTTATGCCATGCTTAAGGCTGCTCAATTATTCACAAGTAGGAATCAGGAAAATCAAAACTCTAGATCTGGCAATTGTTTATTACTAATCTCATAGGTAATTGATTTTGACTGACAATGGCGACCACCAACGAGCAAATAAGACATTTGCCGTATGGCACTCTTCACAAACTGGCCCAACTGCTTGACATACCTGGACAAAGAAACTGGAAAGCACTTATCAGTGCTATGCCAAGTAATTTATATAAACCTGAAGAGGTAAGTAGGGTTTATCTTAGAAATCTATGGGGAGTCCTTTGTCAAGAAAGGAGCCTAAGACAGGGGGTACTCAAGAAAGGTATTTGTACTTATTTGTATAGTTAAATCAATGGGAAAAAAGAGAAAGGCAATTTTAAAAGTACAGATTCAGATACAGAGACGGCATACACCCCCCATGTTGGAGTTTGTAGATTCATCATCAAAGTTGAGTGAAGACAAGATAGGTAGAGCAATTGAAAAGTGCCAGTAGGGATGGGTGGTGACAATTAAGATGCCTCTGCAAGTGACTGTAAAATTGTTGCACAGATAGAAAATATACCATTACATTAAAAGAGAATATTTCTCTGTTGCATCCGTTTTTTGAACAATTAACACCCCTAAATGAGCAATGCCCTGGCACAAGAATTAATTTTGCACTCTGGCGCTTTTTGAGTAAATCTCTTTCTTTGGGTATGCCTCTCTTAAAATGTCAACTTTGTCTCTTGGTAGGTGTCAGCATTTGAGATGGAAGGAATGAGATTTAGTGGCAGCCCATCAATGAGTTTGCTGACTGACTTGGGACGGAAATGCAAAACTGTCAAAGCACTTATAGTCTGGTTGAAAAAAATTGAAAATGCCCAAGCCCTGGACATCTTGGAATATGAAGGTAATAAAAATTCAAACATGAATGAATGAATGAGTAACAAAATAAACAAATGAACAATTCTGCAAATGAAGGGAATTTTGGAACAAACAGATGAATAAATGAAGAATGAAAGAATGATTGAGTTAAAAATAAATGAATGAGCAAATCTTTAACCTCTGACTGATACAAATTAAATGCAAGGGGATTTGTGACAGTTTGTTTGTTGATCAAGCTTTCAAAAAACAAATAAACTGAATAAGTGAAAATAAAATCTGCAAAAGGCTACTTAAAGCAGAAAGTACTCAACAACCTGAAAAATTTTTCCCAATGCAGAAAAGGTGAGGATCCATGAACATCCATCATCAAAGCCAGTTCGCACTGGCGCAAGTGTGACATTCAGATGCAAAGCTACAGGTTACCCAGCCCCAGAGTATTTATGGGTGAAGGACGGTGTTGAGGTTCCTGATGGAATAAATGAAGAACTAACATTAGATTGTGCTAGACTGGAAGATAGTGGAAATTATGTGTGCATTGTGTCCAATCGATTGAACATGCAGAGAAGTCATGAAGTAGAGTTACAAGTTCTTCCATCACCTGGTATGCCTTTGATAATTGTTATGAGCCCTAATAACAACTACGAACTTCTCCTTAGCTTTTAGTAAGAAATCCTTCCACTCCTCATGAGAGTTAAAGGAATTAGATCTTGTTTGATAGACATATGGGAAGTATGCTAGCCTGTTTTTAATAATTATGCTGAATGGTAACTTTATCCTGTTAACATTTAGTGAGGACGCATGATTATAAAGGCCAAAATTAAAATTCTACGTGTGCTGCCTCTATAAAGCACATATTTTGCCTCATTTAGAATATTGTTGTCCGCTATTACTTGGAGTTGGAAGAGGTCAAGTTAAAAAAACTAGAAGACACCAATAATTATATTCTTAGATCTCTTTTAGGGTATGGACATACACCATACAATTATTTATTAAATATGGCTGGTATAAGAACACTGAAAGAAAGAAGAGAATTCCAGGTCCTCGTTTTGGTTTATAAATGTATTCATAAAGAAGCCCCAAGGTATATAGAAGAATTTTTTCAGATTAAAATCTGCAATTATAATTTAAGAGAGTCAGGGACACTTTTAACATTACCCAATTTCAATCTAGAATGGTGCCATAAGTCATTCTCATTTTTGGCAGCAAAACTTTGGAATTTGTTACCTACATATGTTAGAAACGCCAAGGATATTTCTACTTTTAAATGTCTTTTAAAGAAGCAAGTTTTTGGATAGATTAAGGATGGTAACTTTAAATTATTTCTTTTCTTTTTAACCTTTTTTTCCGTTTCACGCACATGTTTTAATGAGTTTTTATCACTCCTAGATGTAGTGTGGGTAAATAAAGTATTGTTGTATTTTACAGAAAAGCAAGTGTGATTTGCCTCCTGACATATACACAAGCCTTTGAATTTTTTCTTCTGTTTCAAGAAAACCTTATGATTTCCTGAAACCTTGTGCATAAGAAGAGACATCTGATTTTTTTCCCTTTAATCTATTAATGTGATACATGGATTTTTCCAAAATTCATGCCTGAAACAGGCTCAGGACCCTCCTTTTGCTACCCTTCTTAACGTTACATTTACCGCGGATAGAAGATTCAATTACATTATTGTACAATGCTAATATCCTGCTCTTATTTTTTAACCTTCTGCAGTGAGTGGTTATACTGGACAAGAACAAACTCCAGAAGGTGTGTCTCAAATCTTGAACAATGTTTTACTTGAGGACGTGACATCATTCGAATTTGGGAAGGGATAAAAATCAACAACTCAAAACTTAATAATTAATAATAATGATTCACTAATATTAGCACCTTTTAACACTGAAATGATCAAAAGCACAAAATTAAAATGCAATGTGTGTATTTTACAAAATAGCAAGTGTGATTTGCCTCCTGAAATATACACAAGCCTTGAATTTTTTCATGTATTTCAGGAAAACCTTAAGATTTCCTGAAACCTTGTGCATGAGAAGAGACATTACCTTCTCCTTTATTCTATTTACAAACATGATGCTATCAACATTGCTAATCCTAGCAGTATGAGGGATGCGCATCATATGAACTTCATAATAGACCTCGTTCACTGTAGAGTCTCTGTGGCTCAGTGGTAGAGCATTGGAGTGCAAAATCTAAAGGTCTGAGGTTTGATTCCTCAGAGGGACTCAAAGTTTTTTCTTTGTCCTATGCTCATGACAAGACAAAAAACAACTTTCTCTATTTCTTTACTGAGCTCAAAACTTGCCATCTCTCTTATTCTATTTACAAACAATATGTTACAATATGCACCTGAAGAAAAAAATTTTGAGGTAGTCACTTTGGAGGTCAGCTGAGACTGTATTATTTCCAGATGTAATTGATTATCGCAAACAAAAGCAGCACAAAGTGGCTTAAAATTATCAGTCTTCCACACACACGTATGTGATGATTCAATCTAGTGCCTTAGGCACTTACTCACATATGATACCTCTAGGGATGGCACTTAATCATTAGGTACAAAGGGCCCCTCTTTTGTCTTATTTCTATCAACAGCACAATATGCAAAACAAAGCTTTGATATAAATTCAAAACTTAACAACCATTATTGTAATAGTAAAAAAAGTAAAAGTAACAAATATCCTGTGAATATTTGCATGATAATGGTTGGGAATGTTTTGAAGCAGTAGTACTACCACTGAAACAGAATAGGTGTGCCATTGGAATGAAGATGGTTATGCAACAGACGCACCTATTGACAAAAACAAGTTTTGGAGGGGGTGCTTATTAGAGAGGTGGCACTTATTGGAACAAGATTATCAAATTGAATGATGATGTTAGGGTGTAGAGGGTTAAGTGTTTTGGATGAGATGCTTAGGGTTAGATGCATATTACCATAGACTACATTTAAGCTTCCTGCTTTCCCAAACTTAAATACCAAGGTCGACGTTAATTCAGGTCCATTTTTCTCCAGCCAAACATCCTCCTGAAATCACACGTCAACCACAATCCTGCATCTTACCTGATGGTGTGGAATTCAGGCTGGTCGTTGAGGTGAAGGAAGGACCAGTGAAATGCCAGTGGTTTAAAGATGGCTTTATACTTGTGGGGCAGACAAGAACAGAATTACTTTTTCAGCCATTTTATTATCGACATGAAGGCAGCTATTGCTGTAGGGTGGAAAACAGTGCTGGTGATGCCCTCAGTAACACAGCATTGTTACAAGCAGGTAGGTCATACTTACTCGATCCCATATTTTCATTGATATTTAGTCTCCAAATATGATTTTCCTCATGTCTGTTCTCATAAGGTATGGAAAATTTCACCTTAGACTGAAAGTCTTTTACACATTCACTTCCAGGGTAGAGTAAGGGGCTTTTTGATTAAAAAAAAAGTATTATTTTGACTTATGTGTCTCGTCTTGATCAACAGTTGCTTATCTCATAATGATCATCTTTAATGAGTACAAAAAAAAATTGACAAGTAATCAATTGATTGGTTAAAAATTTGGGAGTAAACAGTCTTTTTTTTTGTTTTAAGATTTTCTTAATAGAACCTCCAAAAGCTTTTATCTTGTATAATACTATTTTTAACAAGTGCATAGATTGATAAGTTAATGATTTTGTTGAATGAATTAACTTTTTTTTACTTGTATTTGTTTCTAATAAATTACAGGAAGGCCTGACGATCTTCACCTAGCTCAAAGTGGTATGATTACAAGTGTATTTTATTTTATGTTATAAAGGTTTACTCCATTATTTTAACAAAAAATCCAGTGGGGACCTCCCAGGATAACTTACCTAGTACAGAGAAAACTGATAATACTTTTTACTACTCTCATTTAACGGCAATACATGTCCTGGATATGATATTACTCAACAGAATTTGGCATTGATTATATCAATATTTTCTAAACACCCATTTGTGATAACTCTTTGTTTTAATTTCTTTTGGAAGTTTAAGCTGCACTGTTGTTTGTTGTTATTTGTAACAAGCCTGTCATTTGTAACTCAAGTGATTAACCTAATGGCCAACCAACAATTCAGCAAATAAAAACGGTGTCATTTTATTAACTATGGGCAACACCCCTCACCTCTTGTCTAAGTTAGACCTGACAGGCACAAAAAAATATGCACAAAAGACAGATTCTGGTTGGTTTATAATTAATTATTGCTCCTTGAACAACAGAGGAAGTTTTGGAACAAAACTACATTTAATAGGAGTGGTAAGGAAGGAAAGTGTCTCTCATGTGAGAGAGCTGCACTGGCTGTTTAAGGTGGTTCAGGTGTTAATGTCACTTATACTACACACCACCCAGGCAGTTCACATAAGATTTATGTGAAGAAGTACATGTAGTATTGTGCTATTAAGTTTCTCATTTTTGAATGTGTTTCATATGATTAACTAAAAATATTTTTGGCTATTTATAATGTCACAGTGATTCCCAGATCTGCTGAGCTCACACAGAAAGGTGAGTAAACTATTAACATGTAGTTGGTATGTAGTTGTACTAATTTTTTTGATGATTGTATCGATGTGCTATTGTTATATTGTAATAGGCTATAACCTTCCTTTTCTTCTCTTTGCAAGTGCTCAAAAGCAACAATTTTTTGACGTTAATATCATGTTAAATTTTCAGTAAATAAACAGTAACAAGTACAATTATTTAGAAACTTAATAGACTTTTTACAAATGTAATGACTAACCAGTACTGTGCAATTTTCATGCCAAAGCAGAAACAAATAGAAGTTTTGTCATAGAGCATGTTGTTGATAATCATGGTTCTATAGATAGATGATTGATTAATCATTTATCTCACAATGTAAGAGTCAGGCTAATCAATTGTATTGACTGGATGTTTTGACTGCTACACCTTTAGCTTTCTTTCGTAGAGGAAGAAAGCCAGCCAGAGTCACCATATCACAAATTGGTGGAGTTATAGATTGGGACACTACTTTCAGAAAAATACTGGTGTATTCACTGCAGTTGTTTTGCTTGATTTCCTTCAGCTGCTGACAAAATAGCCTTGGTCATTGGAAACCGCGACTATGTGCGCTTACCTCTCAATGAAAGCCCACTGGTTCATACTTGCAATGATGCAAAGATGCTTGCCTCAATTTTACGCACTCGTGAAATGGGTTTCAAGGTCATCTCCCTCATGAACCTGACACTAGATGAGATGAATCAAGCACTCAATATTTTTTACAGTCTTCTTGGAAGCGGGGTGTATGGATTGGTTTATTTCGCTGGTCATGGGTTTGAAGAAGGAGGGCAAAACTACCTGGTCCCTGTTGATTCAGTGGGGGATTGGGTACCAGAGGAAGCTGTTTGTGCCCAAAGAATTTTGGATGAAATGAACAGATACCACACAGAGTTGATAGTGTTTCTTTTGGACATCTGCCGCAAGAGGTGAGTTGTTCACAGTGGTATTGCAGCCTGCCAGTGCCCATGCAAGATACATATTTTTCAATTACTTAGTACAGAGACTTCTAGATGGGTGTAATGCATTTCCACCATATTTTTTCATATATTAAAACACTTGATTGGTCAAGAGTCACTGCTGTTGGGGGATGGGTAGGAATTTAGGAGGACAAAAACTTCCTCGATGGTAAGGAGCTCACCATGGCAACTAAGCCACAGCACTTCTCCAGACACTTCTCAAGGCAACACTGATAATTAAAACCAGTGTGTGGAATTAATAACTTGTTAGCAATGTCAAAAGTGTGGAAGGAAGAGAAAAAAGCAATTAAAAAAGAAAAGTAATCGGAGGGAAAGCATTTATAAATGCATTTAAAAACATCATTTTCTATAGCAGTCATGAGGTTAGTTTTAAGAACAATGGAGAGGTTGACAGTAGCAGAATTTCCATCTTGATCCTCCTTGCTTGATATCAGTGGCATGAACAAGCCCATCTTGAGCTAATGATATTGTCTTGAAGGTATGATTATTTTTTTTCTTCAGGGCAAATGCTGAGAAAAATTTTGTCATGAAGAGTTATGAATTTCCATACAATGCCCAAGCAGTAATGGGGTTTGCTACGTAAGTAAACCAATCTACTATAGAATACAGAAATCTCTTAACTGACATTACTAATTATATGTTATGCTATTTGCCTGATGTGAGGTGGTAAATATATGGTGAAACTGTGCCTAAGGTCTTTATAGGGCTTGGGCCAAAGACAAGTCCGCCTTAGCAGAAAATATTGTAATTACATTTTATTAATCCAGGCCATCAATTTCCATCCATATTGAGGCATTTTTTCAATTAATTGTTGTAAAACCAAAACCAAAGTAATAACAACAACCAATCAGAGGAAAGGAAAATACCCATAAGAGCCAATAAGAACTCGACATAAAATCAACCAAACTACCTTAAGGTGTGAGGGACCAATCACAGAGCAAAGTAAAGGAAAACCAATGCAATCTTGAAATACTTTCAACACTCAATTGAAAATTGCTCTATTTTGCTCTCTGTAATTTACATGACCTTAACCTATCTTAGACATGAATACCCAGGTGCTTGTACTGTTATATAAATGGTGTCCCTTACTGATCAACAGATGTCCTCAATCTGAGGCTTATGAGAGAAGACAAGACCCCAATGGCATGTACATGAAACACCTGCTAAAGTATGTCATGAATGACGCCAAAGTCGAGGATGTCTTGCATCAAGTGGCAGGAGGTATGAGCTGAAAACTGCATAAGATGGTTTGTAATCAAGAATGATAAAACATGTGTTCAGTGACATTGGATATCTGAAGTCAGTAGAAACCAATAAATGACAAGCACGGCTTCTAAACTTTGACAGATACTTTGTAAGTTAGGTTCCTCAGCTACTTCAGTGCTGAATTCAAAATGTGGCCAAGAAGACAAATGGAACATACAGCAACTGTACAACTAGATTTCTCTCTAAACTTGACTGAAATTTTTCAGATGTCAGTGCAGAGGTAGAGACAAATGAGTTGGTTGAGAGACAGCGTCCACAGTTTCACTCTACCACCACCAGACAATACAGCTTGCGTGACCCAATTCAAAGAGACAAATTATACTCTGAAAGAGAAAAGTCCTGGCTTGAAATACACCGTAAGTTTAATCATTGATGAAAGTGAAATGTTAGCAGGCCAGAGCACTCCTGACCTGGAGGAGCTGTTGCATAGCTGTTGAAGATTTACTTAAGTTTAAATACTTTTTTGTCAGATTTACAAACATATGATTTGTGTTCTAGGTACATCTCTATAGTCCTGAAACAAACAACACCAAATAAACTACCATAAACACCAGCATGTAAACCATTCCTTTTTCCATTCCTTTTTTATGAAAATTCATAAGTCTTTCTTTGTAAACTAACTAGAACTTCACGAAAAGAAACAAAGATGAAAATTTTTCATTAATTTTGCAAGCCTGGTGGTTCCTAAAAGCTGCAAGCTTTGTTTATAAGTATAAGCTTATATTTCTTGCTGTTGAGTGGTGTTAAACTCAGTCTTCATTAAGAGCTTAGACCTTTAACCAGTTTAAGGTTGCCTTGGCTTCTTTAAGCAGCTAATTTAAAAAAAACTATCATTTTAAACTGCAGTCATTTTAAACTATAACAAATGTGTTTGGATAATGACCAATTTTGGCTGGAAATGAAAGGCAATTTGAAACTAAAGTTTTCATAATTTGTATATCTTGTTCAGTTCTGTGCGATTGCCATAAATGGTTTGACACCCTGTAGGTAGAGTGTGTTTAGTCATCGTAATGTTGGTGCCTTTATTGTGTCATGCAGGATATTAAGACCTATATTCTCTCTTTGAAATTTTTACAGATCTCCCTCAGAAGCGAGAGATAGAATGTGAAGCTGGGATTAAGATAGAAATTCGCTTTGAACACCAGAACTGGCTGTCAAATGCAATCGTTTTGTGCCTAAGAGTTATTGACCTTGGAGAGGCAAAATTCTGTGATGTAGGCTTGATGTTGGAATGTCTTCCACAGGTAAAGTGGTACATTTCAATTTTCTCTCTGTTGTCAGTGTACACAATTATTGCTCAAATGTATTGAGAGTGAAATGATTTTTAAATTATCATTTTGATTTTACTGAAGCCTAGGGACAACTGAGATTCTCTTAATTCTGTCACATTCATAGCATGGAAGCATAAAATTGTGCCCCCTTCTATATATAACAAACCAGTTACTCAAAATCCTTTTGACAATCCTGTTTAAGACAAACATTTTTTTTATCAACTCCTACTCGAGTCCATTCTGCCCTATAAGTTTTAGGCATTTCAGGTACATGTTGTTAGTATCTTTCAGTAATGCCATCCTTACCGTGAATATTGAACTCCAATTGAATGTTCTGTATTTTAACCATTAATAATTAACATTGTCAGACAAAATTTTATTTTCACTTTGCATAACTTTGCTCCTCAAATTTTTGGCAACAGTTTTCGTATGCATGATTGACTCTATTGCATTATTTTGTGATGTACTGCATAAATGAATTGAAAGGGTTTGTACCCTTTCCAGGACTCCAAATTTCTCCATAATTTCATCATTTAATTTCATCCATCATCCAAATTTCACCTTTCATTCTCAAGATTTCAATATCAAGTCTCCTCATGGTCTACATACATTTCTTATAAAGTGAATTCTGAAAACTTTATTGCTTAAGTTAAGCATATTTCCAGGACTTGTGGTCTTTTGCTAGGATCTTCCAGAACTGGAAAATGTTATAATAAAATTCCAGGACTTTCCAAGACCTGTACAAACCCTGATTGACCCTCACTAATCAATTGAAGTTAAAAAAATTCACAGAATGAAAGCTTTTAATTAAATTAGGGCTTCAATTTTGTTTAGAAACATGCCCCTTAGATACCACTAGGGAACTACTCCAAATTAGGTGAAAATTAGAACCCTATGTTGTGATTAGAGCAATAATCAATTTTGTAATACCATAATGACATCCTGGTTTCCATATTAATTTAATTTACAAATAATTTGTGAACAATGATTTTCAGGATTGCCAGAGTCTTTACTTCCATCCAACTTCAACCAACAGAATGAGGCAGGTTGTTCAGGTAGGAGATCAGGATAAATTCAAGTGGCCTTAATCAACATACTGGTGGATATATAGGTCAACATAGTTGATTAATATGCTAGTCAGCAGTTGTTTGATAGTTGACCAGCATTCAACTGATGGTTGGCTGATGGTCATGATCAGCTACCAGTTGACCAATAGTCAGCAGATGTCCCTGCCAAGACATTTATCTGCTGACTATCATCTCATTAAGAAATCAGCAGACTTCTGTATTGTGTGGGATGACCTAAGGCCAACCATCATTCAACTATTTGCAGACCATCGTGACACTCTATTGGCTGATTATCAGCTGATGTTATAGATTAACTATTGTCCCACCATTTGAGTGGCTTGTGAAACACTTGCTGACTAACCTTACCTAAAATACGTCTGACATGTAGTCCTTGAGGTTCTCTTATTTTTAGTAATGGTTATGAACCAATTAAATTTGAGATATACTTTAAACCCTTTCAACCCTTTAACACTAAGGTATCAAGAAAAGCAGGTTACAACCCCTCACAGCCTTCTCTGACAGATACCTCACAGCCTTCTCTGACAGACACCTCACAGCCCTCTCTTACAGACCCCTCACAGGCCTCTCTTAATTAAAGACCCCTTACATTCGTCTCTTACAGACCCTCACAGCCTTCTCTGAAAGACCCCTCACAGCCATCTCTTGCAAACCCTCACAGCCCTCTCATGCAGACCCCTCACAGCCTTCTCTGGAGACCCCCCACAACCATCTCTTACAGACCCTTCACAGCCCTCTCTTGCAGACCCCTCACAGTTGTCTCTTGCAGACCCCTTACAGCTGTCTCTTGCTGACCTCTTACAACCCTCTGTTGCAGACCCCTCACAGCCATCTCTTACAGACCCCTCACAGCCTTCTCTTACAAACACCTTACAGCCATCTCTTGCAGATCCCTTACAGCCCTCTCTTGCACACCCCTCACAGCCCTCTCTTACAGACCTCTTACAGCCCTCTCTTTCAGACCCCTCACAGCCTTCTATTACAAATCCCTCACAGCTGTCTCTCACATACCCCTTACAGCTATCTCTTGCAGACTCTCTTACAGCCCTCTCTTGCAGACCTCTTACAGCCCTCTCTTGCAAACCCCTCACAGCCATCTCTTACAAACCCATCACAGCCATCTCTTACAGACCCCTTACAGCTGTTCTTGCAGATCCCTCACAACTGTCTCTTACAGACCCTCACAGCCTTCTCTGACAGACCCCTCACAGCCCTCTCTTGCCGACCCTCACAGGTGTTCCTCTGCAGACCTCTTACAGCCCTCTCTTGCAGACCCCCCACAGCCCTCTTTTGCAGGCCCCTAACAGCCCTTTCTTTAGCCATGTTTGGGTTTTGCCTGACAGCCCCTTTTCTGAGCACAGCTGCCTCTTACACCATTGGCAGTAGTTCAACTTGTAAAAAGGTAATAAAACCCCTGTTTTACACCTATAATCTGAGTTCTCAAGCTAACTATTTACAGGAAGTTTCACTCTTTCTAAACAGCCTCCTGACACAGTTGCTCGCAGCCTGCCTCAACAGCGCAATGGACCCTCTTCAAGTCTTGCTGTGGAAAAGATTAGTGAGATCTACAACATTCAGAGACTCAAGGTGAATTACATTCATTTAAAACTTGCTGTTTGATCAAATATGATTGTACTTATTGGTTTCTTTCCTTCCCTAGTGCAAAATCTGGAAACTCTTACCCCATATCCTAGGTCTTAGGTCAGATTCATTGTAGGTGTTCCACACTTGAGAGATATGACTGAGAACTCAACCTGGGAATAAGGGGAAAGGAGTCAAGTCTGAAAAATTATTTTGGTTGACTTGGGAATATTTCACCAAATACCACAGTCCTGAATTCTGTTTTCTAGAGTGTATACTATGAATTGATTTGACGCTGTATTATTTTTAATAGTGTGTTTGCCATTAAATTCTGTTTGGTTTCAAAACTGATTCTTTTCTTACTAACAGGAACCACTTGCTTTGACATTGATTATTAAGTACATCCTGAAGGGATCTGGTGAAGAACGAACAAAGCACAGGGTTGAGGTGTTCAATTTCAAAGAATTTGGAATTGCTGCGGCATTTTACAAGGCTAATTATCAAAAGGAGTGAAGTGTCAGTTGTTAAATAATCCTGCTTCTTACTGAATTTTTACAGTGTGGACACTGCTTTTAAGTGTAGATATTTACTATTAAGTGTCAATATCAAATATTGAAAGTATTTGAGCAATACTAAATACTAGTCTGATCAAATTTCTTGGAACTACTGAGATAACGAATTATTTCCACACTCCCCTGTCTTAAACATTGTCCCTGATTAAACACCGATAATGGGAGAAAAATTTAAACAATGGCTGGACAGCATATTATGTTAGAGTATTCTTGAGAAAAAAATTTACAATTTGGCATTTAACACCATACACTGTACTTAGAAATTTTCATCCAAATATCAATGCATTCAAACTTTACACATTTCATTTCATATTTCATAAAATCTCCCATATCTAGAAATTTTTATCAAAAGAGCAATGCATTTGAACTTTACACATTTCACAATTAAGGGATAGGTAATATCGGTGATTTACTCTACATGATTTGGAATAGCCCTTGAGAAAACCAGGTATTAAAATGCTAAACATTCAAGTAAGTAAAAACAGTATGATGAAGAATTCTATCATCGATTTGAAGTGGTGTTTTCTCTCCTGGAATATGTGCAATTGTGGGGATATTTAAGAGGAAATTCTGTAAAATTTGAAAATCAGACAACTTTTGATGTTACTTACTTTACCAAATTATACAGTCATGAACTCTACTGAATGTATGAAAAGACCTTCTCTAGAATCTTACTTACATTTTTTTAAGTTATCACTTTTTTGCAACAAAGTAGCAAGGGAGTACATATACATTACTCTCCTTATTTGGGTATGCCTTTGGAAGGACGGGGTACAAATTTATTGACTGATCCAGTCTAATTGAAGTATAAGAGTTGCATCTGAGCTGGATTCAAGTGACCAGCAAGTTAACCTTAGAGAAAGTTACATACCAGATGCAGAAAATAGAAGGAAAATTATACACTATGATTTTCTTGTATGAAGTGACATATGAAATGATTAATCTAGATCTGCTACTAAAAATAATAAATAAATGCTAAATATGAGCACAATCAACACAAAATGCCTTGTAACATAGCACAGATTCTATATATACCAGAACACATTGACAGCGTACATTGTCATGGAAGTCCTTGGAGGCAGAGTCATTTGACCAGGGTCCAAATTCGACTCTGTCATAGATGTGACTCAGGAATGGCATCATTTAGTTTGAATACTTCATGGAAGGATGACAGTTCAAAAACAAAGCCGTGTTGTGGCAGGAGAGTAATTTGATTTTAATAAACTAAAGGTACCTGCCTAAAAGGAAAGATCTATACATGTGTAGAGACTTAATTCACAACAGAATGGCAACCACCTAGTCCATAATAAATGAAGTCCAACCTTTTTAGGTTGAAGCATTTCTATAAACAATGCTTCTTTTTACTGACTTTATTACAATTATAGAGCAATCATAGAAGTACACATTTAGTTAGTAGGATTCAATATTTGGTATTTTGTAAGTTGTTACAGGTTGATACAAAGTATGCATATTGTGGCCATAGTTCATTACCAGTTGGTGTTGGTAGTGTGTTGTAATAAAAATGCTGTAATTTTGCAACATTGAATGTTAACTTTTGCCAAGCATCGTTCCATCTGGGTTTGTATGTGTGTATGTCGGGTGGGGGACAGTATTCTAAGTTGCTTATGCCAGAGAGACTGGGGTAAGTTCCAGTGCCTTCTGGGCCACTTTATTTGAGTGCAGACTTTACATTTTTACTTTACTATACCTGAAGTTCAATTAGTGGGGGCTGTCCTGGTGTACCAGTACACAGGGGAATTCCTATTGTTTTCATATCCATACATGGAGTTGTGACGCAGTTCGTTAATGTTTCGTTCCTTTGTGTACCGGTACACGAGGACACAACCAATTAGTGGCCGTTACATTGCTTTTCATTATTTGACCCCTCTTCTTAGAAGCAATATATTCAAAATTCATCATGGAATGGGTTCCTAAAATATATTTTATCTTACTACAAATATCCTAGCATGAATGTCCCTATTCCATAAATTGCTTTTGTCATATACTCTTGAATTTTCCCTTCATAGGATTCAGTGTCTTTACACACAAGATATAATTCAATCCAACTGTTGCCAAGAATTTCCTTGGAATAAATTATTTTAGGATGAAAGATTTCATGGACTTTATGCTAGTTCTGTTTACAAAATTAATGTAGATTAGTGTAGTTCAAGAACCATTTTTGTAAATAGAGGTTGAATGTGGGAAAGTGGGTTGGAGTCTATCATCCTGCTAAGTAAAAAAATTGGACATTTTAAAACCAGATATTGTTGTAATAATCATTGATTTTTATTTAAAAATTCAATTAACAAATATCACAAATACTGTATGGCTTTCATTGTTTATATGTATACTTTTCATCAAATTAGAATTGTAGGAACACCCTGATTGGTTGCAGGAGAAAGAAAACAATGTACTTTCTATCATTATCACCTTGCATTAGCTTCAGTTTGAGACAGCTGCTGTATGATCTGTACTGTTTCTTAAAAAAAATACCTTTGACAAAAGGAAATATCTTGTTTTGATAATCACCTTTTCATTTAACTCTTAAAACCCTTAGAGTGACCAGCAGCTAATTTTTCATCACAGTAATACTGACGAGTTATTCAGTAACATCATGAGAATAAAGGAAATGATCAGCAACCTAAGGAGCTTTGATTGTTAACTAAATTCTCTTTGTTAGTACTTAAGGAAATGCATATAGAAGAGTATGATCATGAAGAATAAGGATACTTATGTTAGGTTGTAAAGGGTTAAGATTATTTAATAAATACAAAAGCTCAGTGAACAACATCCAATGATATGCCCTCAACTTTGTCCCCAGAATATCAAGCAACATCAAAGTAGTGAAAAAAAAAATTATATCATTAATGTAAATAATCTAATAAAAGTACTGTTTAAGTATTCTATCACAAGCCAAACTTCTTGTCAGTCTCGTGAGTCTCTGAGTAAAATTCTTAGGAAGTTTTAAATGTATCAGAACATAGATGATGGTGAATCTCCAGGTCCAGATGATGATATGATTATAAGCACAGGGTGGTGTATGTTTTTTTCTTCTTAGTTACATTATTTTATAGAATATTGTCATCAATGTGATCAGCAGTTGTATTTGTTTATTGAAACAATTGGATTTGACCATTAAACCTCTAGCAATCACCAACTAAAGAAGCTCTGGATTGTTACACAAATTCTGTGTCATTACCATAGAAAATGTATAGATGACAGTACAGATACAACACATATTGATTTTAAAGGGTAAAATACTGACAGGAAAGTTCCCCTTGCACTGAGCTGGATCACACCATTAGTAAGGCAGGTTTCACGGTGACTTGTGGCCAGTTTTGCTTGTTTGTTTTTTTTTTGGTTTCACATGACTTTACCAAGAAGTAACCTTACAGTCCTAGTCAGTAAAATATCCAAACTTAGCATGCATACTAAAAAATCCCTAAGTTATCAACATTTGGCTTAGCTGAATATTCAGAAATATCAACCAAAAAAACCTGACAAGAGTATTAGATATTTGATGGGAAATGCCAAGTCTAAGAAATACTTTGGTTTTGAACTAATTAACTTTTGCAAGCATGTACATTATTATACAAACCTATAGGTTGCAATGTCTACGCGGTAGAGTAACATTTTGTAATCAGATTGCCAAGCTAAGTTCCAATACACTAATATCTGGCAGTCAAATATGTTCACCAAAGTCCCACAGAAAACCTCATGCAGACCTGATGAGAGTCTACAATGTTTCTTTAGACATGAAAGGTGATACTAATAATTATTTTAGTTTTGGTGGATAGATTTTCCATACTTGTGTACACCAAGAAAATACAAATTTTTTAGTGTCACTGTAACATAGTGATTTAATGGTAAGCTCAAGTTCAAGTTCAGATATCTTGTCAAGTACAAAATTTACATAATTTTTGGGATCCCTTGACATCTGTTTACAAATAACTGATACCCTCAAGAAGTATGAAAAAAAAATTTTTCAATAAAAATTCTGGGAGAACTGTTTAGCTGTCAGGCATGTAACAAAAGCAAAACTTAATATGCTGATTTCTGTTGCCACAGTTTACCTTTTTTGTTTTGCTTTTTTAAATGAGAAAATTACTGCAATCAAGTGGATACATATATAAAATTTGGAAAAAATATTTTGCCTGATTCTAAATTTTAAAAGAAATGATAAAACAAAGGCTGTACTCTGGCAGAGGACCATTGCCACAGGCAACTATCTTTTGCTTGTGGGCAATGTGTGTAAATATGCTTTTATGAAAGCTGGAAAGTGCTAAGAAACCAAGATTTCTGAGACAAGAGCCTTCATGCACCCCGTGATTCTGTACATATACTTCATCTCAAGATGATGAAAGACAGATTTCTCCTTCTGTCTCCTTGTTACATACATGTAAACCTTAATGCCTTGTTTCAAGTGTAAAAATCCTTATCATGGCAAAGAGGGCTAATTAACATAAATATAAAACAATAATTGCATTTTCCACTTTGGTATGAGCGTAATTTATGGGTTAAATCCAAAATATTTTTAAAGTTGTTGAATTGGAAAATGTAAATTAGAGTTCATCTCTCACCAATCTACTTACTTCAATACATGTTACAAAATCTATTTTGTTACAAAAATTACTATAAATTTTCAAATTTCATATTATACAGTACTATGTATTGATACTTTCATGCCACATTTAGCCTTCAAAGTTCTCAAAATATCATTAATTATTTCTTCCACGGTTTGATCCACAGAGATGTGAAGAGCAGAGTACTCATCACAAGTGACAGGTTCCTCCAGAGTTTCAAACTGAGAGGCAAGTAAACTTAAGGGCATATAATGTTCTTGCCTTTTTTCCATTCTCTCCCTTACCACATCCTTAGACCCTTTAAGTAGTACAACCAGGCAATAAAAAGGTGATGGCTTCGACAGTTTTTGCCGCTTGTCACCATTTGAGCAATAAGGTGTGTTGTTAGAGCTGGCTTCTGCTCCAAAAAGGATTGTTTGTCTGTATTGTTCTTTGAGAGCTGAACAAGCAAGCACTCCAGATTCAGAACGCTTGCTCCATCTACAGAACAAAGCAAATTTAACTGAGGAGTTACTTTTTAAACCAGGAAAAGGAACAAAATGATACATGCAGTTCAGCAGAGATCTCTTAGATGGAAAGTCCTAAATCTGTGGGTTTGATCAATGTTATTGCAAGCAAAGATCAATCAACAGTAATTAATCCAACTGAGTTTTCTCATTATGGTGTTCTACAATGCCATCTTTAAGCTGGCTTCCCTATTAACAATTGCTTAAAAATATCAAATAGATGAGTCAATTATCAAATAAATCTCACATACCTTTCAATAACTTTGTGCAAAGCAAGAAGCCATGGTTGTCTGTCCTATAATATATAAATTGGTAAATAATCATAATACCAGTACTTAAGGAAGAAAGTACACTTAAAAATTGTTATATAACAAGCTGAATTATACACAAATTTTGATGTGTTCTTACTTATGATCTCTTGGAGGACAGATGCATAGATGACAACACCATTAACCCTTAAACTCCCAGATCAACTTTGTAATTCTCCTTACTTTCAACCATATAATTCTTATAATGTTAGTTCAGAGAATTTAGTAATTGGATCAACTAATTATCCCCAAATTGATATTTATCTTTGTTCTCATCACTTATCTGGTTAATATTATGCTGACACTGTAAGGAGAAACTCTGCCTTGGTAACTTGTGGGAGTTGAAGGGTTAACAACATTTTGTGTTTCTTTAATTATCATATTAAACAAACAAATTCCAAGTTTCTGTGGAGCTGTACAGTAAAAGATTGCAGAAGAGGTCAAAATGTAGTAAGAACATCACTGACACACTCTCCTGTGCCTCATGTACCACTTTTTTGTTCTTACTGCACTTTGACATCATCTGTGGTCTTTTATTGAACAGATGCACAGCAACATGGAACCTATTCATTAGGAGAAGACTACCTATCATGAGAAGCAAGACAGTGTACTTTAAAAAAACATTTACCTCATCTGTAAGTGCAATCCCTTGCTTCATTTTTGTAATATTTTCCTCTGAATGGAAAGTGTCTGCATCCACATAAGGGCAAGACAACTGTCCAAAAAAATAATCAACTTCATGAAGGAACTAAAAGAGTACCCTGATTCCCCTAGAAAATCTCTTTGAATAAGCACTAATCAATTTTCATCTGCAATAATATGCTACGTTTTTTACATCCTGGTGTCTCTTAAACCCTTTAACCCCTAAGAGAGACTAGCACCTAATTCCTCCATACAATATCACTCCTGAATCACACATTAAGGCCATGGGAATAAAGGAAATGACCACCAACAAAAGAAGTTCTTGATTGTTCAACAAATACTCCTCGTCAGTGCCTTATAAAAAGTATGGAGAACAGTATGGAGAATGTACATTCTGATGTTAGGGTGTAAAGGGTTTAGAGTACTTTCAGTTAGAGAGGAGATTAAAAAAATCACACTTAAAAACATGACACCAAAGTACCAACTACCATAAGACAAGTCACACCTCTGATGATAGTATGCTGCAATGTAGCTGAATGGCTCTCTTAGGTATTACAACACAAATAGCACAAGCATATTAAACCTTGACTGCTCATCTTCAGCCAAATATCACTCTGAAGCTTAGTTGGTTCACCTTTTCACTCCCAAGGTCTCATGAATAGTTCTCCTTATTGTCTGTCATACAGTTGTTATGATGTTAGTTTGGAGAATTTGGTATTGGAACAACAAATAATCCCCTGATTGATATTTTTCTTTACATTTCTGCTTGATATTGTATTGATATTGTAAGGAGAAATTATGTCTTCATCACTCATGAGAGCTAAAGGTTTAATAAATTTAATGAAACCTCACATGACAGAGTCATGCGATGAACATTCCTAAGACCCACCTTCTTCGCCAAAGCACGTGCTACTGTTGTTCTATTAAAGAAAATAAAGAAGACATTCTATGATATCTGTGGTGTAAATTTTATGAAAAGCCTCATAATAATAACAGAAATTAAGCAGTGGACATTCCACAAGGTGGATCTTCTTGTTCATGCTTCAAGGCTGACTTGGAATTTAGAATGTTGGTTTTTGTAGAGGGAGGAAAACTCGAGGACTTGGAGAAAAACCCACTGAGCAAGAATGAAAATCCCTGACAAACTTGACCCACATGTGACGCAAGGTCTTGGAATCCAACCCAAGTCACAGCAGTGAGAGGCAAGTACTATTACCACTGCAACATCCCTCCTCCCCACTGCCAGTGAAACAAACTGACCAGAGCATAAAAGTATGAGAGCTTGTCTTGACTAACAGTGTCTTAGCAGAGGATAAAGTGGAAAACCCTTGAATAATTTTTTTGAGTGAGTTGTGCAATTTCCTACAGTTGAACTCAGTGAACAAGTGAAAATATTACTGGTACAAGATTTGTATCCCCAAACATCCTTGCACTGTTCTATTCATTAGCAAGTTTAAAAAATAATGTTTACTCTAATAGAAAAGCAAACTAACTAAAGGTAAAATCTTTTCCTCTAATCCTCACATCAGCTCTGAAGAAAACTTGAAAAAATAGACCAGTTCGGAGACATGTACAAATGACTGAAAGCAGGTGGCAAGAAGATCAGTTTTTGCTGTCTGTGCCATTCTGCAGTCATATAACATTCTGTATTTTTATGATACAGTAGGTAAAATGAAAGCATTTAAAAAAGCACCAACTGTGGCTGTGACAACACCATTACTCTGACATGTTTACGACAAAAAGAAAAACAAGGATTTTGATCAATTTTCATGACTGTCTGCCAGTGGCTTTTTTTTCATCTGCAACACAAGTGGTCACATTGAGAAGCAACACCATGATTCCTGCCTTTTAAACTTTTCTGAATGAACTTGTTTTGTTATGACCCTTGGTCTGTCCATAAGATAAAGAGAAATATATTAATTTTTCGTTCTTGTGGCAAGAAAAATATGTCACTTGTTCACTAAGATCAATCATGAGATATCCTTCTTGCCACTTGACAATAAAATTCATATCTTGTGACCACTGTGTAATATATTCTCTTTATGAGCTGCAGCAAAATGCCAGTAACATTAGCCTCGATGTTTGTTGTCCTGCTTTTTATGTATTTTAGGATAGGGAAAGTCACTGTAAGTCCTTAAAATCTATTGACATCCATCACTTAAAAAATACAAAATTGGTTAAAACTTACTTTCCACTTCCACACACTCCAGTTATCAACACAACAACCATAATGGGAGATGTTGCAATCTGATTCCTAGGCTGAGATGTATGCTGAATCAAACCTTTGAAAATAAAAATGCATATCTTCAATCAATTCTTTACCTTAGAGTATTTTCCCAGTTCCTGCTATAAAAAACCCAAGTGATGGATATATAAGCAATTATGGATTTAAAACTCGCTTCTTAAAAGTCTATTTCTCAGCATGTTGTAATATGCAAAATTAGTTTAATTTATGATATGAAAAGTGATCTTAATACAGTTAAGACTTTGAACTTAATGATTAAAAGTAGAGAAAATTACACATGACATTTTACCCAGGGAATATATTCAGGTAAAAAAAACCAATCCTGAAAATATCAATAAGGATCTTGCAAGATTCAAATACAAGAGAAGTTGTCTGCATCTGATTAAAGTGGAACATTTAACTCTTCCACATTTGAAATTCAAAACACAGGCATTACACAGCCCAGACTTCCTTCCTACTTAGACAAAAGGTTTTTGTCTGCATCATTTTGAGACATTAATAGATAGGGAAAAAAAATCCACCACAGCATCTGTCAGCTGGGTCATGATAGCACCTGGGACAACTTAACCACCAAAATTAACTTTTTTTAACTTTCTTGCCTAAATAAATCTTACTTAATGCACAACAGCTACAATTTCTCTCTTTTTCAAACCTAAAATAATCATATGCTTCTTATTAAAGTACTTGGAGTACATTTTTTTTTTGTATACAGCTGTTTGAGAAAGGTTGTCAAAAAAAGTGGAAAAGTGCATGAAACAAACCCCAAAGGTATTGTGGGTAGTTTTCAGGTCATGGTTCCTTGACCACAGGATTTGCAGGGAAATCTGAGAAAGTATCACTGCATGAACAGGGATCACAGGTTTGATAGTTATTTATTTGTTATTTGACTTGTTGAAATTCATTGATTACTGGATGCTCAGATTACCTTTTAAGATTGTCGTGTGCACTTTCGTCCTTTTTTTTTCCAACAACCTTTCTTGAAACCAGTTGTATACAAACAAGTATGCAGAGCACACCAAACCTTAGTGATCAATCAGAGAGGCCAGAATGAATTGAGCATCTCTAAAATTCAGTTCAATTCAAGGGGAGACAGCTTGACTGACTGGCAACTGGCAGAAATAATGGCATGTTTTCTAGCAGAGGCCTTGGTGCATATAAACACAAACCATGGGGACATTCACACTATCAATTATCGCAAAGGTGCTACCTTATTTGTGGAGCACTCTTCTCATACATGAGAGGAATGACACTTTTCATATTTCATAATCTACCGAAATCATCCATGGTGCATATAATGAATTAATGGCTGCAAGAGGACTAACATCCTATATAAGGGGATTGCACTCTGATTCTGGTAGGTAAACACTGAAGGAAAATACTCTTGACTTCCCATAAGCCACAATCTACCAAATTCATTACAAAGATTGGGTATTTGATGAAATAGTAAGGGGTAAAGTGCAAAGAACTAGCATCCTACACCAAAGAGTCATGCACTTATTTTAGTTAGGTAAACACTAAGAGAGACTAAGAGTCTCCTTTCAGGTTACTCCTATTACTTCATCATATAACTGATCTTTGCGATGAATTTGATAGATTGTGGAGTTAAACCTAACTAGAATCAGTACATGACCCCTTTTATGGGAATTGTTAGTCTTCTTGCTTTTTTCCCCTTGTACTTCATCTTATGCCTGATCTTACAGATGAATTTTGTAGATTGTGGATTATGGGACGAGTTATTTCCCTCAATGTTTACCTATTAACCAGAATCAGTGTACAATCTACTTTTATGTGATGTCAGTCATCTTGCATGTTACCCCTTGTGCTTCATATTATGCTCAATAATGAAGTATTGAATTTGGCAGATTGTGGATTATAGGAAGTCAAGAGTTATATCTTTTTTTGGTGTTCAGAATTGAATTTTCTTCTATTACATTTATCACTTCCTAAGTAACATTGACAAAATGCAAAGCAAACACTTTGAAATTCAGTGCCCCTGCTATAATCACCTCACACAGAGTGATTATAGTGAGATACGAGGCAATCTCTGACTAATTAGAGCATGTGCATCTCTACAATCACTGCAGCAATTAAACTAACTACGCATAAGGGGGGAGTATTAATAATCCTGGTTGTTTTGATAATTAAAAGGAGTAGCAGAGGTAAGAGGAAAGGTCTGGTTGTCTGGACCCAGTGGTTCTTATGCAATACTAAAAATTAAAGCCAGAAAGATCTTTTGTTAATAGCTTATCCATATGAGCTGATAGATCAAGAGAGAAGTAATCAGGTAAAAAGCTATATGGCATCAGTGAAGAGAGACTATTTTTTACCACTCATCCCCCCCCCTTCTAAAAACATTTAGAAGCAAACAAAACCTAAATTAACGTTAGACCTCCAAGCAGTTTACTATTTATGCCACCTCCTATCATAGGGAAAATTCAGTTTTTTCACCAAATTCAAACCAAATAGGCCCACTTTAAAGTGAAAGCAAAGACCAATGTATTTGTCACATGCTATTCTATACACCTTCAAAAAGTCATCAATGATTCAAAATATTTATATCGACAAAAGGTTAACACAACTCAATAATATCCACAGGGCATATTTAAAGAGAAACTAAGTTTTACAAAGTGAAGCTGGTCAGCACAAAATTACACTTTGTAAAATTATCGCAATATAGGCTTAATGATTGAACCTACATCTACAAGGAAAAAATGTTGAAAATATTCTTCATAACACTGCCAACGTGATACAGTATTGACTTGGATTTGTTTCAATTCCTATCAACCAAAAGCGCCATCATTCTTTTGTGATCAAGACATAATTGAAAGCAGAGATTTTAAATTCCTTACCACGTAGGACATTGCGATTTTCTCCTGAATCTACTCAAAGTAACGAAAACTCCGAGATATGTGACGAAACGACAAACAGAACACGAACATGGGGGTCGATATCGAGATTGTTAGAGAGTTGCGGTGTACAATTTCTGGCACGTTTTGGCGCCTCGCGTAAAAATTTAGTAAAATTATTAAAGTTGTCGATAACACGATATGATTATTCTTCTAACCAGCCTCAATTCATCTCTAAAATGAACCCACAAAATAATAACTAGTTACTTTACAGTACCTTGTTGTTGTGATATCTTAACTTAATCGGTTTCCTATTCAAAAGAGCTTAAGCATTCATGCATTCACCGCGCACAGAAACCAATACATATTTTTTTCGAGTAAGCTCTCTATTACCTCTTTTAAAAAAATACACATATCAACTTAAATATGAACTTTACCTGTAAAGAAACTTGTCAACAGTAACCCAAAAACATACTGTACCTCATCGGTACAATCTCCGCGTAGACCGTGATGAGTATTGAATGTTTGACATTAGGTCCATAAAGAAACCAAAAGAGTCCTGCTCAACTCCAATTGGATGGTAAAAATAGCAACATTTAACTTCACAGTCCTACAACTCCGCGATATCAAAATATGGGACACTCCTGCGTCTTTCACCTTAACTAAGTATAAAATTAAGGCAAATAATGGCAAGAATCTTCGAATCGAGTTTCTCTCTGCACTAGTTCGACCCCAGGACTTGGCGTGAGCGCACGTCCACAACAACCAGAAATGCAATTCATGCTTCAGCAACTGCTTCCGTAGCCTCTACCCGCTTTCCCACTACTGTCAAACTTTAAAGGTTTCTCGAGACAGTCTTTGCCTTAAAATACAAGAACTAACGATATCAAGAAGATTGTTCCTATCTCACAGCGGAGTTAGGTGTTTTCGTTTGATGGAAAAAAAGGTTGTAACATCGGGAGAGGGGACGCCGCCGGGAACATTTAATACATTTTATTTATACATATTGGTAAGCCATTCTCTTTAAGGAAAAAGCCGAGCAGATTTCCAAATATTGATGGTCATGGATGTCATTGAGAAAAATGAATCATTTCCTTACAATGGTTTCCCGTGACATTTTTAGCATTCTTAGCTGGGCATTCGATAATTCTAATGTGAGAACCAACATCACAGCGTAATAAAACGAAGGCGAATATCGCAGAGAAAAGAGCTCAAGGTGTGCAGTAATTAAATCTCTTGAGCGCAATGTTATCAAACATCTGATCTTCTGTAAGGAAAGGAAGGACTGGGATATTGGAAGCTGACAAGTGAGTTTCCTAAAGGGGTGGGGGGGGGGGGGACACGTACTTAACAAGTTGGAAATATTTGCGGGTGTGGTGAGTGGGGGCGGTGAGGAAAGGTATTTAAGGTTTTCTTGGGCAGTGAGGCCCAATTCGCTGCGTGGCTTCACGGTTGTGATTCCACGAAAACCTCTCCAAATTTTCAGCATTCCGTTAAAGAGGAGATTATTGGGAGGTTAGGGAATTAGGTTTCCGATGGGATCTAGTCCAACAAAACTCTGCTTGTGGTTAGGGCAATTTCCGACGGAGTGTACCAACGACCAATCAGATCGCGGGCGAATATCACAAGGAAATTATAAGAAAAATGTCTTAAATACCTCTCATTAACTTTAAATTCTTACGAGTGACCATAACAGAATATCGTCCTACAATATCGACCCAATAACAAGCAGAAAAGTGATAAGAATAAAGAAAAATATCATTTAGGGGAGTATTAGTTGATCCAATACCAAATTCTCCAAGCTCACATCGTAAGGGTTGTATGGTAGACAGTAGAGAGAGTTACTAATGAGATCTTCGGAGTGAAAGAGTCAAGAAAAGTCTGAAGAAGGGCAATTCATAAATTCATTTTCTTTAAAATGTTCAGTTTGCTAGGTTAGCTCCTACATCTAGCCTTTCCAGCCATAGAACGTAGTAGGATCAAAATCGAAGACATTTTTGACTCACAACTGAAGTTTTAATGTCAACCACATGCTTTACAATGAAAGTTGGCGAAGTTTATTTCAAAATCCTACAGCAATATAGAGCTTGAACAACCTAACCTTTCTAAGACTGACCCCTTATGGAATGTTTCCACCAAAGAATTCCCTCACGATCACATTAACATTTTTAAAAAGCAAATGACAGACAATGCTAAGAAAATACATTTCAGCGAGCCTGTGTACGTTTGCCTACCTAAAAAAAATCATAAGGCTCATACGACTGTTCAAAGTTTTTTGTTTTAAACCGTGTATCGGCCACGTCACATGTAAAAGAAAACGTGAGGTGCTTCTACATCGATGCAAACAGGATTCCTGTCTATTCAAGTCAAGTCGGAGGAACAAGAAATCAATTGGGCTTTGTCTCCGAAAATGGACTGGGCTTACAGTCACTAATAGACATGTTACTCGGAATCGCGTGGTATTCCTGTGGCACCACCACTGAGAAACGTCCTCTGGAAATATGTCGAATGGTCATTCTACTTCTTGATTGGCTAGAAACAAAAATAACCTTTTCCGTAAATTTCGACAAAAATTTACCGACACACTTGCTTCTGCAAATAAGTGACCGTGTGGCTTAAATTGGCCAATACACTGAGAAACCTATGACTTTACGACAAATTCATACCTACACAACAATATTACATACCTGGCCTCTACTTATTTTACATTAGCGCTTCGCTCTACTTATTGAACTAGAAAACATTCAAAATTTATGTCTTAAATACCCCTTGCAGAGGTGCAATCCCCTCAACCTAACAAATCTATCACATTACAAATAATAATTACAACTGATGATATTTAAGTTAAGACACCTCGACCACGTTTGAATTATGTTCCCATATCACGTATGACACCAAAATATTACATGAGCCAGCAAATGTTGTCCGTGGGACCAATCAATGATTCTTCGCTAAGGGTGGGGGGGGGAGGAGGTTTAGTCGGAGTTACTTGGAGATCACATGGTTTTCAGGGGGGACAGGCGTGGATCAGTCGTCGCTAACAGAGCATAAGGGAAGGCCTATAGAGAATTGAATACCAATTAAGGTGGGGGGTCATCAGAATACTACAGAGTCTAAGGGGGGGATCAAGTAAATTTTATCGACAAATTTAAAATCCTCCAGCCCCACCCCCCAGGGGATAGATTACAACCAGAAAACATGACGACAGTTGTTATGATAACCGCTGATAAGCCAATAAAGCATTTAGAGGGAAAATGTTGTCTCCGATGCACGAGTCACGCAAACGCTTAACAGTCTCGTTTTCTGATTCTACCATCCCTAGCCAGTCACGTGCTTGCTTATTGAAGGAATACAGAGTTCCTGCTTTGTCTTTTTACCGAACTCTCTTTTAAGCTTAAGATCCTCTGTTTCTTTCACAGAGCAGGGTTGTTTATGAAAACTTCCTACAAATGAGTTTTTGTTATCCAGGTCACTCAAAGAAATATCATTAATTCTCTAATAGAATACCAATTAAGGTGGGGGGTCATCACAATACTACAGAGTCTAAGGGGGGGATCAAGTAAATTTTATCGACAAATTTAAAATCCTCCAGCCCCACCCCAAGAGTTATGGAAACACTTTTTCATTCCGATCAGATTGTTGCTGCATATAATTATGAATTAACTTCGAATCTCTTCCCGAACAAAGTGGAAAAACTGCCACCTCCCAAAAAATCTTAATTTTCTCTTTTACGAACGGAATTTCAACTGACCGACTTCACCAAGTCAAGAAAAAAACCCATCTAACTAATAAAACACAAAATGGATGAATGGTTGACTAACTAATACGAAGAACTTTTCAACGACAATGCTTGACGATGAATTGCTAGAATTGTACCTTGGCTATTGATTAAAAATTCTCAGTATCTAGTTACCCGTTAGATTTTGTAACCAAAAGATCTGAAGACCCATTTAGCAAGTCCCTTATATGCATCTGTAGACTTGATGTAGCTCTTTCTAGTTTCCCAAACGATGGCAATGGGAATCATTATCAACGCTAGAATGAACATAATGAAAATAAACATCTTAAAGCCATAATTCTCCACTTCTGCGGGACTTGGAGGTGCACTCTTATTGTTGGCCTGCAACACAACGTAGGATAGATACAATTGGTTTTCTTTGTACAAAGGTTCACTAGAATTGAGTATTTAACCATCATCTCCCTAAGAGTGATAAGTACCTAATTTCTCCCAACAGCATCAGCCTTGAATCATTACGCAAATTCCCCTTGTAATTACCGTGGGAAAGGTAGAGAGAATTTTCATACTGATGTTCGGGTGTAAAGGATTTAAGGATCTGCACAGGTCAAAGCCCAGTTTTCGTGGTTTTGAGTTACGTAATTTGAAAGTCATTTAGAGCATTGTTAGAATGGGTGTCGAGAGTCATCCGAGACAACTTTGTTCATGGATTGGTCTAGAAATCACGGGCAATTCTCTCAACCAATGAAGTTCATGACCAGCGTGGGCCTGGAGATGAGTGACGATGAAGACGATTGGGGTCTCCCTCATTATTTCCCTTGCTCTACCCGCTATTTTCTTTTGTTCCAATAAACTGACAACCTGAAAAATGTTATTTTGGGTCGGGAATTTCGACCCACCTCATTAGAAGGGCTGACGTCAGGGCCCACGTGATTCGTTGCTGGCGGACCGTCAGGCATCTCAAAAGACGTAATACTCTCGTCAGGCGGAGGACTGGGGGGAAAAACTGAAGTTTCGAACCTCTTTAATTCAGTCTCTTCATTCGGAGTGATGTCTCCACCAACTTGGCCGTTGGGAGAGTTAGGGATATTCAGTACTCCGGTACTTTCCGAGATGCTATCCGAGGGAACTTTTATCCGCCGGGAGATCCTTACACTTGGTGCCCTAACAAACCGAAAAAATCGTGTAAGTGTAATTTTTAACCCAGAGAAAGGCGTCGAACGATGCAGTCAACGGCTAGTAGTTTAAAAGACGGATAAAACAAGGACCATCTTAACTGAGTCCTACTACATTTTGCGCCAAACTTAATTCTAGCGACGACTAAATATTTCTAAAGAGACCATCTCGACCAGATTTCATTCACCACACAATAATTTCTTCAGAACGACGCAAGTCGTCAGTTATTGTGAGGCGCGTTAAGAAAACCTGAAATATTTCGTAGAAAAGGTTGTGGTTATTCATCGTGGTGAATAACAATAAAAGATAAGTTTTTCGTTTGTCTCACAATGTAGTCACGTGTGATGTAGATCGCAACGTTTCGACTGCATACTGCTAGTCTTCTTCAAGCGATGAGGTCGACTGGTCATCCATGATCTTATGATCTCATGATCATGCATGACCAGTCGACCTCATCGCCTGAAGAAGACTAGCAGTATGCAGTCGAAACGTCGCGATCTACATCACACGTGACTACATCGTGAGACAAACGAAAAACTTAGCTTTTAAAAACTGAAATGTATGGATCTTGGGTGACGCTGTGCCACAACTAATCCGCAAAACCGCCACAGAATGTCAAAGTTGTTATAATTCTCGAATGACGTTGTTCTGCAAGGGTAAAATAGGGATTGTGTAGACGTTCTAATCGCCGTCGAACAAAGGCTCGAAGTCTTAACTGGTGATTATTAGAGCTACATTTTATTATTCCCTGCCACAAATAAATTGATAAATTACGCAGCGGCCATTTGAAATGTCGCCATCACGTAGGGTACAGATTATACCAAGAGATATAACATAGTCATCAACCAATCAGAGGGCACCTATTCTTATGGCTGATCACCTGCCACCTATTAATCGTTTAAAAAACTGTTAAAGATTGTCCGACGTTTTCCGCGTTAAAAAAATTGGTGATAAAGAAGACTTCCTTGCATTATTTCTGTTAATAATTCATCTGATAAAAACCAATATGGATCTCATTTGATCCTAACATCACAGCAATAGATTTCAAAATAAATCTAGAACATCACTAGCTTCGATAACTGGCCGATGTTCGGAAAAGGAAAAGGACTCGAGATAACGGTGGAAATCGAGCCAATAAAAATATATATCCGAATAAATGACGAACACACAGAAGAGGTTTCGAATTCTGACTGGTCCAGAAAAGAACCACAGCTATTTCTAAATACGTCCATGATATTTTTCATTGTTCAGCTGTTGTTTTGCAATGAACACTCCTCTCGCATACTTAAACGACAAACGAGCGCTCTTCCGGAAAAAACATATACCAATAAGCTTTTAACCACACGCAATTAAGCTGTCCACAAATCGAAACCTGAGTGCATAAATATTCTCAACCATCGCAAGGTACAAATTCTTATTGCACAACGCACACTTAGGAAGAGTCCATGTCGAAGTCAGTTTTAATGATTCATCTCAGCTTATTTTCTGACTTTCTGTTTTTTCTGAGTCTGGGACTGAGAATAAAAAAATTTCGCGCATTGAAAAACAAAAAATAAATTTACGACTGCCATTGAAGCAGTGTGTTGTATTTACGTGTAAAAACTTTCGCCCAACACAATGCTACGAAATGAATGCCCCCTTTCTTTTTTTCTCCGAGTCCGAGAGAATAATGAGATTTTACGTCTCGAAAAAATAATGAATTAATTTACGGCTGTCTTTGAAGCAGTCTGCTGTATTTTCGTGAAAACGAGACAAAAATGAACGCCTCTTGGTTTTTTTTTCTGAGTCTGGGAAAATAAAAAGATTTTACCCCTCCAAAAAAGAAATATGCAAATTTATAGCTGCTTTTCAAACGATCTATTGTTTTCACGCGTAAAAACGTCTTAATTTGCGCACCTTGTCTTTGAAAGCAAAACTCTGTGAATTGTTTTCAAGGTGGGATCAACGTCTTCACATAAAACAAACAATCCAAAATATACCATCGAAATATAATATGACAACGACAAGAGGAATTAAAAGACATGGGCAAAATTTGCAAAAACATCTGTCGACCAAACGGGAACAGACGTAATCTGCCTTCATCAGAGGATATAAATATGAATCTAGATATCCTTGGACTTGAAATGTGTTTCTTTGGAACAAAACAGAACTGCAGTCTTTACTTGAAAGAAACGGAAATGTTGAAAGTTGGAACGGAACTGGAACAGCTGCTCAGGAAATGGAATCAGGCTGAAGGGATGCATTCGATTTTAAAAACCGAATGGACGTCACTGGGGACTGCACTGGTCACAGGTCACTGCCCATCAGCGCGATATATATGGCAAACAATGCAGTACGGTGATGCAAGTCAAAGTATAAATAACTAAGTAAATAAATGTATAAAGCTAAAAGGAACTCACCTCTTGATCAGTGGCTCTGGACGACTGATCTTCTCACTTTCTGCGATCAGCTGGTCTTGAGTAGGCCCGCTAAAAGTTCAATAATTCAACAGAAGAATCCACTCTTATTTCTCCAAGTAAACTCAACTCTAAAAGCGAGAACTGCTCGCTGCCTTTTGCGCTGAACTGGTTTTAGACCCCAACACAGCAGTAAATTCAAAACAGAAAACCTACTTCAGCCGTATTTACACGCATGTCTTAATATGAAAAACAAGCGTCCAATCAAATACATCTATTTCTATGCAGATCGCCCTCCTAGTAGACTAGCGGTCTACCGCTGCCTTTGAGACCTCACCGCCCTCTGTTTAGGTTGCGAGCAGGCTCTGTGTTTGGGTTTCGCCTGACGGCACAGCTGCTTAATATGCCATCGACGGCCGCTTATGGAAAAAAATATTGAAGCCACTGCGAGTGCAATTAAAGAGGTTTTTACCAATACAAAAACAGTTTTCCCCTCCAGAGGTACAAACAATGATTTCACATTCACACCGCGCGAACACAGATTGCACAGCTTAGCAGAGTCGATCGAGGCGTACACAAAATAACGCCCTTAATATCTCAGAATAGTTTTGATTGCATGAGCCTTCCAAAGGGAAATACTTTTGAAAATAACGAATTGCCTCGATTGCGACAGTGAGAAGTAAACACTTTCATAAGAAAATTTACAACTTTCTGCGGGAATGAGGCTGTGTTACGTATCTCTGTTACGTGTTCCCTATACATGTTCCTGTCAAGGGTCCCTGTGAAGTTCCTTTCCCCTGCTCCTACTACATGTTTCTACAACGCGCCCCTCAATAAGTTCCTTTCCCCTTTTTCCATATTGTGCGCTCCCAAAACATGCCTCTAATAGGTTCCTTTTACCTGTCCCTGTCGCGAGTCATTGTTCCATATCCCTACCGCACCTCTCGGTTCGGTGCCCTTCACCTGTCCCCATTGTGTGTCCCTCTTTTAGGTCCCCACCACGAGTGAATGTTCCCATGAGGTTACCCTTGCCGAATTTTAGATGCTCCGCTCCCGCACAGTGTTCTTGTTGCATACACATATCCCCTTACACGAATCATTGCATAGACATACTTACATGTACTTATGCTTTGATCTTCTAAAAAGCCTCTGAGGTGAAATTGCCTTTCGTTTGGGCTTTACTACTGGAGTCTCTGAATGACTATTAAGACCAAAAAGACCAAAAAGACCAAAAAATATTCATGGAACCAAAAACAAGTTACGAGCATAGACTTTTCAAAAACATTTATGTATAAAAAAAAAATTAAAGTGCAATTAGCCAGCTATCAATCCAATGGCTCCAAGGGAGTCAATGTAGCCCCCACCCCTTTCCAAGACGGGATCTAAGTCCACCGCTAATATCCTAACCAGGGCATCTGTTAACCTTGCCCAATTGAGAAAGGTGCAAGAGGTCGAATGTAAGAGTACTCTGGGAATGATATTCACCTGTCACCCCCCTCCCCCTTCCCCCTAAGTATTTCATCAAGTTTCTTGGATAGTTCATTTAGAGAGGTTTGATCATTTTTAATAATTGAAATCCCTGAAATCCCAGATGGGTACGTGTCAGTGATGTGATTGGTATATTTGTCCCAACTTCACTCACTTGATAATTACCTGTAAAATGCAAGATGTTCTATAGCACATTTCCATAAATGCTTGCATGCCAAAGGATCAGGGAGTCTGAAGCCATAGTTGGCCTTGCGCTGAAACACAACAATAACAACCAAAAGGCCAGTTAAAAAGATAAGTTGCCCTCCTGTAGAAACTTTCCACCCAACTGTAAAACAATTATTACAAGATTGACTTTTAATCTGTTATCATAACTTAATCTGCTTTAAATTTTAACCCTTTCACTCCTAGGACCTCACTGATAGTTCTCCTTACTGTCTACCTTACAATATTAAAGATGTTGGTTTGGGGAATTTGGTACTGTATCAAGTCATAATTCTCACACACAAATATACTATTTCATTCTCATCACTTGTCTGCTTGATTTGTACTGATAATGTAAAGAGATATTCCGTCTTGGTCACTCATGGTTGAAACATTGTACATAGTTCGTAAAACATCTGTCAATTTAATCTTCAAAACTCAAGAATAAACTTAAGGGAAGTTATTCTCTTATTTTACTTACATCATCCTTTTGAACCTGCACATAAAAGACTTTGTTCTCATAGGTGCACTTTACAACTTCACTCCTTCAAACAAAAGAACAGAAGGAAAGTTTATTCTTCTTTCAAAAGAGCATATTTGGGAAAGATAAATATGCATATAGCAATTACCTGTCTAGGTATTTCACACCTCAATGGCTGATGATCTATATTTAATATGTTTGGATATGAGCCAGAAAAACTGAGTTGTACACTTGAACTAATTGCTTACTTGTAAACTTTCCAAATAACACTCATACAAATAGGCAAACAAAGTTATCTTTTCTGGTTTTTACTGGTTCTGTTTGACTTTTCCTTTCTTTTGATAAGATCCCACCAGAAATATTTTTTTTCCAGCAATGGGAAGGAACAACAGCAGAGGGGAAAAAAAAGGACCAATTTGTCATTTCACTGTAATTGGAAGTTTCCCTGCCAGTGTTACTTTCACAAAAAATGAAATATAAAGAACATGTATAACAAAAGGCAATCTATGACTGCATGTGCCTACTGTTGTAGCACTAAAAAAGCAATGTGGTGTAAAATGCAGAGGGTAAACAAAACAGCCCATGTTGAAGCCAATTTAGTGACAAAAGGAGGACTTGTTTATAACAGAGTTTGTACACCTGTTAATTGAAAGGCTGTACAGTAGATAGGGCAGGAAATGAATGTGCATCAAATGTATTTTGGAAGGCACAGGAGGCACAAAAAGAAAAAGAGTGAATGAAATTAAATTGAAATGAAAATTGTGGGAGGTGTTTGAGCTTGAAATTTTACACAATTACCTAGTCCCAGGACAGGTGCTGCAGACACAGAGACTCCCATGAAACAAGAGCTATTAAGTTGGAGGATTTGAAACTGGTAACCTCTGATATCAAATTCACCACCCAAAAAGACCACTTTGCTATGCCCTGTCCTCCAATTTACATGACAACAAAATGGAAGATCTGATATACCCTATGTTACAAGGCCAGAGCACTGACTAACCAAACAAATCCTGACACTTTCTTTCCTTCTCTGATGATGGCAATTCCTCCTGGAGTGAGACCAAGGTAGAGTTGAACATTGTCTTGATCCTGTGAATGAAACAAGCATTGATTCTGATATTTAGTATTCTAGAAACCCCTGTGTACATCAAAGTTAAACACAAAAGTACTACAGAATCTACCTTTCTCAAAGATCAGCTAGCTTCAACTAAGAAAACAAATCTAATGATGGTTGAGGAAAATAAAGAAGTAGTCTGTGCTTGAGCCAAATGGTTTACCCAGCCAGAGCTTATCCTGGTTTCCTGAGCATGAAGTGAGTATTACTAGGAGTGTTACTACATGTACTTCCCCTGGATGGGATGCCAGTCCATTTCAAGGTTACCCCCCTCCTCCAGCATTTTATCAGGCTTCCCTAACAACGTGCTGGTACCCACTCAGACTCCTGGCTGGAGAGGGACACTGTGAGAGCAAAGTGTTTTCCCAAAAACGCCCGTTCTCTTGAACCTTGACCTGTTGTCCCAAGTCCAGTGCAATGATCAATACGCCTCCTTGTTTCTCTCAATGATTATGATGAGGTGGGAAATGATGACAGCATCAATATCACGATGTTAATCTGTCTCATACCTTGCATGGGTGAGGATCCACTCCATACATATCAAGAGCCTTGACTTTGTCAAGAAAGTTCTTCTCAGCAACAGCAGGTACCTGGCCACTGTGAGAGAAAAAACGTTGACATCTGATCAATTAAGGGTCAAATAAAGCTGTTTATTCAAGACAGCTCTTAAATAGTTAGCAAAGTATAAGAATTCTTGTGGGATATCATAGCTTTGGGACAAGCAAAAGTTTCCTGTGAACAAATGTGCCCCTCAAATGAAGCAACAAATGTTACAAATATTTTCAAACAGTGAATAGAGGTGCGCCAAATAAGAGGTTCACTGTATGAACCCATCAACTGTGTTTTTTCAGATGTCCAAAGAAACTACTGTCCTACAGACTAGATGCACCTGTTAACATAAATCTATTTATTTCCTGTGAAATAAGTTAGGAACATGGTTGTGCTACATGCAAGTCTCATCGTAGGAAAGAGCATTTAACAGACTTACGCAAGCTGCTTGTGAATTTCCATAATCTTCTTCTCAAGCTTTTCTGACTGTTTTGGAACAATGCGGAACTCAGATACATAGGAATCACCATGCTCATCTGGATCATAATCCCCTATCTCACCTATTAACAGAGAAATGAATCAATGAACTTTTATTGAACTTTATCACACTTCTCAAAAGGAATTATAAATATACTTATATCATAGACTTAAATGAAATACCAGGATTTCCACTGTTTTTAAAACATGATATCTTAACTGCACTCAGTCAAACATACCATCCATATCTTCACGTGTGGAGATTTGAATGTTGTTGTAATAGCTAGGTCAATCAACATGGCACTTTTACTTTTCGTGAGGGTTTTATTTAAATTTGCTAACAGTACAAAGTTTGAATTCATTTTTCCTAAGATAAGGTGGATTTTCTGGGGGCTGAGTCCACATGTACGGTACATGTCTGTGACCTCTGCTTTTGTAGCTTTTTCCTGAATATTAAATATTCTTAATCTCAATATGTAACGTATATCTTTAAAATAAACAGAATATGACACATTTGTTTTTTGATACAATTTGATCTGCTTTTGTTGATAACATCTTACACTTGTTTACTTCAACCACTTGTGAGAGATATTATTGTGCACAGTGGAAGATAAACTTCCCCTTCAAGGCTAGTTGTGTGGTTTCCTTTACATATCAGGTAAATCTAGGTCCCTTGCACTTATGCCAAATTCAGTTTATATAATTAAGTAAATCAAATCGCAGTGATAATAGAATGATAATTTTATTCTCTGAATTACCTTGCACAATGAATGCTCCCAGTTCAACCAAATCATTAAATGAGCAAAGGAGTCTGTTACAAATAAAATTGAGAAAATTCTTATTTAAATAGAGTGAAGCATATAACATGATGTTATTGAATTTTGTGTGAGAAGTGGAGAGAGAGTATACTTAAACATCTGCAAAGACACGCCTCAAGTGAACAAAAAAAATCTTGTCATCTGAAAATAATTCTGCTTATTATTGATTAGAAGAAGCCCACAATGACAGCTCACTCATTAAAAGAATTCTATGATTAATCAATCTGACAGGATCATTCGCTTCCTAAATTGTATCAACTAGAATACTTAAGCTAGCATTAATCTGATTGAAGATGCTTATTCTATTTGATCATATACAATATGTTAGTTGAAGTAGACAAACAACAACTACACACAAAGGTTTCCTCATAATAATTTCTTTCACACGAACCAACACATGAAATATCAGGCTTTTCCCAAAGCCAGTTGGCAACACGACCAGTAGATCCTTTCCAGAACCAGAGTAAAAATTGCTTCTTTTGGTTCCAATTTTGATATACAAGACATATTAAATTCCGAAAAACACTCAATTGCCTCCTCCAAAACGAAATTGAAACTAACAACTACATCATTCACATTTTCCCGCAGGAGCAAAATGTCCAAATGACACATTTGGCTTGTGATTGACAGCTAGAGCTTAACTGCATCAATCAGGAACACTGTTCATGGGTGAACAGAGTTTTGCAAAATAACATTGACCTCAGACAGGTATAATCTTCACTCCCCTATCCCCCGCCCCTCTCCTTATTTTTGACTGTCAATTGCCCTCTTGGTACAAATCGCTTTCTCTCCTTAGCCTTGCGCTACAATTGAAATCAAAGACAGTAGCCATAGTTTTTGTAAAGAAAATACAGAGCATTGTTTACCAAATTATACCTGCCCTCCAGGTTAGCAATAGCACAGCCTAACAGAGAACCAGCAAATCTGGTGTACATCTCTTACCTGCCATGCAGAATATCCCTTTTCACTTGAAGGAAAAACTGATACCTAAGTTAACAAATAGAAGAATTATTTCATTTCAACAAATCACTTCTTAGAAAATGAGGAAAGTGTTTCAGTACACTCAAACATTTCACTCCTATCCCCTTGTCTGCTTGATATGGTATTGATATTGTACAGAAAAAAATTATCTTGGTCACTTGTGGGAGTTGGAGGCTTAAAACTCCTATTATTTTTCACCTTCAGGTCCTTGGAGGCCATCTACCAAAAAATTTAACCGTTTTATTTCCTAATTTCCCCTGCCAAATTTTCATTTTATGGAAAGGATTACAGAAAATACAATTCCAATTATCATTAACCTGTATAACACACCTGGTTATTTCCTCGTGGAGAGTACTTGGATCAACAGCATAAAACTTCACCCTGAAAAACAACTTGTAGGGAGGCTTCAGAGCTGCAAGTAAAGAAAAACAAACAAAAAGTTTAAATATTAAGCATACAAACACCAACCCATCATCCTCAAGTGATCTATAATGGATCTCTGGTCACTGACAAAACAAACTTGTATGACTACAGCTTCAAAATTACATTTTATTTAATATTACAAGCTAAATAAACTCAAAACTAGACAAAAAAAAACATTACACCATGACAATCATCCTAATTTCCACAAAAACCTTGATTAAGAAAAAAAAGAGAGAGAGCTGAGGAGAGAAGATTGTGTCCAAACTCTCTGGAATATATTTGGAACTTTTCAAGTGTATTTGGAAGTGATCATATCCTGTGCAAAAAAAAAATGCTGCAATTTCAAGTTGAAAACGAGTGGCTGGTGTACTACAACACTTGCCCCAACTTTAATCCTAACAAGACCGTCAGTTCAAATCTTAAAAAAGCCAGGAACAACAAACTGTTCTGAATTAGTAAGTAATTAGTAATAAGGGTGATACTGGTTGAAAAAAACCACCTTAACTTCAGCCCAAAAAAAAAACCCATATAGTATAGAATTCTGCTTTGCTTTAACCAGAAATACTGAAGGTAATCTGAATAAAAATTAGGACTAGAAAATACTTACTCTTCATCTGTCTGATAACACTCTTATTAAGATCAAGCCAATGCTACAAACAAAAAGAAAATGTTGAAATAAATTGGTGATCATTTCTATTCTTCTCATGACCTTTACATTTGATTTAAGGGTGATACTGTGAGGAGAAATTCGAAGCTAGTCACTCTTGGGGGGCTAAAGAGTTAGTGCATTTGCTCTTTACCAATCTGATACAAGGTACTTTGTTAAGTACACAACAGGAAAACATTTGTTGAACACAGAAATTATGGTGAAGTTATCATGGGTTGCAATCAAAACTTATTTACTAAAAGCTAATCCACTTGCAATAATGACAATTTAGAGCAAGATTTTCAAGGCTCATTGTGTGACAAAGTCCTTCAATTGAGCACGTGTCATTAAAAATCAATGTGCAGATAAGCTTATCTCCTGAGCAATCACGGAAATAAGTGCAAGAAAGGGCGTTGAATTTAAGTGAGACACACATCAAGACCCTTTTAATTAATACCGCTGTGGGACTTTAACTTTTTTATTTAAAACTTGCGGAAAAAGGGGAAAGAAAAGAACACAATTACAAACAAAGAAAACCCTAAATATTAGGAGCTGCAAAAGACGCCATGCCGTAAACAATAATGGCAAACCTCTTTAAGTTCCTAAAACAAGCAACTAGTATACATCACCTAATAGATTTTAAAGTAATTTGCACACAAATACGTACCCGTTGTTTAGCATCATCAACAAAGCGAAGACCAAAATAATCTTTCTCCAGCAAATCAAGGGTTTTGCAAACTTCATCAAAGACTGCCTGACCCTTTACGTCTCGCTGTATTCACAGACAAACAAAGAAGAGTTGATAATTAATCTTTATATTTGGACTGTGAGCAGCAGCACCAAGCCCAAAAATACAACATTTCAGGATAACACAGGATACAACCCACTACTGCTTCACAAACCGGCCAAATCAACTCGCTTGAGCTACATACAACATGTCACCGTTGGTAAAAACCAGCTGGACGTTGCATATTATTTAAGTTTCGAAGGGGTTTCGAGCTGCATAAATTGATGAAGCTGACAACATATATGCAGATGTTTGCCGGCGAGGTAAATGAAAAGAGACACACTGTGATTTGGTGCAATTCCCCAAGACAAAGATTGTTTCTACTTTGATATTGACCACGGCTTATTTTCAATAAACCAGAATTTTTTCAAACTAAGGTTCCTCGAGGTGGAAATTCTTGTGAGCACTCTGGTTTCACGTGCTCACTGCAGAATACAAAGATCAATACCCAAACATCGTACGCAAACAATCCGACACTGTACATTAGCATGTTTCCTTTGACACTCAATTTTTAACTAACTAAGTAAGAAATACTGACAGGTAGTCTGAATAAAATAAGACAAGATCGAATAAAGTAACTCCACGAGCAAAAATCTTCAACCTCGTTATGTCACGCTTGAACAAGTTTAAGATGATCGCGTGTAACTTCAGCTAGTGTTCATTTCGTCGCTATAGTTCGTGAAATTTCTGTCACTGCCAATATTGCCATCTCTTCGAATGTGTGACTCTAAGCTTTTCTTTAACAACTTACGGACTTTAAACGCATTCGTGTTGAAAATGCTAATTAGTTTTTCCCTAGAACAAAAATGGTTTTAACCACTCCGGAGTGTGTTTGTATGAATCACATTTTACAAAGCGACCGCGATGGGAAAGTATTATTCACAAAAAGTTTCCGAAATTCTGCAAATATCGGGAGGGCAAGGAGAGAAGTAAATCCCATCGATTTACAAAAAATATGCTGGTCATGACAAATTTACACAATGAAAGATATATGGCAGTTCGATGTTTCTTGGTCATGCACGAACAAACTTTTCGAAGTGTAGAGGGAAATAGAAATGAACTCGGCGAGATTCCACGAACGATCGACACAAACAAAGTTTGAAGACACGCAAAATTCGAATTTATCTCTCCCTATAAAAAGGGAATACGAACTTCGAGGCATTTGCTCCGAATCCACTCCATGTTGCAAATTTATTCCACGAAACGTATTCGTATTTGTTTACTATCATTCCGGTCCTTCGAAAACGCACAGTGTGTCTGAAGTTTTAGGCCGTAATGATCCCTACTAAAATTTCAATAAGCGCTTTCCCGACTAAAGCTAAATTACAGGATCTGTTGAGAGAAAACAGGGAAAGATTACAGGTAAGTTATGCAAGTCTGACCGCCATAATTGCAGAAGGAAGCAGCAAAGATCACTTTGATACAGCTCGTCTTTTATTACTTACTCGAGACAAAATCTTACCTTAAAATCGCATGTCAATTCCGTATCGTCTAGAAGGCTGATTTTACACTGAAACTCTCCCTCTAGGTTACTCCTACTGCCAAACTTTATCATCTTTGGTTGACTTTAGAGTAATTTGCCTGAGCTGCTCATGGACAGGGTTGCACACGGTGATCGGACGCCGAAAGAGCTAGCCTCACTGCCGCGTTCTTTCTCGTGCTCTCCCAAGGAACATTGCGCATGATCATGAATTTTTAAGAAACCATTGCCCGGATGTAAAAGCCACAGGTGTACGTACACGTTAACTCGCTTAACTCTCACGAATCGACCGCAAAATCTACCGTTCGTTTTCGCAACTTCACAAGGATAGGTTCAATTCGAACGGTTCTGAGGTTACGTTTACAAATCAATTCCGTTAAAAGGAAACTGGGGAAGGTCTCAACGAAGGCATTCTTAGAACATTTTCACCCTCGGAATTAGCAAGACAGCAAGCATTGTTCCTCTTCGAGCAAACGCAAGTGCCTGCAAAAAGCAGCGTTCAACTTTCAAAGAGTACTTTGCACTAGCAAGATGGCCGGTATTTCATTGATTTTTTTAGATGGGAGGGGGGGTGAGGAGGGTGGTACCGGCAACATCCGGGGAAGGCAAGCAGGAAGGGTATGGGACAAGGGATCGAGAAGTTCTCACTCTCTGTCCCACCCCGACTCTCCCTTTCCTACTAATACGGCCGATGTGACGTCTCGAGAAAACGTTCTGTTTCTTTTTGTAATCTACGACTTTCACCTGAAAAAAAGGCAATTTGTTTGTTTTTTTTTTTTTAATTTTTAATCTCCCTTTTTATATTTAACAGAAAAATATTGCAGGCAATATGAGGTTAGTGAAGCTGCTATTGAAACTATAGTACATATAATGATGTTGCGTTTCGGTCAGCTTTGCGGAGCAATCTAAACAGTTCTCAAACCTAATATCTGATTACGTCGTGTAGTTTATGACTTATTTTGAGCATCGCGGCCTCTTCTTACGATTTCTCTCCTTTGTCTCAAGAGAGATAAAAACGATATCTCACCACCGAAGACGCCAGACTATCTTCCCAATGACGAAAACTACGACCATGACAGAAATGAATGTTTTGAATGAAGAGAATGATGATCAAAACCCATCAAAACTCTTTACGAGCCGACCGAGACCTTCCAATTTACGCACTTCGCCTCGTGCGACCCACCAGGCGTAAAATGTGGTTTCATTAAAAGCGAAGCAATAAGACTGCTTAGAACTAACTCTTCAAGAAAAAATTTGAAGAGGACCTTTTGAAATTCAAACAACACTTGAAAGCAAGAGGGTACCCAGAAAACATCATAGAAAGGTCTCTGTCAGGGGTCAACTTTGTCTCTGGACAATCGGCTCTTACACATACACAAAAGCCAAAAGATCACGGACGTTTATTGATTTGTCACAACGTACCACTCGGCCGTTTAAAAATTTAAAACAAATATTGATGGAATATTGGAGTCTGATACACAATAAGCCCTTGCTGTAAACAAGTTTCACAAAACCTCCAATCATCTCCTACAAAAAGAGGGGAAAATCCCTTAAAGACATGTTTGTAAGAGCAAAAATATAATTTGAAGGCGATAATGCGACGCGACCACAAAGCCACATGGGGAGCGCTTGTCGGTCTGTCTTTACCTTTATTCTCATAATTTGTTAATGAACTAATGAAATGGTAAGCCTGGAAAAATGCCCAAGACCACTCAGAGATTGAAAGTGCCCTTTATCTCAGTGCCAGCCTGGAAATTTAATTCGTTTGTGTGCACTTTACTAATTACAATGATGTTGTTTGGTTCACGAAATTCAGAATGTCTGTTACTTACTTTGTCGCATGTGGGCAAGAAAATTTTTAATAACAGAGAATTTCCGCCGGATTTCATCTCTGAAAAGGTCCTTTCCTTTCTGTTATTCTGTTATTGTTGAGAAGAGGGACAATCCGTATCAGAAGAAGAGGAAAGAATAGTTTTAAATTGAGTTTTGTGGTCCTTTCCCCATATTTTTCTTCCGATTTTTTTTTGCAACTGAAATTGATCGCTTCCCTGATCATGACTTCCACTCAACTAACTCACTTGATTTCTTGTTTACAGAGGCGTCAAAATTTGCATCGATTTGTAAGATGATTAAATCAAAATGCAAATGTATTTTCGGTAAATATCTACTGTCATCACTTTGTCGCGCATCGTGGCGCGTTTTGCGGGTTATAATGGAGATCTTGGCGAGCTAAAATGTATTTCAGCCCGCTTGCACTTCGAGTAAATGTTCAAACCGTTTTTGTTTTTGTTTTTTTTATTATTTGATCAGTGCCCTCTAAAGTGATAGTAATAGAAATTTATGTTTTTGTACATAAATCTGTTCTGGGCCCCTGTCAAAGTTCATTCTAGCCATCGCTTTGTGACTCAAACTGAAATGATTGTGAGTCGTGCTCAAATCATATTGATGCCCGCGAGTATGCAGTCTATTGATTTATTATTTTCCTTTTAAGAAATTCCTTCCATATTGGGCACGCGGTCCTCAGAAAAATCGGATTTTAGAATCACCAATTATTCTTAGCATGTCATAATATCTACCACACTGGCGCCTTACGACTTATAATAATTACGAGCCAGTTTTTCCGGATTTGGATCTGCTTCAAGTGTTTACCGGTATTGTTGTATAAGAGCGAATCTACGAGGGGCTTCGTCACGGTTTGTGTTGCGCATGCGTAATCGATCGGCGTGCTCGAAGAACCTCATAGCTTTTACATCTGTCACTAAAAAGAGTGTATGACAAATGACTACTTACCGTGGTTTGCGACTCCAAACTAATAAATCGTTCGACTGGATTGTCTACAGGTTTGCTGAATATTGGTCTTTAATTGGACGCTGCCATCGAGAAGGGTACCTTAGTAACTTGGCCGTACCAACAAAACCACAACGCGTGAACCAGAAGCAGTTGCGGCTTTGGTATTCGGAAAAAACATCATCATTTGAGTCGAGAGTGACTTTTTTGTAGCTCTTAATTGTTCAAAAAAACTGGCTGGCTGCTGGAAAAGTGGAAAGAGGATCAAGACTCTATTACATCACAAGCGAACGGCTGAGGCAACCTCGATCCCAGGGTTCGCTCTCTTCTTCTTCTTCTTCAGGGAGGAAGATAGACTACTCTGAGACCTTGGTAATTTAGTATTATCAACTGAGTTGATAACGTGAATTGGCTAACGTTAAAATCTGAGTTTAAAAGCTTACGTTTCGGGCGTTAATCCTTCTTCAGAGCGATTGGTAGGGTGTGGGTTGTGTGTGTGTTTATCTGCAGAAAATGGAGCTACGTTATTGGTGGGAATGTGGTGACGAGAAAATAAGAATAAATTATTTGAATAAAAAGCGCTTGTTAATACCGTGGGAACTAAGAGCGCCGATTTGAGAGATAAATTAATGTTCTAGAGTTTTGCGGCTTGGCGAACTGCTTAGATGTAGGGAAAGGCCGCAAACTGTCATATGCTGCTTAGAATGGTTAGCGACTGGTTTGGATGCGTCCTTGACATTTCTTTCTACGTCGCGAAGGTGTTCTCGGAATCTGTCGCCTAGTCGTCTTCTTGTTTCACCAATGCACAATTTTTTGCAATAAGCGCAAGTTATGAAGTAGATGACATTGGTGGAGGTGCACCTGAAGTGATCAGTGATCTAAATGGATCTATTTGGTGCCGACATTCGTAGAGAGATCGTAAAGAATTTATTGAAATCGAGACAAATCATACAGTTTCAATAGCATACTTCTCCAATAATCATTTATATTTCTTCTTCCCTCATTATTACCTTTCTGGTGCTTTTCTGTCTTAGTAAAGCAATATTTAGTAGTTCCCTGTAAATTGAAGGTAATATTGACAATATTGGGCGTCGAAAACATAGACTTAGAATATCATGACTTAGCTGCTATCTTCAATCCGCTCTACCGATTATCACAAAAATATATCGATCACACATAAACTCAAATATGACTTAACACGCTCCACATGATGAACTGAGTTTTAATCGAAAAACTTCGAAAAGATTATCAGATGCGAGGTAAATACGTTTACACTAGAATAAAACAAAAAATAAAAAACGTTTTTGGTAAGTTTATATAAAAATAGAGGTTTTGAATGCTTCAAATTGTACGCATTGTTCTCAGCCTTTTGCTAGCAGAGCACTCAAATGGGAAGGCGTCTTAGCAGAAGTTTTTCTAACCCTAGTTATGCACCTTGTTAAGAGGGTCTCAATGGGGATAACCGTAAGCCATAAAACGACCAAAACTGGCCGAGAGGCGTAAAAATTGACAAACATCAACGGTTAGTAATAAAAAATGGTAAACGTAAAAATTGTCTTTTCAACGATTTGTCATATTGATAATGTTAAAATCGAATAATGTTTCATATACATTGTATTTCTCTACATATAGTAGTATTGTTACTGAAGTAGTAAAGTGCATTTGTCCATTAGAATTCTTAAACAACCCCAACTACTTTCTATATATATAGGTATATGTATGTATCAAAACTAACGGTCGTAAATATGTTTTGGAAAAATAAAATTACTGTCTTCTTAAAATAACTCAAATAAATCTTTAATATTTCTGCTCGTCTTTAGTCCGAACTCTTCAGCAAAATCAGTGCAAACGGGAAAATCAGGGATATCGTCTAGGATTACTTTCGACACTTAAATTGAAAAATCCTTTTTCTTTAGGCTGATACGCCTTAGGACAACGGGTACTGCTGAAACAAATGAACTGCATCATCCATTTGCAGGCATGCAACGGATATTTCTTGCACTTTGGTAAAGACTCCAGACGCCGTCATCATGGTAAAAGACTCGAGAACAATCAGAGTTAACGGCTAAAACCTCTGCTCCCCGCACTTGAGGAGTCTTGTCCAGGAGTGAGCGCACAAGTACGACACCTCCGTATGCACAGCGATCGATGTTGAGGTAGTAATGCACCCCTTTAATAAAGAAAACGTGAAATATGAAATAATCTTTCACAAGGATATTTTTGAGGAGGGGTTCTGGTCGGTCAGTCTACACAAAATGGCGTGCGTGTGTTTAATTTTGGACTTATAATCGTTGACGAAACGCATTTGATTTCTCCGAGCTTTCATATACTCTGCAGACCAACTGACTCAGGGTAAGGTAATAATCCCGCTTGAATACTGGGACTACAAAACTTTTCTTTGGATGTGATGTAACATATTTGTCAATAGAATAATTCAACGAAATCATGCATCTGGGAGCACTTTATTCCTGCTGTTTTATTTCATTTTTTATTTTCTTCATACAAAGTAAATTCGTTTTCGTGCAATTCAGCCCTTTGAAAAGAGGCTTTATCTATTTCATGTTGTTGTTTCCTGGAGCAATTTTTGTCCGAATGTCAAATATAATCTGAGATTCCAAAGGTTTAGTTTAAATACGTGCTGCGATTGTTCTAGAAATCTTGCACCATCGTCTCTATCGATCAGAAAGATGGAAATCAACTGAGTGGACTTTTTCCCACGTTTGAGTCCTTTTACTTATCTTAACTCCGATTCTTATCGGCTCTTCGCAATATTTTTCCCTGTTCTGATTGGACGTTGTGAATTCTTTGATTAGTGCGCTTTTCGATTGAGCGCCGTAAAACCAGAACCAAAGTATTTAAAAAGGCCAATCACAACAAAGGAAAAATCACAAGGAGCCAATGAGAACTCAAGGTAAAAATAACTACACTTCCTGAAGCGCGGGAAAACACGGGTGACCAAGTCGTGATTTAGTTTTAAATCTGATTGGTTAAGAAAGTGACGCGAGTTTTCAAGACAACTTACTGAGAAAGTTATCCCGTATTACTTTCGATGCTTACTCGAAAACTGTTCCAAGGTTGCCAAAAACGTAATTGAAAATCACTGAGGTTGTTAGCATGCTGTTGGCTGCGAAGTTAATAAAAATAAATACCTGGCTCATCATGAGGACGGATCTTAAGGTTCAATTTCTTTCTTAAAGCCTCCCAGCTGAACTCAATTCCATTCACTGACGGTGTCTGTTAAGATGTAACAATAAGAGTAATAGTTATGTAAACGAGCTCCTCTTAATAAATAAAACGTCGTGTAACGAAACTGTTCTGAATCAACAGAATGTAAAGTCTGACCGTGACAGTTAATTGTTACACTTAAATAACAATCCATTCATATTTATTTCATTGGCTGATTTAATCAGTTGATAACAGTAATCTCTGTTTGCAAGCTAAAGGCTTCAGAAAAACAATAGCATTTTAACTTCACCTTTGAATTTCACATCATTGTCTATTGACAAAGAATTCAATTTAATTAGGTTAATCAGACCTTAGTATTTTGAAGAAGTCAGTTACAGGATAATACCTGTTGTTCTTATTGAGTAAATAAGTTATTTGTGGAATCTTCTACAAAATTTCCAATCAGTTTCTCTCCCTTAGTTTACTCTTACAGTCAACCATAAGAGTTTCAGTAACTTTTACCCTGACTGAGTGGGCCTGGGAAAGGGTTTGTAGGGTGAAACCCAAACACAAGAGCTGGCTGAGTTTTAAGAACAGAGGAGGAATTATCTTATCCTGAACACTTAGTTTACCTGGTGATCATTTGTCTTGAAAACGAAAGACAAAGTGTGGCCTTGAATGCTTTCCCTTCTACAATGCCAATAATGAAGCTTAGATCCTGGAGTATAATACTCATATAGGAGAATCATGACAATACTCAGCACTAATGTTACAGGGATTTTCCAATGGAGTCCTGAAATAGCAAAAAGTGAATCAACAAGATTTGAAGATTTATTTTTGCACTGAATACCACATATAAGTTACAATAGTAACATACATGTACTTACACTTCTAACAGTACCATATTACATGACAATACTGGCATTTTTTCAGAAGCATGTATTGTTATTTACAGAACGTTATGATCATCCAAATTACCTACAGTACATAGCATTACTCAATAGCCAAATATATAACTGAAAGGTGAAGTCTACACTCAAGCCATGTTGCCCATCCAACCAGACCTTTATCGTAGTTTCAGTAGCATGAAGCAACAAAGAGTAATTTACTACTCCCCTTTGGATGAATACCAGCCATTGCAAGGTTACCCCCCAGAATTTCATCAGGCTTCCCTGACAGTTCCCCAGGACCCATTTAAACTCCTGGGTGGAAAGAGTCTTGACCAAAAACACAACACAATGACCCCTCCAAGTCAAAGGGATGTTTAAAAACTTGCTCTTCTTCTACGCTAAAACAATTGCAAACATTATCAATGACGTTGACTAATTTTCAATCATAAATTTACCACTTGTGAGCCAATTGTTTCCTTCTGAAGTCAACTTTTCCATTCCTTGAGACAAACCAGCAACTTTCCCTTCCAAAACCTCTTGTTGACATTGAAGACCTTTGTGCTTCTCCTCATAACTGTCTTTAACATGCTGTATGAGAGATGCATTTGATGAGGCTATCATTTCATTTTCCACTAGAGTTTCTTTCATCCTCAACTGATCCTCTTTAAGGACACTGAGGCCACTTTCTAAGGCCACATGGCTAGCTTCAAGTCGCTTGATGTCAAGTTCAAAAAGTTGTGTCAAACTTTGCAGATTCTTTCTTAGTCCCTCATGATCCTGCACCCAAGTTTCCTTATTTTTTTCAACAGATGTAACCAATGTTGCCATTTCCTCTTGTACGAGTTTCAGCACATCATCATTAACAGGTTGTCCAAAGCACATGTTTGTTCCTATTATTGTATTTGAAATGATAAATAAGGTGTTACCATCTCATGAATATTAGCAATTATTGGATGAGGTTGAGCATGATATCATGAATTATCAATGCCATGGTTGGAGTTATCTACCAAAACCAAAAGCTGAGGCAGATAAAACAGAAAGGAGGTTGAAAATTCATAACATCATGCAAAAACTGAATTCAAAAATTGTTTTACTATGATACATTTTTTTGACAATCTACGAAAGAACACACTTTTCTGTGAGTTTACAAAAGGTTACAAACAGTTCTACACTGACTAGAGGTTGGGAAACTAGGCAGACTTTGAACTCAACATGATAACCCAATATCTGCTGCAGATTTTGGGTTATCATGTCAACTTCAAATGCTATTGCACATTGACTGGGTGCTCTCAACCAATCAGAGTTTTGATAGTAAGTCTAATAGTACTTGTTATAACCCCCTATTAGTCTAGTGATAGTGACATTAAAAAGCTGATCTCAAATACTGCAAATTACAAAAATGAATAGGAGGGTTATAAAATAAATAAACCCCCTTCTGGCTTTCTGGTATTGATCAGTCAAATTTCACATTTGCCCTAAAAGCTTTACTTCTCAGCCAAATATTAACTTCTTGGACAATATCTCAACCTCAGGAGACATACCATCTGCATGAAAGGGATTATTTACTAAATATCATTGTCTAGTGGTTAACCCTAGTAACCCTAAGATTGACCAGCATCTAATTTCTCCATTTAGTAATAATAATGCTGAATCATTCATAACAATCATGAGAATAAAGGAAATGATCACCACCCTGAGAAGCTTTGAATGTTAAATGAATTCTTGCTGTCAGTGCCAAAGGAAATGCACAATGGATATTATGGAGAATATGGAGACTGATATAAGAGTGTAAAGGGTTAACCAATTGAAGACATATAACAGTCTAAAGTGCACTCCTAATTATGGAATTTGCTTAAACCTTTAACTCCCATGAGTGACCAAGACAGAATTTCTCCTTACATTATCAATACAATATCAACCAGATAAATGATGAGAATTAAGAAAAATTTCAATTTGGGGATAATTGGCTGATTCAATACTAAATTCTCTGAGCTAACATGATAAGAATTGTATGGTCAACAGAAAGGAGAAATACAAATTTGATCTGGGAGTTAAAGGGTTAAGGTTGAGTGGGGGTCTGGGTTTAGTCACAAATGTATCAATAACATTCAATGGTTAAATGTCATCAAATAGAAGGCTATTAAATGGTATTCTTTTGATTTGTAGCTGTATCAGGGCTATTCTGACTTATGAAAAGGGCTAACTTCTTTGCTAGACTTTCAGAACTGAAGGTAATTTTTTAAAAAAATATATAGATTTAAAAAAACTTGAGGATCAAAATGATAAAAATAGTTATAAAACACTGTTATTGAAAAATATTGGAGTTCATAAATTATCCCTAAAAGCCAAAGGCTGAGGCAAACAATTTGTGTGCCCTCCCCTAACAACTCCCAAAATTTTGTCAAATACAGTCTGCTAAGTGTTAATTATTAGCCAAAGAGTACTTTACAAAAATTACTCAACTAAAATGTTCCTTGATGTCACTTACCTCTGTTTCTCCACTCTTGCAAGTCCTTCAAAACATCTTTTTTCGATGCTTCAGGAAGGTTCAGTCTTGTGATCAGTTTTTCCATAAGCTGAAAACAGTTCTGGTAATAAGCTTCAGTCCAAGTTGCAAACTTACAATGGCCCCATTCATTACGCACCAAATCACGTACATCACTTGCAATAATATCAATTCCATCATAAACAAAGTTTGGTGCTACACATAAAATAGAGAGTGCTGCAGATGAATCCAATGTTTCATCAAAACCTGTGAAACTAGACATGAATGGCTTCACAAACAGTTTAGCTAATGACAGTTCATCTTTAACACAGTAATCATAGCTGTGGTAAGATGATTGTGTTGCATTGTTGTTGATGTTCACATAATTAAGGCGCACAGTAGAAGGTGGAAGTCTTTTAAGATAAGAAGACAATGTTTGTGAATGAATGCATGTTGGTGGAAGAACCATGTTCTGATACAACTGATGCATTTCTTGCCCAATAACCCTCCTCATTGCAGGTGTAAGAACTTTTGAAAGGCAAATTCCAACCACAAGCCATCGCTTTTCCTCAGCCTTCAGCATATCCATGGTTTACCAACTCAGTGTTCTCTGCAAGAAACATTTAAGCAGATCTGATTAAATTTAAGTTTTTTTCCCTCAGATTCTTGCACTCTCACATTTTCATAGCAACTCTCGCTTGAAATATTTCTAATGATCATTCTTACTCATACTTTTTCTAGACTTGAGTCAAAACGTCTGTTGGTACCCAGGGTAGAAAAAGCCTAGTCAAGTCAGTCTTGACTACGAGTTTGTTATTTTACTTGATTACTTTTTGTAACTTGATAGTTCATTTTGTAAAGCTCTTAGGTGGTACTTAGGTGTAGGTGGTTTTAGGTGGTTTTAGGTTGTTCCATGTTTTAGTACTTACCAACCTGACTCTGTTTAAGACAAAATCCAGCCATCATAGTGTTTTCAACTCAGAAGGTGAAGTTAAGCTGTGTCTAACTTATTTGAACAGTAATTAAAATCCATTTTTTTTCCCATCACATGCACATACTGGACACCCCCATTATCACACCTTAACTGAGGTGACTCCCAGTCCAGGAGGACCCTCTGTTGAAGATGTTATATGGTAAACTTGCATGCTCTGATAAAACCTCAAGATACCCAAGCCATACCCTGCTTGCTGCATATTCCAGGTTATTCCACATACTAAATAAAAAGCCCAACCCTACTGGGATGAGATGCCAAAGTGACAAGAAAGTCCTAGTCTACGTGTAGCCGTACCCTCCCCCGCCAAGGCATTCCGTTACTCCTTAGCGGAGAAGGTGCGGCTACACGGAGGAGGGAGGGAGGGAGGTCGAGTGTGAGCAGTAGTGTCAGCACCAGTGTTCAATCCTGATTTCCCTACAAGTTGTTGCTCCAAAGATTTCGTCGTCGAAATCAAACCGAGCGGTCAGCGAAATGGCGCGAGGACGTGCTCTGATTTTCTCCTGCTTTTACGCGTCAATACTATTCTTATCGCTCACCAAATTCGCCGAAAGACAGCCTTCTCTTCAAGAAAATAGCAAAATCCCCATCACGAAGAATTTCTCGTGGTCGAGGCGTTTTCTCATATCAGTATACGCAAGCCTCTGCAATCAACGGAAGACGAAAACGATCCGCCATCTTGGCCTGTTGTGGCATGTGCGAGGTTTTCATGCGACCAGGATATGTTACTATGCGAACTCGCACTCAACATTCCATCAAATGCGACTCTACACAAGTGGGGACATCGACACAAATCCTGGTCCAGATGAATGTTCAGTGTGTAACAAACGTGTTGCCCGAAATCATCGAGCGGTAAATTGCGATAACTGCAACATGTGGTGTCACATAAAATGTGCCTCGATCAGGCCAAGCGAATATAAGAACTATCAAAGACTTCCTTCATTTTCCTGGTGGTGTCCGATTTGCCTTTGGTCGTCTTTACCATTCGACAATGAGACAAACCTAGATTGCTCATCTGACTCGCATCTTTATCCATCTTTCGAAGTGGACCTGCAACTACCAACACTAGGTTGCTCATCTGATTCGCATCTTTATTCATCACTCAAAGCGGACTTGCAACTACCAGGTTTGAAGATCTCACACATCAATGTAAATGGTCTTCCTAACAAGTTATTGGAAATTAAAGCTCTTTTACTTTCGATGAATTTTGACATTTTAGCCATAACTGAATCCCATCTAGGTAAGGATATTACTGACGACGAAATCGCCATTACTGGATACAAAACTGCTCGATGCGATCGAAACGATGGCCGAAAAGGCGGTGGCACGGTCATCTACTTTGCTGAATACTTAGATGCATATGAGCGTCGAGACATAAATGTAAACAACTCTCTAGAAGCTGCGTGGATTGACGTTACGGTGGCGTCTCAGAAACTTCTAGTTGCTTCAATGTATCGCCCACCCGATGACACTACGTTTTTAAATAAATTTTCTTCTACTTTGGATCGCATATGGATGAAACGAACGAATATAATTTTATTGGGGGACTTCAATTTTAATCTTTTGCCTAAATCCAGGGACACAGATTCTTCAACCTGGAAATTCCGTCAACTTTTGAATAGATTTAATCTAAAGAATGTCATCAACAAGGCAACAAGGATCACTGACACCTCCACAACGCTGATTGATTTGGTGATTTGCTCTGACACCTCAAAAATTTCTCACCAGGGTGTTTGTGATTTAGGAATCTCAGATCACCACTTAATATATGCAATCGTAAATCTCAAAAGAAAACGTCAGAAACCAACGCTCAAAACAGTCTACGATTATAAAAAAGTAGATCTAGACTCATTAAGAACGGACTTTGCTGCAGCCCCATGGAGTATCTGCAATGTCTTTCACAATCTGGACGATGCTACTTGGGCTTGGGAGTATTTATACAAGGACATTATGAAATCTCACCTTCATGCTCGACGAGTAAAGATAAGAAGAGGGGGCCTACCCTGGATGAACTCTTCCATACGTAAAGAGCTGAACAAACGCTACAAATTACTCCTTAAAGCACAGAAAACACCGAAGGGCTCACAAGCCTGGATAGATTACAAGAAGGCAAGAAATAAATGCACCAAACTCCTTAGATTAGCGGAATCAAGTTATTGGCTAACAAAATTTAATGAGACAACCTCTGCTCGAGATTTTTGGAAGACAGTAAGATCTTTCGAGGGAAAACAAACAGCTACAAATATCGGACCGATTAAAGATAGTTCCGGTGTTATTCACGCAGACGATACATCAAAGGCCAACACTTTAAATTCCTTTTTTGTCAATGTTGGAAAATCCCTCTCGAAATCAACACAAGATTCTTCAGTAAACTCTCCTTGTCAGTCCGCAAGAAAAAACAGTGCCTCTCTTTATAACATAGCCCTTAACAGAGATCTTTTAAAATCTTCTCTAAGGTGTTTGAAACCTGGCAAGGCGAGTGGACCTGATGACATATCGAGCAAAGAGCTGTACCTTATTGGAGACGCATTTTTGGATTGCTTTATGCCACTGGCTCAAAGAAGTATTTTGGAATGCAAACTCCCCAGCCAGTGGAAACAGGCACAGGTAAAATGTCTTCACAAGAAGGGGAATACTCTCGACTGTGAAAACTACAGGCCTATTTCCCTTCTCAGCATTCCGGGCAAGCTATTGGAGAATGTTGTAAGCCAACAACTTGATAACTTCTTATATAGCAACAATCTGATCTCCTTAAATCAATGGGGCTTCAGAAAAGGAAGCTCACCCGAGCTGCTCTTACTTTCCGTTACAGAACGATGGCGTTTAGCCTTGGATGAAAGCAATATTATTGGCGTAGTCTTTATTGATTTTCGGAAAGCGTTCGATTGCGTCAACCACACAGTTCTTATGGATAAATTACACTCTATAGGTATTAGTGGCTCTTTTTACGATTGGCTCTTAAATTATCTTGATAATCGTAAACAATTTGTCACCGTAAATGGTTCAAACTCAGAATTGTTGGAAATAGATACGGGTGTACCCCAAGGGTCTTTACTTGGTCCTAGACTTTACAGCATTTACTCAAATGATCTGCCCGGAGCCACAACGAACGCTTCCGTTGAAATGTTTGCAGATGATACTACTGTTTTTTGCATTGGAAATACTGTTGATGAAGTTTTATTTAAGATACAGAAAGCGATCGTTGACTTAAACAAATGGGCTAAGGATAACTTCATGACTATTCATCCCGCAAAAAGTGAACTAATGTTGTTATCAAAATCAAGATTCATCGGACCCCTACAGAAAATTTGTTTAGGGCAAAATGAGTTGTCATTTGTTTCCAAAGCTACATGTTTAGGGATTCTTATCGATAATAAACTCTCTTGGTCGCCACATATAAAATCTTTGAGCAAACGTTTTTCGGCAAGAGTGAAGAAACTCAAACACCTAAAAGGACTCGACAATCGCCTCTTAGAGTCAATTTATTTCAAAGGTATCATTCCAAGTATTGCGTATTCTATTGCATTATGGGGATCTTCTAAGTCACTTCAGACACTGGAAGACATTCACATTGGAGCCGCGAGATTTATTTTTAACCTAAAGGAATCTACCCCCAATACTGAAGTTCTGGCAGCGACAAAATGGAAGTCCTTATCATATTTCTATAAAAAGAGGATTGCCACTATATCCTATCAGGCATTTTACAATAGAGCTCCGGCTGCTATAAGCTCTTTGTTTACTAAACACTCTCCGTTGAGAAATCTAAGGGACAATCTGAAGCTATTCGTGCAACGCCCTAAAAGTGACTTCCGTCGATCTTCTTTTTCTCACCATGCGTCTGTTCTATGGAACAACTTACCCGTGTACTTGAAGAGCAAACCGAACATTGTTTCTTTCAAATCTGCTCTCAAAGCAAAATCCGACATTTTAGATAAAATAACATTTAATGGTTTACAGGGACTAAATAAAGACGTTGTAAATTACATATATTAAAGCTATTTTACTACTTTTATTTATTTTATTACTTTTTATTACTACTGTAAATCAACTGTATATTATCTTACTAGGTCTTACATCCTTTCTTACTTACCATAATTTCGCAACTTGTTATTGTTATTATTTAAATTTTGTAGACACTCTTTAGTTTTGTAGGTCCACATCAGCTTTTTAGCTGCCATTTATCGACCTACGTGACAAATAAAGTATGTATGTATGTATGTACGTAGGCTAAGAAAGTTCATGATTTGGATCTTATACTGGGCCACCAAACAGCCTTGTTCATTCTATCTGCGACTCCCTTTCCCCTTTTTTTTCTTCATTTACTGTGTTCTCTACCAGACAGATTATTCCTTTGAATATCGTTCGACTCTCTTTTTGACCCTCACATTATTGGAGTTGTCCATCACCTTCTGACACACTTCACTACTCCGGTTAATTTTCCAAAGTAGACATTATAGACCGTGTACAAGGCTACGCTGGCGATAATTGAATAACAAGCCCTTAATGCTCTCTCTCCTCCAAGAATAAAAATAAAGGCAGTTTACCTGCGCCCGTAACATAGAAATCGCCAAACAGCAAAGATCCGTTAATTAATAATAGAGTTCCTCGATCCAACAGGCTCTCGAAAACCTCGAGAGTCGCGTCTCGGTGTGTTTCTTTAGTTGGTTATTGACTGCTTTTCTCAGGCAGAAAAGTCAGACTTTCCATGTGTGGTTTCAATTTTTGTTAGAAGTTATTGAAATATTTACGCTCTTCATTGGAAATACCTACCTCTTGGATCAACCTTGACTCCTATCGATCTCAATTCAACAGGTCTTCAATTCCAGTTTATTGCTTGATATAAGAAAGCGAGGGCTTGGGTCGGCTCTTGCAAAGACTAGGAAATCCTGACCGAATGTTTCCTTTTAAAAACAGCTGGCGTTTAAGACAAATACGTCATATTTTTGATCTGTGAATGATTACAAGTAACAGTCAATGTAATTTCTTTAGACCGCATTTCACCAATGAGTATAAATTCGTTAGATATTTACTTCTTTGTTTGTTTATTTATCTGTTTTTTTTCAATTTTCGCTTCCGTCTCGCTGTTGCAGGAAGGAACAAGAGATCATGGTCATTATGAACATCTCTTGGAAGGAAAATTATTATGAAAATGATCATGATTATTATGAACATCTCTTGGAAGGAAACATCACTCTAACAATGTGCAAGTTTTCTTTTCATTTTCCAAGTAATTTACTTGGAATAATGAAGTTTGGTTGGGATGGGTGGGTCGCCAAGGCCCTTAACTCATGTCCATTATATAGTAAAGGGTCCCTGTTGTGGCATATCGACTCCAGGCCGCAAGCCACCGGCTCCACACCAAGACTTATAGTCCAGAAAGGCACCCTGTACAAGAGATGAAACAGTGAACGACGTTTTTACACACGTACTTGTTCAGGTTAAATGACTTAGTGCCCCCACTCCCCACGGGATTTCTACGAAAACATTGAAGTCACTTACGAAAATAGTTGCATTGTGCAAACATCGTTGTTTAATTGAAATTGCTTTTTGCTTTTCTTTAGAACAGTGGCTTTCGCTGGAAACCGGCATCTCCTAGGATAAGATGATACACCTTCCAGGTATAAGTCAAATCAGTATACGATAAAACAGTGGATAGCGTAAAAAGTGTTTCCTTACTCGGAACTGGTTAGATCAAATCAATCAATCAGTCAATCAATACACTTTATTTACCCTCGAATTTACAGTGTAGCCCTCGGGTGCTAATATCTTCGAGCAAACTACATTAATAAATAATTATAATAAAAAGATTAATTCTATAACAAATAGGATAACTAACTACCTAGAAAACTAACTAGCAAATTATCTTGATGTAGAAAGGTTTGCAGTTCCTTCCCTTTTAAGTAAATTATTGTACCAAGTAGATAACAGTCGTCGAAAAGAAGTCAAATCAGAAATAGGGCGGTGATGGTCAGGAAGAGAATTCCAAGATATTGCTGCTAAGTAACTAAAGGAATTGATACCATAAGAAGTGGTCAATGGTTTAGGCAAACAGAGTATATTATGTTCTCTTAAAAAATAGGTGCTTGAGCGCAAGCGAAACATATCTTTTAAATATCTTGGATAATCAGAAAAATTTAGACATTTAAAAATAGTAAGAATCATGTTTTGTAAACGCTTGTCCTTAAGGTTTACAGTTCCTGCCCTTTTAAGTAAATTATTGTATTCAGAGTTAAAATCCTTGAAAATAAATCGAATACGTTTGTTTAAAAGATCCAATTTATCAGAATCTTGCTTACTAGAGAAATGCCACACCATAGAACAATAATGAAAGTGAAGAAGTATAAATGCCTTATAAAAACGTAGCATGGTTTCAGTAGACATCAGTTTGCCGAACCTTGTCATAACGCTAAACTGATTGTTTACCTTTTTACATATAGAGGACACATGCTGGTTAAACGTAAGATCTTTATCAATTGTAATGCCAAAAAGTTCCACTGAGTCATTTACTGAGAAATTAAACTGATGATCAGTTTTTCCTGGTACCATCCCTTGGTGTTTGCTGGGATTTGCTATCATTCCATTGATCTCATACCAGGCATTTGCTGAGCATACCTCACGCGAGATACACCTTTCCAAAGATACCGGATCCGTATCGGCAGTGTAGAGTTGACCATCATCTGCATACATATTTAATTGTACAGTTTTAATTTGAAGGAATAAATCATTTATGAAAATATTAAAAAACATTTGTCCAAGAACACTGCCTTGAGGTACTCCTCGCCTGACTTCTTCCCAATCAGAGCTTGTATCACCTACTTTCACCCGCTGCATCCTACCGTGTAAGTAATCTTTAAGAAGCATACAACTTCTTCTGTTGACACTATAAGCCTTCAGCTTAGCCAGCAAAAGTCCATGCGGTATGGTGTCAAAAGCCTTAGATAAATCCATTGATATCACTACAACAATTTGTTTGTTATCCAGACTACGCTTCCAATCTTCTGTTAACCTCATTAACGAGGTTTCACAGCTATAGTGTCTCCTATACGCTGAGATGTAGTCAGACAATAGTTCAGTGTAGAACTGGTCTAGTTGAGAAGCAAGGAGTTTATCAAAAACATTATTTAGGGCCGGTAAAACAGTAACTGGTCGATAATTTTCTTTGCTCAATTCATCATTTTTCTTGAAAAGAGGTGTTACCTGCCCCATTTTCCATCGAGAAGGATATTTACATTGTTTGATCGATTCATTCATTAACTCTGCTAGTGGACCAGATATCACAGAAGCGGATTCCTTAAGAAGCCGCGGAGTTATGGTGTCGTGGCCGCAGGCCTTGCGTGCGTTGATGTTTAGTGTGATCACCACAAACCGCATAATATCAAGCCAAGCTTTAATAATTATTCGATTCAAAAGAAATAAATTTATAATTCGCAGTCAGAAAAAACGCAAATCAAGTCGTAATCTCGTAGCTAAATTCAAAAACTTCACTGTAAACTTACTTCTGTGGAGGGTCGTTACAACAGTCTCACTTTACAGGTTAGCAGATTCTCCAGGTAAGCGGATTTAGAGACAGAAAAAATGATAACAAAATGACTTCTTTCTCACTTCGATTCCGCTCAAAAACTAACTTGAAACATAATAATCTAACGCTTTTAAATCAATCTATAGAATTAATGTCAATCACGATTCTTGTCATTAAGTAAATCTATCAACAAGAGGCAACGCCTACTCGATAAACGAAAGAAAAAGATGCATTCTGATTGACTACTCGAACTCCGAATGTCCTTTGCTATTCATCTCCAAGCAACTCATGTGGGACTTGCGCCAAAAATATTGCAATCGTTGCAGGAATAAATGAGTTTGAATCGTCTTTGTGTGCTATATTATCTCACTAGTCATTTCCGCTAAGGTGAATAGTTGTTAATCATTTATAGCAGCAAGGACCACAAAACAACCTTAGTAATGGGAGGTAGGCGACGATGTCAGAGAGAGAGGAAGAGAGGACCCAAGGACTGAATTTGTATATTAATCATTAATGAAAACCTGAAAATAGTATATTTATTAAAACTCAATTCTTTAGCTAGTTGCAACATTTACATTTCCATAACAACAGCGCCTACAACTCCACATCCTCCTTTGAGAAGTAGCTTTGTCTTACACAATTGTCTGTGTTGAGTTGTCTGTGTCTGAGCTTGCCTCACTGTGTGGCTTATCAGTGGAGAATCTCACAGTATTCAAAGGGTCAGGACTCGAATCTGCATTGCAAATTAGAGATTTTTTCTTTAACCCACGCTCGCGACAAATTTCCTCCAACATTTCAGTTGAAGAAAAGTTCTCCAAGCTGTCATACATTAATGCTTTCTTTAAGAGGATTCTGTCCCCTTCAAATAATCTGCTGATTAACCTATTTATGTTTGGTAGTATAACGGATGTCTCTTGCACTTATATAGGGATGCCACTTGCCGTCGTCGTGATAATACACTTGAGCGTATTCAGAGTTAACCGCAAAGATCTCTGGACCTCTTACTTGAGGAATGTTATCCCACCGAGAAGCCACGTGAACAACGCCCCCGTAAGCACAGCGGTCTATGTTGAGGTAGTAGTGCATCCCTTAAAGAAAAGAGGAAAGGAAATGAGTCAGTGCAGCGATTACTTTGAATATAGAAAGAGTTTCCTTCCCCATCCATCCTGATTAAGGAAGCCTTAAAATTGTTTAAGAATAACAACTTGACTCTTCCTCTCGTTTCACCCTCGGGAACACGTGTGTCTATTTAGAAAAACGTGGACTGCAAGGCACCTTTTGTCAGAAAGATCGATTTTCTAGCTTTTGTTATACCCAAACAAGTCATAGAATGACTGATAAGTGGGCGAGATAGCCCCCAATACGGAGTTGACATCTTAGCACCACAGCTTTATGCTAATCGTCCCTATGGTACATTCGCCTTACTGTGAAGTCAACTGTCTTACAGAGAACATTTCAAAACACTACTAGTCTAGAAAGCTCCATCAACCATGGGAATCCCATTTTGGTGACTTCCATATTGCAATGTGATAATTTTTTTCGGGTTCACATTCACAAAGCAGATGAATCCTATTACAGAAAAAGAGCAATCAGATTCTATATAACTTCTCTGTCATCTTAACTTGGCTAAGTCCTGAGCACAGGTCGGTACAACTGAGCTAAAGTGAATCATTTTTCGTTCCCTAAAATATGGTTAGGTAATTTCATTTACGCAGGATTAGCAACAGTGCTCTGTGCTCAGTGATCATTGATCACAACTTAAGGCATTGTAATGTGTGCAACTGTGAGAAATCTCCCTTTTGATGATTTTTGTTTTGTAACCTCAGAATACACTACTCTATTTTATTTCCGGTTCGTTTTTTATTGTTCTGAGTCTTAAAGGACGAATTAGTCAAGATTAAGTAGTAAAATACCTTGACGATCCATGGCTTCAAATGTCAAACTCAATTTGTTTTTTAACTTCTCCCAATCAAACTCTACTCCATTTACCTTTGGAGTCTAAAACAATGGAGTTGAGATGTAGATAACACTATTAATCATCGAATAAAGTAGCTTTAGATTCCTGATCTGCCATCATTTAACCCTTTAGTCCCCAGAAGTGATGAGCATGTAACTTCTCCCAACAATATCCATACATTATCCAGCAAAAAGGCAATGAAAACACTCAAACTTATCAGGTAGAAGTAGTTATCTTGATCTAACACCAAATTCTCTCACGTAATTTAAGAGAAAATGTGTAGCAGCTGGGGGGGGGAGAATAAGGAATCAGAATCTAATGGGTTAAGAGGTGATGAATTACAAAACTGTATCCTCAAAACGCCCTGTTACCCAAAATGGCTCTTTTCAGATCCCTTCCTTTGTTTGGGATCCCAAGAGGGTGCAGAAATAGCCAGTCCTATGACACCGAATGGTACATTATTCTCAGAAAACCATAGAACTTAAAGGAGAACTACGCTTCGGAAACGAAAACATTTTCATCCCCGCCACTAAAAAGCGTACCTAAAAGTTTTCTACTTTCTGCCTTTGGAGACTCCTAAGACTAACCTAGCAATTCGAAAATTGTTTTCAAAGATGTGGCAATATCACGTTTCTGTCGGTGTTAATGTTCTGCTGCCGTCTATACCGAACAATAATATCTTTGCTCCGCAAAATTATCATGACGCGAGGTATTTATTCAAAGATTAACTGTACGTATCGTACCTGTCTGTCAAATGTCTTGTAAACAAACGAAAGCTTATGGCCTGGTATACAGCCACAGTTAGAGTACCAGTAGCGAAGCGTAGTTCCACGGGCGAAGTGCTGATACAGAAAGATCACAACCCCAACGAGGAGAATAACCACTAAGATTTTCCAAAACAGTGCTGAGACAAAAATAATAATAATAATAATTTAAAAAAATTAATTACCAGTCGCAATGCATCTATTGAAACAACGACAAAGTCTGAGCTCGAGCCAAGTGACCCCACCAGCCGGAAGTTATCCCAGACTAGGAGTATTACTACTCCCCCCTTGACGGAGTGCCAGTCCATCGCAAGCTTACTCCCAGCGTTTCAACAGGCTCCCCTGACAATTTGCTTACAAAGTGCCTAGTTACTTCTGGTATATTTGTAAGGCGTTAGACTCGCAAATATAGACTCCACATCCTTTAACTTCACGAAGTTTTTGTAGACTGACATATTGACAAAAACTTGTTTCCTAAACGACGTTTGTCAAAGTGTGAATTTTGATGCCAAACTATTTCATGTTTTCTCTTTTCACCAGCTATTCTTGTTCTTTCGTCTATCTCTCTTTGCTTCTTAATTTATGTGATAATTTCATTAGATCAAGGAGCCCTTAAATTTTTCATAAGGGTGGATTAATACACTGACAAGTGGATAGCAATGGCGTGCCATGAAACAGGTGAAAAGTATCTCGGTGTTTGAATCTACCTGCCCTGGAGTACCAATAATGGAACATGCCGCATTCTCCGAAAGATTGTTCATAAAGGAACAATACAAATGCGAGAAGAAGAACGAATACGAGCAATTTCCAGTGGAGTCCTGAAGATGAAAAAGGAACAATTATAAGTATAACCCATGTTATTACATTTTTAGTAGTTAAAGAAACAGCACCAGACAATGCTTTTCAAGCTGCTAATTAAGCCATCTTCTATAGCGTTGTGAACTGAATACTACACGCGTTATGATTGGTCGTTATAATCGTCATAATCTAGCTATCGGAGTATCAGACTTTGTTCAGCTTTGGTTTTACAACTCTTCATCGTAAAGGACTTGAAACTCCAATTAAAACTTAATTACCGCTCGCAGACATGTCCGGAGGGACAGTCTCCTCTCTTGAATTCAGCCTGTCGATTTTTTGTGACAAAATCACTCCTTCTTTTTTCAGTTTCAAGCAATCTTCTTTAACGAAGTTTAGACCTCTCTTCAAATCAGCATGTTTCGCTTCAAGTTCTTTGACTCGCCCTTTCAAATTGCTAAGATTGTCCCTTAGTCCCTTGTGGCTTTTTCCCCAGGATTCTTTATTTTCGTCAACAGATGTCCATAATGCTGCCATTTCCTCGTGAAGAAGCTTTAACACCTCACTGCTGATCTGTTGTCCGACACACATCTCGATCCCTTAAATAATAAGGAGAGATATTCGTTGGACAAATCCCAACATTTTGTCAAACACAGTCCGCTACGTGTTAATTATTCACCAAAACGTACTTTACAAAAGATACCCAACTAAAATGTTCCTTAATGTCACCCACCTTTCTGTCTCCACTCTTGCAAGTCTTTCAAAAAATCTTTTTTCGATGCTTCAGGAAGGTTCAGTTTTGAGATCAGTTTTTTCATAAGCTGAAAACACTTCTGGTAATAAGCTTCAGTCCAAATTGCAATCTTACAATGGCCCCATTCATTACGAACCAATTTACGTACATCCCTTGCGATAACACTAGTTCCATTACAAACATAGTTTGGTGCTGCACATAAAATCGAGAGTGCTGCAGATGAATCCATTGTTTCATCAAAACCTGTGAAACCCGACGAGGATGGCGTCACAAACAGTTTAGCTAATGACAGTTCATCTTTAACACGGCGATCATAGTTGCAATCAGATGGATGTTTTGCGTTGTTGTTGATGTTCTTATATTCAAGGTCCACAGTAGAAGGTGGAAATCTTTCATGATAAGAAGAGGATGTTTGTAAATGAATTTTAGTTGGTTCAAGAACCATTTTCTGATACAATTGACGTATTTCTTTCCCAATGACACTCCTAATTGCAGGTGTAAGAACCTTTAAAATGCAAATTCCAACCACAAGCCATCGCGTTTCCTCAGGAGTTAGCTTCTCCATGGTTTACCAACTTAGGACTAACTGCTGGAAACAATTAAAGCAGATCTGATTAAATTTAAGGTTTTTTCCCTCAGATTCTTGCATTCTCACATTTTAAAGGAAACTTTCCTTGATAGATGTATGAGCAGCACTAATTCAACCCCTACACATCAATTCATATGTTATCAGAATATAAAGCTCCCTATTCAAAGAACAAAGATACTTGTCAAAAATTTTGAGTCATTTCCCTAATGGGGACTTACTTGACCTGGCTTGGCTCAATGTGATCACTAAAAAGATGCAGAACTATAATACTTATGTATAATTTTTAAAGAATATTGATACATACTGTAAGAGGCAGTCAAAACACTGAAATTCAATTTCTTCGATTCTAAATGACAAAATACTGTGAGTGCAGACGTAAAAACATCTGTCTCCATGTCAAATTCACGATCACACTGAGGAAAAGGTGACCGAAATTCTACCTATAAGAAAAGACCACCCAATGATACGCTTATTTACAGCTGAATCAACTAGCTTATTATAATTTTTACTGAATGGCTTATGGTAGTGTATTATTTCCATTCATTTTCAACGTTTAAATAAGCACACACTTTTCATTGGACGAAAATAAACAGTCTCTCTTAGCCATTTCCCACAAAGTCAACTTTCAGATTACAATTTTTTAAACAATTTAGGGTCTTCTTATTCCAAAAATCCATGATTGGGACGGATATGAAAATTTTTAAATTTCACCATTTAAGCAGTTGTAAAATGATGTGGGCCATGATGGTTTTCATTATTTTTATCATCCCCTAAAAGTCAATCTGGTCATCTGATGAGATATACTTTTACAGAAACTGAACAAATTGGCTGTTATAATTAATAGCTATATGTAATGGCAATTTATGAATATCTTGAACATGTTGAATTGTTTACACAATCGTCACAATTTTTCCAGCACTGAGTAAGATTTTGTGCTTCAACATGCTACAAACATCATCAAAAGTAACCTCCACATGAAAAAAGTAATTAAAGTGTCTGCTTTAAATCCTAATGGAACTCATTCGCAGCCACATGTTCCAACTTTGTTTTTGCTAATCAGGAAGTTGATAATTATAACCACAAATATTTTTAAGTAGAAGTATGTTGTGAGCTTGCTATCACCCTTCTCCCAAAAATCATATGGAGGGTCACAAATACAGAACCTTGCATTACAGCGACCAGTTGCATCCTACATTGGTCATTACACCTGTAACAACCAAAGCAACTTTTTAATCATTAGATGCATTTCAGCTGCCAGGTGCAACATAATAAGACATGGTGTCAAGCACTAGTGAAGGATGACAACATCCAATTTATACTCCTGAGCATAAATTCAAAGGATTGAACCACTGGGTAAAGATTGATGCAAATTTAATTAGTGACCCATCTTGCTACTTTACCACTATGTTTCATATTCAAAGCAAAATAATATTCATGAAAAAAAGAGAATAGAAAATAATAACATGAACATTTTTCATTCTCATGAGAATAAGACACAAAAAATCCTTACATATATGTATCATATTTAAAGAGGGAAAAAATGGAAAAAAAAACATATATACCTATCCTGTTTAGATTTCCTGCCTTCAAAAAATCACAACATGAGCAGTCAGAAAATGATGGACATGTAATAATTACTGGAAAAGAAAAACATGAAATACCGCAGTTATTCGGTTATAAGGCGCACTCGGCTATAAGACGCACCCCCAATTCGGTAACTTCATTATTGCATGTTTTCAAACTGAGAAAATCGCTAAAATACTTGGTTATAAGGCGCACCGTTGTTTGGGGAGTAAAGATCGGTCAAGTTTATTGTAAATTCTTTCATAAACTTACAAAAAAGCGAAAAAGTCGCGTATTGATTTTAGTTTACCGTTAATCAACAAAAGCAGAATTGTCGCACACGCGACCACGCACACAAACAAAAGCCTTGATTAAACAAGATGTACCGCCGAGAATGCAGGTCTCAGTGCACTAAAAAGGCTGAAAGGATGAAGAAGGTATTTACCTCTTCGCTTGTTTATTTTCGTTTCGTTTTGTGACGTATCAAATTACTAGGCACGTGCTCTCGAGTACGTATCACATCTATGCAAATTTGACTTCGCTTGTCTTTTCAGAACCACCATATTCATAAAAGTCAATGTGTGTGTGTCATTTTATTTGCTTGAAATCGTACCAGTAACTGTGATCAAAAAAAATTGTTTCGGGAAAATATTCGCTTATAAGACGCACCCAAACTTTGGCTGTAATTTTTAGTAGAAATTAGGAATTTCTTGAAAAAAAACGGTGCGCCTTATAACCGAATAACTACGGTAAATATTAATCAAATGTGAGAGATATTGACAGTCACAAAAATTCCATTTAAGGTGCTATATTTATTCCTTTAACTCCCATGAGTGACCAAGACCAAATTTCACCTTACAATATAAATATGTTATCAACCAAATAAGTGACAAGATTTAAGAAAAATATCAATTCGGGGATAATTAGTTGATCCAATGCTAAATTCGATGAACTAACATTATAAGAATTGCATGACTGACAGTAAGGAGAATTACAAATTGGATCTGGGAGTTAAAGGGTTAAGGCAGTAATTGTTGCTATTGAAAAGTGTAATGAACTGAAGAAAGCTTTAGGATAATCTGAAAGACGTAAACAACATAAGGCTGTTTCACTCGATCATGCTCAAAAGGGGTTGTTGGAAAATAATTGAACTCAAGAGGAATCCTATAATGGTAAAACCTTCAGATATATCAATTCATGGATACTGTATGTGTCTGCTAACTTCAGTCAGCAGGTTGAAACTGGAAACTGAGGAAAGCTAATATGTAAATATGTCATTCGACAAACTGCGAAGGAAAATATTGATAGTCTTTGGGAAACTTAGCTTCGAATTGGCTGTTGCATAAATTTAACATCTGCAGACTATTCAGTGGTTCCTGTTACTAGTGAAGTAAAGCTATATGCTGAAGCACAAATGCTCAATAGCCTCTTCAGTGCACACTGAACCTCAGTCGCCATTTTCTTTCCATCCCACCCTCTTCCATGGTTATTTGTTATGGAAATATTCCCTATCTTTTTGGGTTTTCTGTATAAGAAAGCCTCTCTGTTAATATTATGTTTTAGCACTGTTAGATTTATCTGCTTATATGCACCAAATAAGAGCCACATTTTTTGGAAAATTAGTTAACTATAACTAAGACTGGACGATTTGTCCCAAACATTACTTGTGGTCACAATTGTCCTATGGTTTATCAGATTGAATTTAAAGGCACAATAATTTTGTCGAAAAAATATCATCGATAAATAATGCCTAACTCGAGTTCTCGGAAAACATATTGAATTGGAGAAGGCAAGTCATTCTCTAGCGACGGAAATCGAACTGTGAAGAAAGGGTTTCGCTTTCAGTTTCCTGTCGCCTACGAAAACAGCAATTTCCGCCCTCACTGATACGCATTACGTGTTCCAATCTTAACTAAAGCATTTCCCTGTCCCTTTAATCTAGATCAGTAACGACTGCTGGTAGTAAAACAACTGGTCTGAGTACAAAACAGACTCTTACTAAAGTATGAAATTTAAATAAAGTGACCTTTTAGTGCGCATCAATTCATATTTCATGAATCTTCTTACCCTTCACATGATCTTCTCGAGAACGGTCCTTCAAACGAAATAATTACACCCGGAGCTCGTGAAGAGGCGACGCAATCGTCCTGAAAAAAGAAAAAAAGTAGCTTATGTATCAAGTATATCTTCACCATACACTTATTTTCAAAGGCTTGTGTTAAAGTATTCGTAATCATACGCATTTACGCGAGAGAAATACCGTAAGTCAACAACGGGTTATTAAAGTTAAAGTTAAAGTTACGGAGTGAATAACTTTACTATTTTGTCTGTACCTGCTCTTTCTTCGGGTCAACTCTTCTCATGGACAGCAATGTGAGTTTAAATCAAGTTCCTTATCGCAAGATCGCATGCAGAGTAGAACTTTGATCACATGGAAATTCAACTGGAAACCCAAATATACAAATTGAACGAAGGGACTTCATAGGTCAAGTGAGCAAACTGGATGTCTACATACCTTTAATTGAATTTTCTTCCTTCAATATGTGGCATGCAAGAAAGGGATGATGTCAAGATTTCTGAAAAAGAGAAACACAATTAGTATTAAACGGTGAAATAGAGAGAGTGGTGCACTATATAGAATTGATATATTCTTACTTTCTCCATTCTTTTAAATGGATTACAAGGATTGATTACCAGACTAATAAGTTACGTGTGCAGTAGAAGTGCACGTGGTTAAGGTATGCAACACTAAACACGATCTATAGATATTACTTGTATGTGAGTCACACCTGTCAAAATTTTCCTGAAACCAGCAAACAATCTACAATCAGACAGAAGTTCTTCAGGATCTTTTTCTTTCCAAACAACGGTCGGTGCGTAACAGTGAGAATAAATGAAACAATAAAAATTTGCATCGAACTCATTCAACTGTGGTGTCTGTACAATTTAAGTCTTCCTTTTGAATGTACGACTTAAAGCAGAAAATGACTTTTGCTTGAGAAATCAGCCATCTCTCGCAAAAGGATCCTGTTTTTCAAACCAGATATTTTTATAGTTGAACTGTATTTGGCATTGTAAAAGATCAGTACTGCGGAAAATATTTTTGCATGACCATTTGGGAAGAACCCCACAAAGCTAAAAAAATGAGAACATTACAGTTTTTGCATATCGTAAAGCTTTAAGATCAATCCTTCAAACATTTCATCTTTAATCCATGTCAATATTTTGGTTGATTATTCTCTCCCTTGTATTTTACCAGCTTTCTTATCAAATATATTTTATTGAATCCTTCAAGTTTGGTCTTTCCGCTAATTTGTTCAAGGTATAATGTCTCACAGACGAAAAACATTACAGACTACAATAATGATATTTAATGATGAAATACCCGAGTCAGATCTCCATGCCTCCTTTCTTTCTTTTTTATTTTTGATTGGGTTCTTCCTAAGAAGCTTTATTAACTCTTAGATGTAACTCTGTTTAAAACAGTTAGATTAGAAGCTCGAGATTTCTATCGCGTGATAGTTGAACGGTCGGTGCATAACAGTGAGAATAAATAAAAAAATAACAATTTGCATCTTACCGAGTTAACTCTGTTGTATGAAAAATTAAATTCCTTCTTCCAAACGCTTGACTTAAAGTGGAAACTAATTTCACAGGGAAAGCAGCCGTTTCTCAAGAAAGGATCCTGTTTTTCAAACCAGAGATTTTTATCCTCAAATTTTGTTTAGTATTCTGGAAGATAATTATCTGCTGACAGTCATTTTTCAAGATTATCGGGGCAGAACCATAGCAAAATAACTTCACATGAGTTTGCATATTCTTAACTCAAAGATGAATCCTTGAAGCAGTTCATCTGCAATCCACGCATATATTTTAGTGGAATACTTTCTCTCCTATATTTTTATATCTTTCTGATAATTTATTTAGTTGTATCCTTTACGTTTAGGATCAGTTGGCGCGGCACCATGTTAAAACTATGTGACATTGCGTTTTAAATATAATTCAGCTGATTGCCCACAAAATGCGTAGTTTCTTATGTACCCAAAAGCAAAGTATTTAAGGTAACTGACAAAGACTACGAAGTCTTTCGATAAATCAAGAGTCAGAGAAAAAGAATTTTGCTTGAAAGCAAGTCTCAATTGCAATATAAAAATAATGCGTCGCTCAAGTCAACTAATTAAATAACCACAGAGTCATTCATGGCTAACTGACTTACAAACTTTCCAAAAGTTTTCCTTGTTGCGAAATGATTCAAAGACATCCAATAACAATAAAGAAGACTAAGAGAGGAATTTTGTTTGACCGTAAAGGTAACACATAAACGATTTCACTTGCTGAAAACAAAGTTAAAATTTTACTGATGTAATAATCTCAAAACAAACAACTTTGCGGGGAAGTTGAATACGAAAACTTCAATCCAGCTGTGTTCACGATCAAAACGCAAATACCACTTAAATTTTTCTTCTAGCTTTGTTTCAAATGAACTATAAGAGTTTTAATGAACTACTCAATCAACTTGAAAGTGATGAGAAAACTTAGAGACTCAGAGCGAGGCCAGTTGACAACAGAGTGAGACAGGCACTGCCAAATTAATGGCAGCCACGAGGAAATTTCTTTTGTATATGAACTCATTTTTAGAACTAACATACGTTCATTGGTCCGAACGAATCAGAGAGACAAAATTTTGCTTTTACCTTCTCGAAGTGCTCTCTAATGGTCGTATCAAGTTAATTAGATCTCAATTAATCACTGGTTGCAATTGATGAACCTACAATAAACGAGCTTAAATTAAATGTGCAGTACGATCATAAGCGTATAAAACTCCAGTTTAAGTTGGACGATGACAGCACGAAGTAAAGAATTTAGAATAATAACTTAAGTTTTCCTACATTTGGTTTACCAGAGCCAAAGTGAACCAAAGTATCTACTTTTTTCATAGGGAAAGTAGCTGTTTCTCACAAAAGGATCCTGCTTTTCAAACCAGATAGTTTTATCGTTAAATTTTGCTTGGTATTCTAGAAGATTATTATCCGCCGGAGGTCCTTTTCATGATCATTTGGGCAGAACCACAGAAAAATAACTTCACATGAGTTTGCATTTTATAATCTCAAAGATGAATCCTTGAAGAGATCATCTGAAATCCATTATTCTCTGTCTTATATTTTCTCATCTCTCTAATAATTTACTTTGTTTTATCCTTCGCGTTTAGGATGAATTAATTGGCGCGACATTATTTTAAAACTATCTGACAATGCTTTTTAAATATAATTCGGCTGATTACCCACAAAATGCGTAGTTTGTTATGTACCTAAAAGTAAAATACTAAAAGTAAGCGTCGAAGACTACGAAACCTAACGATAAATCAAGAGTTAGAGAAGAAAACCTTTGCTTGAAAAGCAAGTCTCTTTTACAATAGTTAAAGACTGCGTAGAAGATCGAGAAATGCAAAGTCTTACTTTCAGTTTCGTAAGCACAATATCTTCAAAACTAATTACGGTTTCCTGCATTAGCATGGTGTTGTCGCTAGTGAAGATCACAGGACAGCTGTTAAGAAAATTTGGTCGCTGCTATCAAAGTAAAAATAGCCTTGTCGAAGCATGCAATCAGCATTTATGCAAAAGCTTCCTGACTTTATCGAATACGAGTCAAAAACCACCCAGAATGAAAATTCTTGTTTATTGCCAATTTTGTCTTTTAACATTTTACCCATAGCTAAGTTGTTTAGCTTTTAATCCCAGAAGGACTTTCAACGTTACAGCTGTTATACTCCGATAAAAGTATTTCTACCTCCAGCTGTTTTTTCCTTTACTTTATTCAACACCTTTTGCACATAAAATTGCAAGTCTTTTGTAGAGCATTGTAAATGGAGAGTGTAACTTTGTCAGCAGCAACTACTTGGTCTTCGTTTAGATCAAGTGGAACATGTTCTTTGTTCTTTACTTTAAGAACAACTTAATTTACACACTTAATGAATTAATTTACGGCTGCCTTTGAAGCAGTCTGCTGTATTTACGTAAAAAAAACGCTGAAAAGGAGACAGAAATGAATGCTTCTTGGTTTTTTTCTGTGTCTGGGAAAATAAAAAAATTTTATTCCTCCAAAAAAATGACACGCTTATTTACAGCTGCGTGGACCAGAAGTAGTTGCGGCTTTGGTGATGGGAAAAAACATCACTATTTGAGTCGAGAGTGACTTTTTATTGCTATCAATTATTCAAATAGATTGCTGGCTGCTGGAAAAGTGGAAAGAGGATCAAGACTATGTTACGTCACATCATTTTCCTTTGGTTTTGTTGATGATGTGAATGAAAAATGCATTTTGTGTAAAGAAAGGTAAAATTTAGCTCCTAGCTAAGTTATGGTGAGATAATATGTCACTATCAATTTGGCCTCTATTAAAATTAAAAGAATTTAACTAAGGTTAAAACTAAACCACAGCATACCTATACTAAACCCTCAGTCTATTTGTATCAATATTATTATTTTTTCTGGTGTTTGCCCAATAGATTCAATCCACTTACAGACAAAGATGGCGCCCCTACATTTTACCATTATTCTTAGGGTAAGGCACATGTAGAAAGCAATATTTCACAAAACAACAACATTATGTATGCAAGGTTTAAATTTTTCAGACCTTTTCTGCTTGTTTTTATGAGCGGTTCCAGGATTTTCTTGTGCAAAGAGTTCTGGTTGAATGTACCAGTCGCCATGTTTTTTGGTATGGTGGTTTACAGTAACTGTTGTATGAAGAAACCTTCACTGATATTAATTTTGTGAACTTGTCACTGACAAAGAGCTAGTTCATGATTAGACATTGATTGTTTCAGTGATTCCCTTTGTTCTTTACATTTATCATTGAAGTACTAATTAACTCCTTCACCATCAGTAATCGCAATAAATATACTGTTAGAAATCACAGCACCGTGCCCCAAAATCCAACGTTGTCCTGAGCACAATTTCATATTTTTGAGCAAGGCAAAGGTAAAAATAAAACAAGAGTAAGTGGATAATACCCTAAGTTCCCATATGCTATCTTTACCCCGATTTTGCATTTTTTCAGAGAATTCCAGAAAAACGGGGTAAAATCTGAAAATTCATCCTCCCGATGAAATAGATCCTAAGTTGTCATATCCAATCTTCAACCCGATTTTCCATGTTTTTTTTTCAATGAATTCTAGATAAACGGGGTAAATTCTGCTAACTTATCCCGCAAGTGATAGCAATGCGCTAAGTTCCCATATGCCATCTTTAGCCCGATTTTCCATTTGATCAGTGAATTCGAGAAAAACATGGTAAATTCTGAGCATTCATGCAACGAGTGAATAATACCCGGAGTTCCCATATCCTATCTTTACCTCGAATTTTGAGAGAGGCCAATGATCCGGTTCGTAATGACCATACAGATAGTAAGTTTTCTTGAAATAAGTTGGAGGTTGCTCATCCGTTGTTACCGGAAATTACTGGTCGAATTTCCCACTTATCCCGACCCCCCTTGAATGAGTACCTTTGCTTGAAGACAGAACTACAACGGAGTCTCTTAACCAGTCCCAAGCCGCGTGTCGCTTGAGAGATCACAGGATATGATTGGCCACTGTATCACATTACGTCAGGGAACATATTTACAATGAGGGGACATAAGTGCTACGGTACACCTATCGACCTCAATTGAACAGGACCTCAGTTCAACAGGTCCTCAGTTCTAGTTTCTTGCTTGATGTATGAAAGCGAGGGCTTGGGTTGGCTCTCGGAAAGACTAGGAAACCCCGACCGAATGTTTCCTTTACAAACAGCTGGCCTTTAAGAGAAATACGTCATATTTTTGACCTGTGAATGATTGCAAGTAACAGTCAATGTAATTTCTTTAGACCGCATTTTACCAATGAGTATAAATTCGTTAGATATTTATTTCTGTGTTTCTTTGTTTATTTGTCTTTTTCAATTTTCGCTTTCGTCTCGCTGTTGTAGGAAGGAACAAGAGATCATGGTCAGTATGAACATCTCTTGGAAGGAAAATGATTATGAAAATGGTCATGATTATTATGAACATCTCTCGGAAGGAAACATCACTCTAACAGTGTACAAGAGTTCTTTCATGTAATTTACTTGGACTGATGAAGTTTGGTTGAGGAGGGTGGGTCGCCAAGGCCCTTAACTCGTGTCCATCATATAGTAAAGGGCTCCTGTTGTGGCATATCGACTCCAGGCCGCAAGCCACCGGCTCCTCACCAAGACTTATAGTCTAGAAAGGCACTCTGTACAAGAGATGAAACAGTGAAATTTTATACCATGTTTTTACACATATACTTGTTCAGGTTAAATGAGTTAGTGCCCCCACTCCCAACGGGATTTCTACGAAAAATTAAAGTCACTTACGAAAGTAGTTGCATTGTGCAAAAAACGTTGTTTATTCGAGAATGCTTTTTGCTTTTCTTTAGAAAAGTGGCTTTCGCTGGAAACCGATATCTCTTAGGATAAGATGATATACCTTCCAGGTATAAGTCAAATCAGTATATGATAAAACAGTGGATAGCGTAAAAAGATGCATTCTGATTGGCTACTAAAACTCCGAATGTTCTTTGCTATCCATTTCCAAGCAACTCGTGTGGGACTTGTGCCAAAAATATTGCAATCGTTACAGGAATAAATGAGTTTAAATCGTCTTTGTGTGCTATATTATCTCACTAGCTAATTCCGCAAGGGTGAATAGTTCTTAATTATTTATAGCAGCAAGGACCACGCAACAACCTTAGTAATGGGAGGTAGGCGACGATGTCAGAGAGAAGAAGAAAAGGCCCCAGGACTGAATTTGTGCATTAATCATTAATGACGACCTGAAAATCCTAAATTTATCAAAACGTTCTAAAGACTCAGTTCTTTAACTAGTTGCAACATTTGCATTTCCATAACTACAGCGCCTACAACTCCACATCCTCCTTTGAGAAGTAGCTTTGTCTTACTTGCCTCACTGTGTTGCCTAGTAGTGGACAATCTCACAGTATTCAAATGGTGAGGACTCAAATCTGCATTACAAATTAGAGATTTTTCCTTTTAACCCACACTCGCGATAAATTTCCTCCAACATTTCAGTTGAAGAAAAGTTTTCTAAGCTGTCACGCATTAATGCTTTCTTCATGAGGATTCTGTCCCCTTCAAATAAATCTGCTGATTAATCTATCTATGTTCGGTAGTATAACGGATGTCTCTTGCACTTATATAGGGATGCCACTCGCCGTCGTCGTGATAGTACACTTGAGTGTACTCAGAGTTTACCGCAAAGATCTCTGGACCTCTTACTTGAGGAATGTTATCTAACCAAGAGGCCACTTGAACAACGCCTCCGTAAGCACAGCGGTCTATGTTGAGGTAGTAGTGCATCCCTTAAAGAAAAGAGGAAAGGAAATGAGTCAGTGCAGCGATTACTTTGAATATAGAAAGAGTTTCCTTCCCCATTCATCTTGATTAAGGAAGCCTTAAAATTGTTTAAGAATAACAACTTGACTCTTCCTCTCGCTTCGTCCTTGGAAACACGTGTGCCCACTTAGAAAAACGTGGTCCGCAAGGCACCTTTTGTTGGAAAGATCGATTTTCTAGCTTTTGTTTTAACCCAAACAAGTCATAGAATGACTGATAAGTGGGCGAGATAGCCCCTGACATAGAGTACACATCTTAGCACCATAGCATAATCCTAATCATGCATATGGTGCATTCGTCTTACTGTGAAGTTAACTGTCTTATAGAGAACATTTCAAAACACTGCTGGTCTAGACAGTTCCATCAACTATGGGAATCCCATTTTGGTGACTTCCACATTACAATGCGATTATTTTTTTCGAGGTTCACCCTCACAAAGCAGATGAATCCGATTACAGAAAAAGAGCAATCAGATTCCCTATAACTTCTTTGTTATCTTAACTTGGCTCAGTCCTGAGCACAGGTCGGTACAACTGAACAAAAGCGAATGATATTTCGTTCCTTGAAATGTGGTTAGGTAATTTCATGTACGCATGATCAGCAGCAGTGCTCTGGTCACAACTTAAGGCATTGTAATGTGTGCCATTGTGAGAAATCTCCCTTTTGATGATTTTTGTTTTGTAATCTCAGAATACACTATTCTATTTTATTTTCTATTCGTTTTTTGTTGTTCTGGGTCTTAAAGGACGAATTAGTCAAGATTAAATTATAAAATACCTGGACGATCCATGGCTTCAAATGTCAAACCCAGTTTGTTTCTTAACTTCTCCCAATCAAACTCTATTCCATTTACCTTTGGCGTCTAAAGCAATGGAATTATGATGTAGATAACACTGTTAATCATCAAATAAAGCAGCTTCAGATTCCTGATCTGCCATCATTTAACCCTTTATTTCCCAGAAGTGATGAGCATATAACTTCTCCAAACGATATCCATAAATTATTCAGCAAAAAAGGTAATGAGAATACTCAAACTTATCAGATAGAAGTAGTTATCTTGATCTAACACCAAATTCTCTTACTTAATTTACAAGGAAATATGTAGCAGTTGTAATGACGATGATTATAGGAATTTCCAATTCTTATAATCATTTTGTGCCGTTTCTTATCTGACCCCGGTTGTTGAAAGTTTGGATAATGCTATCCACTGGATAAATCGGTATCCGTTGGATAGCGCAGTACGTTTTCTTGGCAGTTATCCTCTGGATCGCGATTTATCCGTTGGATAGCGTTATCCACACTTTGAACGACTGGGCCCTGGAGTTCTGAACCTAGGTCACTCCTCGCAACTCTCAATTGTAGACTCCACACCCTTTAACTTAACGAAGTTTGTGTAGACTGACATATTGACAACAACTCGTTTCCTAAACGACGTTTGTCAATGTGTGGATTTTGGTGCCAAACTATTTCCCTTTTTCTTTTCCAAGAGCTATTTTTGTTCTTTCTTCTATCTCTCTTTGCTTCTTAATTTATGTTACAATTTCGTAAAATCAAGGAGCCATTAACTTTTCATAATAAGGGTGGATTAATACACTGACAAGTGGATAGCAATGGCGTGCCATGAAACAGGTGAAAAGTATCTCAGTGTTTGCATCTACCTGCTCTGGAGTACCAATAATGGAACATGCCGCATTCTCCGAAAGATTGTTCATAAAGGAACAATACAGCTGCAAGAAGCAGAACAGCTACGGGCAATTTCCAGTGGAGTCCTGAAGATGAAAACAAACGATTATAAGTACAACCCATGTTATTACGTTTTTAGTAATTAAAGAAACAGCATCAGACAATGCTTTTCAAGCTGCTAATTAAGCCATCTTCTATAGCGTTGTGAACCGAATACTACACGCGTAATGATTGGTCGTCATAATCGTCATAATCTAGCTATCAGAGTATCAACCTTTGTTCAGCTTTGGTTTTACTACCCTATCGAAAAGGTCTTTAAACTCCAATTGAAGCCTAATTACCGCTCGCAGACTTGTCGGGAGGGACAGTCTCCTCTTTTGAATCCAGTTTGTCTATTCCTCGTGACAAACTGACTCCTACTTCTTTCAGTTTCAAGTGATCTTCTTTAACGGAGATAAGACCACTCTCCAAAGCAGCATGTTTCGCTTCAAGTTTACTGAAGTCGTCTGCAAATCGCTCTCTCAAATTGTGAAGGGTATTCATCAGACCCTCGTGGCCTTGTTTCCAGGATTCTTTATTTTCGTCAACAGATGTAGATAATACTGCCATTTCATCTTGAACAAGCTTTAACACGTCACTGATGATCTGTTGTCCGAAACACATGTCCATCCCTTAAACAACAAGAAGAGATATTCGTTGGATTGGCTCACAATTTACGAGTTAAAGTTTTGAGTGATGGCTATATAAGAGACAAGAATCCAAAACAATTAGGCCCAGTAAATAATAAAACTTGTTATAACCTCGCATTAATTTTTGTGCGATTCTATCAACTACTTTATATCACGTGGTACAAAATCATTGGAGTGTTATCACCCAATAACCCCTAGTTCCTTAGAAAAGAAACAAAGCCAGCTAAGGGCTAGTTATCAGCCAAAAAGTACTCAACTAAAATGTTCCTGAATGTCACCTACCTCTGTTTCTCCACTCTTGCAAGTCCTTCAAAACAGCTTCTTCTGATTCTTCCGATAGGTTCAGTTTTGAGATCAATTTTTCCATAAGCTGAAAACAGTTCTGGAAATAAGCTTCAGTCCAAGTTGCAAACTTATAATGTCCCCATTCATTACGAACCCAATCACGTACATTACTTGCGATAATGTCAATTCCAGAACATACAAAGTTTGGTGCTACACATAAAATAGAGAGTGCTGCAGATAAATCCAATGTTTCATCAAAACCTGTGAAACCCGACAGGTATGGCTTCACAAACAGTTTTGCTAATGACAGTTCATCTTTAACACAGTAATCATAGCTGTGACGAGATGGTTGTGTTGTGTTGTTGTTGATGTTCGCATAATTAAGGCGCACAGTAGAAGGTGGAAGGCTTCTATGATGAGAAGACAATGTTTGTGAATGAATACATGTTGGTGCAAGAACCATGTTCTGATACAACTGATGCATTTCTTGCCTAATGACACTCCTCATTGCAGGTGTAAGAACTTTTGAAAGGCAAATTCCAACCACAAGCCATCGCTTTTCCTCAGCCCCTAGCATATCCATGGTAGCATAACAAGATTAAGTCTGCCAACTTAGCATTCCCTGCTGGAAACAATTAAAGCAGATCTGATTAAGTTTAATCTTTTTTCCTCAGATTCTTGCACTCTCACATTTTCAAAGAAAATTTTCCTGGATGTAGATGTATAAGTAGGAGCAACGAAGCCTTAGCGTATATAATAAGTGAATAAATCTTCTAATTTAGATAATTCATGACAATGCAGGCATGGTTCACGATCGCTTACTTAATTCCGGGCTCAGTTTCTCCGAAATACATCCTTTGCCCTCAAGAACATCACATGAACCTGAATGTGCAAATCATTAAATTTACCCATAGCTAAGTTGTTTAGCTTTTTATCCTAGAAGAACTTTTACTCATGAAATGATTTTCGTTATGTCTACTACAACACGGGGTCAACAGACAGTTAGACTTACATGCGGAACAACGTTGTTTGACTTTGCAGGATACAGCGAATTAATCGTTCAAATAAGACTTACCGCCACACTATTTTGTTTAAATGTAGGGTTCTTTTCAAAAACTATTGATGTACTCAAAACACGCAATTCTCAAGCGAAGGAAAACCACTACTCTTTGATTGTTTCTATGCATGCTAATGAAACCTTGATGCTTTGTCTCAAGCTGAAAAGATGTCTAGGCTCTATCTGACGCATTTCGCGAAAATACTGGGTCAAAGAGTACTATGATCTCGCTTCTATTGCTTTTGTGAAGAGTCGTCGTTTATATAGCTCCCTATTTGCCTAATTTCACGCCAACAGCCCGTCGATAAGCATTAAAAAGTCGTGAATACGATGACATACCTAACAAAAGTCAGAAGACTCTAAACGAACGCTTCACTGAACAAATGACTGTATGGCATTACATGTGCTTGCTCATAATTGATAAACCTTTCTTCAGTTTTAGTTCTCTTCAAGAGACCAGTTCTCCGCCTAACGAAAGATCTTTCGACTCTGAAATGAATTTTTCAGAGATCAGGTGTCGAAAATGTTAATTGAATCTAGGTTAGATTCTCCTGTACAATCTTTGAACGAGACAGACAGCTGTAAATAAATTGACCTGAGCAAACGGTCTTTCGAGGAGCGGAAAACAATTCTTAGAAAGGAGTTGATTTGTCAAAACTTGACAAGCCAACGCCTTACGATTTACCTTTGATACTTTTAGTTTTGCGTTTTATATCAAGTATTGGATGTTTGAGAGAAATTTTATACAATGAATAAATCTTTCAATGTAGATAATTCATGAATGCAGACATGGTTCACGATCGCTGACTTAATTCCGGGCTCAGTTTCTCCGAAATACATCCTTTGCCCTCAAGAACATCACATGAACCTGAATGTGCAAATCATTCAATTTTACCCATAGCTAAGTTGTTCAGCTTTTTATCCTAGAAGAACTTTCAACGTTACAGCTATTATTCTCCTATAAAAATTATTTCTACTTCCAGCCGTTTTTCCTTTTACGTTTTTCAACACCCTGTGCATGTAAAATTGCAAGTCTTCTGTAAAATGTTATAAATGGAGAGAGTAACTTTGTCAGCAGCAATTACTTGGCTTTCGTTTAGATCGGGTGGAACACGTTCTTTTCTTAGAGTGCAACTTACTTTACACACGACATGATTTTCGTTTTGTCTACTACAACAAGGGGTCAACAGACAGTCAGACTTACATGCAGAACAATATTGTTTGACTTCGCAGGATAAAACGAAATAATCGTTCTGCAGCTTCTAAATAAGCCCCATAACATTTCCGATTTGTCGGCCACTCTCCGCAGATCAAGAAAATGTTACTTCATGTAATGCATTTACCGGCAAGCTCTGGCGACAAATAAGACTTGCCACCATACTATTTTGTTTAAAAGTAATGTTCTTTTCAAAAGCCATTGATGTACTCAAAACACGCAATTCTCAAGCGATGGAAAACCACTACTCTTTGATTGTTTTTATGCATGCTAAGGGAACCTTGATGTTTTGTCTCAAGCGGAAAAGATCTCCAGGCTATATCTAACGCATTTCGCGAAAATACAGAGTCAAAGAGTACTTTGATCTCGCTTTTAGTGCTTTCGTGAAAAGAGTCTCCTTCGTCGTTTATATAGCTCCCTATCTGCCTAATTTCTCACGAACAGCTCGTCAATAAGCATTAAAAAGTCGTGGAATAACGATGACATACCTGACAAATGCCAGAAGATTTTAGACGAACGCTTCACTGAACAAATGACCGTTTGGCATTAAAAACGAAGTCCATCTGCTTGACCATAATCAATAAACCTTTCTTTCCAGTTTTAGTTCTCTACAAGAGATCGATATTTCACTTGTCGAAAGCTCTCTCGAATCTGGAATGAATTCATAAGAGTTCAGGTGTCGAAAATGTGAATTGAATCGTTGAACCAGGCAGACTGCTGTGAATAAATTGACCTGAACAAACGGTCTTTCGGGGAGCGGAAGTTTAGCAAGGAAAACAATTCTTAGAAAGGAATGATCTGTCGAAACTTGATATGCCAAAGCCTTGTGATATATCTTGAATACCTTTAATTTTGCGTTTTATGTCGAGTATTTGATGTTTGAGAGAAATTTTATACAAATGTTAACATATTTTATAATAAAGTTCGGATATAACGCGCGCTGTCATCGGTTGAAAGAGCGTGCTCTATGAGAGTTTATAATAAAGTTCGGATATAACGCGCGCGCTCTCATTGGTTGAAAGAGCGTGCTCTATGAGAGTATAGAGCATAGAACTGAGCTAAAGCTGTCACGCCATCTGCCAAATTGTATTATGTTCGACCTTTTCCGGGACTTCTTTTTAGCTTTTTTTCCGATAATTGAAAGTGAAATTTCGGAACAAGCGAGCCGGCAAGTAGTAACAGAAGAACCAAAGAAAGGTTTGTAAACATACCAGGCGCCGTTATTTACGTTATTAAAACGTGGGCAGATACGAAAATCCTCAAAGGAAAAACAAAATAGACATTCCGAGTTTTAAAGATTTTCACGCTCAGTTAGATTGCAAGCTTACGTACGGTAATGAAAATCAAACACAGCCAACACTCGTATAGTCTATAGAGTTCAGAGTTCAAAAACAAAACAGAACAAAACAGAAATGATGAAAAATATAACCAAACTGGCATAATTGTTAAAATTCATACTAATCATGACGGTGTCTGAGCAAATATGATCATGCTGAAGTCCATCGCGGCTCACTTATCATGCCGATCTCCGGTCATCACAGTAAAGCAAGCCTCAGAAACTACATCGGCCGCCCTTCGAATGAAAAAATAAGAGCTCGCTCTGATATCCTTTCCAATGTGTTGAGTGGAAAGTCACTTCAGTCACTCCAGCCGAGTTTTGCGGCGCTGTCATCCCGAGCGATTTTCATGTTCCGGTGAATTCGGCTGTCGTTCATTTAAAAAACATTCGCCTTGAACAGTTTGTTTTCTACCTTGTCATGTGAAAGAACCCGCGTGTTTTTATGAGCCATAATTCGGCTGAAGTTCACTGAACATTTCACTTCAAGATTCTGATTTAAAAACTTCAGGCAAAAGCGTTAAATTCGACCTGCCGAACTATTCTAGTTTGTAAACTATCGCAGAGTGTGAACTTTGATGGTTTTTGAACTTTGATGGTTTGACACTTTTGACAGGTTTTGTCTTGTACAGCCAATCAGATTATTTGAACCATTCTAACAGGGATTCTGATTGGCTTATTGTATCGTGCTCTATGAGAGTATAGAGCACGCTGACGACACTGTTCTTCGCTTTGGAAATAAAGTTTGTTTTGAAAATTGAAAGTAATACATGGGGAATTTAACGGATTCTTTATTATAAAACAAATAGAGAAGCCTTGACTGTGCTCTGTTCTGTTATAAAGCACGCAGGAAGCGGCTAGAGCACGAAAGAAGTGTAGGGAGAAACACGAGACGTAGGGAGAAAGACGAGACGTAGCATTCTGGTGAATTCGGCTGTCGTTCATTCAAAAAACACTCGCCTTGAACAGTTTGTTTTCTACCTTGTCATGTGAAAAAACTCGCGTGTTTTTATGAGCCATAATTCGGCTGAAGTTCACTGAACATTTCACTTCAAGATTCTGTATTAGAGACTTAAAAACTTCAGGCAAAAGTGTTAAATTCGACTTGCCGAACTATTTTAGTTTGTAAACTATCGTAGAAAGTGAACTTTGATGGTTTGATACTTTTGACAGCTTTAGTCTTGTACAGCCAATCAGATTATTTGAACCGTTCTAACAGGAATTCTGATTGGCTTATTTCCCTTTGGTTTTGTTAATGATGTGAATGAAAAATGCATTTTGTGTAAAGAATGGTAAAATTTAGCTCCTAGCTAAGTTATGGTGAGATGATATGTCACTATCAATTTGGTGATTGATAGTGACATATCACTGTCACTAATGACAATACATGACAAATTAAAAGAATTTAACTAAGGATAAAACTAAACCACAGCATACCTATACTAAACCCTCAGTCTATTTGTATCAATATTATTATTTTTTCTGGTGTTTGCCCAATACATTCAATCCATAAACGTCAACCTACGTCAAGAAATCCAAAGCAATTTACAGCTCTTTCTGAAAGATGAACTCAAAAGCCAGGGCCCAGTACCAAGACACGTTTTCAATGGTAAACTGGAAAGCTCTTAATACAGCGCAGAAGAAACAGCACACACTGTCAAATTGTGGAGGTTGTCAAGTGCACTATTATGCCATCCATAATTTTTTCCCTAGTGGAGAAACTTTCAAAACCTGAAAACTTTTAAAAGAGGCCCTTATTGAAAGTGGGGTGAAGACACAAAGTAAAGTGAAACCAACGCAAAAAGCCATTAAAACTGCTGTAAAATACATTTATTCAAAAGTGAATGGCCACTTTGAGAAAATATTTAAAATAAGCTTTGCTGAAGCACAAACAAAAGTGAAGGAACTTCAGCTCCAAAAAAAGAAAGACACAATTGAGAAAAAGCGGCAGTGTCGAGGGAGAGCACGCCAAGAAAAAAATAAAATCCAATGCTAATGTCTAGTCCATCTGGAGGAGGAGTAATGTTTCTAGTTACTTTGCAGTAATTTGCATGCCAAACAATGAGATCAACAATCTTCACCTTTACTTGTGTTGCAATCTAGCATTTATTTAAGCACACTCTCTATAATATATTTGCCTTCATTTTCCAGTCTTTTAAGAGGAAAGCAAGTACCAAATAATCCACTGTAAACTTAATCAATCATACTGAACTTCTTCCAACCAATGGAGAGAATATAATACTGGGAGAAGGATCCTATGGTCGATGCCTTCTGAGACAGTACACACGATTTGATATACTGGTAAAGGTTGTGGAAAAACAGTCTCTGATGCAGGACACCACAGAGGTAATGAAGGAGGCTCACATTATGCAGGCACTCACACATAAAAACATCCCAACCATAATAGGTGTGCAGCTTCAAAAGCAGCCCATTTCCTTAATAATGGAGTTTTAAGGGGAAGACAATACATCTGTAACAATAAGCAAACAATTTTCTTGTCAGAAAAACAGTGCAACAATACAGAATGTGCAAAGCTCACTCATAACAAATGACTGGTTAATTATTTCACATGATTTGACAGAAGCCCTTTCACATGTTCACACAAAAGGCTTTCTTCACTGTGATTTGAAGGCTAATAATTTTCTTGTGAGTAACAAACATGGCTACATCATTGATTTTGGAAAAGCATGTGACAGCTCCTTTCCTCCTGCAAAGAATTAATGAAGCCAGTGATATTTTTTCCCTTGGTAAAATTCTGTTCAAAGTAGGTGTTAGGCAAAACATTCCACTTTTGGTTTCCATGGCTCAAGAATGTTTGGATGCCAGCCCTGTAAGAAGACCAACAACAACAGGCATTATCGCAACACTGGCTTCCATAATATCTCACTGAATACTATAAGCTTAAGCAGGGGTTTCACGGGCCTGACACTGGGCAAATTGACTGGCTGGGAACATAATTGTTCCTGCATGTTGTTACTGACATAAATCAGAATCAAAACATTTTGCCTGCTTCCTTGTACATTTCCCATCACCTCAAAATCTTAATGAAACCTCTGCTTAAGAAAGTAATAATTAACACTCTAATCAGGTAAAGTGACCCTAGCCATGTCACGGCAGGAGTCTTTTTATTGGGCTTTGCAAGGTTAAAATTACAATGTATGTGCATGTCTTTAGCAAGTCTATGTGTGCTCTTGGTCTAAACTAATTTTGTACTTCTGCTTTATGAATTGTGAATGAATGTTAGAGGGACATTTTTAATAATGCACAGATAAAGTGCTCTAGGGTCCATCAGATACAAATTACTTCATAGGTCATACTCATGTCTATAATTTTACATCGCTGCTAGATAACATACATGGAATTACGGTCAACTCGCCGACGGACCAACTCGCCGACGCCAACTCGCCGACGTATAAAATCGAGTAGAGACGTCGGCGAGTTGGTCGTCAATCCAATACAACTTATTAGAAGTTAAACATACAGAAAATTAAACGATATTTAGTAAAAAACACTGGTGAACATCTAACAGAAGCTTAAACATTGGTGAACATTGGTGAACATCACCAATGACTATAACAGCTTAAAACGCGAACGAGTAATTGTAATATTGTAATATTTTTTAACGAAAACTTGGCTTTCTAGACGAGATCTTTAGTAAAAAGCATTTCTTTTTATTTGCAACAAAGTTTATAAGGATCTCAAGGCGAATAAAGCGAAGTAAACATCACCAATGACTCACACAACTCATTGGCGTCTACGGCCAATTTTGTTCATTGGCGACGTTAACGTCGCTTTATTCGCCTTCAGATCCTTATAAACTTAGTTGCAAATAAAAAGAATTGCTTTTTACTAAAGATCTTGTCTAGAAAGCCAAGTTTTCGTTAAAAAATCTGAGCCATTAACATGATGAGTCTTTACGGTGTTGTTGTCACACAATAATATCTCGTTCGCGTCTGAGGCGGATGTAGTCATTGTGATGTTTACTTTAGTTTATTCGCCTTGAGATCCTTATAAACTTTGTTGCAAATAAAAAGAATTGCTTTTTACTAAAGATCTTGTCTAGAAAGCCAAGTTTTCTTAAAAAATCTGACCGATTGTCATGATGAGTCTTTACAGTGTTGTTGTCACACAATAACTCGTTCGCGTTTGAAGCTGTTTGAGTCATTGGTGATGTTTACTTCCCTTTTTTCGCCTTGAGATCCTTATAAACATTGTTGCAAATAAAAAGAAATGCTTTTTACTAAAGATCTTGTCTAGAAAGCCAAGTTTTCGTTAAAAAATATAAGCGATTGACGTGATGAGTCTTTACGGTGTTGTTGTCGCACAATAACTCGTTCGCGTCTTAAGCTGTTATAGTCATTGGTGATGTTCACCAATGTTTAAGCTTCTGTTAGATGTTCACCAGTGTTTTTTTTACTAAATATCGTTTACTTTTCTGTATGTTTAACTTCTAATAAGTTGTATTGGATTGACGACCAACTCGCCGACGTCTCTACTCGATTTTATACGTCGGCGAGTTGGCGTCGGCGAGTTGGTCCGTCGGCGAGTTGACTGGTTACCCATACATGTACCGATTTATTTCCCAATTCCTGCCAATTATTGATCTATGAAATTGAATTTAGGCAAGCAACTGGCAGATCAAACTTAAAATTATAAACCAGAGTTTTAACCAGTTAGGCCACCATAGCCTACTAACAGGAATATTGACTTGGAAGAGCAACAAAAAAAGCAAGAAATACAATTTTAAAATTTTCCTTTCTGACTTTGTAACAAGGGCAACCTATCCTGCTCTTAAGATGGCACATCTTTTATGAGTAGGGTTGAGAAGATGACACATCTTATACCAGTTTGTGTTTGCTCTTGTCACAAAAAAAACAGTGCCCTACTTGGGGCAACAGTAAGTACTGGTAATTAATCATATCTTATCATCAAAGAGAGAAGGCTATGGTCAGAATCATATGCATGTATCAGAACTTTTGTGATGCATTTGAATTAAAAGATACTCCACTGGTGTAGTGGGCAGAATATTTACATTCAAATAGACACATATATCAATTACAAGTCCATCATTGACAATGATTGTTGCAATTATTACCGGTCAAAACTTAAAAACCAAACTGTTGACTATAATTAAAACTGATATAACATGATTTAAAAACCAAAACAATGCCTCATAAATTACACCATTAACATGCTTGTAATAAATTAGTTGTGTGGAATAAATGGAAGGACCTCTTCAAGAAAACAAATAGGGATAACAGTAAATAAAACTGGTTTTAATCAAGTAGATTCCCTTTGGAATCTGCAAGGGCTGGCTGGTTTTCTGTGTGAGTAATTAAAATTATTATTATTATATATTTATAGCAATTCAGTAAGGGACCTCGGAATAAACTAACACACATTAGTACAGCTTTTTTCCTCTTAGTTTTCAAGGGACAATTTATGACAAGACAATCTGCATCTTACATGTCAGCAATTAAACTTACCTAACAACTGCTTTGGGGGATTATTTTTGTCAGTAAATTCATCTGCTTCTTGGAGAAATTGTTTCCAAAGCATTCAAAAGCCTAAATTTTGATAAACACCATAAGTTTACACATCATGATGTGATAGAGGATTTATCAAGCTAAATTTAATTTCAAAATTGAATGGTATATCCACAATGAAACTTTTTTCTATGCATTTGTTACAAAACATAGTACTTTTTTCTATGCAAAAGTTACAAACATTGTAAAACGCTATTGAGCTCTAGAAATGAGCGCTATATTATAAATTCATGTTGCATTGTATTTGCAGTGAAATCAATGAACATGTTGAGAGCGGTGTTTAGAAGTCTTCGTAGGTTCAAAAGGGTTCTCTTTGGCTTAAAGATAGCGATATCATGCCATTTTTTGAGGAAATGAAGATAGCAAAGAAAATTTTATTACCTTCTTTTGATGTCTTCCTCTAGATTGTCGGATTCACCAGCGAAGATGGGAAAAACCAGTGCAAAGCCGACACTTCAAAATGGCGGATGCCGTTCACGAACTACGCGATCTTGATTCCAAGTAACTATGGTTACTCGCGCAGTCCACGCGAATTTCGCGAACCTTGCTAGGAGGGCACTGGAGGCGAAAATCATTTTTGACCCAGGCCTTAATTAACCTGAGTTCTAGATAAACGGGGTAAATTCTGCTAACTTATCCCGCAAGTGATAGCAATACACTAAGTTCCCATATGCCATCTTTACCCCGTTTTTCCATTTGATCAGTGAATTCGAGAAAAACATGGTAATTCTGAGCATTCATGCTACGAGTGAATAATACCAGGAGTTCCCATATCCTATCTTCACCTCGAATTTCCATTTTTTCAGTGAATTTGACAAAAAACGGGGTAAAATCTGATGATTCATCCTCCAAATGGAATAGATCCCAAGTTGCCATATCCAATCTTCAACCCGATTTTCCATTTTTTTTCAATGAATTCTAGAAAAACGGGATAAATTCTGCGAATTCATCCGCAAGTGGCTAACACGCTAAGTTCCCATATGCCATCTTTACCCCGATTTTCCATTTGATCAGCGAATTCTAGAAAAACAGGTAAATTCTGTGAAATTCATCCTTTAAGTGGATTATATCCTACTGACTTGCCATAGCCATCTTTACCCCGATTTTCCATTTGATTATTGTGTGAATTTGTCACAAACGGGGTAAATTATGAAAAATCTACCCTAAAGTGCAATAAATCCTACAATGATTTAGAAACAGTACTAAAAAAAGAAGAACGGCTAAAATCAGCGGAACCGCAATAAAATCACAATCTACTACTTCAAATTTTTTAACGTAGGGCTCAGTGCGGTACAGCAAAAACCTACAATATTCAAAATAAACAACTGAAGGCCAAACTTCTGTGATTGAAAGAAGACTTCGCGAAGCAGACAAATAATCACAACTTTGACCTCTCAGTCGATCTCACCTCCAGAAGATCAGGTGAAGTGTCAAAAATATATAATTTTATGTCGACGAACCATAATCTATGAATCTATGATCTTCAACTATTAAAGAAAATAAAACAATTATGATATGACGCCACAATGATCCGGCTCGTAATGACCATACGGATAGCAAGTTTTCTTGAAATAAGTTGGAGGTTGCTCATCCGTTGTTACCGGAAAATACTGGTCGAATTTCCCACTTATCCCGACCCCCCTTGAATGAGTACCTCTGCTTGAAGACAGAACGGAGACTCTTAACCAGTCCCAAGCCGTGTGTCGCTCGATAGATCACAGAATATGATTAGCCACTGTATCACATTACGTCAGAGGGCATATTTACAATGAGGGGACATAAGTGCTACGGTACACCTATCGACCTCAATTCAACAGGACCTCAGTTCAACAGGTCCTCAGCTCTAGTTTCTTGCTTGATGTATGAAGGCGAGGGCTTGGGTCGGCATCATCATGAACATCTCTTGGAAGGAAAATGATTATGAAAATGGTCATGATTATTATGAACATCTCTTGGAAGGAAACATCACTCTAACAGTGTACAAGAGTTCTTTCATGTAATTTACTTGGACTGATGAAGTTTGGTTGGAGAGGGTGGGTCGCCAAGGCCCTTAACTCGTGTCCATTATATAGTAAAGGGCTCCTGTTGTTGCATATCGACTCCAGGCCACAAGCCACCAGCTCCTCACCAAGACTTATAGTTCAGAAAGGCACTCTGTACAAGAGATGAAACAGTGAAATTTTATACCATGTTTTTACACATATACTTGTTCAGGTTAAATGAGTTAGTGCCCCCACTCCCCACGGGATTTCTACGAAAACATTGAAGTCACTTACGAAAGTAGTTGCATTGTGCAAAAATCGTTGTTTATTCGAAAATGCTTTTTGCTTTTCTTTAGAAAAGTGGCTTTCGCTGGAAACCGATATCTCTTAGGATAAGATGAGATACCTTCCAGGTAAAAGTCAAATCAGTATATGATAAAACAGTGGATAGCGTAAAAAGATGCATTCTGATTGGCTACTAAAACTCCGAATGTCCTTTGCTATTCATCTCCAAGCAACTCGTGTGGGACTTGCGCCAAAAATATTGCAATCGTTGCAGAAATAAATGAGTTTAAATCGTCTTTGTGTGCTATATTATCTCACTAACCATTTCCGCTAAGGTGAATAGTCGTTGATTATTTATAGCAGCAAGGACCACGCAACAATGTAGGCCACAATGTCAGAGAGAAGAAGAGAGGACCTCAGGACTGAATTTGTGCGTTAATTATTAATGACAACCTGAAAATAGTATATTTATCAAACCGTTCTAAAGACTCAGTTCTCTAACTAGTTGCCAGCCCCTACAACTCCACATCCTCCTTTGAGAAGTAGCTTTGTCTTACACTATTGTCTATGTTGAGTTGTCTGTGTCTGAGCTTGCCTCACTGTGTTGCTTAGCAGTGGAGAATCTCCCAGTATTCAAAGGGTGAGGACTCAAATCTTTATTGCAAATTAGAGATTTTGTCCTTTTAACCCACGCTCGCGACAAATTTCCTCTAACATTTCATTTAAAGAAAAGTTTTCTAAGCTATCACACATTAATGCTTTCTTCATGAGGATTTTGTCCCCTTCAAATAAATCTGCTGATTAATCTATCTATGTTCGATAGTATAACGGATGTCTCTTGCACTTCTATAGGGATGCCACTCGCCGTCGTCGTGATAATACACTTGAGTGTACTCAGAGTTTACCGCAAAGATCTCTGGACCTCTTACTAAAGGAAAGTCATCCAACCAAGGGGCCACTTGAACAACGCCTCCGTAAGCACAGCGGTCTATGTTGAGGTAGTAGTGCATCCCTTAAAGAAAAGAGGAAAGGAAATGAGTCAGTGCAGCTATTACTTTGAGTATAGAAAGAGTTTCCTTCCCCATTCATCCTGATAAAGGAAGCCTTAAAATTGTTTAAGAATCACAACTTGACTCCTCCTCTCGCTTCGCGCTCGGAAACACGTGTGTCTACTTAGAAAAACTTGGACCGCAAGGCACCTTTTGTTAGAAAAATCGATTTTCTAATTTTTGTTTTAACCCAAACAAGTCATAGAATGACTGATAAGTGGGCAAGATAGCCCCCGACATAAAGTTCACATCTTAGCACCATAGCTTTATCCTAATCATCCCTATGGTGCATTCGCCTTACTGTGAAGTCAACTGTCTTACGGAGAACATTTCAAAACACCGCTGGTCTAGACAGTTCCATCAACTATGAGAATCCCATTTTGAAGACTTCCACATTGCAATGCGATTATTTTTTTCGAGGTACACATTCACAAAGCAGGTGAATCCGATTACAGAAAAAGAGCAATCAGATTCCCTATAACTTCTTTGTTATCTTAACTTGGCTCAGTCCTGAGCACAGGTCGGTACAACTGAACAAAATCGAATGATATTTCGTTCCCTGAAATGTGGTTGGGTAATTTCATGAACGCATGATCAGCAGCAGTGCTCTGATCACAACTTAAGGCATTGTAATGTGTGCCAATGTGAGAAATCTCCCTTTTGATGATTTTTGTTTTGTAATCTCAGAATACACTATTCTATTTTATTTTCGGTTCGTTTTTCGTTGTTCTGGGTCTTAAAGAACGAATTAGTCAAGATTAAATTATAAAATACCTGGACGATCCATGGCTTCAAATGTCAAACCCAGTTTGTTTTTTAACTTCTCCCAATCAAACTCTATTCCATTTACCTTTGGCGTCTAAAACATTGGAGTTAAGATGTAGATAACACTGTTAATCGTCGAATAAAGTAGCTTTAGATTCCTGATCTGCCATCATTTAACCCTTTAGTTCCCAGAAGTGATAAGCATGTAACTTCTCCCAACAATATCCATACATTATCCAGCAAAAAGGTAATGAAAATACTCAAACTTATCAGGTAGAAGAAGTTATCTTGATCTAACACCAAATTCTCTTACCTAATTTAAAGGCCTATTTACACGGTACGGCTTTGTCGCATGCGACAAGCTTACGACAGGCCTACGACACGAATTGTATCGTGTAAATCAAACCTACCACTCGCTTACGACTGTCGTGCACGTCACGAAAAATGTCGTAGGATTTTAAAACATGTTTTAAAACGCTGCGACAATCGTAGCCGAAATTGATAGAAAATGACGTATTTTGTGACAAATTTCTACTGAGTAGGGGAGGAAGGTGAAATTTTCTTGCGTCAAAATGGCGGAGGAAGTCGCCTCCGGAAAGTCGAAGACTGCTTCCAAAGCGAAAAATACATTCTCAAATGAGGAAACAGAGAATATGATATCACTGTGGAGCGAGGATGAGGTTCTTTTCCTTCTCTTGCAAATTATTGAAACAATGACCTCGGCCGAAACGAGTGGAATTGCACGCGATTTTGGCATGTCGTAGGTGAAAATGTCGTGCGCGTGTAAATTGTCCTAAGTCATGTCGTAGGCCTGTCGTAAGCTTGTCGCATGCGACAAAGTCGTACCGTGTAAATAGGCCCTAAGAGAAAATGTGTAGCAACTAGAGGGGAGAATAAAGAATCAGAATCTAATGGGTTAAGAGGTGATGAACTACAAAACTGTATCCCCCAAAACGCCCTGTTACCCAAGATGGCTCTTTTTAAGATCCCTTCCTTTGTTTGGGATCCCAAGAGGGTGCAGAAATAGCCAATCCTATGACGCAAATTTTGCTTCACCTACCGCCGAGTGGTACATTATTCCCGGAAAACCACAGAACTTAAAGGAGAATTACGCTTCCGAAACGAAAACGTTTTCATCCCCACCATTAAAAAGCGTATCTAAAAATTTTCTACTTTCTGTCTTGGAGATTCCTAAGACTAAGCTAAAAATTCAAAAATTGTCTTCAAAGATATGGCAATATCACGTTTCTGTCGGTGTTAATGTTGGGCTGTCGTCTTTACCAAACAAAAATATCTTTGCTCCGCAAAATTATTATGCCGCGAGGTATTTATCCAAAGATTAACTGCACGTATCGTACCTGTCTGTCAAACGCCTTGTAAACAAACGAAAGCTTATGGCCTGGTATACAGCCACGGCTAGCGTACCAGTAGCGAAGCTTAGTTCCACGGGTGAAGTGCTGATACAGAAAGATCACAACACCAACAGGGAGAATAACCATAAGATTTTCCAAAAGAGTGCTGAGACAAAAAAAAAAAATAATTAAAAAAACATTCATTACCAGTCGCAATGCATCTATTGAAACAACGACAAAGTCTGAGCTCGAGCCAAGTGACCCCACCAGCCGGAAGTTATCCCAGACTAGGAGTATTACTACTCCCCCCTTGACGGAGTGCCAGTCCATCGCAAGCTTACTCCCAGCATTTGGTTAACGCGATCCACTGGATAAATCGGTATCCGGTGGATAGCGCAGTAAGTTTTCTTAGCAGTTATGCGCTGGATCGCGATTTATCCATTGAATAGCGTTATCCACACTTTGAATGAGTGGGCCCTGGAGTTTTAGACCAATAGCTCACTCCTCGCAACTCGCAAATGTAGACTCCACATCCTTTAACTTCACGAAGTTTGTGTAGGCTGACATATTGACAACAACTTGTTTCCTAAACGACGTTTGTCAAAGTGTGAATTTTGATGCCAAACTATTTCCTGTTTTCTCTTTTCACCAGCTATTCTTGTTCTTTCTTCTATCTCTCTTTGCTTCTTAATTTATGTGATAATTTCGTTAGATCAAGGAGCCATTAACTTTTCATAATAAGGGTGGATTAATACACTGACATGTGGATAGCAATGGCGTGCCATGAAACAGGTGAAAAGTATCTCAGTGTTTGAATCTACCTGCCCTGGAATACCAATGATGGAACATGCCACATTCTCCGAAAGATTGTTCATAAAGGAACAATACAAATGCGAGAAGAAGAAGAACTACGAGCAATTTCCAGTGGAGTCCTGAAGATGAAAAAGAAACAATTATAAGTACAACCCATGTTATTACATTTTTAGTAATTAAAGAAACAACATAAGACAATGATTTTCAAGCTTCTAATTAAGCCATCTCCTATAGCGTTGTGAACCGAATACTACACGCGTTATGATTGGTCGTTATAATCGTCATAATCTAGCTATCGGAGTATCAGACTTTGTTCAGCTTTGGTTTTACAACTCTTCCTCGAAAAGGACTTGAAACTCCAATTAAAACTTAATTACCGCTCGCAGACATGTCCGGAGGGACAGTCTCCTCTCTTGAATTCAGCCTGTCGATTTTTTTGTGACAAAATGACTCCTTTTTTTTTCAGTTTCAAGCAATCTTCTTTAACAAAGTTTAGACCTCTCTTCAAATCAGCATGTTTCGCTTCAAGTTCTCTGACTCGTTCTCTCAAATTTCTAAGAATGAATGCAAGTTGGTTTAAGAACCATTTTCTGATACAATTGACGCATTTCTTTCCCAATGACACTCCTAATTGCAGGTGTAAGAACCTTTAAAATGCAAATTCCAACCACAAGCCATCGCGTTTCCTCAGGATTTAGCTTATCCATGGTTTACCAACTTAGGACTAACTGCTGGAAACAATTAAAGCAGATCTGATTAAATTTAATCTTTTTTCCCTCAGATTCTTGCATTCTCACATTTTCAAGGAAACTTTCCTTGAGTATAGATGTATAAGCAGCACTAATTCAACCCCTACACATTAATTCATATGTTATCAGAATATAAAGCTCCCTATTCAAAGAACAAAGATACTTGTCAAAAATTTTGAGTCATTTCCCCAACAGGGACTAACTTGATCCTGGCTTGGCTCAATGTAATCACTAAAAAGATGCAGAACTATTATACTCATGTATAATTTTTAAAGAATATTGATACATACTGTAAGAGGCAGTCAAAACACTGAAATTCAATTTCTTCGATTCTAAATGACAAAACACTGTAAGTGCATTTCCTTTCATTTGCATCTCCACAGATGTCTTGACAGGAATTTGTTGCCTTTATTTCCTGACAACCCTAGGTAGGTTTTATGGAGGGGGGGTTAGGGGAAATCAAGACAATTCTGGATAAAGTGTATAGTTGGGACCGTCAAAATCTGACCCTGTTTGAGACAAAATCCATCCATCATAGTACTGAACTCTCATCTCAAAACAAAGTTTATAAGGATCTCATGTCAATCGGTCTTATTTATTTAAGTCAAGTCGCTGGGTAAAAAGTCAACACACAAACGGTGTTGTTGTCACACAATAACTCGTTCGTGTCTGAAGCAGATATAGTCATTGGCGATGTTTACTTTGCTTTATTCGCCTTGAGATCCTTATAAACTTTGTTGCAAATAAAAATAATTGCTTTTTACTAAAGATCTTGTCTAGAAAGCCAAGTTTTCTTTAAAAAATCTGAGCGATTGACATGATGAGTCTTTACAGTGTTGTTGTCACACAACTCATTCGCGTCTACAGCCAATTTTGTTCATTGGTGATGTTTACTTCGCTTTATTCGCCTTGAGATCCTTATAAACTTTGTTGCAAATAAAAAGAATTGCTTTCAATAAAGATCTTATCTAGAAAGCCAAGTTTTCTTAAAAAATCTGACCGATTGTCATGATGAGTCTTTACAGTGTTGTTGTTACACAATAACTCGTTCGCGTCTGAAGCTGTTAGAGTCATTGGTGATGTTTACTTTGCTTTATTCGCCTTGAGATCCTTATAAACTTTGTTGCAAATAAAAAGAATTGCTTTTTACTAAAGATCTTGTCTAGAAAGCCAAGTTTTCTTTAAAAAATCTGAGCGATTGACATGATGAGTCTTTATGGTGTTGTTGTCGCACAATAACTCGTTCGCCTCTTAAGCTGTTATAGTCATTGGTGATGTTCACCAATGTTCACCAATGTTTAAGCTTCTGTTTGACGTTCACCAATGTTCGCCAGTGTTTTTTTTTACTAAATATCGTTTACTTTTCTGTATATTTAACTTTTAATAAGTTGTATTGGATTGAGGACCAACTCGCCGACGTCTCTACTCGATTTTATACGTCGGCGAGTTGGACCGTCGGCGGGTTGACCGTAATTCCTGGATAGACCCTCCAAAATTAAGTTCTACAACGTTCTACAAAGTGGACACTAGGATGGATGATATACAACGTTCGAGCTCACCTAAATCCAAGATGGCGTCTAGTTATCGATCGAGATTTGGAAACAAACTTAACGAGGAAGTTTGCCGCGGGCATCAAAATGATTTGAGCACGACTCACAAACATTGTAGTTTGAGTCACTAAGCGATAGTTAAAATGAGCTCTGAAGGGCCCAGAACAGATTTATGTAAAAAAAAAATTAACTTCAATCACTATCACATTGGAGGGCATTGACTAAATGCGCCATAATGATGATATATATTTACCGAAAAACATTTGCGTTTAGATTTAATCATGTTACAAATCGATGCAAATTTTGACGCCTCTGTAAACAAGAAATCAATGAGTTAAGACTTACGAGTCAGTTTTTCAGGATTTGGATCTGCTTCAAGTGTTTACCGGTATTTTTGTTTAGGGGCGAATCTTCGAAGGGCTTCGTCACAATTCGTGTTACGAATGCGTAATCGATCTGTGTCGATAAGAGTGCTCGAAGAACCTCAAAACTTTTATATTTGTCACTGAAACTGTGTATGAAAAATGACTACTTACCAAGGTTCGCGATTCCAAACTGATAAGTCTTCCGACTGAAATGACTACAGATTTGCTGAATCAAGTTAAACTATGGACGAGTAACTTAGTAACCCGGCCGTACCAGCTAAACCTCAACGCGTGGACCAGAAGTAGTTGCGGCTTTGGTGATGGGAAAAAACATCACTATTTGAGTCGAGAGTGACTTTTTATTGCTATCAATTATTCAAATAGATTGCTGGCTGCTGGAAAAGTGGAAAGAGGATCAAGACTATGTTACGTCACATCATTTTACTTTGGTTTTGTTGATGATGTGAATGAAAAATACATTTTGTGTAAAGAAAGGTAAAATTTAGCTCCTAGCTAAGTTATGGTGAGATGATATGTCACTATCAATTTGGCCTCTATTAAAATTAAAAAAATTTAACTAAGGATAAAACTAAACCACAGCATACCTATACTAAACCCTTAGCCTATTTGTATCAATATTATTATTTTTTCTGGTGTTTGCCCAATGGATTCAATCCACTTACAGACAAAGATGGCGCCCCTACATTTTACCATTATTCTTAGGGTAAGGCACATGTAGAAAGCAATATTTCACAAAACAACAACATTATGTATGCAAGGTTTAAATTTTTCAGACCTTTTCTGCTTGTTTTTATGAGCGGTTCCAGGATTTTCTTGTGCAAAGAGTTCTGGTTGAATGTACCAGTCGCCATGTTTTTTGGTATGGTGGTTTACAGTAACTGTTGTAGGAAGAAACCTTCACTGATATTAATTTTGTGAACTTGTCACTGACAAAGAGCTAGTTCATGATTAGACATTGATTGTTTCAGTGATTCCCTTTGTTCTTTACATTTATCATTGAAGTATTAATTAACTCCTTCACCATCAGTAATCGCAATAAATATACTGTTAGAAATCACAGCACTGTGCCCAAAATCCAATGTTGTCCTGAGCACAATTTCATATTTTTGAGCAAGGCAAAGGTAAAAATAAAACAAGAGTAAGTGGATAATACCCTAAGTTCCCATATGCTATCTTTACCCCGATTTTGCATTTTTTCAGAGAATTCCAGAAAAACGGGGTAAAATCTGAAAATTCATCCTCCCAATGAAATAGATCCTAAGTTTTCATATCCAATCTTCAACCCGATTTTCCATGTTTTTTTATATGCCATTTTTTTATATGCCATCTTTAGCCCGATTTTCAATTTGATCAGTGAATTCGAGAAAAACATGGTAAATTCTGAGCATTCATGCAACGAGTGAATAATACCCGGAGTTCCCATATCCTATCTTTACCTCGAATTTTGAGAGAGGCCAATGATCCGGTTCGTAATGACCATACAGATAGTAAGTTTTCTTGAAATAAGTTGGAGGTTGCTCATCCGTTGTTACCGGAAAATACTGGTCGAATTTCCCACTTATCCCGACCCCCCTTGAATGAGTACCTTTGCTTGAAGACAGAACTACAACGGAGTCTCTTAACCAGTCCCAAGCCGCGTGTCGCTTGATAGATCACAGGATATGATTGGCCACTGTATCACATTACGTCAGGGAACATATTTACAATGAGGGGACATAAGTGCTACGGTACACCTATCGACCTCAATTCAACAGGACCTCAGTTCAACAGGTCCTCAGTTCTAGTTTCTTGCTTGATGTATGAAAGCGAGGGCTTGGGTTGACTCTCGGAAAGACTAGGAAACCCCGACCGAATGTTTCCTTTACAAACAGCTGGCCTTTAAGAGAAATACGTCATATTTTTGACCTGTGAATGATTGCAAGTAACAGTCAATGTAATTTCTTTAGACTGCATTTTACCAATGAGTATAAATTCGTTAGATATTTATCTCTGTGTTTCTTTGTTTATTTGTCTTTTTCAATTTTCGCTTTCGTCTCGCTGTTGTAGGAAGGAACAAGAGATCATGGTCGTTATGAACATCTCTTGGAAGGAAAATGATTATGAAAATGGTCATGATTATTATGAACATCTCTCGGAAGGAAACATCACTCTAACAGTGTACAAGAGTTCTTTCATGTAATTTACTTGGACTGATGAAGTTTGGTTGGGGAGGGTGGGTCGCCAAGGCCCTTAACTCGTGTCCATTATATAGTAAAGGGCTCCTTTTGTGGCATATCGACTCCAGGCCGCAAGTCACCGGCTCCTCACCAAGACTTATAGTCTAGAAAGGCACTCTGTACAAAAGATGAAACAGTGAAATTTTATACCATGTTTTTACACATATACTTATTCAGGTTACATGAGTTAGTGCCCCCACTCCCCACGGGATTTCTACGAAAACATTGAAGTCACTTACGAAAGCAGTTGCATTGTGCAAAAATCGTTGTTTATTCGAGAATGCTTTTTGCTTTTCTTTAGAAAAGTGGCTTTCGCTGGAAACCGATATCTCTAAGGATAAGATGATATACCTTCCAGGTATAAGTCAAATCAGTATATGATAAAACAGTGGATAACGTAAAAAGATGCATTCTGATTGGCTACTAAAACTCCGAATTTCCTTTGCTATTCATTTCCAAGCAACTCGTGTGGGACTTGTGCCAAAAATATTGCAATCGTTACAGGAATAAATGAGTTTAAATCGTCTTTGTGTGCTATATTATCTCACTAGCTAATTCCGCAAGGGTGAATAGTTTTTAATTATTTATAGCAGCAAGGACCACGCAACAACCTTAGTAATGGGAGGCAGGCGACGATGTCAGAGAGAAGAAGAGAAGGCCCCAAGACTGAATTTGTGCATTAATCATTAATGACGACCTGAAAATCCTAAATTTATCAAAACGTTCTAAAGACTCAGTTCTTTAACTAGTTGCAACATTTGCATTTCCATAACTACAGCGCCTACAACTCCACATCCTCCTTTGAGAAGTAGCTTTGTCTTACTTGCCTCACTGTGTTGCCTAGTAGTGGACAATCTCACAGTATTCAAAGGGTGAGGACTCAAATCTGCATTACAAATTAGAGATTTTTCCTTTTAACCCACGCTCGCGATAAATTTCCTCCAACATTTCAGTTGAAGAAAAGTTTTCTAAGCTGTCACACATTAATGCTTTCTTCATGAGGATTCTGTCCCCTTCAAATAAATCTGCTGATTAATCTATCTATGTTCGGTAGTATAACGGATGTCTCTTGCACTTATATAGGGATGCCACTCGCCGTCGTCGTGATAGTACACTTGAGTGTACTCAGAGTTTACCGCAAAGATCTCTGGACCTCTTACTTGAGGAATGTTATCTAACCAAGAAGCCACTTGAACAACGCCCCCGTAAGCACAGCGGTCTATGTTGAGGTAGTAGTGCATCCCTTAAATAAAAGAGGAAAGGAAATGAGTCATTGCAGCTATTACTTTGAATATAGAAAGAGTTTCCTTCCCCATTCATCTTGATTAAGGAAGCCTTAAAATTGTTTAAGAATAACAACTTGACTCTTCCTCTCGCTTCGTCCTTGGAAACACGTGTGCCCACTTAGAGAAACGTGGACCGCAAGGCACCTTTTGTTGGAAAGATCGATTTTCTAGCTTTTGTTTTAACCCAAACAAGTCATAGAATGACTGATAAGTGGGCGAGATAGCCCCTGACATAGAGTTCACATCTTAGCACCATAGCTTTATCCTAATCATCCATATGGTGCATTCGCCTTACTGTGAAGTTAACTGTCTTATAGAGAACATTTCAAAACACTGCTGGTCTAGACAGTTCCATCAACTATGGGAATCAACTATGGGAATCCCACATTACAATGCGATTATTTTTTTCGAGGTTCACCCTCACAAAGCAGATGAATCCGATTACAGAAAAAGAGCAGTCAGATTCCCTATAACTTCTTTGTTATCTTAACTTGGCTCAGTCCTGAGCACAGGTCGGTACAACTGAACAAAAGCGAATGATATTTCGTTCCTTGAAATGTGGTTAGGTAATTTCATGTACGCATGATCAGCAGCAGTGCTCTGATCACAACTTAAGGCATTGTAATGTGTGCCATTGTGAGAAATCTCCCTTTTGATGATTTTTGTTTTATAACCTCAGAATACACTATTCTATTTTATTTTCTGTTCGTTTTTTGTTGTTCTGGGTCTTAAAGAACGAATTAGTCAAGATTAAATTATAAAATACCTGGACGATCCATGGCTTCAAATGTCAAACCCAGTTTGTTTCTTAACTTCTCCCAATCAAACTCTATTCCATTTACCTTTGGCGTCTAAAGCAATGGAATTATGATGTAGATAACACTGTTAATCATCGAATAAAGCAGCTTCAGATTCCTGATCTGCCATCATTTAACCCTTTATTTCCCAGAAGTGATGAGCATATAACTTCTCCAAACGATATCCATACATTATTCAGCAAAAAAGGTAATGAGAATACTCAAACTTATCAGATAGAAGTAGTTATCTTGATCTAACACCAAATTCTCTTACTTAATTTACAAGGAAATATGTAGCAGTTAAGAGAGAGAATTAAGAATCAGAATCTAATGGGTTAAGAGGTGATGAACTACAAAACTGTATCCCCCAAAACGCCCTGATACCCAAGAAGACTCTTTTTCAGATCCCTTCCTTTGTTTGGGATTCCACGAGGGTGCCGAAATGGCCAATCCTGTGCCGCAAATATGGCTTCACCTACCGTTGAATGGTACACTATTCCCAGAACTTAAAGGAGAATTACGCTTCGGAAACCAAAAACATTTTCATCCCCACCATTAAAAAGCGTATCTAAAAATTTACCACTTTTTGCGTCTAGAGATTCCTAAGACTAACCTAACAATTTGAAAATTGTCTTCAAAGATGAGGCAACATCGCGTTTTTTTCTGTATTAATGATCTGTTGTCGTCTTTACCGAACAAAAATATCTTTGCTCTGCAAAATTATCGTGCCGCGAGGCATTTATTCAAAGATTAACTGCACGTATCGTACCTGTCTGTCAAATGTCTTGTAAACAAACGAAAGCTTATGGCCTGGTATACAGCCACAGTTACAATACCAGTAGCGAAGCTTAGTTCCGCGGGTGAAGTGCTGATACAGAAAGATCACAATCCCAACGAGGAGAATAACCACCACAATTTTCCAAAAGAGT